CTGGCCTGTGGGGTTTATCTGCGCCTTCAGGGGACCAACAGTGCTCCCCTGGTTCTATTCCTGTCACGTTCGTGACACTTATCCTTAAATAATATTTAACTTTTTACCTATACTATTTATTCTAAAAAAAATTAAGGTTATTTAAAAAGCTATAAAGGTGTTAAGAAAATTAACTATTAAATAGTAAGTTAATATAGCTTTAAATATTTAAAATAGATTAATTATATTAAATATTTTAATACTTCTTTTATAAAGTAATATCTAAGTATAGAGAAAAAAGAAGGGTTAATAAAGCTTATATAAGCTTTTAGCTATTAATAGTTATAATATAACCTTTAACTTACTTAATAGCCTAGTTATTTTTTAATTAACCTTAGTTTAATTATACTATTATAGCAATAATATAGATCTAGAAAATAATGTAATAGCAGCTGCTAATATTAAACTATAATAATAAATTTCGCTATAAATTAAACTTAACTTAAATTAATTTTAATTAGCCCCTAAACCTCTTTAGCTTTAATAGTAAAGATAACCTTATAAATTTAAAAATAAGTCTAAGTTAGTTAAAACCTTATTTACTTAAAGGGAAAAGAATAACTATAAACTTATACTTAAACTTTATTAAGATAGAGTAATTATTATTTTAAATAACCTTTTTAAAGAATTTAATACCTAAAAAATATTAAATTTAATTAAATATAATATTTTTTAATTTAAACTTTATTATCCTAATAAGTACAGTATATTTAGGTTATTTAAATCTTATATAATTTAAAAAGTTAAAAAAAAAACTAAAAAGCTATATAAAAAGTTACAGCTTATTATATAAAGATATAATAATAAGGGAAAGGAGGATATTTTAATATAATTACTAACTATATAAAAAGTCAGCTAACGCCTGGTTACAGCTTTAGCATTATCTTTATGTAACAATCATAACTGGTTCCTAGCTAATAAACCTAGTAAGCGGGTTTATATTTAGGGGGCGTTTAAGGTAGTGATATTCTAAGCAATATATAATAATAGTTAATTAAAAGCTTTATAGCTATTTAGGGTAAATACTTAGATTAACTACTGAAAAGCTATCCTAAGCTAATATTATCTATATAGTAATAAGTATATTTTATATAGTTTATCTCTTTAGCCTGGCTTATAAGGCTTATAAGCTTACTATAGTAATCCCAGTAATTTGTTAAATTTTAGCTTATTTAGCTTATTTAGCTTACTTAGTGATTCTAATAATCCAAATAATTCTTCCTTATATAAGTGGCTAGTTATATAACTTGTGGTTTAGGTAAATTCCGCTTTTATATATAGCTAGTCCTACTGGCTTAGTGGACTTTTTTTTGGTTTGTTAGTTCTCTTTAGTCCTATTTCTGTTACAGTTGTGACACTCTACTAAAAATAGGTATAGTTATTAAACTTTAAAACATTACTTAAGCTTACCTATAGTTTAAAACAGTATTAAAACATACCCTTTTTATAAGCCTATTGCTAGAAATTTATAATAAATACCTAGAAAACACTATTATAAAAGTTATTAAGCTACTCTATAATATTACTAAAGTAAGCGTTTATTAGTAAGCAATATACTATTATTACTACTATAATAAATTAAATATAAAAACTTTTATTTATAACTTATACCTTTTAATTTCTATTTATAATTAAGACTGCTTTAGTATAATAGCTATATAAATAAATAATATACTTTTAGTAATTACTCCTGCTTTTTTAATATTAAAAGAGGAGAAGATTTAGGAGGAATAAATCTACTATAAGCTAAAAATTAGACTTATAATTAACAACCCTTTTAATTTTAATAATATAAAGGTTATTATAGATTTTAATAAATTTATTAACCTTATTTAAAAAAATTAAAGTATAAAAATTAATCTAATTAATATTAAGTTTTTAAATTATATTTAGAAATATTTTAAGTAATATGCTTATAAAATATATTTAGTATTAATATATTAGCTAAAAGCAGTTTTTAACTTATTTATAACTGCTTAAATCTAAAATTTAGATAACACTATATATACTAAACTTAACTATTAACTTTAATAGTAAGCATAAAACTTTAATTATAAATTATAATATATTTTTATTAACCTTATATTAGCTAAACTTATAATTTTTATAGATAGTTTTTTTATAAATAATTATAATTTTAGCTTTTAAATTAGCTTTCTAATTATCTTAATTAATAAAAAGAAAAGTTAAAATTTTATAAAATAGGAAATAATTAATAATATTTTATATTAGTTTTTAATTAAATATAAAAGGGTTATTTAAAGTATACTTATTTTAGAGATTTATAATATAATTAATAGCTTTAATATAAAAATTATACTTATTATAACTTTATAGTAAATTACAGCTTACCTTAATATTCCTATGATATTATTAATAATTTATATAAACTTATATTTTTTTATAAATATCTTATTAAATTAAGAACTATTAAAAAAAAGTAATTAATAATAAATATAATAATACTCTAATAATTATATAAATAATAAAAGATTTATAAATTATATTAAATTAATAATAATAATAACTTAATAAACGTATTTATTAAAATTAATTTAAATAAAGCATTTAAATAACTTATTACTATTAATAAGTTAATTATTAAGATTAAGGGCTATATAAACTAAGATTAATTAATTTAGTAAAAAAAAAAATTACTAAAAATAGAATTAATTTATAATAATAAAGTATACTAAATTTAAATAATAAAACTTTAAATTAATCCTATTACCCTTAAACTAGCTTATATTAATTAATAGTTTATACCTCTAAGCTATATTTCCTTAAATCTATCTTAAAAACATACTTTATAGTAAATTTTTATAATATAGCTTATATATTAAAGGTTTAAATAATAAGGGTTACTATTATCCTATAAGCTAAATACTATTTAATATTTAATAGGTATTTTTAATTAAATTTTATAGTATTAATACTTATATATTAAAAAAGTTAATTAGTTAATTAACTAATTTTATATTTTTACTATTTACTATTATTTACTAATTTTACTAAGTTTATTAAGTTTATTAATTATACTTTTTTATCTTATTTTATTTTATTATTATTTAATATTTAGAATAAAGTTATATTAATATTATTAGTTAGGCTAACTAATACTAGTTTAGTTTAGAGGTTTATTTTTATTTATTTATTCTTTAGATAGTAAAATTATGAGTTTATAAACTATTTTAAAATAAAGTTATTTATAAAGTAAAAGTAATTATTGGATATTAACTTAAAAAGCAATTCTAATAATAAAAGTATTATAGTAACTTTTATTTAAATTTAATAAATCTGCTTATCTTAAAAACCTCTAGATAAATTTAGAAAAATTAAATACTTAAATTGCTTAAATGCTTAATTTAAGTATATAAGTAATTACTTTAATTATTAAGGCTTTAAATTTAAGTTATATAGATATTAGTTTTTAAAAGAGTTTTTAATACCTATAAGTATTTATAATTATTTAGTAAAAAACTATTAATATATAAATAGTAGTATTAGCATTTATAGCTGCTTAATTAGTTTGTTAGGGCTTATAGCTATAAATAGGCTTTAGAGGGATATAGCTTTTGGCTGCTTTTTAAAACTTAGTAAGCAACTTATACTTAAATAAATACTAACATCTTAAACTATGCATCGTATTTAAATACGTAACCCAGCTAATATATAAAGCTTTTAATTAACTATTAATATATATTATTTAAAATATTATTACTTTAAATGCTTTTTAAATATAAACTTACTTATTAAGTTTATTAACTAAGAATTAATTATAATTATTATAAGCTATAGCTTTTAAACTTATTTTATTTTTTATTTAATTTAATTAGCTTATTTAATTACTAATAAAGCTTTTTATAAATATACTTTTTAAATATTATACTATTATAATTTAGTTTAAACTTTAAGCTTTTTAATATATAAGCTTAAAGTTATTTAACACTTATAATTAAAATTAAATTTTATTTATTAAAAATATAAAATTATTATAATATTTACGTTTATATTAATATTATTTATTAATTATTTATATATAATATAATATTAAATTTGTTATTATAGTAAATAATATATATATATATAATATATTTATAAAATAAATTAAAATATAAATTAAATTTTAATTTTAATATTTAGTTTTTACTTTATATTAAAGTAGAAAAACTTTTAGTATAATAATATAGTTAAAATGTCTCTCTTATTCTTTAAGTAATTTTTAAACAAAGGTTTTAATTTAATTTCTAGCTTAGCTAATTTATAAGTATTTCCGCTGGCTAACTCTTTCCTTTATTGAATAATCTCTTTAACATCGCTATTAGTTTATTTTCTGTTCTTTAAATCCTGCAATCCAGACTTGTAAAACTTAAAAGTTGAGCTGTTTAAGTCCTTGGCGTGCATGATTAGAATGAAGCTTACTCCACTGTGTATAGAATTATCACCTCATTGCTCTTCTTTGGATTCAACTAAACGATTTAACTTATGAAAGCATTAGCTATAGTTAAATGTCGCTATAGCCGAATACAGAAGAACATAGAACAAATCTAGTATGGAGTGACTAGAGAACTTATACACCCAATAGATTGCCGCAATACATACGAAAAGGTTCAGACTTGGGTTATTAGAAAAGTAGGTTGAAGAGGTAAAACCACCGCGGGCGTACTGCTATTACGTTTAGAGGTCGTTGTCGCCTTCATCAGTATGAGTACACGTAGCCTTATCTTGTCACAGAGATGAAACTGCTGCGGCGAATCGCGATGCTGATGGTAGCTTCTCGAGCTGTTTAAGGCCCTTCTCTTTGTTTAGCAGCGCCCGCGCAGCTCTCTCTTGCAGTCGTATCTTTCTATTGTGGTTGTCTCATCTGAGAGCTGCAGAATTATGGGTTTCTTAGAAATAAAGTCCAGTCTTGTCTTAGATGTCGTAAGGGCAAGCGTGACATTAGGCTACACATTGGTTCTTGCTCTGCAAGTTGACGTCAAAGGCCAGCGGAACCGGGGTAGGAGGGCGATCGAGTTGGACAATAGTTAGGATCATGTTCCTGTCAACCATCACTGAACTTTTCCACGGTGAGCCTTAGTTGAGAACCCATGCCAGACACAAAACATTTCTTACTTGGGATATCCTAAGCATACAAGGATGGAGCCTGGTAAGTTTGCCTGGATAAATTGCTAACACTCATCGCTGCATAGCTCTCATCGGTTCCATCGTGACTGCGTGGCCAGTGATATTAAGATTACTTGATTATTCCGATCGATCAAATTGTGGCTTTGTTGTCGTTCGGACTGTCCGTTTTGTTCTAGGGACCTTATAATAATCTGACAAGGCTCAAATGTTTTTGATTAAAATCCAAATCTTCCCTTACCTCTGCTCTTACTGTTAAATATAGCGGGAAAACAACCAAACCATGATGAATGAACGGGCTACAGTGTAATCCAATACAAGAAGTCTTGGGTTTTATTATAGTTAATAAAATTAAAACTCCCCTGCCTTCCAACATACTTTTAACATGCGGCCTTCAGTATCCCTTGAGAGGTGTTTCAATAGCCCAGCCGTTGCAATACCTCTCATCTCATCCTCCTTTGCCATCTTACCGGTGTCCTTTAATTGTGTTCAGATTCTTCTTGTCCTTTGTCCTTCCTTCACCGCCGTCCTCAGACTCATCTTTGCTGACCTTCTTCTGAGGCCGGCACTTCAAGTATGGTCAATTTTCCTGTTTCATCCTTAGTCAAAGAGTTTAAACCTTATGTTCTTCAAGACCTCTTCCCCTTAGGTCCATACTTTTATAAACGAGTTCTTCTGGTCTATTCTAATAGCCTTCTCTCCCCTACTATTGCTTGTTTTTCGGGTTTAGTCGCCTTGTTGCCCAATTTCCAAGGCACTCCTTCCGATTTGTTCCCAATCTTTCAATCTCTTGACATTTCCCTTCTTTGAGGCGGGCGTTTTCGGTCTCGCTTCTGACGCAGTGCTAGCGGAAGAAGATGAATTGAAATTTGCTATGTAGGGTAAGTTATAATGCCAACAGAAGCAATAGCCAATCTGTCATTAGCAATCTTGATATGATTCGCAATACCCGTCTTTGAAGCTCCAGTCTTGCTGGGCCTAGATATTGTCAACCCACTTAACCACAATCAAGATTACATGCGCTTACTTCTCGGGCTGCTCTTCCGAGAGAAGCTCTCCCGCAATGGCATTAACTTCACTCTTACTTATAGCTTACTCATGTCCGAGTAACTGTCGGTCTCCTGCACTGGATAACTAGCGAAAAGTTAGACAACAATTTCGTCCTCACTGTCGAGTTCTTTTGATGAACTATCCTCATACTGGCTGTCCTTAGCATCTGAGTTCGCCATTGTTACCTCTACTGCGGAATTTTCCTCGTTGTCTTTACAGCCGAAAACGCCATCTGGGTCTTCTTCGCTGCTGTCACTCAATGGAATGGATTCATTCCCAGAAGACCTCTGTCTTGACTCGTCAATAATCTGTACTGGCCGCTTTTTTTTTTTGCCCTTGACTACGGAAGCGCTAGAGGTGGCAGTGGAATTGGTAGGCATAACGTTTCAAGTGTGAGCGGAGGAATATGATAATGCTCGTTAGAATACGACCAGACAATGTCATCGACAAATACAATTCCTAGGCCCAGTTCGAGTTACAGGCAGCACTCTACCGAATGACGCATGTGTGCCACTCTTGAATGTTTATACAGCCCGTAGAGGTTGAGCATGATCAACAGATTAGCGTTTTAGATCACTTTCAACTTGGGCACGCCGGCCGATATTAATAGTTATAGAAGATCCCAGGACCAAAATCGCCTGGGATTTTTTGGTTTGTTCGTTGTGGCGTGTGCGAGCTGACGGCCCATTAGCGCTAATGTCGGCCGACGACAAGCGTCTTAGCTGATGTGCAGGACGGATTTCTCGATATAGGAGGATTGGGTACATATCCGATATTAAATAGTGTGTTTTTCTAGGTAGTGTAGAGAGCGTTTTTCATGCAGGGCTGATCTCACCATATCAGCCCGACACGGAGCTCATCACGTCTCAACACCCACGTGTCGCTGCAAACCTCGCGTCTCGGTAAGCCTATGCCCTCCTCACATCAAGGATCTCGCTTGACTGAAAAAAAAGACGATATAATCACATTGATTTGATATAATATGTAACACAAAGTCAGGTGATTTGTGTATAAGCTTGAGTGTGCCTGCGCTTGTGCTTGGCAGCAGGATGGAGACGGTGGCACAAACATGTTCTCAGCCACATCTCCATGCGTTCTGAGTATTTTTTGTTCCAAATGAGAACGTCCTCCACATTATTTTCATAGCGGCGGTCGCTTGTAAGTCCAGGCAACCTAGAGACAATAATTCCGTGAATGTCGGCTGGCCAGCTACGGTCTGAGCTACCCACTTTGTGCCCTACGTGGAACTATTGCATCGATAGGCTGGGACAGGGTAAATCACAAGTATCACCGGGGCATTGTGTCATAGTAGTCCTGACAGGCCTACTACCTGGACCAAGTGAGATCGATGGTTGACTGAGGTGTGTGCTCCGCATAGCGTTAGCCAGGAGGCAACCCAGTGATAAAGAGAGGAAGGTCAGGATCAGAAAGCACGGTAAGCAACAAAATATCTGGTTTCAAGTAATTCTACCGTATAACCGTCCCACAGTTAAAGTAACAGCACCCTCGGTCGGCAAACTCGGCAGTGTGAGATTGTCAGCATAAATTCCAATAAACAGACGTTCCAACAATTTAAATACTTAAACCCGAAACCTTATATTTCATCGGGTATACTACAAGCCCCCGCAAGATTTCACATCTCAGGCGTAATCGTCGAATTAATTTCCAGGAGCTGTACTTATTCTGTTCTTTCGTTATAGTCATAGAGATACGGAACGCAGTAAATAATACTGCTTTTTACTTCCCAACTTACCAGGTAATACCCTCACAAACTCGGAGCAATGACCAAAACAGTCAACCAAAAGCTTAATCCCATTTATGGGCCAAATGCGCCTCACACATTCGCATGATCCCCGAAATAACTTCCGCGGTTCTCAGCACTTTCATGTTTACATCTATACCCTTTTTCTCTCGCTATATTCATATCGACCCGGAATGATAGAGCGATGGGACGCCCGATATGGCCCAGATGACCAGAGGTTTAGCCAGCCTGAATGCTTCTTACCGCTCCGCTACACTCGCTAGTTGAATCCAATATGACTCTTTTGTTCAAAGACCTCCTTCCCAGGCGAGCAGATGAGAGCGGGAGCGACACTCTTTTATCTTGCGCCAGCCGCATCATCCTTTGCCTAGTAGCCAACATTTCTGTATCGACTAGAGAGGGCTGCCAGCAACCTCGAGGGCTTTTTCTATATGGGAGTCGTCAGGAATCTCAAGGCCGATGGCGACATCGCAGTGGATCTCTCAAAACTTCGCCTTAACAAAGCATAACCTGTCCCGAGAAGGTGAGACATTTCGGTCGCGGGTTTGTCAATCGTGGGAACATCACTCAAGGTGATGTATACCTTAAATAGCTTTGATTGTATGCCACAATATTAGAACCACGAGACCGAAACAGCATCTGGCAGAGAGATTCCAAATTCAAAGTGATGAAATATCGCCATTTCTACCTGGAATAACAGGATGAATCCATAGGGCAATTCGTTGGGGTCCATGTCGGTCCGCGAAATCTTTGAAGGCGGTGGAGCAATGAGAGCCCTGTATTGGTCCAGATAAACTGAATGAGTGGTATGTTTTGCAGAGCAGTATATAAAAATAAGCCTGCATATAGATGTACCAGACAGAGAAGCTAATGCACACACTGTGATTTAATTAGTAGAGACTAGGAACCACTCCCGGTCAGGTCCGATGACGAGGCCAGATTTTGCACAACCTGAGGTTATGCAGTCCCCTACAAACAGGCCTTCTTTCTCACCTCTGACGAATCCATATCAAGCGAGGCAGTCTGACCATCAGACCCAGTAACCCAAGCAGCCACAGGCAGGGCGATACGAGGGTTTTGCTGAGCCATCCGTCAAATTCTCAACTCCGCCGCTGGCAGTACCGCGAGATTATCAACCACAGGGTCATGGGTAAGGAGTTACTGCCTCCGACCGGCGCTTTGTTCGTCCAGTGCCTGCACCAGCGGAGGCTCAAGTAATCGTGGGCTTATTGTCCAAGGCTCTACCACCGGACTGTCATGTAGTATGAAACATTGCACGTCCTATTTTACGGCGCTAACACTCGTGAAGCCTCATCATGATGATGGTTTCTCCGTGCTGCCATATTGACCACGATTTCAGAATTCACGCACAATGGCTTCAATTCACTCGCCAGACCCAAGTATCATATTCGAGAGATATGGAAACTGGGCTACGCTTGCACCTCCGAATTCCTCTACGATGAGTCTACCACCGCGGAACGCATTATCGGCTAGGGGTTCAGTTTGACTATTGGGCTGACGTGCTCGAGGACTTGCTCGACCCTCGCTACGTGGCAAGGTTGGGCTTGAAGCGAAGGAAAGTGAAGATCGCTGTCGCGGCCCTAGATATCACTGTGGCCATCAAAAGAAGGTGTCTGCAGAGGAATAAAAGATCTGGAGTAAAAAAGAAATGTATAAACTAGTTGGATGGGCAGGATAATTACTAGATGTTTTTGGACATTGCGTTGACCTCTAGGTAGAGTCGGTTGATAGTGAGCTCAAAGTTGCTCAGAGCATCATGTCCACACTTGCATCGCCCTACATCCGTGCTGCTCCTTGATATTTTTCTACTCTCGAGCCACCACATAGCAGTCGTGTTGAACCAGAAGCTGAGCAGTCTGCAGGCTCACATGCAGATGGCTCATGAGGTGTCATCAAGATTGCCAGCCCAGAAACAAGCACAGATAGGCTCATAAATGGACTCGGAGTAGGGCAGGCCGCTGCAAGCTGCCAACATAGCGTAGAGTGGGGGGGGGGGCGATGTGAATCCCAGGTGCTTCGAAGTCACGAACTTGGCCAGAAAAGATTGCCCGTAGCATTGCTCCTAGCCCTGCTCTCATCTCCACTCTTATCCAGCTGGGTTGTCACGCTATCACTGGTTGTGGGATCCAGACGCGAAGTCTGCCCGTCTACTACCATTATCGACGGTGTGTTCAGAGCCGAACCTACTACTGACTCTGTAGCTTATTGAGACCGACCTGGCCATAGTTGTAGTACTGCATGAGAACAAGAGACAAGAACACGGTCACAATTGCACATGGAGCTTGTCAGGCAGACTATGTTTCGTCAAGTACCGCCCCCTGAAGCTTGGAGGTATCAATTATGTTATCCACTCAGAACACCGTTTGCCCGTATGGTACAGAGAACCCAAAGCAGAAACCGAATCCCATAATCATCATAGTAGGGCACAATCCAAACCAGCCCTTGTGCCGATGCCAACCTCCCTCAAACAGAAAACAATGCGAATCGCCAGCCGATAGCGAGTCGTAAGACGCTTAACCACCGAAACCGTAGAGCGTGCGGCCTTGTCGCTTCAGGGCGTAGACAACGTCCAGAGATGTGACGGTCTTGCGCTTGGCGTGCTCGGTGTAGGTGACGGCGTCACGGATGACACCCTCGAGGAAGGACTTGAGGACGGAGCGGGTCTCCTCGTAGATCACTGTGGGGGATGTTTAGTGGGCTGTAGTGGGAAGACGCGTCGGACCAAGTAGGACTTACTGGCAGAAATACGCTTGACACCACCACGACGAGCGAGACGTCGGATGGCGGGCTTGGTAATACCCTGGATGTTGTCACGAAGAATCTTGCGGTGACGCTTGGCACCGCCCTTGCCGAGGCCCTTGCCGCCCTTGCCACCTATTCAGACAAGTTGGTCAGCCGACATGCGCGGGAAGAGGGAAGGAGGGAGAGCGACGAGACGCGTCGCGACAAAGGCGCCATGCGGACTCGAGGTGGGAAGCATGAATACTTACGTCCAGTCATGTTGATTGGTGGGGGGAGAAGTGTGGATTGAAGATTTGAGAGTTGTGAGGTAGAGTACCGCGACGGGTAATACAGACAAAGATGCTGTGTTGAGTGGTGGTTGGTGAATGGGCGGGATCAAGATGGAGAACAAACAATCGCGACGGGAGGTGTGACGCGGGGAAGTGGGAGGTTTTAAGTAAGGGTCGAGGCTGCAGGAGCTGGGAGTGGGTGGGCAGCGAATCAGCCAGGCCGCCAGGAGGGAGGAAGCGAAACTCCAGATCAGCACGCTAGGCCCTTCGCAGTGGCAGCGGCAGAGCTGCAGGGGGGGGCCCATCGAATATCGAAAAGACAGGACGGACGAATTTTGTGATTGGCCCAGGACAACGGGCTAAACCAATCCTGGCACTGAGAGCAATTATGGCTGTCGCCTTGCTTTGGGCAGACACGCAAACAGGCAGACAGACAGACAGACATGCAGGCAGAGAGGTACAGTAGGCATGTGGTCTTTCATTCCGCTCCTCACTCATTCGCTACTGTGTACTGTACGGAGAGCACTCATGGATCTCCACGATCCGTCCCCACCATACTGGGAAGTTTGCATTAGATTGCTTCACCCAAGGACTCAGCATGTATTTGTCTGCTGGTCTGGACAAGTCAAGTCGCATGTTCAGTTTAGTCAGAGGCAGGCATGTTAAAGTAGGAGAAAATGCCCCTGCCAGTCTGCCAGTCTACCAGCAAGCAAATTAGAACCAAGGCCAACCGTGCTACGTGCCCAACCATGTGGGAGAGTGTAGCAGTAGCAGTAGCAGTAACCAAAGATTGATACCAGACTTGGAATTCAGCATGCTGCCTGCAAATGTATTGTACATGGGAGATGTAGAGGATAGGGAAGAATAGGATATCCATTGTCAACGGATATGATTGTTCGCCGTCCACCTTAGACCTTGCCCACAATTATTAAGGTTGTTCCTTGGCCTGCAGGTCCCCGCCCGGGACTTAAAACAACATGAGTAGGAGCAGTAGTGGAAGCCGTCCAGCAGGCACAAGGGCAGGTGGTAGACTGTTGTAGATGTCCAGAGGTTGCTCTGCTGTGACCATAGCCATGGAAAGCGACGACTGAAGACGAGTGACTGACGGGCTGAGCTGACTACTGCAGCGAGCGATATGAAAAGTGACCAAAATGACGAAAGTGACGAGTGGGCGACACATTTCTCGAAACGGAAAGGTCGTCTCGGCGGGGCAGGGCTGCATCCAATCGAAAATCGGCGCCGTCCTGATCCCTGTTTGCACACTCCAAATCTCCCACCAGAAACGCTGCCACTCTTTCCCTGCCAAACAGGCTCACTTTCGCCCTCCAAAACGCCCTTTGTTTTTCACAACACACTGCCGCCTTTTTTCCCCCATCAGCAGCCCAGCCGAGCCCACCACCACCCACCCTCCCAAAACAGGAAAGCACAGACCACACCCACGCTCACCACCCCCCCAGCACCCGAATCAGCCAGCGCCCCCGACCCAGCTGCCGCCACCTACTTAAATCTCTATTTCCCCCACCCTCTCCTCTTCCGCTTTCTTCCCTTCTGCATCCATCCATCCACCCCACACCCACAACCAACCACTTCCATCAACAACTTCATCGCGTCTTGTCGCGTCATCAATCAACCACTCAGAAAACATCACTTTTCATCATCACAATGGCCCGCACCAAGCAGACCGCCCGTAAGTCCACCGGTGGCAAGGCTCCCCGTAAGCAGCTCGCCTCCAAGGCCGCTCGCAAGTCCGCGCCCTCCACCGGAGGTGTCAAGAAGCCTCACCGCTACAAGCCTGGTACCGTCGCTCTGCGTGAGATTCGTCGCTACCAGAAGTCCACTGAGCTTCTGATCCGCAAGCTGCCCTTCCAGCGTCTGGTACGTCGCCCCTCCCCACAGGCATGGCATCAATCGCCGCGCATCCAACTAACTCTTCTCCCTCCCGTCGCAGGTTCGTGAGATTGCCCAGGACTTCAAGTCCGACCTCCGCTTCCAGTCCTCCGCCATCGGTGCCCTGCAGGAGTCCGTCGAGTCCTACCTCGTCTCCCTCTTCGAGGACACCAACCTGTGCGCCATCCACGCCAAGCGTGTCACCATCCAGTCGGTATGTATCAATCCTTCTACAGGCACTCATGCGACGCGTCTTTGGAACAAACGCTAACAGCCCTACAGAAGGACATCCAGCTCGCCCGCCGTCTCCGTGGTGAGCGCAACTAAGTTGTCTAGCCTCTTGGGCTCTGGGGTTTCTTGATGGGTCGGTTTTTGGGACGGTCACGATGATTTTTTAACAGCAATGCTTGGTTGACGATGGTCATATCCACAGGGAAAGGGGACTCCATGGCGTTCAGTTGCGATGCTTTCTTGGGCGGGTTGTACATTAGAATACGCAGCTAATGGGACGCTGCCGCCGCCCGATATTGAACGGGGAAATTCATGATCAACAAAACAAACAGACCTCTTATGCTTGCTGCCTTGTGCTCTCTTGTGACCACCTGTTGATGCCTTTGTTGTTTGACAATGCGATTGCACGAGACGCGTCGCGACTTGACGCAAACAAAACGCTTGGACGCGCCGTGCCAGCCTACGTCGGCATGCATGTTCATGCCTTCGCAGAGCCTACTAGGCGAACAGGACCACGAGGGCGAGCATCCTACTCGCCGACTTGTCCCTTGACTTTCCTTGGGTCTGTCACTACGGCCGCGGTTGAGTCGGGCGGTTCTATCTACCTGTGTGTCACCGACACCAAGGCTTGGTCAAACGCAGCTAGTCTTTATAAAAACCCAGACATTCATTCTCTTGAACATATGTGGCGGTCATGAGTCACTCGCTGCCTTGGCGCCGGTCATCCGCAACGGAAATTGTAACACGGCAATCTATGCAGGGAAGGAAGCCAGCATTTTGAGAAGATATCATATTCATTCTTTCGTCGTGCCCTCGGAGCCCATACACACCACCTCCGGGTTGGCAGTCCATCTCCGATATTACATCGACCCGTCCTACTCCTCCATCGCATCTGCTCGCATCGGATCGAAATGCCTTATGGGCGCGGCGGTATACACATCGAACGATCCTGTGCCAGCTTTCCCCAGCCTCCCCAAGACCAGCCTCCCACTTGGTGTGCTCAAGTCATCCCAGTCACCATCTAGTAATGCGTCCTTGAGGACGGCCAGCGTTGTCTCGAAACTCATCTTGGTGAAGGGGCTCACATTGCCCTTGAGACCCATCCGGTTGAAGGGCGAGAATCCGCCGTTCCTTGTCATGTGATCTCCGATCAAGTTGAGGTGCCTATTGTCCACGCTGATACCGTGGCCGCCAAAGACGTTGCTCAGTTCCCGTATGATGTTGTTCCGCGCAGCTTCGACCCCGTATACAGCAAGTACGGCGGCGATGTCGTTTGTCGAGATCTTGTTTGGGTTGATGTAGTCGCTGTACTTCTGCATGGCTTGTAGATTCGCGCCTGCCGTGTGTACCACTGACGCCTCCACCTCCTGGCCGGTCCGCACGTCGAGGACCTTGTCTTTGGCGACGAAGGTGCACTGGCCCACACCGGGTATCTGTTGGATGAGCGTCTTCCGTACCGCAGCCTCCACCAAGTTCAGCATGAGGATTTTGGGCACATTCACATCGTATTCCAGAACAAACTCGCACCAACCGCCTCGCGACTCGTCGCACCGGAACTCGGTGACGTTTGGAATCTTTTCCTTGATACGGCCTTCACGAGAGGTGCTCTCGGCATCGGAGTCATTTGCTGATGGCTCATTCTCACCGGCCGTGTCATCGTCATGCTCTGTAGGTGGACTGCCCCCGAAGCCTTCATCTTCGTCCTCGCTACCCAGGTCCGCTTCTTGGTCCAGCCGCTGCTGAATTGCGTCATCTTCGTCGTCATTGGGCCCGTATGACGCCTCTTCACCGCGGTTGGCTCGCTGTTTTGCAGTTGTTGCATCGCCGTCGCCGCCGTCATCATCGTCATCATCACCATCCTCGTTGTCACCACCCGTAGGACCGCCCACTTCGCGCGAAGGATCAGCCATTTCGATGGTGCCAGACTTCATGCCAACTTCTGGAGTCGCTGAGGTGACGCCACTGCTCTTCTTCTTGATTTCCTTCTTGACAACTTGGTGCAGTTGTGACAAGAACTTCTTCTCTACCGTGTCCAGCACATCGGAGATGCCAATATTGTATGTTTCCGTGTATTCGCGTGAGGGGAAGAACCTGAGGCGTATGCGGAATATCTTTGCTAGAGCATAGCCAATGCCCTTCCCGACACGCTCACTGACGGACGCGCTTTCCAAAACGTGAGAAAGAGGCAAAACACTGATAGCCTTGGCAAACTTTTCGCCATCATCCGCTGACAGCTCCTCGTTGAGAACAAGCGTCATGGCCGGAGTCGAAATGTTCGCACTGGCGGTCATCAAGATTTCACGTAATCGAGGGATACCAAGCGTTACGTTCTTAGCCGAGTGGCCGGCCAAATGGAAGGTGTTCAGTGTCATCTGCGTGGACGGCTCTCCGACTGATTGCCCGGCGACAATGCCAACCGCCTCACCGGGCTCCACAAGAGACCTCAAGTACTTCGCCGCAAGGATTCTCTCCACTTGCTTTCGTGACAGGGTCTTCAGTTTGGCCGATTGATTGCTCTCATCCTTGTCCTTCTTGTTCCCGATCAAGGCGTCTGGGTTGTTCTTTATGTACTCCGACATGGCCTCGTAGAATTTTTCAGAGGTGGCGAACGCGTTCCTTGCTGAAGTGACAGTGCAGTTGACAGGCTCGTCGGTGTTGATAATGTTGGCTTTGGCCTTTTTCACCGCCATCTTGTTCCTTCTGAAAAACTCATCTTTGTGCTCAAACAAGCCCAGCGCGGCGGCCTCTGGGACATGAGTCTGAGCTTGGTGGGATTCAAAGTTGCGGAGCACGAACCCGAAGTTTGTGAGGTACTTTTGCTTCGAAATATCGAGGCCGTCTTCCCCGTATAGGAATTGGACTAGGGTACCATCTGAATCTCGTACCGAGCTGTCGTAACCAACGGACAGGCCCTCCATGCCCTTGATAAGACACCTTTGAAGATAACCAGAACGCGACGTCTTGACAGCTGTGTCAATCAAGCCTTCGCGGCCAGCCATGTGATGGAAGTAGTATTCCTGAGGCCTGATGCCTGTCAGGAATCGGTTCACAATGTACCCGCCGGCTCGGACGTCTGTGTCAAATGGTCGAAAACTCGGCAATGTTTTACCGCTGACCATGACTGGGACTCGGCGGCCCTCCAGAACTTGCTGACCCAGATTACACGAGATCAAGTTGGCATTGACCAGAGAGCCTTTGGCACCTGAAGTCGTCATGGACTGCATTTGGTTCTTGGGAAAATGCTTCTCGAGCCCGTTAGGCAGACACGCCTGTGTCACAGCGCTAGATAGGTCGGAAGAGTCCTTGTTCATCAGCACATCGAGGCCCTCTTGTTTCGTATCATCTCGCATGACTTCCTCCAGGCGGCTGAGAAGCTCTGGATCTGATGGTCCCGGCTGCTGATCGTCCAGAGTCACGTACTTGGCAGCGACCCGCAGGCCAATGTGAGGTGCAGCCGCCAGCGTGTTCTTTCGTCTCTCTTCCCCTTCTCGAGTCAGCCTCAAGTCATCCATTCCGCAGGTAAACGCCCTCATGTTGAGATATCTAGTCAAGAGACGGCCCATGCTGCTGAGTAGCTTGCCGGCGACGGCAGGCCCGTATACCTCATGAACAGAGTGGATGAAGCCACCAGAGCTTGGCCCGAGTTGAGATTTATCCAAAATCCCGCATATGAATTCGCCATCTTGAAACAGAACAGCGCCTTCCTCCGAGCCTGGGCCCCATCGTGCAGCTGGGATCTGGGTCTTGCCACTCATCCACAGTTTGCCGCAGTTTGGCGGCTTGATGTTCTTCAAAATAGTTGTGATGACTTGTTTGCCAGTCCACCGCGCAACGGGCTTCAGAATCGCGGGGGGAATTAGTTCAATCCTCTCTCCGAGAATGTGACCACTTTCCGGACGAAGAGCACCATATATTAGCTGCTGATAAGCCTGTCTGTCAAACCATGTATCCTTGTTGCAGAGCGCGACCGAAACCGACAAGTGGTCTTGGATAAGACCACGAAGAGGCTTCCCGGCTGTCCCGGAAATGTACTGATGGTCTGTGTCGGCCAGCTGCAATGCCTCCGCACGCGCCACTTCGTTCTGAGGAAAGTGCATGTTCATCTCATCACCATCGAAATCAGCATTGTACGTGTTGCAATTGGCGTAGTGCATGCGGATTGTCTTCTCGCCAGGCAAAACCCTGACCCGATGGCCCATGATAGAAGGCTTGTGCAGTGTCGGCTGGCGATTCATCAGCACCACATCACCATTCGCCAAGTGACGATGCACTTTCTTGTTCCTCAGCCCGCTGGAGGTGTTGTTGGTCGGGGCGAGAAGCTGGTTGGCAAGAGCGACACGTTCTTCCAGAGACTTGTTCCGGAGGTTGATTGTCTGGCCATTCTCGTTCTCAATAGCTGATGCACCCGGCCACTTCTCCACTCCGTTGATGACAGCCTGCTGCATGTCTTTGAAGTTGTGGCTTGTTACAGGCTCGGGAAAGGTCAGCTTCCGAGCGAAGACCGGAGGAACACCGATCTCATTGGTCTCGATGTTTGGGTCTGGGGAAATAACACTTCGGGCGGCATAGTTGACTCGCTTTCCCATCATGTTCTTCCGGAAGAGACCCTCCTTCTTCTCGAGCTTCTGTTTGATGCCCTCCTCATTCCTCTTTGCGGCCGCCCCCTGCACCGGGTTGAGATTTCGATCGATCAGAGCGTTCACTGCGTCTTGAAGTTCGGTCCAGGCCTCATGGAGTGCTGTCATGCTTCTCCTCCCTCTCGGATCGACCAAACCCCTCGACTGATCTTGAATCTGCCTGTAGATAGATGCCAGTTGAGCTGATGCCCGGATGATGTTCTTGTAGAGACTATTTTGTTGGGCCTCAGCAATCTGAGAGTCGCCAGTGCGGGCTTCGGGGCGGAAACGGTTTGGCGGTACAAGAATGGTCTCCAAGAAGAACATGTTTGCAGCAAGCACAGGGGTTGTTTTGACACGTGGTTGTCTGCAGTACACCAGGGAGAGGACTTCTTGCTCCTTCTCGAACAGCGTCGTCAGCCTGTACCGCACCTCGGCGGGTGAGAGGTATCGCTGAGCACTGCCCGCCCGATCCGTGGACTGCTTCTGAGTGGCTTTGCGTGGAATCATGTCACCGTTCTCGTCGAGTGCATCACCGCTGCCCTCGTCTGAGGCATTGCCTTCCTCGTCGGTGGACGACAGATCGGCGACCCCTTCGTCAGAACCGTAACCGCTTCTCTTGTCGTTCTTCTTCTCTGGTTGGGCCGCCATGCCTTGATTTCGCTTGAAGCCAGCCTGGGCCATCTTGGCCTGCTCCTTTGGCGACAGCGCCTTCTCGAAAATCTTGACGGATCGATCCTTGCGATAGGTCGGGGAGACGCCACGGCATGAGGCACACACCCTTGTCTTGACGATGTCTTTGAAAAACTCCCCAACTAAAGCAGTGCGCAGCTCAGCGGCACCCTCGTGCTTGCGGCGGCCGAGGGTAGCTCGATGGTCCTGCAGGACCCGGCGGACGTAGGCATCACGCGCCCGCATGACGCCGTCGGCAGAACCAGCCTGGTCTTCAGAGTCGGAGTCGGCAATGTCGGCTTGGGGGACATCTGGCATGGCCAAGCCGTGAAAGTTTTCTCCTATGGCGTCGACCATGCCTGCCTCCTTGAGGAGACCATATTGTAGCAGGCGGAATATGCAAACATAGCGGTGGACCTCCCGTCTTGCTAAACGTAGGCGGTCACAGTAGACACATTGGGCACGTATCAGGCGGAGGACTTGATCCATGAAGGTCGGGTGGTACACGGGAACGGGGAGGTCGATGTGGCCTGCATGACCTGGACAGGACTGCTGGCCTAGATTGCAAGTGGTGCAGCTACGGAGTAGACGCAGTGTGTGAGCCAATATCTCGACACGGCATGTCCGACAATAGACAGACGGGCGAAAGAGACGAAAAGGGAGAGGAATTGGGTGGTTCGGTTTCGGGTGCGTACATTGAGTCTCCCCATGATCCAAGGGCAGGATCATACAAGCCACCACGGACTGGGTTCAACAGAGTGTCGAAAGTAGTATCATTCTCAATCTTCTTGACCGACACGGCATGGATCTCTTCTTTTGTGAGAAATGTAAACTCGACTCGGTCGACCGAGGAGGACACAGGCTGCGAGATGTTCATGATGGTATGGTATGCGATGCACTGGCGTCACCGCCGCGCCGTGAAGACCCGGTGGGCCAGACGTGACGAGATCTGCAGTGGTGTGTAGCTGGCACTGAGACACTGCTTAGGTTGACACGGCTAGAAGCTGGCAAGAAGGCCCGGGCAAGCTGGCGAGCTGGTGAAGCTGGGAGCGGACAGGATGAGATGCATAGATTTTCCCCTTTGGCCAACCGCCGACGAGACGGAGGTAGAAAACTTTTGGCGGAAAACCGGCAATATTTTTTCTAGGTACCTAGGTACCTACCTAAGACTATCTACCCAGGCAGGCGGTAAGTACCTGCGTGCATAGGCGTGAGGCAGGCGTTATCGATAGGCTTGGTTTCCTAACCCCTAGGTAGTATGACATGTACCTAGGTACCTAGGTAGATGTCTAGCTAGGTACCTGGGCGACGGAGGGACCTGCAGCAAAGTCGACCAGCCTCTTGCCAACCCAACCTACCTACCCTCGACACCTCTGCTCTCAAGCTCCTCGCCACCCTCGACTCCTTTCACTGCCGCACGTGTAGGCGCGTAATCAAGTGCAGCACTCACTTGAGAATCGATCCTCGATAGTTGATTCCCGAGTCCGCTGCGACGCGGTGTCGCGTGGCTCCCCAGATAAGTCGCACTCGCGATCTGTCTGTCTCAAGCAGCCGGCTTCATCCATTCGGCATCAGCGCAGATTACCCCATTACGTTCGCGCTCTCGTCGCTTCGGTCGGAACTTCTCTCCATCGCGGTCCCCTTCGCCTCATAATCTCAACCATGGACAAGAACCAGAGCCCGCAAACCAATAGCCTCGGCCCGCGTCACGATGCCTCGTCTCGCATCCAGAAACAAGAGTCCGCGGCCGACAGAATGGCTGCCCTCAAGGCGCGTGTGGCTGCTGCCATCGATGGCAGTAAAGCCAAGGGGGGTCTTAATGTAGGGCTTCATCCAGCACTGGAGGATTTGGGACAGTGGAGGCCGTCCCCTCCCACGTCGACCGACCAGAAATCCGGCACTGCTGCGCCAGCACGGCTCCAGTCCGAACAATCAAGGCTCTCCACGAACAAAAAGACTCCAGCCCTGCGGAATGCGCAAGCTGCAGGCCCCGGAGAGAACCCCTATCTACCCCCAGCGGACGCGAACGCCCCGGCGGGGAAGCAGAGGACGCCCCGCCAGCTCATCTTTAATCAGAAGGGCAAATATATACAGCAGGCGAACGCCTTGCGAAGGCAAGCTGCCCTCGAGGCAATGAAGAAGAGGATCGCCGAGCAGACAAGGAAGGCAGGTATAGATGAGGACCTCGGCGAGAAGAATTTTGTCGTCGAGGCCCCCCCCGAAATCGAATGGTGGGACGAGGCGCTGGTCTCCTCGTATGACGTCCTGGACGACCCTTCGGCAATCAGAATCGGCAACGAGGACAGCATTGTAACAAATCTGATACAACATCCTGTGGCACTGGAGCCCCCCCAGGAAAAGAACACCCCGGCCCCGAAGCCCATGTACCTCACGTCCAAAGAACAAGCCAAGCTCCGAAGGCAACGCAGAATGGCAGAGCTCAAGGAAGAGCAGGCAAAGATTAGACTAGGCCTTGTACCCGCTCCTCCTCCAAAGGTCAAGAAGGGCAACCTCATGCGTGTTCTGGGCGAAGAGGCTGTCAAGGACCCAACCGCGGTCGAGGCGATGGTCAACCAGCAGATTGCGGAGAGACATCACAAGCACTTGCAGACTAATGAGGAGCGGAAGTTGACCAAGGAACAACAACACGAAAAACTCGCAGCAAACCAAGAACAGGATGCCGCCAAGGGCCTTCACATCCTGGTGTTCAAGATTGGAAGCTTAGCCAACGGTCAACACCGCTTCAAGATCCACAAAAATGCCGAGCAGTTGGCCCTTACAGGAATTTGCATCATGCATCCAAAGTTCAACCTGGTCGTGGTAGAGGGTGGGCAATGGAGTATCAACAAGTACAAGAAGCTCATGTGCAATCGTATTGACTGGACCGAGAACATCCCATCTCGAGATCTTCAGCCAGCACAACAGAAGCAGTGGCTTATGGCCGAAGACGAGAACGGCGCTCTCAGGGACATGACTCTCAATTACTGCAAGCTGGTCTTTGAAGGCGAGGTCAAGACAAGAGCTTTCAAGCGCTGGACCTCCAAGGTCGCCGAGACGGATGGCGAAGCGCGCGATTTTCTTGCTCGATCGAAGATGGAGAACTTCTGGTCCCAAGCGAGAAGCATGGCTTAGGAGCATGGGTACCAAGCTTATACCAATGGTTTGAACGAACCAGCTTTTTCGTCGATAATCATCATGGGCTGTGCGGATGCTACAAGTTGACTTCGCTTGGCACTGGAAGTCCCCAGCGCTGGAGCAGGACCACAAGGGCCGTGGGACAACGCGTCCTGCAAGGTACACCACTCATTTCCTCCAGAACACGCCGTGTCTCTTCTGTTGCACTTACGAGTCAGAATGAGGCACTTGCGGCCAGATGTGTTGCCTATTTTCCGAACAGTGCAAAAGGGCACACGTTACTGGCGTGACACGATTCGGTCCTCAACAGCCTTCGGACGCGATATTCAATCGATCCCACACCTCTTTCGAGGTCTACCTTCCTTACATGGAGAATGGAATCGTCTCAGGCCATATCCGGATTACAGGCCGTTTCAATACAGGCTGATGAAATAGAAGCAGAAGATTTGCAGCGCTCAGGGCTACCCGCCGCCGACTGTTTCACAAGAATGCACCAAGTTTCGCTCTTCAAACAGCTCTATGGAATTTGGTTTCTGAAGGACCCTGGGGCGGTTCCCGCAGCGCCTCCAGCGCGAACACTCATCATCGACGATAGGAGCTACTCCGGTCCGGTTGGACCGTGGAGGTTCGGGGGAGTGCTTGTATCTGTCTTTGGTTGCGATGCAGACGGGCCAAGAAGCGCTTCCGTACGGCAAGGTTCTGGCACCGTCATGCACTGTCCTAGTCGTCGCCATTCGGACGTCGCGCTCGGGAGGGCCAATGCTTGAGTGCCGGGAGCTCGTCGAATCGGTGATAGCTGGTTAGTGGTTTAGAGAAATGGCAAACTCATACGCAATGTAGCGCTCACACTCCTGGTTTACTTGCCTAGCACCGTGTAATTACTTTGTGCGGCTCAGAGCCATTTTTGGCAGCAAGAGACCTTTGGACGGCTGCATCGGGCTGGGCCGGAGATCACAGCAACCGCAGATTACGAAAATCGCACCGTAGTCTCGTTTGCAGGCTGGCTCGCCCACCCATTCTGCCTCCCCAAAGACAATCCTATGGTCGAGCCGTTCGGGCACTGCACCTTCGTCAATGACCTTCGTCAATGAACATAGGGGCGGGGAGCGGTCCATCAGCCGTGAACCATGACCCGGACTACTTTATGTTTGATGGCCGAGAGAGGGGCACGCGCGACCCGAGGTCGTCAGTGAACCTGCCCGCCCTTGACGCAAGACCTCTGCGCTGCTTGCTCAAGGAGTGTATTCCTGCTGGATCTGGCTTTGGCCCCTTGGAGGGGTCGAGAGGCGGAGCTGAGGGTGAGAAATTTTCCTGTCTTGGTCACTGGTCCCAGCACTGGACAGACCAGTCAACGGAAGTGCATGTTGGCTGCAAAGGGACCGACACCCCTGCCCCAACAGTCGCTCCTCGACCAATCGACGAGTGCAACTCCGATGCTGTTCCTGCCGGGTTAGATCCTTCTCCAGGCCTACTTGGCCTACTTGACAATTCCGGGCTGAGGACTCAGTCACATGCAGTCCTGGGTAAAGTGAGCAAGCCAGCGACCCATGGACAGCAATTGGCTGGATGGGCATCGTGGTGCAGCCCAAATGGTTCTTAGACGTCATGTCACTCGTTTTGTGGTGGCTTTGCTTGGCTGCTACTACTCTGACAGGAACCAGCCGGTCTCAGTCCCAATGTGGAAGCAAAAATTAATACCGTTAAACCCGAGGCCCAAAGGATCTCATTCTCATTTCCGGACCACAAACTCATCGGCTCAGCCAGGCTCAGCTCTCAGCACTCATAGTGGAGTCTATGCTGAGTCGGCTGGCCTGGAGCGCAGCATTGGCCGGCCCTCGCACCCGCGAACCGCGTTAGCAGGCTCCGACCGGCCTGCACTCCACCTTCGCCCCCGGACTCTGCCCGGGGTGGCATGGGTTGCCGTTTGGGGGGATTGGCTGAGATACGCGTCAGAGTGTGTAGACAGTATTCTATTCCGCGGGGGAACAGCTTTCATTTATTAGAGGTTCTTATCTGGTCCACTCAAATGGAGCTAAATCTACACATTGACTGCATCGGCCAGAATTTGATTCTCAACACCCTTTGCAGCAGCCAATGGAGCCCCTGAAAGAGGACGATGTCAGAGCATGGACACCTATCAGTGCCATGGTCGCTACGTCGCTTATGTGTTCACACCGTGAACGGCACCATGCTGAGAGGTCCTCGGCCGACAATGGGACCTCGCTGCCGTACTGTACAATGCCCATACTGCTGTGCTGCCAGTCATGTCTAGTGACGTGCAGAGGCGGGCGGCTGTTATACACGGATATCCTACCAATAGGACAACCTACTCGCTCGTTTTCATCTGCCCCACGAGTAGCTTGGATGCATTTCAGATGAGCCCCGGTTCAGGGGCGGCATCGCGAGAGGGGGCAGCGTGCGCGAGTCGTTCTGCTCGTCGCTGGCACGCAAGTCTAATGTGCCGATGTCGAATCTCTTGGAGCAACCATCATCCATATGTCTAGAAAAAAACACACAAGAGTCAGCGAACGTCTGTACAGGCCCAACGCGTCGTGGACGTACCTTCGTAGCGTATCCTTTCGGGCAAACATGCGCGCACAGTAGTCGCACTTGTGGGTGCGCTCCTTCACATGCACGCTCTGATGATGCCTCTGGAGGTCTGTCTTGCGCACAAACTTCTTGGTGCAGGCATCGATCTGGCAAGGGAAGTGGTACTCCCGCTTCTCATCGTGTGTCTCCATGTGCGCCTTGAAGTTGTAGCTGCGGCTGAAGAGCTTGCCGCACCCTTTCACATCGCATTGGAAGTTGGCCTCCTCCTTGGTCGTGAGCTTCCTCGGTGTCCGTCGCGACCGACCCCCGATCCGTGCTGGCCGCCTTGCGTCTTGTTGTCCGAATACGGCTGCTGGCGACTGGCTGCCCGCGGTCAGGTACAGATGGTCGGGCTCCAAGGGATACTGCTCCGACTTGGCCCAGGCCGTCGCATGACCCTCCGCTGCGTACCCGCCGGTGGGCTGTATGGCCGGTTGTCCAAGCGAGGGCAGCGGTGGGTAAGGACTCATGGCTGTCGGGAACGGGGCATTTGTGATACGCGGGGATGGGTACTGCGAGCCCTCGGTATTTTCGTACTCGGATGGTGTCTCGGCCTTTATCCTCGGCGTCGTCGGGTTTGAAGAGGCTGGGACGGGTGGGTAAGCCAACGAGGCCCTTCGCATGGATGGGTCTGGAGAGCGTGACACAGCCAGGGTCTGGGGCGGCGAGTGTGGGTTGCTCCCGTAAACATCGTGGGAGTAAGGTCCAGGGATAGGACCACCGTACGCGTGGAACGGGTCGTATTCAGCACTCAACACGTTGGACATGGAGGCAGTAGTCAAGGAGGGATGCAGGGCCGCGGAGGGGTTCCAGTCGCCCTGGGCCATTCCGTCAAGCGGTGGGAGTGAATTCTCTGGTGCCATAGAGCAGGGAGCATCAGGCTCATAGATGGACGAGATCCTATAGTGCTGCTCGACCAAACCGGGCGAGGGGTAGTCTGAAGAGGAAGTCTCCGATGGGCAGTATGTTTTCGGGGTTGAAGCAGGTGATCGGGTCAGGGGCGGCGTGAGGTCCATGGCTCGCGGCGAGGACGCAGTGCCCAGGGGTGAGAGAAGCGTTCAAAGGCCGTTTGGCTCACCAAGCACCAAGCACCAAGCAGGGCCTATGATGTGTCCCAGGTGCGTTATAACCAGTAGAAACCTCGACGGCCCAGAGTGTTTGTGATTTGGTGTGCATGCAGGTGTTGGACAAGGCTTTCCGAGTAGAGGCCCGTGGACACAAGGTTGGTCAATAAGGTGAGCACTCAACGAAGGGAATGTCAAACAGATATGTGTATGCAAGCAATCTTTTGAAACTGGGCCAGAAGATGGTGGTTGGCGTTTATTGTTGGCTTGCAAGGCCGCAAAGGGGGAGGGGGGCGTGGCGGTGGGTGTGGGTGTGGGTGTGATCAAGAAGGCGGATGCGGCGCGGGTGACTGGATATTTTAAGTAGTTTATAGCTACAGTTTATACTCTGGTAGGAGGTAAGCCGCCAACATACTGGGGATGGAGTGAGACTGAAGGCAAGGATGAGTAGCTGTGCCTGTCACTCGTGGTAGGGCAGACTGGGGTGCAGATATACCGGCGCCAAGGAGGAGGGCTGGGCCGGGCTGCAACTGATGGATCCCACCGGTTTGTTTATAGTCGATTGACGCAGAGCCGTGTGGGTAGATAGATGATTGGGGGTTGCAAGCCTGACGTGGAGGGATGGATGGCTCCGTCCCCCGAGCCAGAGTCTGCCTGGAGGGAGACGGGGGGACAGGATGGGCTGTCCAGCCGTTGACCACGCTGCATTGTGCGATGCTGGCAGCAGGGCAGCAGGGCAGCAGGGCAGGAGAGCGGCAGACGGACATGGACAGTCAACCAACACCATCACCACCAACACACCGAAGAGCAGAGAAGGATGTGGGCAAGGTGGTGCGGATGTGGACATGGACAAGGACACGGACAAGGACAAGGGTGCGGGCTGAGTGGGCTGAGGAGGGCGCCGGGGTAAAAACCAACAGACACAGACAGATGGGGGCCAGGGGCACTCTTTGGAGGGGGGGCCATAACATCATAGTCTATCAAAGGCTACAGTACACATAGCACGCAGTCATAACTCCATGGGCAATGCAACCTTCGATGGGCAGTGGCCAGATGCGCAAATCCTTCTTGGGGCCCCGAGATAAAGTGCGTTCCGGTGGCCTGTGATATCGGTTGCAACTGTACGCTGCTGCGTCCGAGTGGATACAGGCACGCCCGCGGATGACGGCACCGTCGAAGCAGAGCCTCATCTCCTCATCTGGTCACGGGCCCGGGATAGAACGAGATTCAGAACCCGCATTCCAGGCAGCCCTGACCGTGTGAACAAGATGTGAGCAGCACCGGCGGCTGCTTTGTGACTCAGCGTGTGCAAGCAACTAACTGCCTTGGTGAGGGACAAGGCATGCAGGTAGGCAGGCAGGCGAGCAGGCAGATACCTGGCGAGAGCAGGCAACTGACTAGGCAACTGGTGCTCCTACACGGGAGCAGGCTGGAATGGTTGCACTCGCAGATGCACGTTGAGTTGCAGACGCAGACGCAGACGCAGACGCTCAGAAGCAGAGGCCGAGGCTGAGGTACGCCTGAGCTAAAAGTAGCCCTATGGCACGGCGCATGTACCACGGTATCGCCCTCGACATGCCCAAGTTGGGTGATCGGGATCTTAGATTGAAAAAGTCCATCGACCGTCAGCACAGCGCAGCGCAGCACTTCGGATGCGCGTAAGACTGGCGACGAGGTGCGACGATGGGGCCAAGGGCGAGCTGAGAAGCTCTGGTGACTATTTCGAGCACCCGTACGCCCTTGCAGGGTTCTTTTGCAGGCTACAACACCGTGGGCGAGTGGAAGGATTCGATCTAAAATGAAACGCTGTTGCATTGGACCCCCGAGGCAGAGAAACATCTTTCCCGAACCGAGCCTAGCCCCGCGCGATAGGGCATAGTACCACAGTACATGCACAAGAGGTGGGGACACACTACAGGCCAACAGCATGGCCTATGAACACTTGCTGTACCAATGACTGCCATGACCGCTGTGCCTGGGCCAGGGCACATTCAGTCAGTCAGTCAGTCAGTCAGTCAGAACATCACAGCACAGACGTCTCGTGGAATTGCACCTCTCCGGCCCGGGAAGGTCGGCATCTGGTGCTGCGCCTCAGCCACCATGCAGGGCCGCCGCCGCCCCCCACAGACGCCTTGTTATCCATTGCATCGTCGACGGCCGTCTATATGTCGGTGTCAGTCAGTAAGCCCAGGGCCACGGGAGGCGGGGCACGGTGCTGTGCTTGGCTGTTATAGCCGCGGGCCCGTCTACCAGTTGTGTATCACTGTGTACACGCACAGTACCTAGCGCCAACGGCCCGTGGCATCGTTGATGGAGAAGCGGCGTAGGAAGGCTGATAAATTGGGCCACCCCATCGAAAGATCGGGCCCAAGAGGGAGGAGGGGTACGGCCCCGAACAGCTTTGACGAGTGGAGCGTACCCAAGCAGCAGAGACGTAGACTATTCAGCAGGGTTTTAAGAGAATGTGAAAGATGCCGCAGTCCGTCCCCTCAGAGCATATCCGGACCAACTGACCAAATCCGATCGATGGAGACAACAACAGCCGTGTCCTCAAATCGCGTAGACGTCCTGGGCACCGCCCATCATTCAGGCAGCCTCGGGGTTCCATCGCGCTCAAAAGTACCACTGCGAGGAGAGATGAGGTCGCCACCGAGTCAGGTCGCGGCGAATTATGATAGGGAACCGGCGGGCTGGTAAATGAAGAGCGTGTCAGGATGGACATGTTGGTTGATGCTGCTGCATTTGGCCATGATCCACGGTCGTTGGCTGGACCGCTCAAGAGCCAACCGACATGGACCCTGCATGGGGCCTGCTGCGTAATTCTGTCGAGGCCGCGGCAACGCAGCCGGGTGGACCGCATCGACTATTTACCGCACACACAGGCACTTGCACACCTTTCCTGGGCACTGTCTGCACACCGCACGACAGCCGTTGGAGGGCAGACAAGGGCGCCCTGGCCAAGTGACAAGGATGTGCCCATGATGATACTGATACCATGCACTTCTGCCCTGCTCTGTGCTCCGTGATGGCGTTGTGCCAATGCCAGTGCCAGAGTGTTTGTCTGCTTGCTTGCTTGTTTGATTGCGATTCAACGCCGAATGCGACACTTCGACTCGCGGGACGAGGCTGGTTGGCATATTGCTCATGCAATTTGATATGAACGTTATGCTGTGGCGTGCAAGAGTGCTGGGTTCTCGTGGGAGGGGAAAGATGGGAGACGGGAGTCCTTTGGCTCGCTACGACGCACACAGCATAGCACAGTACAGCCCAGCTCAGCATCAGTGTGGGAAACTGGTGGACAGGAACCTTTAATGGCGATATGAGCGAAAAGTGCCCATGTTCTTCACCCCTATTTACTGCTGAGCTTTTCGCCCGTCCAGCACAATGCCGTGCACGGCGTGACTTTACACAGGCTCGCGTGGGGCGATGCGGTGCGGTGGTCTTAGACGCGCAGCCGCTCATCTACATTCAGCGCGGCGGCTCTCAGGACACGTGGTCCCGATCGCCTGATGCAGGCAAGAGCACGACCGTCAGACTACGCGCGAGAGATCAAGGACTGCCAGGCATGGAGGCACAAAGGGGAGGGGGGTGGGCAGATGGAGACAACCTGACCTGCATCATGCTCCCAATTAGTCAATCGGTCGGTCGGTTGCTCATTCGGCCGGTCAGAGCGTGCCAGTGCAGACAAGGTCCAGACAAGGCCCGTCTCCAGTATTTGGTCAGAACTTTGTCATTGATGCCGGGCGGCGCAGACGCGCAAGGGCGCTTGTGGAGGAGTGCCTAAAACCCAACTGCAGCATAACGTGGTCTCGAGGTAGTGCCAGAGTGCCGTAGTGGGGTGCATCCGTTACACTGCTTAGTGCTGGGGTTGCAATGGCTCCTTGCGATGGGCCTGCGTATGGGGAGAGCCGATGGCACCCTGCATGACAAGAATGGCAACGCATTTGGCTGTTGGTGGTTGGCGGTCGGCGGTTGGCTGTTTGGCTGTTGGTTTTTGGATGTTGGGGCCGTCCGTCTTAATTATAGAAGCAGCTGCGTAAAAGCAACCAGCTGGGCTGGCAGGCTGGGGGCCAGGAGCGCAACAGTGGATCGGCGCTCTATTGATGGTGAGGTCTGTACTGACACGGATGTGGATACGAATGCGGATGGAAATGGGGATTGGGAGGTCGAGTTGCGGATGGAGATGCAGATGTAGATGCCTACTGTGTAGTGTAGAAGGTAGAGTGAAACGGCGACGGGACTGGGGGCGCGGACGGGGATGTCACAGCCTGGCAGCCTGGGCAATGCGCACGTGACAGCGCGCATGGGGAGGCGTCAACGACGGACAGTGACATTTCAAATGCGCCTACGATAGAGAGACCCAGTCTACCTGCCCATCAGTGTCGTCACCCATGTCAACAGCGACATTCGAGATCAAACTGCCGAGGACACAGAGACAGGCACCGTGATCAAAAGCCTGGGGTTTCTTTCCTTTGTTCTCCCTCACCCGGTCGCGGGAGCACCGCCCCTGGCTTCTATCTGGTATCATCATCAGTCCGCATCAAGCAGACCCAGACCCAGATCGATCCAGCACGCGTGTCGCCGCCCCTGTCCCCGTCCTCGCCCTCACCCTCGCCCTCACCCTCGCCCTCGCGCAGCCGGCAAGTCATTCGACCGAAGCGCAACGGCTGATCCAACGCGGCCTCTCCGCCCACACTCCTTGACTTTGCTGTTCGCTGGAGCCTGATCAACGGCCTCGTGCGCCGCCAACCCGCCGCCATGAGGTTCAACATAGAGTACGTCTGTCGCCATGCGGCTTGCCTCTTTCAAAGCTCAGGCCCACCCGAGACTACCACTGACAGCAACCTGCAGTGATCTGCCCGTTCTCTTCCCCTATCCTCGTATCTATCCCGGTATGTACCCCTGCAGTCACCCATCCGCCACCCTCAACTGACACGCACTTGGCAGAGCAATATGCGTGAGTTGGCCCACAGCCTCGTCTCGATCGCTCCCGGAGTGGTTCGCCCTGCTGACCTTTCACCTTTGTCTGCAGGTACATGTGTGATCTGAAAAGTAGGTAATGCTTCTCCCGTGTCTTCCTCCGCCGACCCTGGCCACAAGAGACCTTCTGCTGACTCCCTGATAGAAACCCTTGATGCTGGTGGCCATTCCGTCTTGGAGATGCCTTCGGGCACCGGCAAGACCGTCTCGTTGCTGTCGCTCATCGTTGCCTACCAGCAGTACTATCCAGAGAACAGGAAGCTGATCTACTGCTCCCGTAAGCCCTCCTCCTTCCCGGCCATCTTGCAGTATCGGCTCGCTCTCCTGACACAGACCGCCTCGGCTAGGTACCATGTCGGAGATCGAGAAGGCCCTGGCTGAGTTGAAGGCCCTGATGAAATACCGCACCGAGCAGCTAGGCTATGAGGAAGAGTTCAGAGCAGTCGGCTTGTCAAGCCGAAAGAACCTCTGCCTCCACCCCTCGGTGAAGCGGGAGAAGAGCGGCGCCGTCGTCGACGCCCGTTGCCGCAGCTTGACCGCTGGCTTTGTCAAGGAGAAGAAGGAGCGTGGCGAAGACGTAGACCTTTGTGTCTACCATGATGTAAGCCTACCTCTCCAATCCCCCGCGTTGCCGTCCTCTGGGTGCTGACATCACTAGAATCTAGACCTTCTCGAAGCCCACAACCTGATACCAAATGGTGTCTGGACATTTGAAGGTCTTCTTCGCTATGGCGAGCAACACAAGCAATGCCCATATTTCACAGCTCGTCGGATGGTGAGCCCCCGCCCACCCTGCTCCTTTAGCCCTCTGCGTGCGGTAATTCTGACCGTCTAGATGCAATTCTGCAACGTCATCATCTACTCTTACCATTATCTATTGGACCCCAAGATTGCCGAGCGTGTTTCAAAGGATCTATCCAAAGACTGCATCGTCGTCTTTGACGAGGCCCACAACATCGACAATGTCTGCATTGAGTCTCTCAGTACCGATATCACCGAAGACTCGCTAAGGAAAGCGACCCGTGGGGCGCAAAATCTCGAGAGGAAAATCACCGAGATGCGAGAGACTGATCAGAAGGCGCTCGAGAACGAGTATCAGAAGCTCGTAGAAGGCCTGAGGGACGCGGACGAGGCGCGTGATGAAGGCACGCTTATGGCGAACCCGGTGCTTCCCGAGGATTTGCTCAAAGAGGCGGTCCCCGGAAACATCAGAAGGGCGGAGCACTTTGTGGCATTCTTGAAGCGCTTCATCGAATACCTCAAGACACGCATGAAGGTTCGCCAAGTCATCTCGGAAACGCCGCCTTCCTTCCTGTCACACCTCAAGGAGTACACCTTCATCGAAAAGAAGCCATTGAGATTCTGTGCCGAGCGCCTGACTTCTCTGGTGCGGACGCTCGAGCTCACCAACATCGAAGATTATCAGCCATTGCAGGAGGTCGCCACATTTGCGACCCTGGTCGCCACTTATGAGAAGGGTTTCCTGCTTATTCTGGAACCGTACGAATCGGACACGGCTGAAGTGCCCAATCCCATCCTCCATTTCACGTGCTTAGATGCAGCTATTGCCATCAAGCCAGTGTTTGAACGCTTTGCCTCTGTCATCATCACATCCGGTACCATCTCGCCTCTTGAGATTTACCCCAAGATGCTCGGGTTCTCAACGGTCGTGCAAGAGTCCTACAGCATGACTTTGGCGCGAAAGTCGTTCCTGCCCATGATTGTCACGCGTGGCAGCGACCAGGCTGCCATATCCACAAGCTTCCAGGTGCGCAACGAGCCGAGCGTGGTGCGCAATTACGGCAACCTGCTGACCGAATTCGCAAAAATCACGCCGGACGGCCTGGTCGTCTTCTTCCCTTCCTACCTGTACATGGAGTCTATCATCAGCATGTGGCAAGGCATGGGAATCCTCAACGAGGTTTGGAAGTACAAACTCATTCTTGTTGAGACGCCTGATGCTCAGGAGACCTCTCTGGCTCTCGAGACCTACCGGACCGCATGCTGCAATGGCCGTGGTGCCGTTCTGTTGTGCGTCGCCCGAGGCAAAGTGTCCGAAGGAATAGATTTTGACCACCAGTATGGACGCACTGTGCTGTGCATCGGTGTCCCGTTCCAGTACACAGAATCGCGCATTCTCAAGGCCCGTCTCGAATTCCTGAGAGAGACGTACCGCATACGCGAGAATGATTTCCTTTCCTTCGACGCCATGCGTCACGCTGCGCAGTGCCTGGGGCGAGTGCTTAGAGGTAAAGATGATTATGGTATCATGGTGTTGGCAGATAGACGATTCCAGAAGAAGCGCACGCAGCTTCCCAAATGGATCAACCAGGCACTGCTAGATGCTGATAGCAATCTAAGCACAGACATGGCAGTCAGCAGCGCAAGACGGTTTTTGAGGGGCATGGCCCAACCCTTCAGGGCAAAAGACCAGGAGGGCATCAGCACGTGGAGCCTCGCCGATCTAAAAAAGCACCAGGAGGACTTGGACGAGCAACGCATACAGGAGCTTCAGGACGCGCAGGCCAACGGGAATAGCGCGCTGCCTTACGAGATACATGCGGGGGGTGATTCCGACAACTACATGGACGACGATATGGATGATGGTATGATGGAGCTTGACAACGACACGTAAGCGGGTCCTTTGGCAATAGCTTTGGGGGACGGCTGGGGCGATTGCGGCCCGTCTTGGTCTCTATCGATGCCTGCTCTGCAAGACATTCTCTCTGCTTGCATATCTGGATGACATTACTGTGGTTTATTCCCGATACACATGCAACGAGCCGAAATCTAATTTAACTATTATGAGATGATGTCGTCTTCCATCCTTAAATGCGGTCTTTACCCCTCCCCTTCTCTATATGTGCTGTCTTTCTATTATGATTGCGCCGTGCCATGCAATGGCGGTAATTGTGACTTGCTTTATTTCCCGGCCCGATCCCTCCTCGTCAACTTGACGGCCCTCAACGCCGGCAACGTATTTGCTCTTCCGGGCTCCCGGCCGATCTCCATGCACAGTAAACGAACCAGGTCGTTGTTAGCCCAATAGCTCGTGTGCGCACTAAGCATGTTGAGATACTGGAGCTCCAGGGGCCCAGTCCCGGAGCGCAGGTAGTAATCGACTTGGCCGTTGTCATTCAGCAAGAATGCCTTCCTCTCTGCGATTTCCTCACGTGTGAAGTCGTGCACCTCCAACTCTAGCTGAGAAGGCAGCCGATATGTTGGAGGCTTCACAAGTGCCGGCGGCAGCTCGGACGTCGGGGGTGAGCCTACAGGGATGAGCCCGCGGATAGACGAGAACCAGGACGTTGCCGCACTCGGTATATGGGCGAGCCTCAGGCTTTCGGCGTACATCGGATCGATTGTACCGTTTAGAAGGTAAGCTATAGGATCTTCTTTGGCCAAGACGTTGTAGATGTTGTCAACTGCGAGACAGCCAAACACACCCTCCTCGCGGACCACATCTTTCGCAACCGTATCCTGCGAGGCCCAAGGTTAGCCACATGCCGTTCAAGCGTGACAGGGGAGGAAGGGCATGATTTCGCGAAAAGAATGCTGGGCGTAGGCCACGGATATAACCTGAGCATAAAATTCAGGTGTACCTCCGGGCTTCTCAAATTGAAAGGAGAGGGGCGCCGGTCAATTCAAATGAATTCGAAAGCTTTCAAGGAGGACAACACCGACGGACTTACGGCCGCTTCTGCCCCTGGCTTTTCCCGCCCTTTACGAGGTGTGAGACTACCACGCTCGAGAAGAAGGAAAAACCCAGCTGGGCTGCCCAGAAGGAACAGATTGGTTGTGTCGAACTCAAAAAACTGTGACTCAGGCACTGGTTTGTGAAGGTCCAACGGCGGTGGAATGTTCGGCTGTCGAGATAGTACGTCAAGCGCCTGAACCGCCCTCAATTAGCATTTCTCTTACAAGCACTGTGCAGCAAAAACAAGTAGAGAAAGTTAAGGATTACCATAACGCTGCCAAGGGAGTGGGCGATAAGGTGTACCCTTCCATTTCGGCTGAAGTCTGGATTGTTACGGCACCACAGGCGGTAAACACGATTTGCTTCGGTGACAAGTGCGGATATCATCTTGGGCTTGTGATGGGACATGTAGAATGGAATGTCGAACATCACATCGCTGATCAGGCTCCTCACGGCTGGAATTGTGTTCGGCTCAATGTCTTTCAGACCAAAGTTGTCAGAAGCCGAGCTGGCCTTGTCCGCGTCAGTCATGGGACCTCCGTCCTCGAATGAAAGATGATGCCTCCAGTTTACTGGAAGGACCATGATGCCGTTTTGCCCTTCGCGCAGAACTGATTTGACTGCGGGGTTCCGAAGCTCGATATTCATCGATCGGCGGAATGCCGTGATGGCATGAGTAAAGTGGAAGCTTTCCACACGCTCGGCAAATTTCTGGCCAATACCGTGGGCTATGAGAACAAGATCTGTGACTTGACCACGGTCTTCTTCTGTCTGGCAGCCAGGACATTTGCCTGGCTCTGCGGCCTCGGTGTTGACGGACTTTTGAGATCCGGTCTTGCGGCCTTGCTTCTTCTCGTGCAGCTCATTCCAGCTGTCTCGATCGAAGCCTCTAACGACGGGGATCCCGACAGTCAAGCCCCTCATGATCTTTTGGAGAGGCCGCCTCCCGTAGTAGGCAGATGGTTTGAGGCTTGGCTTCAACAGGAAGGCCGACCTCTCATTCCTGTAGAGAACATGATGAGACGGGTAATTTCTTTCCTGCGCCGGGCCCTTGGAAGACTCGTTCTGTCCAACAGGCTCAAGAGTACCTTCGGCAGCCGCCTCGCCCCGGAAGCACCGGGCGGCACAGAACGGGTCGGATGCGATGGATGCCGCGTGAGCTTCCTTCTTCGCATCAGCGGGAGAGGTGAATGCAGGCCACAGCGGAAAAGACACCTTCTCCTCGCCCAAAGGACCGACCTCAACGGCGCAACGAAGTTCCTCTTGCCATTCCTGGCTAAATGCTCGCAGCTCTCGGTAGCCCGCTTCCAGCTGATTTGCAACGCTGGGATCCACAGGGATCATTGTGTCGCTGGAAGACCATGCAACAGTTAGCGGGGGCAATAGTACCAAAGCAGCATCAAATCAAATAGTCCGAAAGAAGCAGCAACTGCGCTAGATCCTCCACAGGCATGAACGCTGTCCAACATTAACAAACAGCAACGTACCGGTAGAACCATGTGGCCCTGGAAACAATGGCAATATCGTTGACGGGGGACCAATATATGGGCTTCATCTGTAGTACGGGCAGAGAGACCTCATGCAGCCTCGACAGACCCACGGGAACTTCAGCGACGTGGGGCTCAAAGTCGGGAACGCCCTTTCCATCCGGAGGAGCCAGCATATCCCCTGCGGCGTGAAGAGGTTGCTCGCTTGCGGCATTGTCATTAGGGAGACCAGGACGAGGTTCAGTGAGAGGACCAGGTTCCAAGGTAGTTCCGCTGTCGGGGTCTCCCACCCTGAGGAAAGGCTTCCCAGAAATGCCGTCGGTCACCGTGGGAGGAGCGGGACGCAGCCTGACGGCGGGCTTCTCGAGCTGAGGGGGGGTGCCGAAAGCGGCTCGTTTGGCGGCACTCCCAATGGATGCTGAGCGGCTGGCGACCGGGTTGGAGGCGAGGGAAGAAGCGCGGCCCCTTGCAGAGGTAGACAAGGCAGGCGAGACGAATGTGTCGGTCCTCGGAGAGGATGTCAGCTGAGTGGAGGCTGGAATGGGCATAGCGGTGGTGACAGCAGGGCTGGGCCGACCTTCCTCCATCACGGCCATGACCTTGGCAACAACATGCTTCTGGCTCAGCGATGGCTGCCTCTCCCTCGACACCTCGCAGAAGACCTCGCGGAGACTATTTGAGGCATCGATGAGGAGCTCTTGACAGCACACGCTCATATCTGTACTTGCTAGGGACTCGAGAGGAGGTTCAAGAGGAGCGGCGCGATTGTCGTGAGAGTGCTTCTCCTTGTGGGTACGGATGAGGTGGTCAACGATGGCATCCAGCTTCCGAGTGTTCTTGGCAGCCAGGGCTGGACCTGGGGGCTGGTTGTTGAGAGAGGCATCGTGGTTGTTCCTGTGGTCGTCGTCGGCGAGACTCAGCCAAGCGGCCTCCAAAGCATTGTTGTCAGCGTGGGAGAAGGGCCTTAGGACGCCCTTGGCCGGTCTTCCGTCGGCGGTGCTTGTGACAGTGGCGGTGGAGAGGGGGTCGTCGATGGGCACGAGGCTGTGGTAGAAGAATTGGGCGTTTATAGGAGGGATGCCGGCCAGGAGTGGAGTCTGTGGGCTGGGCTCAGTGACGGGGGCAAGGCGACAGTTGGGGCCGTAGGTGTGGTGTTGTGGACGGGCAGGTTCCATGACGAGGGCGAGGCGGCTGTAAAGCTTGAAGCTGGTCTGTCTGCCGGGCTGTATATGCACAGAGTGTCAGCCTGGACGAGGAATTCGGATTCCGCGGTGCAGATTTACAGGAGAAGAGAAGAGATGGATTACACATCATCCACTGTTCCGTGACCCGTGGTGCCTTTTGTCCTTGTGGCGGGTGCCAGAGGCTACAGCAACGGCGCTGAGAGCTTTCTCGGTTTTACTTGTACCGCAACGACATGATGCAGGGACGAGGGATGCCGGACGGCTGACAGTGGGCGTGGGCGTGGGCGTGGGTGGATTGTGTCGGACACGGTTATCGTGTTGTGTGGTGTTGTGTGGTGCCGTGGTGCCGTCGCCGGCCGCGTCGCGCCACGTCACGACCCGCCCGCTTGTCGCCTCTGAATGCCTGCTAGTGGTCACGTAGGAGGCAACTGCCGGCAACAGTATCGAGAGGTCCAGTCGTGCTCAGGGATGCCTAGGTAGTAGAGGGTGCCGTCGTGGGGTTCCCTGGGACGAGAATACTGAGGTTGAGGTTGGTCTGCTAATTACTACAGCAGCAGCAGCAGGAGGAGCAGGAGGAGGAGCAGGAGCAGGACGGGCAATGACGTCGGCTGGAGCCGCGCCGGCCCCACGTCGAGAAGCTAAGCTAAGCTCAGCTCAGCTCAGCTCAGCCCAGCCCAGCCCAGCCCAGCCGTGCCTTGGTGCTGTGCGTTGGTGGTGCTGCGCTGTGCTCGAGTGGGCCGGATGACACGTGAGAAAGAATGCCCAAGCGTGCTCGTGCCTGCATACCGCACGCAGTATGAAGCATCTCTTTAGTCACCATTTACCATGCCATCATTAGATCCAGTACTGTGGGTAGTATAGCGTACAAGTGTTTATCGACCAAGACTAACTAGGTGACTACCTACCTAGTTACCCAGCGTGCCCAGGTAGGTATCGACCCTGAGTATGGTTGTTCATTCCCCGTCGTCCCGTCCCGTCTCGAGCTCGAGTGGGCCAGTATGCGGCCTGGCAGTCTGGCAGTCTGGCAGTCTAGGGGCTGGACTGTTGAGCCAAAGGAAAGGAAAGTAAACTAAACCAAACCACACTAGATGTGTTTTGTGTTGATTCTGTGGGTGTTAGTGCAGAGTCAGACAGACACTCTGACACTCAAGTCGCCTTGTGGGGAATGCAGGTGAACCCTTGAAGCGCACAGGTCACCGTTTATTTGCCGGGGTCTCCCATCCTGAGCCGCCCCTCACCCCCCCACCCGTTATCTCCAGGCCCATTGGGACCCGTTTTCCCCAGATTCCCAGATTGATTGACTGATTGATCGAACGGTGGAATTCAAGACTAAGACTGCCATGGGCTGCCAGGCTGCTGGTAGAGGGGGATGCAGACTGCAGGTGCATTGACTGGACTGACGAACCCATCCTGACTGATTGTATCGTCTCGTATCATCTCTCCTCTTCTCGTCTCATCTTGTCTTGTCCTATTTCTCTCTCGACGTCCGTGGATCGCCTTATCATGAGCCAGCCAGGCCACTGGAATGCCTCGCCCCTCCCGTGCCACCCTGCCTTCCCATTGGCAGCCTCAAGGGTCCAGCGACCAGCCATGCATGCCCAGGCCACCCAGGCCACCCAGGTGCATGCATAATCAGCATCTTGGGGCCGTCCCCTCAGGCCCTAGACCCTTTTCTGCCAGCCGACTGTTACACTAGTGGCCTGGCACCGTGGGTACCGTCGCCAACGTGCTCTGGTCTACGCAGGCCCGGGACGAATACTACCAGCCCAAGGGAAGGAGGGGAGGGGAGGGGGGGAGAGGAAGAGGGAGCATCGACACATCAGTCAACAGACCTTACGTTCCCTCGGTCAGTCAGTCAGTCAATCAGTCGATCAGTGTAATAATCCATCCCGTCTATCCAAACATCAATCAATTCAATTCAATTATCCAATCAATCAATCAATCAATCAATCAATCTGTCAAGCTGTCCAGCAATCAACCAAGTCTGTTGGTGGTTAGCCGCCAAGGTCTGGTCCTGTCTGCTCTGATCTGGTCTGGTCTGATCTGGTCTGCACCTGCACTGCATTGTCCTCCCCCTCTCCCTGCCCAGCCCGCATGCCTTCTACCCTCCTGAAACTTCAACATACTCTAGTATAGTCTGCTCCTCCTGCCTACTCCGCATCTTTGCCTTGTCCCGCCCTGCCCCGTCCGTCCTGCCCTGCCCTGCCCTGCCCTGCGTCCGCGTTCTGATCCTGATCTTCGCTCCTCACTCCTGACTTGCATCTTGCATCTCATATCTCGCATCTCGCTCCTCGCCCCTCGCTGCTGAGTCCTCGCTCCACGTGCCGTGCAACAGCCTCCACTGCTTCGACGCTGTCTGGTCACAATTCCTGCCCCCGCCCATCGGCCTGTGCCCGATGAATATCATGACTACCTAGTCTAGGTAGCCCTTCCAGCTTCCTGGCCCGTGTCGCACCCACCCGCCTTCGATCTAGACCTGGCCTTTCGTCCTGGCCCCGCTCAGCAGCAGTAGCAGCAGCAGCAGCAGCAGCAGCAGCAGCCTTCGTCCTCGTCCTCGCCGTCCTCGCCCTTGGCTGCCTGATCTCGCGCCTGTTGGAAGGCGAACTCCCAAGACCACTCTCAACGTCCACCACGTCGCTCTCCTCAGACCCTCGCCAGGCTCGTGGACGACACTGGGTGCCTCTGTCCTGTGCTGTCCTGTGCTGCCCTGTGCTGCCTCCTGGAGTGATAGAAGAAGAGGAGGATGGCCACCATTGCCCTCCCTCGACCCCTGCCGCCCCACCGCTCGTCTTCATCCACCATCGCCTCGCTGGCATCGCCATTGACCATCGACACTCTCAACCCACAGCCCGAGCAATGCCCGCCCGCCGTCCCTAACAAGCACATACCTGTGTGCCCGCCCGGCCCCGTGCCCCGCCAGGAACCCAGCACCCCACCCCCCTCCCCGGGCAAGCACGATGACTGTGCCCAGTCCCTCCTCCACCCCCCGACCCACTTCGTCCGCCTTGAGTCAGGCCCTCTTACCCTGTATGAGCTGTCCGTCGCCGACGTTGCCCTGGCCCTCGACTACGCCTCCCGCCAGCCCCTGCCCGAGCCTTCGCAGGTCTTCCCCTGGTTCCACGGCCTGCACCCCCTCAACCACCTGCAGCAGTCCTTCTTCACTGCTCGGAGCCGGTCCCTGAGGAGGACTCCTTTCTGCCTGCGAGGTATCACTGTCGTCAAGGCCGATGGCGACCTGGCTGTCTCGCGCCTCAAGGGCGCCATATCTCCCCACGAGTTCCTGCACTGCTCGTCCTCCTCGCCCGAGTTCCACGATGTGGACCCCAAGGAGGGCTTCTCCGTGAGGAACTTCCAGATCCAGGCCGCCAAATCTGCCATGACCTCGGACATCATCGTCTACGGCGACGACCCCTTGGCCACCAGGAAGATGGCATGCGACATTGCTGCAGCCCAGCTCAGGTGGCGCGAGAGGCACGAGGCCCAGGGCCACCCCATCCCTGCCTATAACACTTTTGTCTGCGTGAGCCCCTTCGAAGACTTCGAGGAAAATCACCCGGAGCTGGTGGCAGTCGACTCGGCTGGTCTTCTGACGGGAAACGTCATCGACTTCGTCCATCAGGAGCGCAAGGAGATGTTTGCCATGACCAAGCCCACCGCCATCTCCCACAATGTCTGGATGGGCCCCACCCTCGATCGGGGCTCCGATGAGGACAAGTCGTTTGACATACAGATTGAGTGCAGTGACATGGGCCGCCTTCACCCGGCCGCCCTCCAGGCCATTGCCGAGGGCTCTGCCGCCGGGGCGGGACAGCATTGCCTCGACTTCCCTTCCTCGGGCAGCATCCTGCCATCTTCGTGGTCCCATGCCGAAGCTGATGGCATCATCGAGACGTGCAAGTGGATTTATCACCTGGCCCACGGAACCTACCCAGCGACAGCTGGAAACGACGAGGACCAAGACACCGACATGGTCGGAGAAGCGCCGCCATCCCCATACCAGGTGCCTCCGCAGAAGGTCCTGATTCACTGCGGGGACGGGTACACTGAGTCCACCATGCTCGGCATCGCTTACTACAGCTACAGCACCGGGCGTCCTGTCCCGGATGCGTGGCTGAATCTGCACACCACACTCGGACGCAACTTTTTCGCTTATCCCGCTGACGTCTCCCTGCTCACGGCTATCGCTCCCCGCCTATTATCTCAGTCGCCTGCTCTCACCGACAGAACCCCGGCTGAAATACAATCCCTAGCTGCAGAAGAGCCCGAATGGCTACCCGGAATCGACGGCTCATTCCCGAGTCGTGTGCTGGACTACATGTACCTGGGCAATCTTGGTCACGCCAACAATCCCGATCTGCTGAAGGCCTTGGGGATCAAACAGATCCTCAGCGTTGGGGAAACGACCATGTGGCGGGACGGCGAGTTGGAGAAGTGGGGAGCCGAGAACGTCTGTCTAGTTCAGGGCGTCCAGGACAATGGAATAGACCCCCTGACAGAGGAGTTTGAAAGATGCCTCGAGTTCATCGGTAAGAAGCTTATGGTTCCCATGACGCGAGCCGCAAGGGCCAGCTGACAGGAGCATTACTACAGACCAAGGCCGAAGAAATGGAACAGCAACACTTGTACATTGCAGAGTCGGGGTTTCTCGCAGCGCAACCATCTGTATCGCCGAGGTGATGCGAGCAATGGATCTCTCGTTTCCTCGGGCGTACTGCTTTGTTCGGGCGCGACGGCTGAATGTCATCATCCAGCCGCATCTGAGGTTCGCCTACGAGCTGCTTAAGTGGGAGGAGACACTACAACGGAGGAAAAACACGAGCAAAGAAGCCCCCGCACGCTTGAGCATCAAGCGGGAGCTAGAATGGGCGGAGATTGCGAGGGAAATCGCTTTAATGAACAGGCCGTACGCTAGATGAGGCAAGGTTCTGAGCAACATAGCATGACAGCAACCAGATTTTGGACACGATTTTGACGATTTACGAAGGAAACTGGGAGAGAATTTCACTATATTCGCTTTGAAAGCACACAGACGGCTCGGGATCATGGTTTCTTTTTATTCCTCCGGTATTCCTCACCTTTACCCTCATTCTCTCTTTTGACCTCTCTCTCTCTCTGTGTGTGTGTGTGTGTCTGTCTTTGTCTCTGTGGATTGTGGCAAGGTCGGCCGCACTCATACTTGCGTCCACGGGAAGGTCCGGCGGGCGCGGCGCGATGTGGGCGAATGAAGCGGCTGGACTCTGTCCATGTGTGCTATGAAAGCCATCGTTAAGGGATGTCCGGACGGCAATGACCAAAAACAATATCAACACTGGCTTTTTCGGCGGATCTTGGATGGCATTGGAATACATGGGCGCCGGTGTATATCATAGTATCATCTCGTTCACAATGTTGGACGATCTTTCTAGCGTCTGAACTGCGGTCACTGAGGGTGATTCACATTGAAGATTTACTATGCGCCATCCTTCGTAACCGACACTGCATTACGCAACCACACGCCCGGTTATCAATCTCTTATTTGGTGACTGACTGCCGTACACGCTGGACTGATGGGTTAGTGTAGTGCACCGGACGATACAATAATGATCAGATTATTCCTTGCCGCAACCACCGCCAAGTGCGCTGGTAATGTATAGAGCGTCGCAGATTGGTGAGGGAGTATCTTGAAAACAATGACCTTGAGAAACGCCTTTGTCCCACCGCCATGCCTACGACGCCGGCCCCAGAAAGTTCGAAGGGAGCCCTTGCTGGATGCCATGTAAAAACAGGTCGAAAATCGTGTCGAATGCATCAGGCAGATGCTGCCGCGTCATTAGAAATCGCTGCGCAAAGTTTCACGGGTTGAAGGACGCATCCAACTTGTCGTCCCCCTCGAGTACCCTACACCAAGGCCAAAAATGTCAGCGCTGTAACAACTGATCTCTCAGCACGTGTGAGAGAAACCCTTCACACTGTGTTTACACCACATGGCATGCTGCCAGGTAGGACGAGGCGGGGAGGGCGGGAATTGGCAACATACGAGAATTGGCGCACAAGGTATCCCTCGCCGCCGTGTTCCATGTCGATATTGAAAACATAGAACCCGCCATCACTAGTTACGACCATAACCTGTGGACTGCTGCTGCTCATTGCCACAACACTCCGCAAGGGCCCGTTGGGGAACATGAGACCTGCAGGCCCGGTGTTTGCTGGCGCCTTATTGGGAGATGTGGCCGAAGATACCTTGGGCAACTTGATATAGGCAAAATCTCGCAGAGGTTCCCACATCTCTGTCACGGTTTGCGGGAGATATGATCCAACGACGCCAGCTACACTACGGCCCATCAGCTGTGACGACCGCCGCAGCATGCTGCTAAATGAGCCGCTTTGCCGCCGATTAGCTGGGTTGCTAGTACTGCTTGATCCGTTGTTGGCAGGGGATCCGGCGAGTTCTGCAGCTTCGCTGCGCGGCGACCCTGTTGTACTTCCAGGCGAGTCGTTCCCACTGTCGTAGCTGCGAGACCGCGACCGAGACCACCGATCTGCACGAGGCGACGGCGTCTGTTCAGCTGCTCCAGCAGCGATCCCAGGTCCGGTTGCACCGGCAGCGCCCTGCGGGCCTGGACTGGATAGCCTGAAAATGTGAACAGTGTCAGATGTCGAAGACACACAGAGCAAGGTAGAGCTCAGGTTGAACGACATGCTGTAGATTGTGGACGGGTAGGTGCCACGGCGGAACTGGTATAGCTTCTGGCCCCGAGGTATCGAGAAAACACGGATGATCGTGCCTGTCTCGGATGCGGTCGCCAACAAAGTACCATCGCTGTTGAGAGCAATGCAAGAAAGGGGCGAGCGGTGAGCCTCGATGACGTTTACGGCCTTCAACGTTATCGTGTCAAAAATCAAAACCTCGCCCGAGGTGGGAGGCACATAGGTGGATAGAGGAGGGGCGTGTGCCGGGCGCCTTTCACTCGTGTCTTCCCTAGGCTTCGGTAGTGGGTAGGCGATGTAGCAGTTTTCAGACGAGGGTGAGAGCGCGCATATGGCGGTCGGGTTCGGAGAGGTTGTGATGACATAGAGCAAGGTCATGTTGGCGATGTCGTACAAATATATCTCCTCCTCGAGAATGACGGCCAGTCGGCGGCGGTTCAGGCGGACGGCAAGGACGGCAGAACGGAAAGTAAGCTCGCATATCACGGAAGCCCTCTAGGGGATGATCAGCCAGACTTGTCGCATGGAGACGAGGAAAGGACCCAAGCACCTTGGTGTTTTGGATGATGAGATGTCGGGGAGACAAGACCAGAGCGACCAGGGAGGTGGAGAAGAGCATCTCGATGATGGAGACATTGCCGTCGTCGCTACTGAAGATCTTGGAGAAGGGGTCGGTATGGTAGATTCGGAAGCCTTTCGAGGTGCCTGCGTCGAGGAGAGTCAGCTATGAGTTGGTCGCCATGCCTTGGGCTTGCGGGTCGAAGCCAGACAGCAGGGCAGCACATGAACGCAACAGGCAACCGGCAAGGGGGCACTGACCGACAGCCAGGCAGCTGTGATCCTGGTTGAAGGTGATGAAGTTGAGGTTTGCGGTGGACATTTTTGCATTGGATTGCGAGAGGCGAAAGACTGTATTGAGTCGAGGCGAAGTAAGGATGGGGACCGTTCAGGACCGAGACCAGGACCAGGATCGAGACCACGACATGCCGGCCCCAGAGCTGGTGGGTCGGCGCAGGTGAAGCGGGAGGTGGTTTCTGAGCTTCCGAAGGAGACAGCGGTGTTGGAGATTCAGGGAGGACCTCGGTGAGCGTGTGAAAGAGAGGCAGAGTCTCAAGAGTCGCAACGGCAGGAGGAGGGCTTCCTGTTGTTGAGGAAGAAGAGCTTGGCCGAGGTCGACGGGGGCCTGGTTTAGCAACGATAAGCAGCTGGCTCAACTCGGTAAGGAAATGATGGGGGTTTTGTTGCGATGAGCCTTAGCCTGCGAGAGAGAAAAAAGGAGCCCAAAGGAAGAGGCCAAGTAGGCGAGGAGGTGTGGAGGAGGGGAGGTGAGGTAGTGAGGAGCTGCCGCGGTCGACGGTCACGACGACGGTGAGAGACGGGAGCCCAGGCGCACCTGACCCTTGCACCCTGACCTGAGCTGTAAGTACCTCTAGGTGTGGTGTCCGCAGCTCTGTGGCATTTCCAATGTACTGCGGTACCTCGAGAGAGGTACCCTTGGAAGGGGTAGCTCCAGAAGCTTGGGCCAAGCGGGGCTCAGGCAATGAGAAGGTACCGCGTACCGGCGCCGTTCGAAAAGTACATCCATGCCGTCTGCAGGTCTGTATATCTGGGGAGGTTCAAAGAGCAACACCCAGTGCACGAGTTTGTTCTATGGGAGCGGAGTCCATGCAGCAAGACATAGGTAGTCTTTAAGTAAAAATGTAATTTATGGGTGGTGGCCATCCAGGAAGTGTCCCAAGTTACCCTGGGTACCTCAATTTCTCGTTATCCGGATGCCCAAGTGCCTGGCCTACCAGCACTGCTTGTATTTTTTTTTTCTTCTCCCGAACTACCCACCCGCCTTCTCAGTCCAGAGTCACAAATATTCTGATGGGCTACACATGTAACCAGCAGTATCTTTTTCATCTACTTTCCACTCGTCGCCATGGGTGTCCGCATAGACAAGGGCCGCTCATCGGCAACTAGTCTGCTTCTTCCGAAGGCGACTGCTCAGGATGACCTCGTGATGGGTGTCAGTTACCTATCCCCTGCACCCTGCCTTCTTGCTTGGCCACTACCTTGGTCCCTACCTCTGTCTCGCGCCTCGCGATCCTATGGGTGTCCGCATGGCTGACTGCGCTGTTCACTCCAGACCAACAATAGCAGCATCGTCTCAAAACGAAGTGTCGAGCGTCTCTACTATCCAGACGAGCCACACTTTTTCCGCTTCTTCGTCAAGAAATTCCAGCGCAGAGCCCCGCTCATCAACAGGGGCTACCATCTGAGGCTTCACGTCATTGACGTGACCTTGCGTAACTTTCTCAAACAGCCTTCTGAAAAGACAAAGGTCATTGTGAATCTAGGGTGTGGGAGGTGCGTGCTTTCCCTTCTGCCGTCTGGCTCCATCCGTCACCTCACAGTCGAAATTGCACACTGGGATATGCCGTCGACTGCCTGTCGGGCCTCTGCGATATATACAGAGCCCTGAGCCCATGTCAGATGCTCTGAGGCCAGCTGCTCGGGCTTGATCATGCCCGACCGAGCAGGGGCGTGCGGCTGGTAGGCGATGGATGGTGCTGGTCATCACTTCCTCGCCTTCCTCCTTCTCCCGAACACTAATGGTAGCCTTAGTGATGTTGTTCCGTGGCAGTGCTGGACTCGCTATCCGGAGCACTGCAGTCAATCTCAGGCCGTCTTTGTCGATGTAGACTTTCCCGACCTGGCCCTGAGGAAGCGTCAGGTCATCCTTGCGACCCCGGAGCTTGAGTCACGGCTGTCAGGGGTTCAGGCTGAGCAAGATGAGGCTCACCCAAACATGTTGCTGCGGAGTGACCGGTATCACCTTGTAGGCTGCGACCTCCGCCAAAGCATGGCGCTGCAGCAAGTCTTGAACCTGATCGTCGACCCCAAGGAGTGCATCTTCCTTTTCCTTGCTGAGGTCTCCATCACCTATATGGAAACAGACTCTGCCGACTCTCTGATACAGTGGGCGAGCAGCCTCGGTCAAGGTAAGACTGCCAAATCACTAGTGTTCGCGGCTTGTTCGTGCTCCTGCTGATCATTGTCCAGCTGAATTCTGCCTCCTTGAGCAGATCTTTCCCGATGGGCCTGGCCATCCTTTTGCTCGTACAATGATGGATCGTAAGTGCTACCGCATCATTGAGCCTGGCCTCCAAGTTTCTGCCTCATGGGCTTTTTTGTCGCGGCAAAGGAGACTTCAGCGAGTAAAGCCTCCTGGTCCCACGGCATCAAGCAATGCCCCCACCCCCCACCCCCAACTTTCTTTTCTTCCTCCTCAGCTTAAAAAAACGAGTTTGATTAATTTGACGTGGATTAGATTTCAACAAACTCTCAACGCCCATAAAGTCAGTGACTACCTATCCAGATTTACGGACCCAATGCTCGCGGTTTGAGGACAGAGGCTGGTCAAGCGTCCGGGCTCAATCTTTATGGTCGGCTTGGAATGATAATTATTTCCTGTCTATGGACGACCGGCAGAAGCTCGATGAAATTGAGCCGTTTGACGAGTGGGAAGAGTTTTGCCTTTTCGCCAGCCACTATCTCATTTTGCACGCCGCAAATTACGGCAAAAAGGGCACGAGCTCCTGTCTACCCGACACCTCTTCTGACATTCCGAGTGCCGAATCTTCTACCACCTACAAGCCGCTCACCGGCCAGCAAGGCCTTCGTCGATTTGGCGCAGCCATGCTGGCGAGCGATGCTTTTGGAAGAGCATCCATCTTGAACTTCATGGGGCTTGGCCATACCACCCGTGTTCCCTCGTATGACATCTACAAGCTTCATGGCTCCGGCGGCGACATCAAAGTGAATCCCGAAGGGCCTCCCAGTCGTATGTGCCACTCACTAACGAATCTTGGTATACACGGCACTCTTCTTGTTGGAGGGCGCAACTCCCCTTCTCGGGCCAAGAATGATTGCTGGCTGTTCAAGAAGGATTCGCATCATTGGGAGCGCATTCAAGACCTGCCAATCCCACTCTATCGTCATGCTGTATGCAGCCTCTCGGGCTCTTCCGTTGTCCTGCTGATTGGAGGGAAGTCAGAGGCGACAGGTGTCTCCAGTGCGGTCATGGTATTTAACCCGGATAAGGGTTGGCAGGAGTGCGAAGTTCATGGCTCACTTATCCCCACATCGGTCTTCGGCGCCATGCTCACCTGCTCTGGACGTGAGCAAGAGAACATCCTGATATTCCATGGCTTTCTCATTGGCGGGATTTCGGATGGTATCATCCAAAATCAGATCTTGGCCTGGGATCTACTTCTCCATGATCACAAGGTAGGTTGGACATGCCACAGCAGCATAGTGATGTATCTGACACAGACAGGCCCCATCAATCACCTTCACGCTGGCTGAGACAGACGATACCTCGTCCGCACTCCTAGCTCGCTTCGGTGCCACTTGCATCCAACAAGAGGACTCTTTGATTGTTTTGGGTGGCGTTGGCCATATGGGGGTAATCCCTCAGAGGCAGGAAATACTAATGTGCACTACGACAGGCTCGAAGATACATGTTTCGACGGCTGTTCCCTTATCAGATGCTGAAAACGGCCAGGTGATCCCGAGGCCGCTAATCGTGGGATCATCTGTCGTGTGCCCCCGGAATGGGCAGATCGTTATCCTTGGCGGTGGTGCGACGTGTTTCTCGATGGGATCGTTCTGTACGTGAAACTATTTCCTCGTTTCATTGACCGCGTTCTGGCGCGGGAACCGTCGTCACTCAGGCTTGCCCATCCGGAGTTGCCAAAAGACGCATCTCCCGGCTGAGCCGTTTAGTTCTGCTTCATTATAACTCCCAATGACTTGTACTGATATGATGTTTTATTAAAAGGGACCAGAGGCTCCTATACCCTGTCAATCGGTACTCTAAGCCATGGCATACGATCGCGGCCCCGGCCGCCGCCTACAGGCTGGGAATTCTCGGGCTATGGCGAATTTGCATCGCCGCCATCAAACCCACCAGGTAGTGAATTGGACAAGCCAGCTGAAGTCAGGCCCATCCCACGTGTCAACGCCGCCTCAAGGGAATCTTTTGAGGACATTGTTCGCCAAGGGACACCTGTCGTGATAGAAGGATTGGACCTTGGCGCTTGCCGTAGCAAGTGGACACTAGACTATCTTGCGAAACAGGTGGGATCGCGCAAGGTGAGTGGAGTACTCGAGGTCGCGACAGCCTGACACTACTGACGCGAAAACGGCATGCGTCCAGGTTGTGGTACACGAGTGCGACGTTCAAACCATGGACTTTAAGGCAAAAAACTTCCGCTATACCTCGATGACGTTTGGTGAATTTGCCAGAGGGATTCAAAACGGCGCACGCCTCTACTTGAGAGCTTTATCAGCCGACGCCCCTTCCGACAGACCCGCAAACCTGGCCCACGACTTCCCTTCGCTGGCTGCTGATTTTAGGCTTCCCGAGGCACTGAGCATGTGCTCAGATAATTTGCACAGTTCAATATTACGGGTCTCAGGCCAGGTGAGCCCCCCCCCCCCGACACTTCTCCACATGTCCCAGAACATCTCCCTGCCCCATCGACACTCTCATCCTCTGAATTTGCTATTGCACCTCCTGTAAATGGCATAAATGGTCCACTATCTTTGTATGGTCCTCACGAGCTAGACCTGATTGCTAACCCCACGCGTTGGATAGCTGGATATGTGGCTACATTATGATGTCCAGGCAAATGTCTACTGCCAAATCAGCGGCTCGAAGAGGATGCTTCTCTTCCCGCCCTCAGACGTAGTTGGCATGTCCTTTGCGCCAGGTTCTTCAAGTTCCAGCGTCGATGTGTTTAGCTGCCTCAACTCCCCGACTCTTCGCGGCACTCATCCGTGGGAGGCAAACCTTAACGAGGGCGATGTCCTGTTTCTGCCGCCACTCTGGCTGCATACAGCCACACCTACTAGCAACGTCAGCATCGCGGTGAATGTCTTCTTTCGCAATCTCGACCGTGGCTACTCCATTGGGCGAGACGTGTATGGAAACAGAGACCTCGCGGCTTACGAGAAGGGTCGCCAGGAGATTGCTCGCATTTCGAAGTCGTTCGATACTGTTCCCGTGGATGCCAGGCAGTTTTACATGCTCAGACTTGCCGAAGAGCTCGCTGAAGCGGCCCGAAGTGACAAGTAGGGCCCGTCACGAGGCTGCAACGTAGACCAGAGGCGACGCCTTGGCGGTACACGGCATCGTGTCAGACCCAACCTCGCCTCGCAAGTGTCGAGTATCCGCTTGTGTGCAGCGAATGACCGGCATTGATTCAGTGCTTGTCCAGGCTGCAGACCCGGAGGATAACATCACATGAGATAATGCCATAGACACGGCCGAGTCCACGACGCTGGGGACTGGCTAACACAATAGCTACAGGACAGTGGCACCAGCAGGATGACAATGGCAAGATGAGGGCAGAGGGCGCCAGAAGGCTGCTGTCCGAGGGACCCTGCAAACAGGCATGGCACAGGAGACAAAGTCGAGCCGCAAGGGTTTGATAGAGGACTCAGCGTAAGGCAACAAGTAAGGACGACGATGCCAAGCATGACGCTGGATCAGGGAAGAAAGGCCGACCGGGCGGTTGATTGGTTCACTCAAGAAACGTCATCGTAGAACATGTTTGCCAGAGGAGGCAATTCGCCTAGAGTGCTGCAGGTGACCAACGTGCAGCGGTGGTAGGAATCCCTGGTTCGCATGGCACGCCTGCTGCGATGCTACCCTATCTGCTTGTAGTCTATCTGTCTATTTGCAAGGTAGTCTACATTGCAGTGTTTGCCCAGGTGCAGTGCGACTAGGTAGGACGGGGGGCCCTTGGCCACTCACACCCACATTCACACTCAGGCTCACGCTCACGTTCACACCAGGCTCGCGCTCACTCTCTCTCTGTGTGCCGGCAAGCATGAGCATGCAGCTGACAGCCTCACAGCCTGCTAGTCTAGTCACCAAGTGACCACATCCATCCATCTCATCTCGAGGCTCTCTCTGTCTGTCTCTGTCTCTGTCTCTGTCTCTGTCTCTGTCTGTCTCTCTCCTGCCCTGCCCTGCCCTGGTCCGTTTCCCTTGTCGGTCTCCCATCCCCCCGTTTCCCATTCCCCATCCCCCAACCTCCATCACTTATCCGGCAGCTGTCAACCTAAACTCCATCCCACTCACCCCCATCTATCTCATCGTAACTGTCCGTCCGCTCTGCCCCTCGTCTTGGGCCGCCTGACCGCCACGGCACGCCTATCTTATCACTATGCCCGCTTACTACGGTGATGATGATACCCGGCCGCGCGCCACTGCGGCCCTCTCTCCAGACTACTACTACTCAGGCGGAGCGCCAGGGCCCTATGCAACCGGCGCGATTCCCGTGCCATCTAATGCCCGGCTGCAATATCAGCCCCAATCCCCTTTCTATACGCACCCAGCCCCTAATGCTTCCGTCCCGAGTCTCCACCGTGATGCCTCGCCCTACCGTCGCCGTCCCCGGTCGCTCCCGCCTCCTGTGCGACCCAAGAGCCGCCGTGGTGATCGGGACCTGTCGCCTCCCGGAGCTGACAAAGGCCCGCGCGGTCCTGTACAAGAGGCACGCCACCTGATCAACCATACCTTTTCCAATTCCAACTCCGGCCTGGGCATGGGCGTCCTCGGCGCACTCGCCGGTGGTCTAATTGCCCACGAGGCCACCGGGGCCAAGCCGACGTCGCGGAGCCACGGCCGTCGCCGCACCGACCACAAGTCGCCGCTGCTCCCCACCATTGTTGGCGCCGCTGTCGCTGGCCTGGCCGCAAACGCCTTTGAGAAGAAGATGGAGGTCGCCAAGGTCAGGAACGCCGAGAAGGAAGCAGCCTGGGAAAGAAAGTGGGGCAGACGCTCCGGTGCAGACGCACGCGACGACCTTGAGGAGGACAGGGGCCGGAGGAGGAGCCGCCGGAGGTCCAGTGGGATATACTATGATGATCACGCCTTAGATGGGGATTTCTATCGGCGGCCTGCACGATGAAGCCAGGCATCAGACAGGCAGCGCAAGCCTGGGTCCACGTGCTGGCCTCGGCAGCGGCTCGAAAGTTGCTGAGCCGATTTGGCTGGACTGTACAAGAGCAAGTGGACATGCTCATCTACTTGTAGTACCTCCAGCTTCTCGTGCTCTCGGGGGTTGCGTTTTAGCAACTTGACATTCGGCGCTAGCTACGAAGTTGTCATTTCACATTCAGTATACACAGTTAGTGTCTTGCTCTGTTTGCAACACGGCTTGCCTCGAAAGGTATCGAGACATTGCGGTTTGATCGCATTCCTGTGTTGTAGGACCTAGACTGAAGTGACTTCGGGAGAGTACAAATTGCCTCCGTCTCGGCCAATGCCGGTGTCGCTGCGCGACCAACGGCGCTAAAGAAATGTGACACTTCTACCTGATCAGGAACAAAACTAATGTACAAAGTTGTATCATGAGTATTACCTGTCTTGCTGATTAAAAATCGCAAAGACGTATCATATTTACCAACTGGTTTGCTGAGTAAACACGGCGAAGACCTCAACAGCGTGCTCGAATGCAACAATATCCATGCTCGCAGCCAATTACAACCTAGAGACCATCGAGGTACACCAGGCAAAGCCTTGGACCGAGTCGCAAGTTGATCACCGTGGGCTGTGATGTTCCGGCTGTGCGCAAAGAAACAGTATTAGCCACAGGCGGGATGAGCGCCTCGAGCACCAAGGAACCTGTCCAGAATCCAAAAGCTCCAGCAGATGATCTGTACAGACCATTGGCGTCACTCCCCCAGCATTTTTCTCAAAGAGTGAGAACTTGGAGCGAAGAGGAGGCCCAACGGCAAGCCAGTTTTGCTGTTAAGCAAGGACTCAATCAAGAAACAGTCTCTGCCCTTGCTGAGTGTCAGCGCCGGCTCAGCCACTGCCGCGTGAGTTCTGATCTTCCGGGTCTATCTGCCGCGAGCGAGCCGGCTCGGCCGTGCCGCCCTCATTCTGGTGCTGTCGAAAGTTCTGCTCTCGTTCCAAGATGACCTTGAAAAACTGGATCACCTCGGCCAGCTGGATCTGCTGCTGCTCACAGCAGCCAACGAGGTTGAACAGAGACTGGGCGTCGAGGAGCTGCTTGGCGATGACCGTGTCGGGCTGACAGAATGTGCGGATGCGCATGGCGCGAGCGTCAACCCGCGTCATGTCAAGCACTCCGTTCACCGCCGCGATGAGGCCAGCGCGCTTGCCGTAGAAGCGAAAGTCCTGGCTGTGCAAGAGAATCAGGTCCAGCTGCGTCTCGAGGTCGTATCGAAAGCCGATGACCTTGGGGCGTCCGCGCTGCTGCCAGCCGTCCACAATCTTCTTGTACTTGTCAGCCTCGAGGCGGCCCGCGTTGAACTGGCTGCTGATGTAACCGTCGAGAGCGGTGGTCAGTAAAAACTCGAGCTCGCAGTAGAGAAGACTCTGCTCCCGGGGGTCCAGGGAGACCGTGAGGCGGGAGCCACGCTTGTCTTTCTCGCGCGGCTTGCGGGTGGCCGAGGACGTGATGTCCTTGGCAGAGGTAGTCATTTCCTTGGCCATCTTCCTGAGGCTGTCGAGGAACCCGCCCTTTTTCTGAGGCGTCGCTTTAGGAACGGGGTTTGGGTCGGAGATATGCTGGTCATTGGAGGCATCAGTGGTACGCTCGAGCCAGCCACGTGCTCCGACAAGCTGCTTCCGGATGGGCTTGGCCTGGACTGATAGGTAGTCAGAAAGAGGGGAGTAGGTGCGCTGGGGACGGGCGGCCTCGTCTGATTGAAGCTCACGCAGATCGCCCGTGGTGGCGGTCTTCTGCAAGCCACGATGGGGTGAGGAGCGATGGACCGGAGAGCTGTCATACTTGGCCCGGTCGAGCGAGGGAGACGGATTCCGGGTGCTGTAGGGTTGAAGAACGCTACGGTCGCTGTCAAGATCCTTGCGAACCCTAAGAGGGCTGATGTAGGACGGGCGGGCCTGTCCCACGTCGTCTTCAGAATAGTACGAGGAGGTAATGGAGATGCTGTCAGCTTCGCGACGAGGGCTGGTCAACTTGGGCACACGCCGGAGAGGTGGGGTCACGGGCGGGTTGACGGCGGCATACTGAGATCGAGGGTGGTGCGGGCCTTCGACGACGACAGCCTGCTTGGACACGAAACCATACTGGCGAGCTGACTCGACATCGACCGGGGTGAGACGCAGCTGTCCTCTGCGGTCGGCCAGGTTTATGTCATCGTCGATCAAAGAGCGTGACATAGCTCCAACTTTGTCTGGAGATTCGAAGCGCTTCCCAGGGGAGCGAGAGCGAGAAGGGAGGGCTCTGGACGAGAACGATTCATTGGCCGCGTCATCTTGGCGAACGAAGCGACGACTGCGGTGGCTGTCACTGCCAGACGTGCGGGCCCGCATGGGCGAGGCGTCTCTGTCTTTGTCTCGAGACCCTCGTGATCCCGTGCTGTTGTGATGGGGCGATATGCCAATCTGGATCATCTCGGTCGCGTCCGAACCGTTCTGGCGGCGGCGAGGTCTCTTGCCAGGCGATTCATGGCCCGGGAGGCTGCAAGTATCGTGTCAGTCATCATCTCATGTCGGCGACTAGAGGCAAGAGAAGGAGGGGAGAGGCCTAAGGGCAAGTGGCGGGGCTGCAGTCGGGGGGTTGCTCGAAGATACCTACGAGGAAGCAAGCCGATCCATTTGTGAGTCGGTGAGGTTCAGGTGGATGTGGACGCCGACGTCAGCGCGTTGGCGGCTAGGTGAAGCAGCGCGACTAGAGGGGCCAGAGACGGGGATGAAGTTTCCCCGGATGGCGGTGGGTGCTTCTTCGGACAGATTCATGTGGTGATGGGAGCTGGTGGTGCAGGCTAGATGGAGCGCGATCTGGTCGAGACGAGGAGCGCTGCGATATGGCAAGCTGTTGGCAATGGGCTGGTGCCGCGCAGACCGCAGCTTCGAGTGCCTTGGTCGTCGGCTTGCCCAAATCCTAAGCCGGCCCTTGCTTTGGACGCTCCAACGTGAGGTGCAGCTGCGGCGGGGAAAGAAGAATTCTGGGTGGTGGTGCAAAAGTAAACAATCATTCCACCGCTATTCGATGGTTGCGACCAAGGCATAGTACAAGTGAATGCGCCTCCATCGGCATGGAACCATGGCGTAACTACGCGTCGCGACTCAATGGCCTCAACGGCCACCTCGGCAACCTTCCCATCTTTCTCGCTTGATGGCGCACCCACGCTCTACGCACCAGGCTCAGTTCTGAGGTCCAAATCTTCGGTCTATATCCCGAGGGCGCGTGCCGCACCTCGTTCATCAGCTGTCCTCTCCTCGGCCACCTCAGGTTGTTCGCTGTCCCAAGAGGACCTAGTCCCCCTGGCTTTACTCGGTGAGCAAGTCACCGAGCCATCCCTTGACAGTACGCCGACATGTCTGCTCCACCAAAATGTGCCATCAAACTCATCTGGAACCCAACAGCCCGACCCAGGCCTGCAACACCCAACACATCTCTTGGCAGCCTGACGCTTCTGGCATCGTGTGTTGCCGCACCCGAGACGATCGAGCGAATGGACACTATACTTGTCCCCAGAGCGCCGAAAGGTTGTGGAAGGTGGACGCAAGCGCACGCAAAATGACACTGCAAGTTGGCACAAACCGCTTGGTTTGTGAGTCAACAGTACTCTCCCCTTGAGAGAACGTACCGCGACGCCTTGCAGAGCCGCCCTGGGAAACCAAATGGCCAGCAACCTTCGGCTTGAGCGTAGATGTGCACGGCAAGGCGCAAGAATAGACCATTGCACTCGTCAGGTATGCGCCGCATAAGCTGCTGCTGCTGCTCAGTGGTTATGCCCAGCAGACATATCCACATCAACGCCAAGAGCCCGGGTCGGGATCTGACGCCAATTCCACCTCGGACAACGGTAATGGAGCGAAGTCGCGAACGGCTTGGCCAGAAAAAGGCAAGCCCTTGATGCTTTGCTTATTCCTGTCTCTGATGGTGGAACCCATGGTGCTGGGCAGCCGGGCAGCCAGCCAGTCCGGCCGGCTGTAGACGAGAGAACTTGAGGCTGAGGCCGAGACTGCGACCGAGGATCGAGTCTGACGTTTCTCCGCATTCCTTGGCGGGCCGTCGCAGGCCTGGAGTATTGGCCAGCGGTCCCACTCTTTCCTTCCCGTCCTCTTCAGCCGCGCTGTGGACTTCCCCGCTATTTTATTACCGAGTTGGCTTTCCGGGTCCTGGATCGGGAGTCATGGCCTCCTCGCATCCGACTCCTGCTGCCACGCAGCAGCCCGGCCTGGATACCGCTGCCAGCCATCCGACAAGATCTGACAAGCTCCTCGTGGTGTTCGTCTTCTGGGCCTTCCAACAAGCATGCCATCCCATCCCCGCGGGATCCGATTGGTTGTCGCGGGCTACAGTGCCTCCATTCCTCAATCTCACGCCTTCATGTCCGTCGCGCGTGGTGGAGGCGGTTTTCTGGGCTGGAGCTGCTACGATGCCGTTAGTGACAGCCGCGCCGGTGGGCGCCGGGGATAGGGCTAGCTCGCCTCCTTTCTTGGGAGAGCTATGACGCGGGTCGCCTTGCCGAACTGTCTTGCCGTTGAGCAATAAAGTCTGCCAGTGTCCACTGTAACCATTCCTTCTGCTTCCTGGGCGACCATTCCCTATCTACTGCATCATAAAGTGCTATATCCACAGGTGAGGACGGCTCGCGCTTCGGTATTCAGGCACTCACGTACGCAACACCACTTCGATTCAACCTTAAATACTCATCGGTACCTATAAGATTTTGGCTGGAACACGCCGATTCTTCATAAACTCCACTTTGCCCTCACAACACTAAGAGGTCGCCTCTGCCCAACATCGCAAACCCCACTTGTTCCCTAGGTCTTAAAGTCAGCCCCGTTCCTGGTGCAAGAGAAGCCATGGAGACGCAACCAGCGAAGCAGGCGTCCGAGCCGTTTTATGACATCGGTACGGAAACAGTGCACCGTGAGAGCCATGAAAGCCTTCGCTAATCACTGATGTGTTGCAGTCATCGTCGGAGCCGGGCCTGTGGGGCTCATGCTCTCGACGTGCCTGGCAAGATGGGGTTATAAGATCAAGCACATCGACAATCGAGCAGAACCAACACCAACAGGCCGTGCCGATGGTATACAGCCACGTTCTTTGGACCTGCTCCGGAATATGGGTCTCAAGTCCGCGATCATGGCGCACAAGCCAGCGAGGGTCTACGAAGTAGCATTCTGGGACCCTCCACGGAATGGAAAGGGTATTGCCCGGACAGGAACTTGGGCCAGTTGTCCCAGCTTCATCGATGCGAGGTACCCCTTCACCACACTACTACACCAGGGCCTCATCGAGCGCGTTTTCATTGCCGACCTGGAGAAGAACAAAACACAGGTGCAGCGACCGTGGACAATCAAGGGATTCAGCGTCGATGAGAAGACCAACCCCGAGTACCCTGTAGAGGTCCAGCTAGAGCATGTGGACGGCACAATGAGTGAGAGTGTGCGGGCTAAGTACTTGTTTGGCGGTGAGGGCGCCAGGTCCTTTGTGCGTGATCAACTCAAGATAGGAATTACGCACAAGGACCCAATAGCCCACGTATGGGGCGTTATGGATGGCGTTGTCAAGACCGACTTCCCGGACATCAAGGTGAGGCCTTGTCCAGCGAATGTGTATTTCTCGAGATGACTGACGCGTCAGAAGATGAAATGCACAATACACTCCGAGCACGGCTCAATTATGGTTATCCCGCGTGAGGCCAACATGGTGCGCCTGTACATTCAAATTGCGTCCTCGACAGATCCAGATTGGAACCCACGCAAGACAGCGACTGCCGCCGAGGTCCAGGAATCAGCCAAGAAAATACTGCAACCGTACTCCATAGAATGGGAAAGTGTCGAGTGGTATTCTGTGTACCCTATCGGCCAGGGGATATCTGATCGGTACACATTGGACCACCGTGTGTTCCTCGGCGGAGACGCTTGTCACACACACAGCGTGAGTTGACTCCGTGTCGTGAACTTTTGCTTGTTGCTGACAAAAACTTTTGCAGCCCAAGGCTGGCCAGGGCATGAATACCGCCTTTCTCGACGCGCAGAACCTTGCCTGGAAGATCCATGCAGTCGAGGGTGGTTTCGCGGATCGGGGAATCCTCAAGACATACGAGCCGGAGCGCAAGGAGGTTGCGGAGACACTACTGTCATTTGACAACCGGTATGCAAAGTTGTTCTCGGCACGGCCGCCGCCTGCAAGCACGGTGGAGGCCGCGTCCGAGAGTGCCAACAGCAATTCATTTGAGGAAAGCGAATTTGTCAAGACATTCAAGGAATCCTGCGAATTCACCAGTGGGTACGGAGTTGCATACGGGCCCAATGCGCTCAACTGGTCGTCCGAGCACCCGGTGCAATCGTCGCTGGTCCACCCCACGGGCACCAAACTGAGGACGGGGAGGCTTTTGATCAACGCTGATGTGACGCGTGTCGTCGACGCCAACGTGGTGCACCTGGAACAAGAAATCCCGCTCAATGGTTCATTCCGCATTTTTGTATTTGCAGGCAAGCCCTCTGTCACAACTAAAGCGCTGGAGGATTTCGCGAGCAATCTCAGCCGTCGGGGCTCTTTCTACACAGCGTACCAGCGCCCGGACATGCAGAGTGTGTCTCATCACGAGCAAGACAACCCCCACAGCTTGTTCTTCACCATCTGTACGGTGTTCGCCAGCCCTCGCAGCAGCATCGAGATCAGTCGCGACACACCCGAGCTCCTGGCACGCTACCGGGACCACATCTACGCGGACGATCGGTGGGATCGACGTGTGCCGGATGCCAAGGCGGCTGCGCACGCCAAGATGGGGCTGGACGAGGAAAGAGGTGGCGTTGTCGTGGTGCGGCCTGACGGGTACGTTGGCATCGTGGTGTCACTCGTGGAGGGCAGCGGGACGGTGGACGCCCTAAACCAGTATTTTGGGTCCTTCTGTACTAAACAGTTGGGTGGTGCGGTGTCTCAGCTATAAGTGGGTTTGTTGCCATCTTGCTTATTTTTGTCTTTTGGACGTCTGTGCATATTAGATAGACTTTTGAAGCCAGCTTCTATTTTTCACTTGAATTTTGACATATGTGATAAGTCTCATCGCATCTCTTCATTGCGATGAAGCATGGCACAGTTGTGACTGCCTCGGATTTCCTCGAATTCCTGGCAGAATCCCGGGTCCTGGTTTGTGAGGTCTGGTGCGACTTGAAACCAACATGCGAGCATTTACTCGGGGGTCTCATTGGCCTCCACGTCTACTTCACGGCAATACTTTCATTTAAGTGATTACGTAACCTTCATACTCGAGCATTTCCACCTCACTTTTGCTAACTCTCCACCGACCAGTACCTACTACACTCGCCCTTGACCTCATTGGTGCGTAAATGACTGCACTGTCTTTGGCAGCCGATTGAACCAGGGCAGACTGGGGCAATTCGCCACCAACATCACCACAAGCGCAGAGGGTTTTCTAATTGCTGCACAAATGATCAAATTGTCTTTAGTCGACTACCTTTAAATAGAAGCCATACTTGTGTAAGCAGGACGGTGCCAAAATGGGCACAAAATTAGGCGCCCCGACTCGAAGAGTCGGTCTGGACTCTGCACTGGGGTTGTGTATTGTTTTGTTTTGATAACTTTCACCTTTCGACTCTCAGTCCTGATACCATGACTATGAATATGTTTGTACTGAAACAAGCAGAAGCTGTACTGTGTCACTACAATTAACAATGCCACGTGAATTCATTGCTGTGCCAGTTCCCCGCGGGTCAGGTCTTGGCACGGCGTCTGCGGCGTCTGTGGCGTCTAGGCGGCTAAAACCCAGTCGGCGGAATCCTTTGAGAACAACTTCATGCTATCCTGCAGGGGCCTCCACCTGCCTTCATGATAGCACAAGCACCCCTGCTTTATTGCTACCGCCGGCAGGATACGCCTCTAAGGCCAAATATGAGGCGTCTGCTCCCTCATCTCTAGGCATTTTCCTGGTTCTTGAGAGCGTAGCGATTCTCCCGCGCATGTGACAAGCGAGTGTCTGCGGCCGCCCGACGTGATAATCAGGGACCCTGAGGTTGTTGGTCAAGGTGTGAGAGTCTGCTGGCTGGCGATGGGAACGACTGCCTCGGTATGTGGATCCTCAATGAAGAGAGAGAAAGAGCCCCCTTTGCCTCCTCCAAGCTGCGGACAAGATTGCAGCACATGTGCCTAGGGACCCAGTTCTGACTGTCAAACAAGGAGACCGCCATCGCCACCGCCTGTGCCGGTGCAAGTGCCAGTGCCAGCAAAAGTGAGAGTGGTATTGAAAACAAGAGTGCCGGCGAAAGTGCAGGTGGAAGTGCAGGTGGAAGTGCAGGTGAGAGCGCAGGCGGAAGTGCGACTGGAGACTCAACCGCCCTGCGCGGCGTCGAGGCCCAGCTTCGACCTATGGTACGTACCATGTGCCCTGGCTTCAGAGCCATCTATCGCTCTACATTCATGGGCGCGCGATCCCTTTGCACCTAGGCTGTCGTTGTCGGATCAACCCCAGACTGGCACTACCTGTCTGCCATGCGCGCGTTCGCCCTTGCGCCCCTGCCCAGTTTATCAGCACGCACCTGTCCCCTTCGCACCACTTTCCTCCTCCTCCCACAACGCCTGCTTCGCATCGCAACACAGCATCGCATCGCAACGCATCGCATCATAGCACCGCAGCTTACTTCATTGCATTGTAACGCATCTTGTTTTGGCGAACAGTCGAAACTTCCCATCACCCCATCAATCAATAAAATCAACCCCTCACACACAGCCTGCGCAATCGCGCCTGCTCCTTTCACCACATCGCATCGCGTCACAACATCGCGTCGCGAGCAGTCAAGACCTCCAATCACCGTCATCATTCACATCCATCCATTCATCAATCAGTCAATTGATCAATCAATTCACTCACCGCGATCGCGCCATCCCTAAACCCATCACTCTCCCAGTCGCCACAGTCGCGCCTGCTTCATTCAGACCCATCTTGCAACAACTTGCACCTTCCATCACTCACAAAATGTCGTTCCCACAGAAGCGCAAGGCTGAGGCCGAGCCCGATATTGAGGACGTCATCATGCGTGACGTCGCCAACGACGCCGCCGTTGAGCAAACCACCTACTTTTCGCGCTTCGTCAACTTTGGCGCCAACATTCGAAATGGCATCGTCGACGCCGTCAAGGGCGCCTGCACGCGTGCAGTCGGCTCCGTCTTCGCCCACGGCAATCGCCTCATGCACTCCATTGTCGAGGTTCGCCATTCAACTGCAGATGGCCTCTCCGTCAAGCGCTTCAAGCGCCTGCCCCTCAACCCCAAGAAGGCTGCCACCAAGGGCATTCTCAAGAACACCCTACCCGTCAACTACCTGAAAGCTCTCCCCAATGGCCAGTATTGTTGGACAAACAGGGTCAGGGAGCACCTCGGAGTCCAGAACCACCTTCTCGTTGACGCATTCTTCTCCAACCTCATGTCCATAGTCCGCGCAGAGAGGGTCGAAGACTACCTGGACATCGACTACGCCATCGACCCGCTAAATGTCCCCGACTTCGTCGTCGACAGGCTCCGGGCAAGCGGCAATGATCCAACACTTTCCATCTTGGTACACAACTACTACATCCACACCACTGACAAGCGCAACCCGCATGCCTTTGTTGACGCTGGCAAGACCTTCTTCGACAAGCTTAACAAGCTTGCTAAGATCTACCGACTTGTCTACAACGGGCAAGGCCGCGTCCCCTTCCTGAAAGACCTGGGCTTCGAGCCATACGACAATCTCGAGACTGACGACAAGAATGGCCTCCTCTCTCACAGAGAGAGACTGCACTACTATGAATGTGTTGTCTTCTTACAGTACATCCTCACCCAGCGTGCCGCCTTCAACCAGATGTGTCCAGTCCAGACCATCGCTGGTATAATCGTCGACTTTGATGCCCTCCACAAGGATGAGGCCCCTCCCAGCTATGTAGACTGGCCAGGAAAATACCAGCGTGTGCCTGGCGCCTTCCCTGGTGACGAGATGGACTCTCTCCTTTTTGACGACGTCGCCCTGAACGATTTTGAGCCAGCCCGACTCTATGACCACCTAAACCCGAGCCCCCGCAAATTCGAGACCTACGATACTCCTCCCCGCAACGCGATGCCAAAGAATCCCATCTACTTTGACCAAAGGGGTTTTCCGAAGCCGCGAAGGGGCGCTCTCAGGAATCGCCTACTCTTGGGTCGGCCCAAGAAGTCAGCTCGATTCAAGCAGTCGCCACAACATTGGTACATGCCATCGGACAATGAGCCGGTGAAGCGCGTGTATCCCGAGGGCACTCAGCCCCGCAAAGCCGAGACTCAAATATCTCCCAAATCAGAAAAGGAGTCTGTCGAAGACACCATACGACGGCTCAAAGAGAGAAATGGTTCGGTCTTCAGCATCTTGGATTCCCACAAGGGCGATAAGATAGTCTACAAGCAACACAAAACCCTAGACGAGTTGTTCGACGACGACCCCCTCGGCTTCGAGGGGACGAACCAGGACTTGGTGAAGCTCAGCCGTGAGAAGCGTGACGACTTCGACACCCGCAAGCAGCTGATAAATGAAGCTTTCTATCAGTTAGAGGCTGAACAGAGGGCCGAGGAAAGAAGAGTGGCCGAGGAGGCACAGCGGGCTGCCGAAGAAGCGCGCCGCCGGGCAGAGGAAGAGCGTCTTCGCGCTGAGGAGGAGGAGGTGAGACGCGTCGAAGAGGCTGGAGGGCTACGACAGCCACACAAACCCGTGGTGCCCTCACTCACCGATGAGTGGATTGCCAGGTCCCAGGGTACACTGCATGCCCGCCTCAATGCAGAGCTGGCCAAGACCCCTGAGGGAACTCCCCTCACCCGCAAGGACTTCGAAACCGTCGTCACCCCCAACCAGTGGCTCAACGATGAAATTGTTAATGGTACACTTCTTCACTTGGCCAACTACATCAACCAGAAGGCTGGTATTAAGAATACCCGCGTTCAGACCCCAAAGGTCCAGGTTTTCAACTCCTTCTTCGGCAAGAAGATCTATGATAACGGCGGCGAGGGCACCGAGCGCCAGATGCGACGTACAGGTATCCGAAAGGATACCTTCCTGGAGATCGAGGCGGTTCTCATACCTATCTGCCGCGGTGCTCACTGGACCCTCGTCGTAGTCCGCCCGAAGTACCGACAGGTACATCACTTCGATTCTCTCAATGGCGCTGGCAACTCCAACCTCACAGACAATGCGTTGAAGTGGGTCCGCATGGTCCTTGAGGACCGGTTTGTCCCGTCAGAATGGAATACCACGACCATCCCCTCACCCCGTCAGCACAACTTTGACGACTGCGGCGTACATACCGTCACCAACGGTATTTGTGTTGCCATGCACGTCGACCCCATGACTTACTCAGCAGACGACATGAACCAGCAGCGACTTCACATCGCCGCTGTCCTACTGAATGATGGCTTCAAGGGAGATTTGAGCCTGGACGACTTCTAAAGTTCTGCATATTTCGAGCGGGGCAGCATTTGGTGTTTTTTCTTCGAGACCTGATTCAGGGCGACGACCGGTGTTTAGCATCTTCGCAGCGGAAAATAGCCGCATTTTTTTTCCGAATTGGTTGTCTTGAGGACGGCGGTCAGTGGTTCTCAATTTGAAGCAGGACAACCTGCAGTGTTTGAACATGTTTTGAGTACGCGTGGAGACCAATGTTCTGCAACTTGAAGCAGGGCAGCTTGCAGTGTTTCTACATTGTTTTGAATTTGGACGGAAACCAATGTCCAGCGCTCTTAGAAAGCGCGACCACGAAAGTTCCTACGGGGGTTTGGAAAAAGGCAGTTGGTTACAAGCACGATACGTGTTCTGAGCATTGTCATTAATGTTTCGAGGAATGAGGACTTGGAGTTTGGAGTCGGCTGTTTTCAAAACGGAAAAGGATGGGGCTTTTGTGTTGGACCTAGCAACTGCAGTCTTAATAGAGAACACATCTCCAGGCTCTTTGAAGTATGCAATGAAAAAGAAGTCATCGTCACTCTCCTCCCCGGCCGTTGCCAATTACGTGCTTAAAGCCTGGTCTTCATGAGTTGAGTACCCTGCCTACTGATGGCGTCTGGCCTACGAGCTGCTGACATGAGCGAGACTGAAGGTTCATTCATCGCGGTTCTGGTCCGATCTACTCACTGCTGTAAACCCCTACGCACTTGCCCGTTCAAACCCTGACGACCACTAAACATCTACCTATCCGGCCTCAGGGTGGAGCGGAACCGCACATGAACCGCACATGACCGAGCACGGAGGAAACATGTGCAAGGGAAGATAAACGGCCCTTTCCCAGCTTTTCAAAAAAAAAATTAGGCACGAGGGAAGAAGGTAGTCAAACCAAATATAGCTTGCAGAGCATTAGCCACGTACTCGTAGGCTCGAATATGGGCTGCGTCTGTCTTCTCACTCCCTGTGTACTTTCTCATCGCTCAGTATGCAAACAAGTTGATGGCCCTGATAACATACTGTCTTTTGAGAACTGTCTGGACACGTCAAGTGGGCCGGTATGGATGGTTCAGATGCCTTGCCAGCCTGCGACCCAGGCAACCAATGGCGACCGATAACTTGAGGCCCTCTCCTTGTCGTTGTCCAAGTGTTCGTATTTTCCCGAGGAGCACGATCGTTGTCCGAGAGGACACCCGAGACGTGGCGTCTCTGGCGAGTCAGATGCAGACCCTCGTGAATGCCCCAATGTCCGCCGCTATCAAGCCATTCGGACACAGCCTAAACTCCCCGCCTCCACATGAGAGCAAACTGTATGGCCTCTTCAGTCTGCGATAACCGAAGATCTCAAGATTGGCGATGCCGACAGAGCAATTGATATGTGACAAGCGCAGGCAGGGCTAAGGGCTATGCTAGCGACTCATCCCTTGCCAGGGAAACAGCAGGCAGTGTTGGATCGAGCACGGCACTCAGCCATTCTTGATCTTGATCTTGTACAACACGCGGCATGTGGTGAGTGCTCTGGATGTTCTGTCCAGCCATGTGAGCTCGTCGCTGAGTCCCGCAAACTCTGATCCCTTGCAGGGTAGTCGGTGCCCGAGCAAAGCAGTTGCACCTGCAAAATGCCTCTCCCCCAGAAGCCAGCCTCTAGCGATATCACCCTCTCGAGCCTGAATAGCCTGTCCGCTTGAGCTGGAGTGACTGCTCCCAGGCGTCTGAAGTGATCATGGTGTGGTGCGCCCTCGTGAGCAGCTCGGCAGGCGATGTCCGAAATCTGGTCAAACTCGTGGCTGGGCGCAGGCACATGGCTCCAAGGCCTCGGCGGGATTTTCTTTCTTGAGTTCACGCTTGCTCGTCCAACACACGGAGAAGTCTTGCTTTGAGCCTAAAAGGCTCGCAGAGGTCCGGATCCGCTCGGGGTCAATGACACGGCGTAAGCGATGGCCGAAAAGAAAGAAAAAAATAAAGCCATTGGGCCGAGAATTGCGGCTGAGCGCCGGGCTTCCAGGCCTGCTGCAGCAGCTCGAGTCATCCAAGGCACGGCGTCGGAGGCCAGGGTGGAGTGACTGGATGGTTTTGGCAGAGACGCGGCTACATACATCCTGTTGGCCCGGACGGGCAATGACAAGTTCAGCCTTACCCTCAACAAAATGGGACTCTTATGCTTTTGGCCTGCAGGTGCTAGACGTTGTGCTCTGGCGCGACACTCTCACTTCCCTGGTGTGTCGGTCCACTGTCCCCCCCCGTGTGTAGTTGGTTACACTTTGCCCGTGGCCGCCGGGCGCCTACGTGTATGCTCCCGGGCGGGAAACACAGCTCATGGAGACGGCCAGGAGGAAGAAGAACAAGCAGCTCATGACACATGAAAGCAACGGGTTGAAAGAACAGGTGAGCTGATCATTCATCCCAGGCCCCCTTTGCCGATCGTCCATGAAGATCCGGGCAAGAGGCTGACAAGGGCCAGCCTGCCACGTTTTTAGCCTCAGCGGAGCAGCAATCACTGTGCGGTGCGGTGCAGGGCCCGGTGGCCTTGCCCTCGGGCTTTCTGAGGGGCGTCGCAATGCAGCCGGCCCACAACATCAAAGCCGAGGAAGAATGAGGGCATATTCTCGGCGAACAGGGCGTGGTGCCCTGGGGAAGGGGGGCCCGGCGGGTGTGGAGGATGGGACAATGGCTATGTGGTTAATTCTCCCGGCATTGGGGACCGGGCAGCCCGAGGGTTGCTTATTCCCGCTTGCAATCCGGGCAGCAGCTTTTCGGAGGACAGAAAATAGAAGCGAGCAAGCGGGCATGATTCTAGACTGGCCCTTGCACACACATGCTCGGGCGAGCTGGGTATATCCATCCTGGGAAGGAATTGTCAGCACCTGGCTGCAGATGGGATGTGTGCCGGGAAAGCTTGTGCGCTTGCATGAGCGCCAGGGATCATGGGCGCGATGCCTGCTGCCGCTGGTGCTGTTCTGCTCCTGTGCGCTCTTGAAACGAGAACTGGGGTTGGCACACAACACAGGCAGGCGGCAGGACAGGCACACACAGGGCAGGACTGGGGTAGCGAGTGGGGACAGGGACGATGTGCGCGACCGGCGTGGGACGGATGGAGAAGGGGACCCAAGTCTGTGCTCCTCCAGATCACGCCGTGTCGACATGCACATTGGGACACTGCTCCACGGTGGAATACTAGGACACCGACCCCGACTCCGACTCCGACACCGACACCGACACCGACGTCAACATCGACAGCGATGGCAGCACCGATGTTTGATCTGGGGGCCATGTGTGGGCGCCCATGGCAATCGGTGCTGTTGAAGCTGCAGCTCCCCCAGATATTTCATGATTCTGCTGTCTAGTTCTGCATGTGCTAACGGGCACTGAGGTTGCGTTGCACGCAAATTGGCAGATGATGGACGATGGGACGCATGGGGCCAGTCACGATCAAGGCCAGCGCAACGATGATGAGCGGTTGCATCGAAGTGAGACTGAGACACGATCCGAGAGACTTGACGGGAGAAGGGGAGATCATGATGAAACCTAAACCTCTCTGGTGGACTGCCAGGACTGCTTGAGCCCGTCCGACACGACTACACCGGGAGGCATTCTTTGACAGCTGCCTGGCCTTTGTTTGTTGCCATTCTATTGCAGGTTGCTGGCCTTCCAACCCCTGTGACGGGGCCGGAGTGGCGTTCTGACAGGACTGACGGGCATCTACTAGATGGCATAGATTGATCGACGGATGTGTTGCCGACGAATTGCAGCTGTCTGTCGGCGCGTGCTACCAACACAAGGCGGACGAACTACGGGGGACAAGTTGATGGCCGCTGCTGGTTGGTGGAGGGGGTGAATGATGATGATGTTGATGATGATGGGCATTGTCGATGGACTGATGTGCCGTGTGGGATGTGACGATTATGACTGGGCGAGTGCGTCAGTTGGCGAACAGCAGACAAAGGACGGAAGAGGGGGAAATGGGTGATCGTCGCCGCGACCGTCCAAACAAGGCGCAGGACGACAATGCGGTGCTACCACACACGACACCACCAACGGTCCGCACTGCACCTATAGATTGATTACGTTACAAACTACCGCAGACTACAGACTACAACACAAGACTAGAGTGCAGACTAGGACGACTAGGTAAAAAGACTGCACTGGTCTGGTCTGAGGGGCCCATTCATCCCGTCATCCAGTCATGCCAGTCCACCCCGACGGAGTATTTTTCTTTTGTCTGCATTTATTTGGGGCCACCCGCATCGGCACGATGACGACGGTTTACGACGGTTGACGACGGGTGTGGATGCCAGGGAGCCAGGGTGCTGGGGTGGTTGATTTTCTTTTTGGGGGGCCCTGGGGGGGGGGGGCCGCAATTGGAGACTCCGAGGATTATTTAGACTACAGCATTACGGTGCATTAGAGCGGGCGGGTGGCAAAATGCAAAAACGAAACGGGGAACCGATGAGGAAGCGATGGGGCGATGGCGTCGTGCGGGCAGCGCTGTCCCGCATCTTGTCCTGCTCTCATGCTCTGCAGACTTTCTTGTCTGCCAGCCAGCCTGCCAGTCAGCCAGCCTGCCTGCATGGAAGAATTCTAGTGGCCTTCCACAAAGCTTCTAGTGCTCTTCCCGTGGCCCTGTAGCCCTGGCCACCTTGCCACCCTCCATCACGGCACCCGTTGTTACGGTTGCGACGCAGGCTGGCTGGGCAAGGACACGCAGACAGATGGACATGGTCCTGTCCTGATGAGCCCAGATGAGCCAGATGGCACGGTACATGCCTACTGTTACATACACACATACAATAGTATACGTGTAGGCTTACAGGACGACAGCAAGGAGGCAGGGAGGCAGGGGGACAGGGAGACAGGAACCTCGGGATCGGGATGGGGAAGTGTGTACCGTATGTAGTAGGCTGGAACCTTCGAAACCGGCATGGTCCTGGCCGACCGGACATGGCGGCTTGGCTGCTGCTACTCTTGTCAGTTGTTGCTGTTGCTGCTGCTGCCGCCGCCGTCAGCGAAGGATGCTTCATGTTGAAATGTACATATTCATCTTCACCCGAGAGAAAAAAGGGTGAGAGATGATGCAACCTGGCAGTCTGCCAGTCTGCCAGTTTGGCAGTCCGGGCAGAGTAAGACATTGACGACATATCCACTAGTATATTGTGTGTCTCGCCGTTGACATGTACATGTACTATCTTAAAGTCAACGGCCACCACACATGTGAAATATAATGTATAGACCACATACAGTACTGTAAACATCCAAGGCAGATCTGATGGGGGAAGCAGTTGAACAGGGCTTGCATCTCAGTACTCAACCCTGCTCGCCCATCAACTGCAAACACCAGTCCCCACTTCGGACCGGAGAGTGTGAGAGCGCGTGTCCTGTCAGGCTGTACAGTCATACCTGATCAATCGCCTTTTTGCCTGCCTTGCCCTGCCCTGCCCTGCCCTGCCCTGCTATTACTCGCCTCCCTGCTCCCCTGGCCCATCCTTTCAAACACTCTCCCCTACTGTGACTGGCCGTCGCCGCTCGCCGTCACCGTCGCCGTCTCCGCTCCGCTCCAGCTGACGACTCGCATTGATGTCGCCCCGGTCCCCAGACTGGTGAACCCGGCCGACGTCGTCAGAATAGGCCCGTTGTTTCTCATGTCGAGCCCGACGACCTCAACCTGGATGGAGCCGGGGCTGTCGCAGGTTTTTGATCTTCTGACTGCTGCCCCGTCTTGTCCTCCCTCGCCCCCACCCCTTTCCCATGCTTCTCCGCCGCGACGTCAATGCCGAACGCAGGCCGGCGCTTCTCTATCCTTTGTTGCACTCGCACGGCTGATACGGATGGCTGCGTCCCTTGCAAACACAAGCACAAGCACAGGCACAGGCACAAGCACGAGCACGAGCATGAACACAAACACAGGCATAGCAGGCAGACACGGGCTAGAGAGGGAGGACAAGGTCCTAGTGCTGGTGCTGGCACAGGTGCTAGACTGCTAAGGGAACGAGCGATGACGATATCGACGGCGTTTCAACACGTCAAACGTCGACATCCGCATCAGCATTTAGCATTTGGCATGGGCATGGGCATTTTGAGCATGAGCATCCACATTCAGCATCAGCAGACGTGCCGGTAGAAAGCGGCGGTAGAGTCACAGTCTGTCGTGGTCTTTCATTTTATTTTTACGCAGTGGTTCCTGGTCGCTGGGCCGTGTGACCGCAAAGCCCCTGAAGAGGGACCCGCTGCGCGTCTGGATCTGGGACCGGATTGGAGTGTGGCCATCCTTGGACAGACACCGGCCCCTCCGCGCCAGCCAACTAACTAACTGCGTACTGTCAAAAAGTCGTCCCCAGCTCCAACTCCCAAAACATCAGGCCGACCCGGCCGACCCAACCAGCCCAGCCCAGCAAAAAAGCCCAGCAAAAAGGCCCGGCAAGCCCCAAGCCCAGCAAGCCCAGCAAGCCCAGCAAGCCCAACCCTTGAGCAGGGCAGGCACCCCTGTCGGTGCATCCTCCTTTTGAAACGGACATTCCTGACGGTGGTTTTTGGCAGCAGTCACACACGAGACACATGAGACACGGGCTGCCGTTGCTGTTGCACCCTGCCAGAAAGGCTAATCAATCCAGCCAACCACTGGTCAATAACCAATGATAATATGGAATGTGTGTACTGTATAATAAATAATTAATCAATCAACCAACCAGTCAATCAGAGGTCAGAGGGCAGCAGACAGAGGCAGAGGCAGAGGCGGAGGCAGGAAAAAGAGCGAGACAGGGAGAGAGAGAGAGCATCAATCAGACCAGTCAGACCAGACCTAGACCCAGACCTAGACCCATAAACCCAGACTGAGCCTACCAAGACTCACTCCACTTCCACTCCACCCCTCCCACTCCATCCACTTGCACTCCACTCCAGACACGGGCTGGTGCTGGCTCTGGCTGGCTGAGTGGATGTCTGGCTCTGGGCTGGGTTGGGCTGGGTTGTCTTTGTCTCTCGTCGCTCTGTCGATCCCGGCATTTCGCCTGCACTCAGCCTATTGGGTCGCTTGCACCCTTGAGCCTGCATGCAGCATCCCTCCTCCTCCCCCTTCCCTTTTCTCCAAAGCACCAGCAACCAGCAACCAGCAACCAGCAACCAAGCAGCAGGCATGGTCCAGTCTTGCTTTGCTTCCTGCTCAGGTCCTGCAGCCTGCGTATGTGTGTGTGTGTGTGTCCGTTGTGTATGTTCTGTTGTGTCTGTTTTGTGTGAGAGGTGTGAGAAGAAGCCTGCATCCATCCATCTGCTGCCCGGGATCCCACCTCAGCTGGTGCTGGGCTGTCTGGCAGTCTGTCTCTCTCTGCTTGTCTGCCTGCTTGCCCGTACACGTACTGTTTACCGTTTACCGTGACTCCGTAATGTGCATGTGCCAGAGTTAATCTATATCCCTTTTCATCCGTCCCAAGCCATTTACCACCTGCCATTTGCCATTTACAATTTACCATTTCATCTCTCTCTCTCTGTGCCCGCAGGCCGGCCAAAGCCGCATCAAAAACACCCAACGCAACGCAACACAAACACGCCAGCACATTCCAATCACCTTGTCCCATCGGCCACCCCTCCCCAAACCCCCCCTGCCTGACCCCCCTGCTGGCCCCCCTCCCCCCTGCACCCATTCCCATTCTCCCCCCGCCACCCTTGCGCAGGGCGTCCCCTGTCAGCAGAGTCTTCCACGCGCCTTCCAGAATCTCTCCCTATTTGGGGCTGCCCTTGCCCTGCCCCGTCCCTGGGCGTGGCCTGCCTTGCCCGGTCTTGTCTTTTGCTCGTTCGCTCTTGCCTTGCATTGCATTCATTGCCTGGCCTTGGGATCCGATCCGACACAACAACAACAACAACCTACTCTTTCTCTCTCTCTCTCTATCTATCTCCGCCTGCATCTTGCATCTTGCATCTCATTCCCAAGTCCAGTCTTGTCGGCTCCATTCAATAGAAGCCCAAAACCCACTTCCACGCCTACACCCACATCCACACCCACATCCACATCCGCATCCGGCTTCAAACCCAAACCCAAACCCAAATCTCCATCCCAATCCCATCCCTCACTCATTTGCCGTTCGATCTCATCTCTTCTTCGGCCTCACAGCACCTCAACACTTAACTAGAACCCGGGCCCAACCCACCATTGCGAATCTCGTCTTCCCGCCTTGGCCTGTCGCAATTACTCCGCCCTCCGCAAATTCCAGTCCACTCTCGTTCGACACGCTCGACGGTTCTGGATCTTGTTTTTGTCCTCGCTGCTTCTCACTCTCGGTGCAGGACTCACTCACCACATAGCGCGCGCTCCCGGCACGTGCTGTGCTCTCCGCTCTCAAAAACCGTCTCTCGCCGGCCCAGCTGTTTGACCAAGGCCTTCAAGGCTTGATCCTGCTCGCAGGCCACCCACCCACTCGAGTCACCACACTCCCAACGCCTGCCTGCATATAGTTGCGTCAGTCCCTTTCCGCCTCGCCTCGGGACCACGACGACTACGCCGACGACTGCCCGCTCCCGAGACCCGCACCCAGCGCACCTCTCCCCCACCGCACGCATCACTCCATCTGCGTGCATCTCGCTCGGCAATTTGTGTGCTTAGCCAGCCTGAACAGGTGCCTGCATTGCATGGCACTTGTGCCTGTAACACGCTCCAGGCCCACTCCTTCGCACTCGCCCCTGGACTACTCCTGCCTGGCCGTTTGAACCTCCTGCCTTCGGATACGGCACGACTCTTGAGCGCATGCTCTCTGGCTACAGCAAGTGACCTGTCCCAGTTCTGCTGGACTGTCGTTTGCTCCCTCTGGCCATCCTAGACTGTTCCCCCACGGCGAAGACATGAGACACTCGAGGATACGAAGCTACGCGCCCTCATACCTGTCTCCTAGCCCGTCGCCTCGGGACCTGTCGCCAGAACCATCGCCAGACGACGACCGCGGCGGTGGGCCCACCATGTCTACGTCCCGGCCAGTCAGTCTGGCACCATCAACGGGCATCCGCTTGCCCACCCTGGAGGAGATCCTCGCAGACTCTGCACCTTACCCATACACCCTCGGAGCCTTCATGGCCTACCTGTCTCAGAACCACTGCCTCGAAACTCTCGAGTTCACCATGGAGGCCGACCGCTACAAGCTGGCCCACTCGCAGTCTCAGCACACATTCATGGACAGCGGCGAGCACGTCTGTGAGTTGTGGCAGAAGCTTATTCAAGTCTACATCCAGCCTTACGGCTCACGGGAAGTTAACCTGCCGTCGCACGTCCGGGACCGGTTGTTGAGCCTGTCCTGTGGCCCCGCCCCGCCGGACCCGGCAGAACTGGACGAGGCGGTCAGGATCGTCTATGAACTGATGAGCGACTCGGTCCTGGTTCCTTTCCTCGAGTCCCTGTCCACCCCGGTGGGAGATATCCACACTGACGAGAGGGTCACCGAGTCGAGGTCAAGACACGGCAGATCACGCACACGAAAGCGGGCGTCGAAAGATGCTTTGTCACCCAGTGATGACCCCAGCCGGTCGCCCAAGACGTCATTCTTGCCCCACCTGAGTATCAGTCGCAAGAGTGATCTGAACAGCCGCTATGGATCCTCGTCGAGTGAACCCGCGGAAGACCTCACAGACGATAGTGGAACCAACTCGCCTCCCGCCTGCGACCCCATGACCCCACCGACGACACCACCCACAACGGACTGGGCCTTCAGCACCTCTCCTGGAACCCTCCACAAGGCCATCAGTGCGCATAGCAACGGGTGGAAGAAGGTTGGCGCGAAGCTGGGCTTGGGGAGGAAGGGCCGGTCCGGCCACCGAGGGACGTCGAGCACGAGTGCCGCGAGACCGGGCATTGCAGCCGATCAAAGCTTATGAGAACCACAGGTCATGTCACCATCTACCTCCTCATCACTCACCACCCACCTTGAAACAGTTGCAACGCCTCCTGACGAAGTCATCATGCAAGAATGGGAAGAGCCGCACCCCGGTCGACGTTTGTCTTGCCCGGCTGACACGCCGACCGAGTGGGTTACGTACATTGGGGACGGAAGGGGTGGCATGGCCGCAAAAGGCCAGAGGCCACGCGGCATGGGCTTCGATTCCGCCCGCCGGTCATCCGACGCTGGTGGGCACGGGCACGGGCACAACTGGCACAGGAACGTCCGCGGGCGGAACCTGCCTAAGCAGCTGATCATAACCTGCTCGAGCCATGACGAGAAGCCGGAAATACATACTGCTCCACTACCGCGCTCCCGTGCGGAGCTTTATGGAAGCACCACTATCAAGCAAAATGCCATCATGGAGGCCACGACGCATGAGCTGGATGGGTTTTCTGCCGATTTGACCGACAACGAGAGTGACACAACCATGGTCTCGCCTTCCCCTGAAACAAGCGCCTGCTTCCAGGACTCTCCTGCTCAAGGGCTTCAATTCACCGACTTCTCAAACTACCTGGGCGATTGCATGGACACCGACGATACCGACCACAGCTCCTTCACTCTGGGCACAGATACCGATCTTTTCTCTGGCAGGGCCTCCGACGAGGACCTCTACGGGTGGGATGCTGTTATGGACCGCAGGTTCATAAATCCTTTTGAGGACTCGGTGACAGCATCTCAATCTAGACGCGGCAGCAGATCGAAGCGCAGCTTGTTGCAACGAGTCTTAAGCTCCGGTGGGCTGTCTGCGCGGAATTCGCTATCAGACTCTTCGGGTCCCTACTCCTTTGCCGACGGCGAAGCACCGCCACCATGCGGTTAAAGGATCCGAGTCAACCGGCTACGCTTTTATGTGTTCTTTTTTACATTACGATGGATCAGATTCTTGAATTTGCGTTTGGCGCACTGGAGGAAGCATGCATATCAGGACCAAAAAATAGACGGACAAATGTCATTCACATGCGAGGCGTTCAACGGGTCAAGTTTATCTTGGCATGGCTCTGATTTTTCTTCTTCTTTTCTTCACATACCTTGATGTCTTTCCTTTTTTTTTTCCTTCATTTTTCTGTCTGCTTGTTCTTGTGGCTTTGTATTCTTTTCCTTTTTGTTTCACTCTCTGCTGAACCAGGGTTTGCCAATGGGTAGCCAAACTACCCTCTGCACACCCAGAGGGGCCCATGCATACCGATTACGATGGGATGTGTCCCTGTACAGCCTCGCCTTGCATCACTTTGGAGTACTTTAGGGCATTTGACGTCACTCAAGGACGACGATTTTGGCAGCACAGATGATGGATGGTACTGGGATGAGAACGTGAAAATGAAGCATTTAGCAGCGGCGCCACAAAGTCTATAGGGCGGCATCTGGCTGGGTCTTGTTAGATGGTGGATGCAATGAATGGACCACGACACTGATGTACGACCTACCGAACTTCTCGAGATAGTTTGGCAAATCTGCCTCTCAACTAATGTCTACGTTTACATTGTGGGGAAGAGTATCGTATATTGAACGACTGTGACTGAATAGCCTGATGGCTGAGTTTGAGCCTTGTCAGTGTACAACCGCCTGCTGTGGTGTCTGTCTCCCTGCCCCGCCACTTGCCTCAAGGGTCGGGCAGAGATCAAAGAGCCGGTAGACATAATGCCATTATCGATCAGTGAATTCATCTTGGTGGCTTCTGCACACGATTACGCACTGGAGGGGTTGCGATCAGGGTACCTGCCTGTTGCCAGATATTTGGAACCAGGGCGAAGGCTGGGCTGTCTTGGTCATTGTAGACACTTGACAGCATGTACAATAGCCTCAACGCCAAGTGGGATAAGTTTGCACAACATGTCTGGCCTTGTGATATTTGAGGACCGCGTATGTCCCTCTCGTTCGCAAGAAGCACCCGTGCACTCTCTGGCTGGATCCGCCCACTCTCCACCCTAATCCACCATCCCCCCCCTTCCAAACGTCCTTGTCGCTTGTGAATAAGACATGGACGCTCACACGAGACATGGGACTCAGAGCGTTACGGACTCTGCATCTCGAGAGACAGGAACAGGACGGACTCAGCCGTGCGGACACGCAGATGACAACAGTCACGATGACATAGTCAAGGACTAATCTCACCTAGCCGCAGTGATTTCCTCGCTGATGAAGGAATTATGATGGAAGATGTACGACACTGACAGTCCGACACATATCATAGTGCTACTGGCGACTGGCTTTGGAGATGCCGCAGTGAGACAGTGGTAGCCTTGTCCGACAGCATGGTAAGTCCAAGTCTCACTGCGCATTGTGTGCATGTTCACGGATTGTGACATCCTCTCATGGTCATTTAGAGCGTAGACCAGGGCTCCTGCCTCATACGCCGGCCGTGAGAATAAGAAACACAGGCGGGAGACACCGCTGCCGCGCGATACAGCAATGTCTCGGAATATGGCATGTCTCAAGATCACCCAAGAACGAGACGATTGTTATCGATGGCTTTTTTCTTTCATCTCTTTTCATTGATGTGGTTGCATCACATGGGAATCTCTCTCTGTCGTCAGACGTGAGAATGTCTCGTTGGCGCATGCGCGAACATACACACACACACATGCGCGCGCGCGCGCGCATATACACAAACACTCGCCCTGGACTATTCAAACAACCTCCTATAGCGCTAGCTGAGATTGGGGTCGTCCCAACTGCAGTCTAGTGGAAGGAAACGTGCCATCCATGTAAGAGCTCCCTCCCATTTGGGCGCCTTCTATCCAAACGCCGACTCCAATGCTGCCAGCATATCCAAACCCGGATCCCGAGACCGAACCCGAACCCCCCTGGCTTCCTATCGAGCAAAGACTTGTCTTCTCCTATTCCTCGTTTGCGGGCTTGTCGTGCCTCGAGTACATCTTGTACTCCAGCCCTGTGCTGAAGTCAAGCTTGCCCTGCTCGACCTGCTTCCGTGTCGCGCTCAACATGGGCTTGGGCAGACCCATGGATTCCAGGAAAGCAACCGCTGTGGACACGCGACGGGTCAGTATAATGCGTGGGCGCAAGTGACACATGATAGGCAGGGAGGGCGATATTGTTATTTGGGCTTGGTTACTCACTTTCTTTCCATTCAACTTCCTGTCGCCTTTTGTCCCAGGATAGCTCCGATGCCATGATATCAATCACCTGGGGCAGACACTCGAGGGCCGCCTGGGCGTTCAGAAACGCCAGCCTTGTTCTCCGGGCCAGGACATCAACTGCGGTCTGGGCGTACTCATGGCGGACGGCATACCGGATCTCGCCATCCACAAAGGGGTACAGCTGAGAGACGCGCTCGCCGCGCGCAGGGAAGCGCTTGTCCGTCGGCCGGCACAGGGCGGCAACTGTCCAGGCGCGGTCACCGTAGTTCTCGCAGAGGTGCTTGGCGACCTCAGTCTCGACACCGTAGTGCTGGATCAGGTTGATGAAGAGCGTCCGGCTCCAGCCGTGGGCGCCAACCAGCCTGACCCTGTGGGACTGGCATGTACCGTCCAGGATTGCTCCGTCGTCGATGGCGTCGGTGCCGCTCACACGGGGAGCATTAGGCACGGGCCGAGTCTGCAAGCCGAACTCCTGGATGGCGGCGTCGACGCACTCCTCGGCCATCTGCCGATAGGTCGTCCACTTGCCGCCGGCGCAGGTCACGAGGCCAGATGAGGAGATGTCGATCAGATGGTTGCGCACGAGGGACTCGGTGTTCTTGGCCTTCGGATCCTTGACCAGCGGTCGCAGGCCGGACCACGCAGCCAGGACGTCACCGCGACGCACGACAATGTCGGGCGACAGGTAGTTGCTGACCTCCTTCAGGATCCACTGGATGGACTCCTCGTCCGGCATGGGGTCCTTGGTGACCTTGGCCGGCTTGTCGGTGGTTCCGGCGATGGTGTTGCCCTGCCATGGCAGAAAGAAGATGACACGGCCGTCCGAGGTGGACGGGTCGATCAAACCCATCTTGGCGGGGCTGTAGTAGCCAGGCAGGATGACGTGAACACCGGAGGCGGGGGCAACGATCTCCTTGCAGTCCTGCTCGTCGAGCTTCCGGATGCCGTCGGTGAAGGGGCCGGTGCAGTTGATGATGCATTTTGCCTTGATGTTAAACTCGTCCGAGGGCTGGCCGTCCCTCTCGGGGACCAGGTCCTTGAGCCTCGCGCCAGACAGCTTGCCGTTCGCGTCCTTGTGCAGACCGGTGACCTCGACGTGGTTAACAACGGTGGCACCGTAGAGGGCGGCGGTCATTGCTATCGACACGTTCATGCGGGAGTCGTTGTGCGCACCGTCGTAGTAGACCAAGGCGCCGACCAGGTCGGTCCTCTTGAGCATGGGGAAGGCCTCGATGGCCTTGCTCTTGGTGAGGAAGTAGGAGCTCTCGATGCCCTCGCTGCCGGCCAGGAAGTCGTAGAACTTGGTGCCGGCCCAGTAGTAAGGGGCCTTCCACCACTTGTCCAGGGGCAGCATGATGGGCAGCCAGGAGCTGAGATGGGGGGCTGTCTGGAGGAAGTACTTGCGCTCCTTGAGAGCCTCCCTGACCAGCTGGTACTGGCTGTAGTCGAGGTTCCAGACGGCCTTCTCGAGGTAGCGGACACCCCCGTGGACCAGCTTGGTGCTCTTGCTGCTGGTGCCAGAGCTGAAGTCGTCGCGCTCGACGACGGCGACCTTGAGGCCGCGGGTGGCGGCATCGACAGCGACGCCGGTACCAGTGGCACCGCCGCCGATGATGAGCATGTCGTACTCATCAGACTTGTCGGCGGCAGGGCTGGCGCTCTTCTTGAGGTCTGCTATTTGCTCCAGGCGGGACTTGACACGGGGGAACTTGGGCAGTGTGAAGGTGCCGTCTGCGCCGTAGATGGGCGGGGGCACGGCGGCGGCCTCGTGGCCGGGGATGTTGCGGGGCCGGTAGACGTAGAAGAGCAGCCCACCACCGGCGGTGGTAAGACCGACTGGCAGGGCCAGGCGGCGGAGCAGGCCGGGGCGTGCTCTTGTGAAGCCAGACATTGCGACTGGCTGAGGGGGGTTTTGCGCGCGCAAGAGGACAGTGAGGGGCCGAGGGACTTTAAGCTATAGGGCAAAGCCGGCGAGGCGGCAGCTTCGAGGCTGCAGCAGGGTATATGGTGTTGTGGGCGGAGGGTGGTAGGGAAGGGAGATCGAGTAGGTCAATTAGGGTGTGTTGATTAGAGAAGTGGGAAGAGTATAAGGAGTACCCAGTGGCAGGATGGGCGTCACTGCGAGGAGGGCTGGTCAGTCAGTTCTTGTCGTCGTCGAGGGGATGGGGTCGTGGAAGTTGGGGTTGGAGTTGGAGTTGGAGTTGGGCACGAGGGGAGAAAAAGGAGGCGAGGGTGGAGGGGGATGGGGATTGTGTGGGTGAGTAGAGTAGGGAGAATTAGAGTTCGGGCAGCAAATCTTGGTATTGCCGTGCAGAGGAAAATGTGATGCAAGGCTGCTCACACAAGAAGGCGTCGTGGAGGTGGACGGCTGGAGTCGATGCGACGATAGTGTAGGTAGTGATGGGCTAGGAAAAGGGAAAGATTACGGTCATGGAGAGACAAAACTGGACAGGACCGGGCTGCCTGGAGGGCTGAACTGTAGACAGATACAGCAGATGGAGTTTTGCGAGGTCAATTGGTAGTTGGAAAGGAAAGTAACGAGAGCCAGGACAGAAAGTGGTAGTGGTAGTGGTAGTGGTAGTGGTAGTGGTCGTGGCTGGAAGTCGACCTGAGGCCAGCACGATGCGTGGGCCCTGTCGACCAAATGATGACGTTTGGCGGGGGGAGTTGGGCCTCGAAGCGGAGTTCTGTGAGCCTTGTGTCTGGGTTGTGCTATGTCTCTTGGCCTGCTCGGACCTGGAATTTCTGTTTCAAGGACTTGATCTGGCCTGCTGCAGCCCAGCTATGGAAGCATCGTGAGGCGAGACGAAAAGGCAATGAGATGCGATGCGATGCGATGCGATGCGATGCGATGCGATACAGTCCAGCCCGTCTAGCCAATTGCTTGCTGTTTGGAATTTTTTTTGGGGAAGAGTCGATTGCAGGCCGGGCCATCGACACCAGGCTGGATTTGGGACAAGTACACCAGTCTTGCACCGAGGGTAGCACTGGTGGACTCTCGGATTCCCCGATCTGGACTTGCCCCCAAATTCCCCCCTTCCCGGTGCCCCGTCCCCAGGCCTAGAATACTCCTGCCCTCCTGCCGCCTGCCCACCCCCAAGATTTCGATGCACTAGATGCAGGTCCACTCGTTCGTCCCTGCCACCACCACAAACACACACAATCCACAGGAGCCGCCTGTCAGGTGCCAGGTACCTGGTACGTCTCCAACAAGCTCCGGCTCGAGACCCCACCTCTCGAGATTTTCCGCCAATCAGCTCGATCCTCTCACTCTCTCCATTTTCACTCTCACTTACTCACTCAATCCCTCACTCACTCGTCCTTCACTTGCCTCTCGCTCAACACACACGCTCCCTCTGTTTGGCCTGGCAGGCACCCAGAAGTCACCGCTGGTCAATCAAACAACCCTCAGACTCATTCAGGATATTCTCCATTGGCTGCCTGTCTCTCATATCACGCACAGTACCGTGGGCCATGTGGATAATCATTGGGTATATAATTAGATATGGATGTAGACTTAGATATAAAGACACACATACAACAAATACGCGTACACATACATACACATACATACACATACAGACAGATATAGACAGATGGCCTCCATGTCTCCTATCTCTCGTCCGCTAACAGCAGACGTATAGACTACCTCCCCTCCACGCAGAACCCAAACAGCTCGTCCACAAACGTCGGTGCCTCCGTCAGCTTCTCCGCCTCCACGTTGGATACCTGCACGCCAGATCCGATGTGCACGCTCGACCGGTCGTTGCCATGCGCCCCCAGCGGCCTCATCTCGATGCCACGGCCGCCCCTCGTCTCTGCACCAGCACCGGCTCCGGCCCCGGGCCCCGCCCCAGCCATGCCCATGCCCATACCCATGGGTCCGCCAGCCCCCGCCCCCACGCTCACGCTCGCCCCCAGGTCGCCGTGCCCGCCCGTCTCGCTCGCCCTTCTCCGGAGCAGCGACGAGCCCGCCCGAGAGAACGACTGGCGCCCATGTCCGCTGTACTGGCTGGCCCCCGAGCTCTCGTTCACCTCCCCAGCCCGCTGCACGTTGACCGTGATCTCCTGCGACACCATGATCCCGCCAAACGATGATGCTTGCGCCGGCGGGCCCGACATCGTGTGTGGCGCCGGTGACGGCGATGGCTGCGGACCAGGTGTGTGCGGTGGCGGCGGGGATGACATCGGCGAGTGCAGCTCCTCCATCGCGTACGCCGGCGGCGCCAGCCCGTGCAGCACCCCCTCCGACGTGGATTCCACCGAGCCCACGCCGGGGCTGGTCTCGCCACCATTGCTGTGCCTGCCGTGCCACAGCTTGAGCGTCGAGCTCGACTTGCCCGAATCGGCCCCCCACGACGACGCCCGGTGCAGTGTTGTCGGGATCGGTACACCGTCCCCGTCCACCGCCCCGCCCCGCTCGCTGCCCGACGTCTGCGGCCGCCCGCTCCTGAACAGCCGACTCGCCATCCGCGCGTCTCGCAGCGACGCCCGCCGGGAGTGCGACGTCGCCGCCCCCGCCGTTTTGCCTGCCCTCGCCGCTGCCGCCGGCACCGCGTTGATGATGGGCGCCAGCTCGCGGTGCACCGACCGCGTGAACGCGAGGTGGTTCGGCGAGTCCTTGTAAACAAGCTGGTGCACCTTGAACATGTTGAGCGGCACGAACTCGCACTTGGGGCTCTCCACGTTCAGGTGGATCGGCACCACGATCCTGAATGAGATCACCGTGCAGGTACCCGGCGACGAGCCCGGCGACACCGGCCGGCACGGCACCTCCACCGTCTTGGAACACAGCACCGCCTCGTCGAAGATGCTGTCCTCGACCCACCCGCGGAGCGATTCGATGCTGTCTGTCAGCTGCGACGCGAACATCATCTCCTTGTGCGAGATGTTCTTCAGCCCCGCCAGCCGCCTGGCAATATGGTGCGGCGTCATCCGCTCAAACTGCCGGAGGAAGTTCATCTGCCACGCGTCCAGGCGCGCCAGTGGCATCTGTACCGATGGCAGCAGGTTGCGCGCGTTACGCCGGGCCAGTACGTCGAAGCCGTACGCGTTGTTCACCCGCGCCTGCACCCCAAAGAAGCCCACGTGCACGCCCGGCTCCAGCATCGCATTGTTCTCGGCAAACGCCGACATGGTCCGCAGCTTGTTCTCGATGCTTCGCGTCTTGATCTGCATTGTCGACCCGATAATCCCGCTAACCTGGTGCAGCTCGGCAAAGCGGTAGCCCGCTGCTGCCAGGCTCTCCATATCCCGTGTGTTCTCGACACGGCGGACCAGGAACATGAGACTACCACGGCCAAACTCCTGGTACGGCTGGCGGAACACACCCTTCTCGGCGAGGTCTTCGAGGCTCGCGCCATTCATGCCGTCCACACTACGTTGCGCCTGGCCGTCGACGCCGGCCGCGTGCTCGGGGCCATATTGGTTCTGGCGGGCTTGTGCTTGAGCCCGGCCGCCCGCACCAGTCGGGAGAATTTCGTCCCACAAGATCCCGACGTTGGTCAGCTGTGTCTTCATCTTGTCTGCCAGCCCTGCGGCGGCCGCGCAAAACAATTCGCGGAAGATGACGTCGTAGTTCTCGATGAGCTCGCCATGGTCTGTGATGAGCTTGATGCCTCCCCTAGAATTGTCGCGCCCATTGTGTGGAAGGTGAGACAGGTGGTTCGAAATACCATTGATGATGCTGGTGATGCTGGACCAGTTCCTTGAGGCCTGGAACATCCATTGGAACAGTGGGTGGGCCACGGTGAACGAGTCCTGTGGCGTCTTTTCCAGGAAAGAGTCTGTGATCTTTTCACTGGGAAGCAACCCGTCTGGGCTTACAAGCACACGCCCGTGCTTGTCGAAGACGGCTGCTGCCAGCACGACCTGTTGTGCCTTGCTGGCATACCGCGACATTATACGGGCGGTGTACACGGCAAAGGTTGCCATGACAAGACAGGCACCCACAGACTGCGTTTTCCATGCGTCGTCAGCTTGGTCCGGCCCGCATGAGATTGGGTGCGTGGGTTCTGCGACTTACCAGACAAATAACGACGATGACGGTTTCGTTCCTTGAAAGCTGGTTGTTGTCCCCGGCGAGCGCAATCAACTTGTACGATGTACCTGTCGAGGCACACCAGTGCATGCCCGAGACAGCACCAGCCAACAGCACAGCCGAAATGATTCTCTTCCACCACGAGTTGGTCCACCCAGCCCGAAAGACGAAGAAAAGAGACAGGGCGATGATACTAGCAGCCACAGCAATCAAGGCCGCACCTACGACGTTGGCAATATTGTAGATACAAACGTAGTTGTTGATGGAGGCATTCCCGAGATAATGCATACCGCAGATGGCAGCGCCAGCGAGCGTACCCCCGATGGCGACTCGCCACCAGGAGACCTTGTCGTTGGTTCCGATGGCCACGAAGGCGGCGACGAGGACAAGAATGGGCATGAAGAATGAAAAGGCCGTGAAACCACTAGAATATGCAATCTGAAGTGATGGCTCCCCGCCTGCCATCTGGATAGCTCGATTGCCGATAAAGTGCATGCACCAGATGGCGATGCCACCCATTGTGATGGCCGCACTGATCAGCAACAAGCTTTTCGGCGACTCACAGTCAGCAAGGATACCATCCCGTCTCCTGGTAACTGGGCAACGTACTGATTTATTCTACCCTTTGGAGCTGTCCTCCGGTTGATCAACTCCAGTGTCGATGCCGCCCCAATCAAACTCACCACGTAGCTCAACGTCACGAAGCCCGCGTTGAAGGAACGCGGCACAATCTGGTCCTTCCATTGCGCAATGAGCTGCGCGGCTTCCGTCCCATTGAGAGACATCGTTCCTGTGGCTTTCTTGGTGATGGAACGGTCTATGTCGACTTCTGAATGGCGCCAGGACTGCGCTGTATCTTGGAATGTGGCAGCAGTAGGCACGCAAAGGTCAAGGTCGTGTACACACGAGGGACCCCTGAGACCAGAGGTCGGGATGCGTCCTGTATATATGACGAGCTGCTCTCGAGCGGCGACCTGGTTCGGCCCACAGCCGAATATTGTGAGATTCTCCAACAGGTCCAAACGTGCAGGACAAGACCCGGCATCCAGACACTCGATCGGACGCGGCGACGCTCGGTGTTGGCGAAGAGGCTGCGCATAGACGCCCTCGCTGAGGTGGACCAGCAAATCGAATATCAGATCCAGGGGCAGTTGTGTCGTGCCTACCGCGGAGAGAGAGGGGACCAGACCGTTGGGTCCGGGATGCCTGGCTCCAGAAACGTGGACTAGCCGGAGCACCTACCGAAAGGCGCGTTACTGAGAAAGCTCAAGAGCGAGGTCTGTGGGGAGACGGCGGGAGAATTGGTGTCTGTCAGAAGCCCACGAGGACCTATAATAGTGCCTTCGGTCATGACCTGGAGGCAAGCTCTAGTTAAGGGGATCGCGTGCTCCGTCGCCACGAGGAAAATACATGCTAGGGAGCGGACGCGGACACAGATATAGCCAAGTGATTTACTGGTCGTGCCTGGAGGGGAAGAGAGAGAACCAAGCATGGAGGCACGCAGGGCAGAGAGGTTCTGCACAAGGTCCGAAACGAGCCGTCTTAGGGCCAATATGACGGTCCTGTGGGAGACCGGAGAGTAAGACATCGAGAGAACGCTGCCGTGGATGGCAAGATCCGCAAGTGGCCACTGGCCAGCGGATACGGGCCAGCAACAGATGGCTGTTGTGCAGTGATTCAAATCAAGAGGCACTAGTAGTTTCTTGTGCGTTCTGGCGTTTGGCGATGAACGCATACCCCGAGGCCCAAGCAGGCGGCGCTAACCGTGCGGACTGGGCCTGTCTCGTCGATCGAGGCTGTTGCTGCGACCAGGCCAAGAAGGGTTCGACTGCCGCGCACAGTCGTCGCCCAAGTTCGTATCTAGTGTTGAGCCCCTTTGGAATTGATTCCTGGGCTACTAAACCACAAGGCATGTCGGCTCACACACGACGAAACCAACTGATGCTGGGCGGCACTGGCCGAATAGAGGCGGCGTTTCCCACTTGCCATTTTCTAATTTCTATTCTCCATTGTCTCTGGGCATGGTCTCGGGCCGTGGGAAGGGAGCGGCGATGCGGCCTCGCCGGGGATAAGGGAAATGGAGAAAGACTGTTCAAAGACTGTTCAACCTCAACAAGAGACAAGATCGAGGGAAAAAGGAAGGGCTGTCTCTCGGTATGGGAGGGGGAGGTCAAAGCAGAGAGTCGTCGACGCAGGCGAAGACGTCTCCGATCACACTGCACGCAGGCGTTCGGGTCGCAGCCGAACATGACAGATCTGGGCAGGTGATCTTGGTCACATCGCGGCGGTAGCAATCCCTGGAGATGAGATGATCGACCGGCAAGCTCTTGCAGGCGCATGAACTGGGGCGGGGAGAGACAACAGAGCAAGGGAAAACCCTGCCTGGTGTGAGCTGTGCGTCGTCGAGTCGAGTGATAAACACAACTGAGTTGGTGGCTGTCCAGGAATTGATCTGGCTGCCCCCGTAGCAAGCCACCCTCATCTCGAACCCGACCTTTCAGCCTGGCAAAGAGCTGACCACATAGACATATCTTTGTTTTTCGATGGTGCTCATGCCCATTCCGTGCCGGCCAGGAGACGGGCAAGCTGTTTATCGGACATGCTTTTGATGCTCATGCTGGTGGGCTCTGGGCGACTTTTTAGCGTGCTGCGAAGCAAGATGATACGGCCGTGGCCCAGACCATTTGCTTCTGGTGATTCAAGGGAGGAGCCAATATGTGTTGATGCGTCGGATTGGTTGCGACTTGTTCCTGGCGGTGCCGTCACTCGACGCTAGGTTGTGCGACGGCGTGAGTGAGAAGGCCTGTGCCTGTGCCTGTGCCTGAACTTGGTCGTGCTTGGGTCCGGACGCCCAAACAAGCATCGCGCGTGTTGATGATGGCAGGATGGTCGGCTCTGGTAGGCCCAAGGGTCCAGAGGAGATGCAGAGAGAGATTGGGATGGACAGACTGACAGACTGACAGACTGACAGATGGACTGACTTGCATGAAGGTGGCAGGCATACAACCAGGCACGCCAGGCAGCCTGGCAGCCCTGGGTCGGTCCCAGTGTCCCATTCTACAGGGGGGAAACACTGACAGGTCTGTCATCTGGGTGGTGATAGGATAAGAGCTGCTCCTCTCTGTGTGTGTGTGATTTTAGGTTGAATGCCATTGTTTTCCCGAGATTTGAGTTCTGAGAGTCGAGTCTGGTGTGTTAGACGTGCATTGGGCTGTGTTGGAGGACAAGACAAAAGCCAGCCAACCTTGCACAGCAGTTCCCCAACACAGTAATTACCGAGGTACTCACACACACTCTCTCTCTCTACCTGTGCATTCCCGGGCAGACCCCGCCACCCACCACGGCAGGGAGCGTTTTTTGTACCATCGCCTTTATCTTTATCGGTAAGTGATAGCCTAGATAGTAGACTAGATGCTGCGTCATGGCATCGGAGGACATTGAAAAAAAATATCCCACACAGCGCGACAACCAATTGGCAGTCAGCAGCCACTTCGACAACTCGCCGTGACTTGTCTCTTTGCATACAGTATCAATTGTTAGATGCTTTTGGTTGCAGAACGGCATAATCCAAGCCGAGACCAGTATTTGGGCTCTTTGCCCGCCGGCACAATTCCCCACCAAGAAAGGCGTCGACGATATCGGTGACACACGACCTCGGCTCGAGGCTGCCCTCGATGGCTTCACACGGCGACGCCAAGGGCGAGGGCGAGGGCGAGGGCGACATCAGACTCAAGGCGCTGCCAGCCCTGAGCCCGGAGCTCTACCAGCGCGCATGGGCCTCGATCCCCCATCCCACCCTGCCCCTCCTGGCCACCTGCCACTCCAAGGCCGTCACCATCTACTCGCTCTCCTCGCTCTCCTCCCACAGCTCCCTGACCGGTGGCCATGCCCGCTCCGTGCGCACCGCCGCCTGGAAGCCCGCCATGGCCCCGCACAAGCTCTGCCTCGTCACTGCCAGCTTCGACTCCACCGCCGCTTTGTGGCGCTGGGACGGCGACAACCTTCCTCTGCCCCTGCCCTCCTCCGACTCGGCCCCTGACCGCCCCACCAGCCTCGAGGTCGACGTCACCGCCGCCGCCGCAAAAGCCCCGCGGCCCGCGTCCCGGGACCCCGCCGCCTCCGACAAGGACGATGACGACGACTGGGAGTTCTCCCTCGTCCTCGAGGGCCACGACTCCGAGGTCAAGTCTGTCGCCTTCTCCCCCTCCGCCCAGTATCTGGCCACATGCAGCCGCGACAAGACCGTCTGGATATGGGAGGACGTCGGTGCCAACGAGGCCGATGATGAGTGGGAGACGGTCGCCGTCCTCAACGAGCACGAGGGCGACGTCAAGTGCGTCACCTGGTGCCCTGACGTGCCCGGACGCACCGCCAAGGGCAAATACGGTGCCGATGTCTTGGCAAGCAGCAGTTACGACAACACCGTGAGGGTGTGGCGCGAGGACGGGGACGGGGAGTGGGTGTGCGTGGCCGTCTTGGAGGGCCACGACGGAACCGTGTGGGGTGTGCAATGGGAGGCCGACCCGGACAGGAAACAGTTCCCGCGGTTGATGAGTTTCTCGGCGGACAAGACGATCCGGATATGGACTCTAAAGGAGGACGACGAGGTGGAGGATGGCGGCGACGGCAGAAACCCGATGTTCCGGCCCGGCTTGGGCGGCATCCCCAACACGATGCGCCGCTCGTTGAGGGAGGACTGGGAATGCACAGCCGTGCTCCCTGCTGTGCACAAGCGGGACGTGTACTCAGCGGCATGGAGTGCCGCTTCAGGTCTCATCGCCAGCACAGGAAGCGACGGGATTATCGCTATCTACAAAGAGGATGTTTCTGCCGTCAGCGGCGGCTCGGAGCCTTCGACCGACAGGACAACAGAGCCATCGGGGCGGACCGGCAATGGCGAGGCGACCACCGTCAATGGCAGCTCCGAATCCTCAAGGTGGCGCGTGGTGAACAATATCGAGAACGGCCACGGGCCCTACGAGATAAATCATGTGACTTGGTGCCGTAGGTTTGACTCTGGGACCGAAGACCGTGGCGTGGAGGAAATGCTTGTCACCACGGGTGACAACGGAGTGGTCAAGCCATGGCAGGTGGTCGCCTCGTAGAGCCATGGAAATGACGGATGCCCCCGCAAGAAGCGAAGGGGCGGCGCTGGGCTTGTGATCTATAGACTTCTGCACAAAGCACCGTTTCACACATAACAGACGCCCCTGTTGAATATACCCAGGATTCCCAGCGCCGCGCATAGGCGGCATTCAAACTCCCCTTGTCAAGCCATGTCTGCAAAGACGCGCGTAGCCTTTCTTTACCTTGAAGGTTGCATAGCTTTGTGCCTTGCGGCCAAACATATGTGGATGCTCATTCTAACGACTGGAATGACTATAGTCAATGGGCTGTAGGTTTCGTCGCACTCAGCAGCGAGGATATGACACGCCGAATGAGGTTGCCGGTCCAGCCATGTCAAGTCAAAACGCGCATATATGCATTGATCCATCCCATGGGTTACTCCTACAACCTGTACAGCATTGGAAGGACTACTTTTACAAAGGAAACGCTCCCGCCCTGGACGGCGTCCTCCCTCAATAGGAAATGTATGCTGGACCGCCGGCTACCTTCCGGTACTCCTAGGTTCTCTGATAACTGCTTCTTTATACCGGATACCCCACCATTTACTCTCCCTTCAACTTGTCCTGCTTCACCGTGAACGCAACCTCCAACAACTCCTGTTCCTCCTTGACGTGGTTTGCCTTCAGACCCGTCGCTACCGATGCACTCGGGTTGCGGCCCGCGTACATGACATGCTTGTGGTCATGATGCTGCGTCTCGTTGAGCAGCGTCTCGATGCGTGGCTGCGTGAAGCTCCATGCGCCAGCATTCAGCGGCTCCTCCTGCGCCCAGACGATCGTCTTGGCGTTGGGGTAGCTGTCCAAGTTCTCCTTGAGTTGCTGCCATGGGAATGGGTTAAGCTGCTCGATGCGAGTGATAGCCACGTCGTTGATGCCATTGTCGGCACGGTACTTGTGCAGCGCCGTGTACACCTGTCCATTGCAGATTATGACACGGTCGATCTCTTCGCGGGGCTTGATTTCGCCGGCCTGGTGAGCTGGATCCTCGATGATCCATTGGAACTGAGAATCGCCGGAGAACTCTTCAATGTTGGAGCGAGCCAGCGGGTGGCGGAGAAGCGATTTGGAGAAGAAGATAATCAAAGCTGCTCATGGTGTTAGCACGAATATCATGGGTTCAAAACAGTCATCATCACAACTCACGCTTTCGGAACTGCCTGTTCATCTGGCGACGCAAGACGTGGAACAGGTTGGCTGGGGTAGTCATGTATGCAATCTGCATGTTGCAGTCCTGGTGCTGGCGCTGCAGCTTGTCCTCAGATGGGAATATGCGTGGATCCTCGTTGCTGAGTTGCAGGTAACGCTCGATACGGCCGGAGGAGTGTTCGGGTCCTTGCCCGTCGTATCCGTGAGGGAGAGATAGAACAAGGCCAGTCCTCTGCATCCATTTTACCTCGCCAGAGGCGATGAACTGGTCAATGACACATTGTGCATTGTTTGCAAAGTCACCAAACTGAGCCTCCCACATCACCAGAGCATTTGGCGAAGATAGAGAGTAGCCGTACTCGAAGCCCATGGCGCCATACTCACTCAGCGATGAATTTGAGATGACGAACTTGCCCTGGTCCTTGCTGACGTGCTGCAAGGGGGTGTACGTGTCCTCGCTTTCCTGGTCGTGGAAGACTGCATGGCGCTGAGAGAAGGTTCCACGCTCAACATCCTGTCCGGCGACACGGACATGGTGTCCTTCGGAGACGAGAGTCCCGAATGCCAGAGCCTCAGCAGTTGACCAGTCAATGTTCTTTCCCTCGTGCACGGTCTTGGTCCTGTTGGACAGGATTCGCTTTAGGTTGCGGTGGATGTTGAAGCCCTCAGGAGCGTTGCCAATGATCTGACCGACGTGGTCCAAAGTATCCCTCCTCACGGCAGTAGGAAGATGAGGCAAGACCTCGGTGGCCAGCTCCTTGGGGGACTTGAATCCGTTCCATGCGGATGTGGTCCACTCCTTGGACGTGGGCTGGTATTCCTTAGACTTGGAGAAACTCTCTTCGAGCATACCCCAGACCCACTTCTTGTGCTCTTCGATGTCCTCCTTGGTGAAGGTGCCGTCCTTCAGCAACTTCTCCACATATATGTCAATCTGCGGGTCATGCGACTGGATCCTCTTGTACATGAGAGGCTGCGTGAAAGAGGGCTGGTCGGTCTCGTTGTGGCCGTGCTTACGGTAGCAGACCAAGTCAATGACAACGTCTGACTGGAACTCGGCCCTCCAGTCGGCAGCAAGCTGAGAGACAAAGTTGACAGCCTCGACGTCGTCGGCGTTGACGTGGAAGACGGGCGCATCAATGGCCTTGGCGATATCGGTACAGTAGGCGGTCGAGCGGGCGAAACGAGGGTCAGTGGTGAAGCCAATCTGGTTGTTGACGACCATGTGGATGGTGCCGCCAGTCGAGTAGGCAGGCAGAGACTGGAATCCAAGACATTCGTAGACCACACCCTGGGCGGCGAAGGCAGCGTCGCCGTGGAGGAGGACGCCCATCGCGGTGCGGTGCGTCTTCTCGTCGTTGTTGTAGTGCTGAATGGCACGAGTCTTGCCCAGGACGACAGGGTCCTCAGCCTCCAGATGGGACGGGTTGGCGACCAGAGACAGCTGGACGCGCTTTCCGGAGGGGGTGGGCCTCTCGAAGTTCATGCCCAGATGGTACTTGACGTCGCCAGAGCCCTCGTCCTCGGCAGCCGAGGTACCGGCGAACTCGCTGAAGATGGATTCGTTGGGCTTGCGGACGACGTTGCTGAGCACATTGAGCCGGCCACGGTGGGGCATTCCAATAACAATGTCCTTCACACCGTAGTCGACACTGCGATCGATGAGTGCCTTCATGCCGGGAACCAGGGTCTCGCAGCCTTCGAGGCCGAACCGTTTGTCGTTGGGGTACTTGGTGGCCAGGAAGGACTCGAAGCTCGAACTCCAGATGAGGCGGTCCAGGATACGTCTCTTCTCGTCGTGCGAATATGTGAAGGGCTTGGGGACCTCGATGCGCTCCCTCAGCCAGTCACACTTTTCCCTGTCAGGAATGTGGATGAACTCTGCACCAAAGGAGCCACAGTAAATCCTCTCGCAAGCATCGATGATCTCGCGCAGAGTCATCTTCTCACGGCCATCTCTCTTGAAACGGGGCAGGATGCCAGGGCCCAAGGTGTACTCGGTGTCGAGGTCCTTCTCGGTGAACTGGTAGTACTCCAGCTCCAGCTCCTTGGGCTTGATGTTTCCGAAACCCTTCTGCTCCTGACGGATGCCGAGGGGATCGATCCTTGCCTTGTGGTGGCCTCTTGCCTGGTATGCGCGCACCAGCAGCTGGACCTTCAAGTGGTTGTCGATGTCGGAGCCCTCGCCGATGCCAACACCAGCGCCGGCGGCCAGGCCGGTGACGGCGGCAGAAGAGCTAGGGACCAGGTTGGGAGGCGGCTGAAAAGCCTGCGAAATGGGCATGTTGCCGCTCTCGATGTTCTTGAAGTAGACCTGCCATGATACGTGGACGCTCTTGGGGTCCTGCTTGTACTGGACGTACATCTCGTCGATGTAGTTGGCATTCTCGCCTTGGAGGAAGTTGTCGTTTGGGTCAGGGGCATTGAAGAGGGCGCTCTTGTATCGCTTCTGGGTCGAGAGGGCGAGAGGGCGGCGGGCGGCGCAGAGGGAGGATGAGGGTTTTGAAAGACATTGCGAACGAGTCGCACGCAGCGCGGCGCTGCTGGCCCTACAAAGTCGCTGCATGATGGGCGGCGAACTGGATATCGAGGGATGGAGGGAGTAGAGTAGGGGGAGGGGGGGAAGGAAGGAGGAGGAAAAGGAAAGGAAAGGAAAAGGAAAATAGAGGAGAGGTAGGTAGCTTGCAGGAGCTAGGTTGGTGCCGGAAAGGTGGGTGCGAATGGAGTCAAGCAGCTGGCTGGGTATTGGAAAATCCGGCTTTATTATTGATGGCTCGCTACTACGGTACCTAGCAGCAGGCACAGGGCTGCCGCAGGACTGCCGCAAAGAGGACGCTGTGCAGTACCCGAGGAACCAAGCAGATACCCGGGCCGGATGTTCCCGCCACGCCGAGGAGAGGGAGCAGAGAGAGCGCTGCACAAGCGACTATGATGAAGCTCTGAATAAGAAAAGTGGCCCCTTTCGGCTATTATTGGTGATGTTGAAGAACGAAGCTGGGCGAAGAGGGATGCTGGAGGAGCGACCAGGCAGGCCAGGAGCCAGGTGAGTTGTTTTTCTTCCCCCAGACGGCGGTGCCAGCAGCAGATGACGCAGAAAACGACACAAGACTATACTTAGACCAGACGGCTACTGCAGGAGCGCGTGTGTGCGGCAGGGTGCGAGGTTGAGTGAGTGTGAGCGACAGAGAGACAGAGGGAGAGAGAGAGCCTGTGGATGTGAGTGGTGCTTCTCTCGCCTTTGTCTGCCGGCCGCCCTCTCTGCTCTGCGCTCCACCACCACTCCCGTCAAGAAGCTGCTCACACGCTTGCCGTTACAGATGCTGGAGGGCCGTCCTATCACCACCGTTGCCACGGCAGGACATATTACAGTTGCAGACTTGGGCATGACGGACCTGCATCGCCGTCCGAGCCCTCCTTTTCACTTGGCCTGTCCCCTGGTTCCCCATGCTTGCCCCCTGACAGCACAGACAACAGCCATGTGGTCCTATGGATGTGGTCCATCGCATCTCCCGGGCTCCAGATGCTCACCGTTGGCCTGTCAGCTGCCTCCTCCTCGAGTGCCTGTTGATGGTGGATGCAGCCGCAGGTTGACCGGCTGAATGTAAAAGGGGCCCAAGGGAACACCTCCGAGCCTCCGAACGGCCAAGGCACGGAGCTGCCGAGCCTTTCCAGGGATGGGGGAGGGAGGGTGGGAGGCTAGCTCTTCACGACCCGAACCCTCTTTCGTTCGTGGGCACGACGCAAATGTAAAGTACCCAAGTACTTTCCAGTCTAGCAACTCTGCCTAGACACTTACCTAAGTCGGTACCCAAGTACTTCGGTGCGCCACACTGAACGATGCTCATGCTGGTGATGAACTGTCTCGGCTGCTCACATCGTAAAGACTCAACGTTGATATAGGTTTTGACTCAAACCGAGTGCTTGTCTCTCACACTCGGGTGTCCCAGGGTTGCCAGAGGACACAGAGCGCCCGGCCTGTGTGGTCCAGAGCCCAGGTAGTCTGCCTGCCTACGTGCAAGCCAGCCGCAGTTTGGTGAAGCGGAATGAGCTCGCCTCAGCATCGACAGCCTTGACGTTTCGAGGGCGGCACGACTGAGTGAGGCACCACTCAAGAACATAAGCCCACGACGCAGCGCAGTGCAACATCTGTGCTGCTTTCCCTCTCGTCAACAAGCTCCCCTCAACATGGCTGCCCCGAGATGTAAGGCCGTCTACAAGAAGAAAGATGGCATCATCACTCTCACCGACGACCAGTCATCCGTCACCTGGACCCCTCTGCCTGGCACCGGCACCCCGACCGTCTCGCTCTCCATCTTCAATATCACAAGTAAGCCCTGGGCGATCCTCCACATTATTCGCTCCCACGGAACGCTGACTTGGTTCCTGATAGACCTTCAGAAGACCCCAGACAGTGCAGCCAAGGTGATGCTTAAGATATTTGAGAAGGCCCCCAACACGGATGGCGATCCGGTGCCCTACCTCTTCCACTTCAATTCCCCGGATGATCCTAGAGCTGAAGCCAACGTGATCAAGGACATCTTGTCTAGACTGATCACTGAAGTTCGCAACACCGATCCTTCGGTGCCAAAACCTGCCACTCCGGCTCCCACCAATGGCACACCTGCCAGCGCTCCAGATCCCAAGGCGACCGCTGCTTACTTATTCGATGACAATCACCTGAAACTGGACATTGAATTGCAGCAGGCCTTGTTGAGGAAAGACGGCGAGCTGCACAAGACCTACATGGATGCCAGGGCAACCAAGCCTGACAGTATCGGCGACGCTGCCTTCAACAACCAATTCTGGTCTACCCGCACCAACCTCCTCCGCGCCTTCGCTATCGATGTTAATCAAAAGCGAGGTTCCTACAACATCTTGCCCACTTTCAAGACCAAGACCATCCAGGACGCTGAGACGGGCGAGGAGAGGGTCGAGCTGAATATTCATCAGGCCGAGATCCTTCAGATCTTCAACCAGCACCCGATCGTGAAAAGGGCCTATAATGAGAATGTGCCCAAGCTGAGCGACGGCGACTTCTGGTCCAGGTTCTTCTTATCCAGGCTTTGTAAGCAGCTCAAGGGCGAACGAGTGTCGGACACGGACAGGCGCGATCCTGTCTTCGACAAGTATGATGCCTCTGAGGATCGTAGTGCGTATACGAGCAAGATCCTGGCGGCTCACGTGCCCCACATTATTGATGTCGAGGGAAACGAGGAAAACACGGGTAGTGTCAAGAGCGGCAACCGCAAGGATATTGAAATGCAGCCCAAGAAGAACATACCCATCATCCAGGTGCTGAATGCGACCAGCGAGAAGCTGCTCTCCAACGTAGCCCCCACAGACGGTGGCCCGGAAGACGCACCCACCGCCGAGGACACGACCTGGCGGGAGCTGGCGCTCCGTGACCTTAGAGGGGACAAGGAAGAGAACAGAATCATTCTCAATGTCAAGGAGCAGAGTCGTTTCTTCTCGGAGCAAAACCCATCCACATCTGCGAACGACAGGGTTTATGAGAAGCAAGTACCCTCAGTGGTCATAGCAGATGTCTCCTCGGATATCGACTTACTAAGAGGAGACTCATCTGGCGGGGTTGACATCCACGGAAGCATCGGAATAGACGAGGATAGCGATACCGATGACGATGCACCCAAGAAACCTCATGTAGGGTCTCGAGCAGCAAGGAAAGCGGCGCAGAAACAGGTACTCAGAGGATTGGCGCAGAGCCGGGCGGAGCAGTACGGTCACAGTTCGGATGAGAACACGCCCATGGGGATACCAAAAGACCTCAAGGACAAGTGCAAGCTCACGAATGCCACCACCAATGAGTTTCTCAAGCAATTTTGGAATGCGTTCCTGTCGGGAGACCCGGACCGGGCCCAGGAGCTAGGATATCACGTGGACTCGTTGAGGAGGTCAACGATGCGCATCGAAGCGATAGCGGACGAGGCTGAGCAGTTTAGGAACAAGCTGATCGAAGAGGAGAGGAAAAGGATTAGGGATCACTACCAGAAAACCAAAATCAAGCAGCGCTTCAAGGCAGACTCGGTCGGCGGTGGCCGGGCTGCTGTCCTGACGCTACTCGGCCCTTCCATGGCAGCTCTCGCTAAAGCGCAGAGCTTGTACAAGGCAGCATTGGAGCAAGAGGGTCTCACATTATCGACTGAGAATGATTGAGAGTAATTAAGCAGACAGCCCTCGCCTGGCACCGCCGTGTGCAACATCATGAAGTGGACCGAGAGGGGGTCAGGGCCGGGGCACTCAGTGGCCCGAGCAGGTCAATCAGCGAAAGAGCATGATCCAAAATCCCGAGGAGGAGCAGGAAAATCCGTTCTGTATGGAAACTGTACCAAGCCATGCGCCCAGATTAACCAAGAGATGAATTACCGGTGAAGCAGTTGCCCACGAAAATATAATCTCTTCCAGGGCGTTTGCTGCGAATACGATTAGCACTTTGCTTGACTGATGAGCAGTCAAGTAAATGGAACATGCGAATTAGAAAAGCTAGATTGAATCACGCTATGGAGTGAAAATTAATTACTTGTGCTTTTATGAACATTATATATAGTTCCATAGGAAGGATATGGGTGCTGTTCCCGTACTTATCTTACCCCATCGTAATCTGCATAGCTAGGTACTCCATTCACCTATATACTCAGGTTCAGTGTGTTGCAGGGGTCCCCGGCCGTCGGAGCTGACAAAGACGTTGAAGAAACGGCCTCAGAGACGACAGCCCGAATTCTCTGCCCTCGAATGCGCCAGCTCTTATACCACCACTGCACCACGGGGACCTGCACCTTGGTCATTGCTGACGGATCAATCTCGACCCTGTCCAACGACTCGAGATGGTCACTGGGGTCATCGCCTCCTTCCAGTCGTCCGAATGCATGCTGTAGGGACGAGAGCCCGCCTCCCTGCAGCGCGATGTCTACGACAGGTGAATGCGAAGTCACAGACAGCACGATCCGGAAACCCCAGGTTAGCAGGGCTGAGACCACCGCCTGGCGCCTGGATACTCCCTGGCCAGAATCGGCCCGCGTCCAGCAAACCCAATGGCCCAGATTCGCCCGACAAGCCGGATGGGAAAGAGAGTGAGGATGGGAAAGACAAGGGCGAACAGGCACAACCACCCGCAACATCAGAGACGAGCGAGAATCCTGCAGAGACCAACAAGCAACAGCTTTTCTCCCCTCTACCCTCCGCCAGAGTGCGGGCGACCAACTCCAGCGCGACGAGCAACGGGCTCCCTCCAGTCAACCTTCCGCGCTGGTTTCTAGACGAGCACGTACGCATCTCGAATTCAGATGATGCCTCAGAGCATCAACTTTGGAACAGCCTCTGGCGCTACTTCCAACCCAACCGCTCTGCTTCGAGCCCCGGCCAGGAGCTGAGCGGTATCTGGGCGTCCGCTGTGCCTGACGATGCGAGGGCAACGTCCCCCGAGCAGGCCCTTGGCCGAGAGCTCATTTCGACCATCTCTGCCGAGCTAAACGCGACGCCTCCCCCGATAAGGGCTACCAAGGAACCCAAAAGGCGACCCATCTCGCTGCTGTATGTACACAACTACAAGGGCGGTCGGGTTGCGAATGACATTGTCGGACATGTTGCCACGGAGCTGGCTGCTGATGTTATACACCTGGACGCCACAAGATTGGCCAATATTGTTGGAACATACCTGGGCTCGACGCTCTACTTTGGCCGTGCCCAGATGTCGATGCTGGGCTACTTCGCAGCTGAAGCGAATGGCAGATCCTTCACCACTCCTTCGATGATGGAATTTGAGGACGATCTGCCAGCCAAGGGGGTGCGTATCGTGAAGCTTCTGTCGCAAGTCCGAGACGACCGCGCAACGTGGGATGATCTCAAGTCATCTCATGCCCTCAAAGAGATCGTAAACTCAGCCGGTACCAAGAGGAAGCTGAACGGACATCCGGACAAGCCGGAGCGGCTCATACTGCACGTGCATAACTATGTTGAGCTCATGATGACGGCAGAGGGAGCATCTATCCTCGACAGATTACGAACTATCGTCGACCGTCTGTGGCAGGAGGGATCCAATACTATTATCGTGGGCTCTGTTTCCAATGACAAGAATGCTTCTAAGCAGTGGCACAATAAAGTCAAGGAGTTGAGCAACAGTGACTGCTATCCTATCATTTTCTCTCCTAGCAACGACGAGCTTCCAGAGCTCGAATTATGGGAACAGCAGGACAATGTTCTGGACAATCTGAGCAACATCAATTGGATGCTGGAATGTCTCAGAGACGAGCAGACACGCATATCACTACCACTCAATCGCTCCGAGTCTAACCCTAATGAGGCTGTGAATGAGCTCGTCACCTACCTCTCGAGTGGCATCTACTCGAACCACTGGGTATATCGAATCTGTACACAAGCCATTGGTCTGGAAAGGCAGACTGGCACACTCGATGCCTCGACGCTTGCCTCGGCTCTCAAACAGATGAGAATGGTAGATGAAGCGCGCTCCGAAATAGTCGGAAAATCTGCAGATTCTTCCACTTTGCCTTCACTACCCTCAAGCTCCCCAATACAGGAGCTCATGGCCTTGGGCAACACGAACACCCCCGAGGCCACTTCTGATCGGCGCAAAGGCCCTCCTGGTGATCTCGATGAAGAGGAAAAAAAGCTTCTCCCAGGCATCGTCAATGTGGACGAGATACATACAACTTTCGATGAAGTAATTGTGCCGCCTGAGACCCGCGAGTCTCTGATGGCCCTTACAACCCTTTCCATTCAGCATCCCAAGGCATTCTCATATGGAGTACTCGCACGCGAGCGCATCCATGGCTGTCTGCTGTATGGCCCACCGGGAACTGGCAAGACCCTGATGGCCAAAGCAGTCGCGAAAAGCTCCGGTGCAAACATGCTTGAAATCAGTGCAGCTTCTATAAACGACATGTGGGTTGGAAACAGCGAGAAGAATGTGCGGGCCGTCTTCTCTCTTGCTCGAAAACTGTCACCCGTGGTCGTATTCCTTGACGAGGCGGATTCACTCCTCGGCTCGCGGGCGCGCCAGCCCAATAGAGGCGGATACAGGTAGGCCAGAGTCCCCTTTCAAACCACGGAGGGTTGGCTAGGAAGGCGTAAGGTGGAGCGATGTACTGACTCGGTTATTGCCAGAGAAACGATCAATCAATTCTTGCGCGAGTGGGATGGCTTGACCAATGCACTGAACACACAACAAATCTTCGTTTTGGTCAGCACAAACTCTCCACAAGACCTGGATGAGGCCGTTCTGAGGAGACTTCCAAGGAGGATACTTCTTGACCTTCCTTTGAAAGACTCAAGGCTAGCGATCCTCCAGTCTTTGCTTAGAGACGAGCTGTTGGACCCTGCCGTCTCGCTCGAGCAACTCGCATCCGACACAGAGCTCTACAGCGGCTCGGACCTGAAGAACCTAGCCGTGGCGGCAGCCATGGAGGCAGCCAAGGAGGAGTTAGCGGCGAAGAAGACAGACGTGGCGTACATGTTCCCAGCGAAGCGTATCCTGACCAAGGCGCACTTCGAAAAGGCGACCAAGGACATCAGCGCCTCCATCTCAGAGGACATGCAGAGCCTCAAGGCTCTTCGCAAGTTTGACGAACAATACGGGGACGCCAGACGGAAGAAGAAGAGGAGCAATATGGGTTTTGAGGTCGTGCCTCAGGTCGCCAAGTCCGAGGACGCGAGGATCAGGAAATGATGAGGCGCGTGCCCGAAGCAATGGCTTGTAAATACAAGATAAACTTCGTCTATAAAGAATCTAGGTGGGCTTACCGCTTGCCATGCCTCAAGGTATCGTCCTATACGTAGGAACCTCGTGAATAATCAACCCGTGTGGCTCCATGAATCTGTTGCTGTCACAATACCATCAAGCGTTGTTATCGGTAGGTAGCAACGGCCTGTTCTTCGTTGACGCACTGAGTTGCGTGCGTCGAGGAACTAATTATGCGTGCTGCGTGTGCACGAACACTCATTGTTCTTTCTTCCAGCTAAGGCGTCCTCTAACCCATCTACCATGACGGATCGAGCCTCTCAAGGAACAGCACTTGGACTGTGATTTCTGCTTCGAACATACGTGGCGCTATGTCTATGGCGTAGTATCCCTATTCTTTCCTCGTGTGATTCGTTTCTTGGGCAGTCTGGTGACAGTCAGCAGTCTTATGTCATGGTTGGAGCTGGAAGGCAACCCAGGGAATTCTCGATCCCATTCAAGGGACTGTTGCCTTTTGCGCCCGGGACTGATTTTGTACTCGGCTAAAAACGAGGACCCAAGGACGGTTTGTGCTTTGCGACTTGAGTTCTGCAACACGGATATTTTATAGGTACTGACTAGGTGGTATGGTGATGGCTGTGTGGTCAGAGAATACTGGGACTTCGATCGTCAAGTAATCCTGTCCCAGATGGTCGAAATCCTCCTATCGCCAAGTAACCTTCCTTGAGTCATGGTATAGTCTTCATTTGTCTTTACTACATGGATCTACCAGCCGCTTGTTGTGACGCTTGTTGTGACGCTTGCTGTCTGACGAATCCCTATTGTACGCAGAGCACGAATCTCCTGTGACGTCTACCTAGCACCACTCCTTCGACGGCCTTCGTCGTGTCATCACGATCTTACCGTCGTGGTCACTGCCGTCTCAATTTCATAGCAGTCCTACTGTGTTTTCGAGTGTGACAAATTCTCAGCGTGAAACGACTATAAAAGGCACCCTCCATACAGGTCGTCAAAGGGTCTACCCTTACCATCTACACTTGGACATTTTATTGTGACTCGGTACGATTGAGTATTACATCGATTGAATTCGTACACGTACACGGCTCACAAAGGAGAAAGGATTGATTGAGCTACGATGACATTTCCGTGAACTCGATCCGCGCATCTACACACGGGCCCCCAACTTTCCCATGCACATGCCCACTTTATTCTACATCGAAACAGCCACCTTAAGAGCTCTTCTCCAGATCAGCCAGAATTTGCTCACCCTTTGCCCGGGCAGAGGCGAAGTCGCCAACCATGTAGAAAGCACCCTCAGGCAGATCGTCACCCTCACCACCGAGGATGGCCTTGAAAGAGGAGATGGTGTCCTTCAGGTCAACGAGCTTGCCCTCGATACCAGTGAAGACCTGGGCGACGGTGAAAGGCTGCGACAGGAAACGCTGGATCTTACGGGCACGCTCGACGGTAAGCTTATCGGCCTCAGAAAGTTCGTCCATACCCAGAATGGCAATGATATCCTGGAGAGACTTGTACTCCTGGAGGATCTGCTGCACACGGGTGGCGGTGTCGTAGTGGTCCTGTCCGACGACACGGGGGTCCAGCATACGGGACTTGGAGTCGAGAGGGTCCACAGCGGGGTAAATACCCAACTCAGAGATACCACGGGACAACACAGTCGTGGCGTCCAAGTGAGCGAAGGTGGTGGCAGGGGCGGGATCGGTCAAATCGTCAGCAGGCACGTAGACGGCCTGGACGGAAGTAATGGAACCCTTCTTGGTGGTGGTGATACGCTCCTGCATACCACCCATGTCGATGGCGAGGGTGGGCTGGTAACCGACGGCGGAGGGAATACGACCCAGCAGGGCAGACACCTCAGAACCGGCTTGGGTGAATCGGAAGATGTTGTCGATGAAGAGAAGCACTGTGGAGCATTGTCAGCTAGGCGAGCGTTGATGGGTTCAGCGGACGGATGACATACCATCCTGACCCTCCTGGTCACGGAAGTACTCGGCGACAGTCAGACCAGTCAGGGCAACACGGGCACGGGCTCCTGGGGGCTCGTTCATCTGACCGAAGACCAGAGCGACCTTGGACTCGCCGTCAAGCTGGATGACAGAGGTCTCCTGCATTTCGTGGTACAGATCGTTACCCTCACGAGTACGCTCGCCGACACCGGTGAAGACAGAGTAACCACCGTGGGCCTTGGCGATGTTGTTGATCAACTCCTGAATGAAGACAGTCTTGCCGACACCAGCACCACCGAACAGACCGATCTTACCACCACGAGCGTAGGGAGCGAGGAGATCGACGACCTTGATACCAGTGACCAGAATCTCGGCGGTGGTAGACTGCTCGGTGAACTCGGGGGGGTCGGCGTGGATGGGAAGGAACTTGTCGGTCTTGATGGGTCCACGCTCGTCGATGGGGTCACCAGTGACGTTCATGATACGTCCGAGGGTGGCAGGGCCAACGGGGATGGTGATGGGAGCGCCGGTGTCGGTAGCCTTGGCGCCACGGACGAGACCCTCGGTACCTGGGGTGTCCGTTAGCAACAACGCGACGTGTGGCCGGACCATTGACACTTACCGTCCATAGCAATGCAACGGACAACATTCTCACCGAGATGTTGCTGCATCGATGTTAGCTTCGGGTACCGCACTGGTAGCTGTGGAGGAGAGCGCGACGTACCGAGACCTCGAGGACAAGCTTGTTGCCCTGGTTGTCTGTCTGGAGGGCGTTCAGAATTGGGGGGAGCTTGGCCGTGTCGAATTTCACTACGGTAAAAATCAGCGACCCGTCCTCGGCACAGAGGAAGCTCTGGTAGAGCTTGGTGATGTGGTTGACTGACCGTCGACGACGGCACCGATGACCTGTTGAGGTATTTTGTTAGCCTAGGGCGGGAGGCCGGGGCGGGACGGGCGCGTCGCAGGTGGGCGTTGGGAGTGCGTACCTGGTAGATCTTTCCATCGCCAACGCTGGAGGTGCTGGCAAACCGGCTGGTGATGGGGAATTTGAAAGGAGAGGGACCGGCGCGCCTGGTGGCAGCGGCCGCGAAGGAGGGTCTCGCGCGGGCGAAGTTCCTGATGCCGCTGTTGTGAAAGAATGCTTGTCAGCTTTCGGTCGACGTCAACCGCCCGCCGAGGCCGCACGCAGCTCAATTGGGCTCAATTGGCCGCTAAGGGCACCGTGGACTGCGGAAAGGAGTAGGTGCTAACCTCTTGAACATCTTGCCAGATATCTAAGAACGACTTCTGATGGGAGTGGAGTTGGGTAGTGATGGAGGCTGGAGGAAAAGATTGAGTTGACGCGGGAAAAGTCGTTTAGCTAGAAGCTGGAGATCCGAGCTGCTCCACCCCTTCCTGCTCTGCACGTGACTCGGGATCCTGGGCAGCCGGAGCCAGATCCAGCACTCACTCACTCACTCAATCATTTACTCCTCCTTCAAAAATGAACTTCAAGACCTGACGACACGGTCAAAATCTGCATTGGATTGCTGATTGACATACACCAAGTCTACACGACGTGAAAAAGAGCCATTCACAAAAGTTGTCAGTCTCTGCTGGTTGCCGAAGCTTACATACGCGCGCGGTCGCCACCTCACTTCTGGCCACCAGGATGATGAGACAGGCCGACGCCGAGCGTCTCAACCCCAGGATCGGCACGACGTATAGAAGAGAAAATCACAAAAGGAATCCCGTGTCATAAAAAAACACTCCATGCAGATGCGAAGACTGTTTATTCATTCATGTCCCTCTTTTCCGAGATCTCGGACGACAGGAACTTCAAGCCCCGCTCAGTAGGAGTGAATAGCTGCACTGATGGCTCATCACATACACTATTGGAACAACACCGCTACACTCTCAAAATGGACAACACGTCATTCCGGTGCCCCCTGTGGCTTACATCCCCATGCAGGTTTATCCTACAAGAAAGCATCCTATAGCCAATTATCCCAAAGGAAATTATGCTCCAGAAGGTTATTCTACAGGAGGCTATCCCATACTTCCCCTGTTTCCTTTGAATCATTCTAGAGATACTGTGGCCGCGTAGCGGTTACCCGACCTGAATCTCGTTTCATATGATACGACTAAATTTGCACATTGCCTAGTTATTCGTGGACAAGGCAGTCCCGAGCTACTGTCTCTGCATGGCTAATCCGTACATTTCTTTTCTGCTCTACTTCAGTTTTGTTCTTGAGTCACAGCAAAACAGCCCCTGATGAAGTTCAGATAAATGTTTTCAGCTATCCCGCCGTGCCAGCTGACAACGCGGGCCGCTGTATCTCCACACTACAACCAGTATTGTGGTGCTCATGTGGTGGTCGACTCGAGTGCAAGAACCTGTGCACAAGCGTCAGCCTCAAGAATATCATTGAATAGTGTCAAGAGTCGAGCAACTTACAATGGCACTCCGAGATGGGATGTAGACATGTGTCCAGTTCTTGCGGTTATTCCATTCCAGCGGAGTGGTGCTGGCCCAGGATTAGTATCTGCCCAACAAGAATGGGGTTCAACAGTAATAGTCAACTTACAAGAACCTGGTGTTGGCGTCAATCGAGTTGAACCCACCCACGTCCTTGTCATCCGTGTTTAGGACAATTTTATATGTTCCTTCAACATCTACTCCAATCCGATAGTCGGTGTAACTGTTGGTTGGGTGGAAGTTGAACACAAAAACCAAACCTGCACGCTCAAAGACAATCACCTTGTCTCCATCGTGCTTCAGCGAGATGTACGCCTGCGCAGAGTGCAGCCAGCCGTATTTCGCTTCGCAGAGGTTCATCAGTCTGTCGAAGTGGTCGAGAAATTGGTACCTCAACAAGTTATCATCCGTGAGGTTAAGCTGCCGCCGGGCGTACCAGAACGAGTTCTGGTTCCCCTCTCGAGGAAAGTCGAGCCATTCGGGGTGGCCAAATTCATTGCCCTCGAAATTGAGGTAGCCCTCGCCGCCAAGAGCGTTTGTGAGGAGACGGATCATCTTGTGCAAAGCCATGCCTCGGGCAATCACGGGCGTCAGGGGAGTGAGGGTCGACATGTTTGTGTACATCTCGGCATCACAGAGGTGGAAGATCAAGGTCTTGTCTCCGACCAGGCTGTTTGCGTCAGTAAAAAGCGTACACCTGGTGCCGCTGCGAAGAGAGACATGGGAAACTTACGCTTGGTCATGACTTTCACAGTAAGCGATGCACTTCTCCCCATGTCGCCTGTTGGTCAACGTGAAACAGATGTTGGCCAGGTCCCAATCCTCGTCTTTCTTTTCCTTGAGAATTTTGATCCACATGTCGGGAATGGCCATGGCGAGGCGATAATCGAATCCTACGCCTCCCAAGGAAAGTGGCACGCCCAGAGCTGGCATTCCCGACACATCTTCGGCAACAGTGATGCACTCCGGGTAGAGCTCGTGGAGCATTTCATTGGCAAGCATGAGATAAACCACCGCCTCCTCATCGACATCTGAGCCGAAGTATTCGTGGTAGCCACCAGAAAAGCCTCTGTGAAATATCAGTAGAGTCCGCATTGGGTACACTAAAAGGTAGTACTCACGTCCCCAAGCCATGGTGAAGGTAGAGCATGCTTGTCACGCCATCGAATCTGAAACCATCGAACTGGTACTCGTCCATCCAGAATCGCAGATTGCTTAGAAGGAAACGCATGACTTCGTGGTGACCATAGTTGAAAATCCGGCTGTCCCACTGGTCGTGCTTTCCCCGGCTTCCCCCGTGGAAGTACTGATGGTCGGTGCCATCAAACTCATTCAAGCCATCAAGGACATTCTTCGAGGCATGGCTGTGAACAACATCCAGCAACACAACAAGGCCCAGGCTGTGGGCAGTGTCGATCAGCTCCTTCAAATCCTCGGGAGGGCCATATCTGCTACTGGCGGCGAAGAAGTTGTTGACCTGATAGCCAAAACTGGCATAGTAGGCGTGCTCCATGACGGCCATCAACTGTATGACATTGTAGCCAAGCGACTTGATTCTTGGGAGCATGTTCTTGGTGAACTCCTTGTAAGTGGCTACTCTGAGCTCCGGCGACGATATGCCGACGTGTGCTTCATACACGCGAGCACTGAGAGGTTTCTTTGGGCGAGGGTGCTTGAACGTGTACTTCTCCACCTGGGGAGGATTCCAGAATCTAGCGTCGTATGCAGGCGACACCGAGAGATCTTGTGTAACATACTTGATCCAAGCCGGGAGACGATCGATTCTGTTGCCGTCTGGAAGAACCAGTGAAATCTGACAGCCATGGTCAGCTAGCCGTACGCTTTGAAGAACTCTGGGAGGTGGTCACCTTGATCTTGGAATTATGAGGGATTGCAACTTGACCATGCTCGTTAGGTGGAACTGTGATCTCGAACACACCGAAATCGTTCTTCTTCATGGGATGGGAGTCACGATTCCAACCGTCTACCCACCGTTAGCAAGGAGTGATAGTGATCAAGAAAGGAGCATCCGGCTCTTACTGAAATCCCCGATAAGGAAAGCCTGCTGGGCGTTGGGAGCCCACTCTCGATAAACGACATTGTTATCCTTATCAACATTGAGTCCGAATATATCAGTGCCCTATGGCATTACAGTCAGTCAAGGGCTTGGCCCCTCAAAGTGGCGCAGGCATTTAGTTGGAGCCACAGAAAGAGAGAGAGAGAAAGGGCAACATGCCTTGGTGAACTTGGTCAGGCCACCTTCTGTCTCATCTATCTTCTTGATCCAGTCCTTGGCCTTGGAAACTCTTCTCTTCAGAGCGTCCTGGAATGGCGAGAGCCATGGGTCAATCTGCACGACACCTGGAGCCAAAGTCAGCTGTATCCTCGAAGCCCTGGTCTGTTCGCACAGCTCCCTACCTAGGTCCTGAGCGGCATCGGTGCCGAGACCAGCCTGGTCGCCGTTCTGCACCAAGGTGTTGGATGCATGCTGGGCGATGTCGGCCATGGTCGCTTTTTATGCCCTCAACACGCGGGAGCTGGGCTTTTTGAAGCTTCACGAAGCAACTGGAGAAGGGTGCGGTGGCAAGGCCAATACTTGGGGGCGATGAAGTAGCTGGGAAGGGACTGGTCAGAGCTTCCGGAGAGCTACCTGCGCACGGTGATGGAAAGTAAACAGTGAGCCCAGAAATTGACCAGAACCAATGTGATGCAGGCAAGACAGGTTCGGCGGAGGGATTGATTCTTTTATGTGTCGTATGCTCACACGAAAGGCGCTTGTGAAGTGTCGTGCAAAATGTGTAGCAAAGCAGCATGCGAGAGCTCTAGAGGGGAGAAGAGTAGCGTGATGAAGCTCTTGGTTGCACACTTATGTAGGTAGTATGACGTCGGGCAGCGATGAATTCAACGAAAAAAGATCCAGCTGGCAGTGCCGCAGTAACAACCGCCCATACCGTATCAATGCAGGTCTCCAGGCACCTGGGCGGCTTGACTGAGAACCCCAGCACAATCCCACTCATACATGCCTGCATGGTCTCAACAACGGGTCGGGGAGGCCGTATCACTGGGCCTCATTCAACGATCCTGATCTGTGATCCTGTGTACCTAGCACGCCTAGATGGTCTGCCTACCTTATAGTCTACCTGCTAGACTGAGCTGCATCTTGCAAAATTCGCACCCGTAGCCCCTCAATCTCAGGAATGGGGTGAGGGGATTAGTTGTCCAGGGTGTGCTGGGTTGACATTTTCCCCAGACCCCAGACTCGGAAGACAGCCCCTGTGGATGGGCGCGCTGGAGTGCCCAGGTGGCACGGTGGGCGGCTCGGGGTAGAAGCTTGGGGTTGTGAAGGGCAGAAAGGCGGGCACCCACGAGGCCTTAGGTAAGGGAACCCCGCCATGTTTCAATGGTGGGAGCCATGCAGGTGGACCGACGCCACTCTCCCGAGGTCGCCCATACCAACGTCTACCTACTGTAGGTCTCTACCAACATCGCCTCCGTCCCTCCTCACGAACCATCCGCCCCAAAGTGCAGCCACGTGCAGTCAGCCAACTCACCTCTGGTCCATCACACCCATACCTACCTCCTAGTCGTTCTGTCACAGCTAATAGACTGTCTCAAGAGCATTGTGCCTTCAGAATCCCCAAGGCGGGTCCTTAATAGCATGTGCAGTCTCCTAATATGATCATGGCCGCCTCACGGGGGGCGCGATTACACCTCTTGCCTCTGTCCCACGCCCGTCGGAAACCCCCAGCCCCAATCCCCTCCCGCCTGCAAGCGCAGGCACAGTGCTCAGTCTCTGGATATCGGGCCTTCTCTGTGTCCACGCCATCGCCATCCGCCAGGAGACCACACAGCTTCAACTCGGGCTTCACAAGCTCCTATGACCCCACCGATGTCTCCGACCGCGGGCCCATGTTCGCGAACCCAAGCTTCGGGGTCCCACAATTCTATCCCCGCGATCTCAAGGCCCGAGTCGACGAGTATGTTGTCGGTCAGGACCGTGCAAAGAAAACCATATGTTCCGCCATCTTCAATCACTATCAGAATCTCAGGAGGCGGAGGCACGACCAGGAGCACGACAACAAGCTCCGCGAAAAGCTGCAACGCCAGAACCGGTCGCGTGAGAGAGATCGCCTCGAGCCATATCGTGACCCCCACCCGGTCGAAGGTCAGCACCTCCAGCGTGGCGCATAGCGTCCATGTGTCGCGTACTGATGGTAGTTGTCCAGACGAATTTCCCGGTCACTATGAGTCCATACAGCGGGGGCATCAAGTCGCAGATGCCGCTGCCGCTGCCGCTGCCGCTTCCGCCGAGTTCTACATACCGGAAGACCCGACCATACCACATCATACTAGAATAGATAAAAGTAACTTGCTACTGATAGGCCCTACAGGCGTGGGAAAGACCTATATTCTTGAGTATGCCTCGATTCCCTAGCTACCTCTCCCGCTTGCCACAGAAATACTAAGAGGTCCCCAGAACCCTGAGTAAAAAGCTCAATGTCCCATTCACAATATGCGATTGCAACTCCTTCACTCAAGCCGGCTACATAGGCCAAGACGTCGAAAGCTGTATCGAGAGGCTCCTCATCGAATCAAACTACGATACTAGAGCAACCGAGCATGGAATCGTGGTCCTGGATGAGTTTGACAAGATTGCGCGCAGAGAAACAGCAAATGGCCGAGATGTCGGCGGGGAAGGTGTCCAACAAGCTCTCCTCAAGCTCGTGGAAGGAACAAAAGTAACAATCAACGTTAAGGACAACAAGTCCACGCGATCTGCCGCCCCCATAACGAGCAACTACGGGTCTGGCAGCCCGAGCATGGCGCCTCCTACGCCTCCCACCTCAGGTAGGACAGACCAGTACACCATCGACACAAGGAACATACTATTTGTCTTTTGCGGCGCTTTTGTCGGACTTGAAAGACACATATTGGCAAGAGTATCGAAGCCGTCACTAGGATTTGGGGCCGAGATCGGCGAAGGCCGGTCCTCCAAGAAGGGCAACAAAACTGTCCTGCCGCGAGAGATGTACTCTCATCTGCCGCACCAACCTCAGGCAGCGGTAGGGGATGAGCCTGGAAGCGTCGGCTTCACGCCAAGTGAGTTATCTTCGGTGGATGTCAGGCAAGCCTGAGAGGAGATGACAATAACTGACATGAGCGCCTCAAAGTGGACCTGACCACGCCCGACGACCTACAAGCTTTCGGTTTCATCCCGGAGCTCATCGGTCGGCTACATAATATCATCGCACTGTCACCACTATCGCAAGATGAACTTTTTCGGATCTTGACAGTCCCTCGCAACGGACTCGTCGCACAGTATGCAGCATTGTTCGAGACCTATCCTTCCAGGTTGTACTTCACCAGGCGTGCCCTCCTAGCCATTGCCGAGCGAGCTCTCAAGAATGGCACTGGCGCCAGAGGGTTGAAAATGGAGATGGAGAGGGTACTTGCCGAACCAATGTACGAAGCACCTGTGCAACACGTTCTCATCACGGAGGCTTGCGTGAAAGGACTGGAGAAGGCTGGCTACTGGGGCAGAGATGGGTGGTTGGAAGTTGAGAGGCGCATCAGGGCAGAGGATCAGCCCCAAGAAGTAGACGAGGCTACTGCATCAACATTTGAGCAATACCGAGAGGCAGGACAAAGCGGCGAATAGCGTACGGCGCAACTGCGGTTATTTCTGGGACAACCATAAGGACGTCTTGGGCGCTGGCGAGTCGATTTGGGGACTGGCGCACAAGGGTATCTTCAGCATTGCATGGAGTAGCACACAGTACATACATACGTGATGCAAGCATGTCATTCAGCCTCCGTGTGCGGCGGCACCTGCAAAGCCCTGCAATCCCGGGGAACACGGTAGATGCGTAATACAATTTACTACAAGCAAGCACTTGCTGGTATGGTCGAGGTGTCTGAGGACTGGCTCGAGCTGGGTCGACCGGAGCTCGGGTGGTGCCAGATTTGCCCTTCCTGCAGCCGTGGACTCACGACTTTGGTGTTGTTGAAGGATCTTGGGATTCTCGTACACATATTTACATCCACGTATGAAATCACCACCATCCAACCACGCCGCCGCTCCGTTGCTCTCTCTTTCTCTAGACATCATTTTGTACATGGAGGTGAGACCATGGGGCAATGATAATATTGTTCCTGTTCCTGTTGTTTTCGCTTCTGCCTCTTCTACTGACAAAGGAGAAATTCTTTCCCATCCGCTGCATGAGAGTCTTAAGCCTTCGCGGGTGGGGACTGGACCTGACCCTGTCCCTTGTACTCGGGTGAGGAGACGCCGGTGAAGGGATCGGATTTTTGCTCCTGTTTTGGTGTTCAAAGTTAGCATGCCAAATGTGCACATGCGGGAGGCCCGGACATGACGGACCTTGAGGTAGTCGTTGGCAGCCTCCTGCCACTCGCGCGTCATGGTGTGTGGTGGGGGCTTGGCGAACATGCGCATGGTAGCGAAGATGGTCAGGGATGCACCGAGGCCGGCGAAGACGTAGAATAGAACCTTCTTGTTCTCGTCGGCAGGAGGCTGGGCACGGGGGCCGTGAGGGCCGAAGGCAATCCAGTAAGCTATGAGGCATTTGTATCAGCGTCCGTCGACTGTAGCAATTTATCATGACGCAGTGACGGCTCGCGCGTGGCAGGCAAGGGCCAATTGGACCCGACTGGTGCCGGAGCACCCGTCTGAAGCTCCATGGCGACCCTCCAGGTGCGTCTGGGTCGTTTGATTGGAATGACGATGCTGTCTTTGTGGTTCGCTGGTGCACTCACCAGCCTTCTTCTCCTGGAGAGTCAGGTCGGCCCAGTTCTCCTTCATGCGGTCGCGCAGAGCCATCCACAGCTCGGCCTGCTCCTGCAGAGGCATGCCCTCCCACCTCTTCTCGATGTTGGCCAAGGTAGGGTTAGAGATGGCGTGGGTAGAGGCGGCAGCGCGGGTGACCATAGCGGAAGAGGTGGTGGCCTGGCGACCAGCCCGGGCGACGGAGGCGCGCAGGGCGGCTGATGTCGGGATGCGCATCATTGTGATTGCTTGTGAAGGAGGAACTGCACAGCTGATGAATCGAGGCGAGGACCGTCGAGAAAGGGTCGTGGATGAATGGGATTGAGAGGATGGTGTCGGGTCGCTGGAGAAGAGTGGAGATGGAACCAATTGACGAGGTCGTGACCGTCAAACGTTGCTTTTGTTAGGCTTGAGGGTTTTGGCAGAGATCCCGGCTTGAATTCTTCCCTCTCACCCACGCTTCCATCCTTCTGCAGAGATCAGACCACCCACAGCTGTCATGCTTATGTAAGTATCAGCAGCCAATCAATCATCGTGAGAAGGTCAACCCGTTTCTTGATTCATCACATTCCAACATTCACCAACACGCCTAAGCTTCCTATGCTATCCGACTGTCACTTTTGCAAAATTTCATGGAGGTATTCACCAGGCTTGAACAGAATCATGCCACTCACGTCCACTCCTGAGCCGCCTATCCCCTAGACATGATCAAGCCGCTGCTACTACTGCTGCGCAAATGCACCGGACAAGGGTCGGCTAACTACTGTGGAATCTATATGGGGACCTCTCAGACGGCTTGACCAATCCCTGCGCGTGCTTTTCGGGCAGCTGTGTTGTTTGAATCGTCACGACACTTCGAAGGGTTAGAGGGCGGCATTTGTGCAAGGTGCTCCATAGCCGACCTTCGGACGTATCAGCAGCTTGCCCTCTGCCCCCATTCCGCCCTTTGTGAAATCATGGGGCAGTCTTGGATGGCTGGAGTAATACGCAGGTTGCCCGGATGACCAACAGGTGACTGAACAGGCCAGGCCAGGCTTTTCCATCGGGGACAGCCAGACTGGAGAGGAAGTCACCGGAAAGTGGACGACCCGCTCCACTTTGATCACCATTTAGCCCCAGAGACAAGTTATGAAGGCATGGGAGCAGTGGCTGCGAGCAGAAGGTGTGTTGATGAATACACACGCATGGACGTGAGATGAACTGAATGTAGCCCCTGCGCCCGCAAAGTCGTTGATAATCATTGGACATGGGCGCACGCTCTCGTGTCGATAGCATCGAACTTCTCGTTTCTCATTTCTCTGGGCCCTGGCCCTGGCCCTGGCGGTTTGGGGGCTGATTCGTCAGGTCCTGTGGGTTCGAATTGGCATTTTCTGCGGCACCGCCAATTTGTGCTTCACTGCTTCAAGTCAACGAGTGGCTCTGGGGGAGGCACCTGCAGAAACCACATACCCAGGGCTCCTCCAGAATTCATTCGATTTCCGCTGCTCTTCTAGAGTTGGCTTGAATATGTAAACTCCTGTGACTATTCTTCAGCGCTTGGCCGCATCTCGTGCTGACGAATTATGGACGAAATGACGAACCAGTGATGACGCCAACACCCACCGAAAAACCAAGAGCAGTGAGGTTGCGAGCAGACATCTTGCAGCCAAGCGTGACACAAGACAGCGGCAATGAAGCGATGGTGTCTGATGGTGTGTTGTGTATTCGAAAGCTGCCGCTTTGTCAATAGGTACATGCGTAATTACTGGTGAAGGAAGAGGTCTGTAAATGTGCATGTCCACAGACCCTGGGTGCAGCCTATCAACATGACCACCGTGATTACAGAACACCGACCCACCTACCCCAGACGCGTCTCATTGATTAGACACAACGCGTTCCCATATGTGAGTGGCGTGAATTGGACCACACTTGACCGTCCCGTACGTAAGCGCGCCAACTTAGAGATGGCAACTTGATCCAGTGAAAGCCCTCTACAGCCCTGAGATTTGGTTCGTCGAGCCTTACAATGCATCCGTGCTCTCATGGGGAACTGGAAGGAACTGGGTGTAGTCCCCGACTCGGACGACGAAGGCTTCGACTCAGAGGACTCCCTGCCTCCACCTCTGCGGCATAGTCCACCGAAATCACCGCTTGAGAAGCGGCACGACGACATTTGGGAGTTTCCAGGCTCGTCGGGATCTTTCAATGGCCACAGGGAGACGACGCCCGCAATCGAGCAAACCCCAGACAAGCACAATGAACCACGGTCGACAGCTTCAGCGGATCTTGGACAAGACACTCGACAACCTTGCTGGAAACAGCAAGATGCACCCAGCAGCGATCGTGAGATTAGAGGTGATGAGGCTGATCGTACAAACAGGAGCAAAGGCTCCCAAAACACGCCCACAACGATCCTCCCCGAGAGAGACGAGATTTCATCAAGCATTGTCCAGATAAATGCACACTCCGCCAATCCCTTCCCTGGCAGCTCCCTCGAACCTGGCCCCGAACTACGGCACCTGCGAGAATATCACGAGAACGGTCACGACCCTCGGCCGTCAAGCCAGCTACAGGCCACACGTGTTCAACGAGACGTGCCTGTGGAATCTTACCCACCAGCCGGTCGATCACTGCGACCTCGAAAGCCAATACAAGAGCACCCCTATCTCCTTGAAAATGCTCAGTACAGTCGTTTCATGAAGTCACATGGTGTCAAACCTATTCATATTGCCGTGCAAGAGCAGAATCTCAGCAAAGGCGACGATGGAAAAGTGTCTCAAGAGCAAGACTACACATCTAACGAGAGCCAACCAACCTCCGGTGGCCCAGGCGAAGAATCGCAGGGGATCCGAACGAGCACCTTGAGGTATGCTCTAGATGATGACGTGGATGAGTTGGCCTTGTCACCATCGCCAAGGACTTCGTCCCCTCGTCGTCAGCTACAGGCGAGCAGTGAGCGCAGTCGCAGTCAGCAGACGGACGACACAAGTATCAACGGAGAAGAGGAGTTCCCGGACATCAAACACCTAGCTACGAAACCGGTGAGAACACCAGCCAGACCGTCAAAACGACCAGCGCCGTCTCGACCCTCCACGTTGAATAAACGACTGAAAAGCAGACATGAGATACTCAGACATGCGCCACCGCCTGTGATAGTAAACGACGACTGGGACATTCCGCCTTCACCGGATCCTTTGCGGGTGGATCCAACGCTGGCTGACTCTCCGTCTCCCAATGGCTCGCCTCGGCCCTTGTCCCAGTTAACAGAGGATCCTTTTGCGATGACGCCGCTCGAGCGACTAAACGCTGATTCGGAACTCGGAATCAATCGCGAGATCGTTGACCTCTCGAATGATTTAGATGGCAGCGCAGACGAGGGGCCATCGGATCAAGAAGACCGCAGCTCTGACGTCGATTCAGAAATCGTACAGCGAAATGTGAAGAGGATTAGGGGTGTGCTGCCTGCCTCGTGGCTCAGGTTGGACCAGCAAACCAGTAAGAGCGTACGAAAAGGTGTTATCAGACGGCCAACCCCGCCGCGCTCTCCGGATGGGAGACAACGTGGAGTGGCTACAGTCAGGCGTACCAAAGCCAATCCCGCCAGCAATTTCCTCGATGACCTCGGCGACGATGACGATGAAGATGATGCGCCGAGACAGACGAACGACATCTTGGATCTTGACGCTGAGTACGGGGCCAGCTTTCCCAATAACGGACCAGAAGGTATTGATGATAATCTGTCGGTAATTGAGGAAGACTACGTCGACTGGATGCTGCCCGGAGGGAAACGGAATCGCACATCGAGAGGTCTTTCGAACAAAAGAAAGAAGAACGCACAGCAAAAGTTGTTCAAAGGAGAAAAGCGTTACCGCCAACCCCAGATCTCAAAATCTTTGCACCGTGTGGATCGCTCATCGAGTGGCGGCGTCAGAAGTCGTCACTCCAAAACAAATGTCAAACAGAGCACCTCTAAGACACGAGCTGCGTCGCCCCCGGCCCTGGGCATTGTAGATGTTGTTGAGCCCGGTGCGCCGAGATTCGTCAGGATCGCTGCCAGAGCTGCCAGCAGGCGTCATGATTTGGGCAGATCGAAACCCAACAATAAGGCCATCAACCTCGGAACTCGCAAGGACAACGTGGATGTTCACTCAGTTATCCGAGACTGGCAAGTGGGCAACATTAAACAGAAAGCAGTGCAGCGGCGACCGGCCGCGGGCAATCTACAGACTGGTCTAGAGCTGCGAAAGCCAAGACGACCTCTGGGGCAGCTGTCCCCGAATATCACGAGACATTCTGGTGGCCGTTCCGGCATATCCTTCACACAGTTGGCGAAACAAGTAATTATTGACGACTTTGTGATCACCAGCGAAGCAGCCACACAATTTCGCCCAGGGGATGATTCCATTAGACGGACGGCGCTCAGAAAGACTCCATCACACAATGTGGGTGGTGGATACCTTAGCAGGCCAGCGCAACTCGAATCTGAAGTATCGCATGGTACGGACAATGCAGCTTTTACTGCGAGGAAGAAGATGCTGGACCTTGTGTTTCGCAAATCCAGAAAAGAGATATTAGCTCCAACATTCCTTCTCCAAAAGTCCTCGCCGAATAAAGCACAGCTCGAGAAAAACCCAGTCGAAGTTAACTGCTCCGAGCAGAGCGTACTTGGCCATGAGGAGCCCAAAGACCAGAGGCCCAAAGATGTGAGACGTCATTTCCGCAAGCAGATTGCGCCGAAGCGACTGGACCTCGATGCGCCCCAATTCAGACATGCGAATGATCCGCTCCCAGCACATGGACCCCTCGTCAACGAAGAAAGCTTTGAAGCACTGCATCAAGGGCAGAATAAGATCTTAGGACTAGGGCCCTACGGCACGCAGTATACGCACAATTTCGAGATCTTCCCCCTGCAAGAGGGTGTTTACTTCCACCACAGCACTCTTATAGGGAATGGCACTTTGAGAAAAGCTGTGGGTTGCCAGGATTTTGGCGATCTTTCTCAACCTCGACCGGTCACCTCCTTCAATCTTGCGGATCACTACTTTCACTGGGGGCACTGGACTGAAACGACGTCTTCCGAACTTGGACTACTTTTTGATCTGCTCTCAGAACAGCTGTCAACGATCAATGAGTCCGATGTCGAGCCCAGAAGTTGCCAAGCCATCAGCTGTGCTGACCACGTCCTTCAGTATTTGATGCACTCGGTGAGCGTCAAGGATGGGTCAGACCTCAGATCATGTGTTCAGAGGCTTTCGGAACTCTTGCTTAGCTTCTTCGAGCTTACCCAGTCATTCTCGACAGAAAGCCAGCCTCATATATTTCTTGAGATCTATGTACGGTTTCTCATCTGTGCTCTGGTCGTTCTTAGAATATGTCAGAGTGGCGCGGAGCTTTCGAGCGCGGCTCTACAGGCTGAGGAACTGATCAAGCAATTCTCAAGGCTGATTGTCAAGAGGCTTCTCGAAATTGGCACCTCAGGTGTCCGAGCGACTTATGATGATCTGCAACGGCTTTCTGCCAGGGAGCAAGGAATCAGGAGCGACAATTTCACTATGATCTGCTGGGTAACTGTCATCCAGGTGTTGAACTCGGCACACATTCCTAGGGCTGGCTTCTGGGACGTGACTTATTCCATGATGGTGTCTTTTGACCTACCCCAGAGCTCTGACGCTCAACAATTCGAGAAGCTGTGGAGGGACATTTTTACTTTGGTACCGCTTGAGGATTTCGACGAGACCGGCATTGTCAATAAAAGCTTGCGGCATACTACCCTCATCCAGGGATCTCATGGATGGGGTTTGCCACAGAAACTTCTCAAACGGGTCTTCGAGTCCAGTCAAAGTAATCCAAAGCAATCTCCTAGTTTCAACGAATACTGCCGAGCTCTGCTGGGCCGCTGCCACTACCTCATCGATCAATGGGGGTGGTATAAATGCAGTGGTATCGTCGGCACTATCTTTGACTTCTTCGGCCGGCAAAATCTCTCAAATCTGAGGAACGAGGAAGTGTACAAGTCACCACGGTTTCTAGACAATCTCGGTGGCATGGCATCTTTGTCTGTTGAGGCCGAGGACCGTTGCTTTCACATCTTCCTGAAGATGTTGGGGTTAGCCATCCAAAAAATGAGAAGACGTGGTCTTTTCAATGACATCCGAAACCTCATCGCCCGCACTCTTCCTAACCACGATCGTCAGTATTCAAAAGAGCAAACGATACATGCTCATGATCTCGCTGCCTTGAGAAACCACCACGACTTGTTGTGTACTCTCTTCTGGGCCGCCCCTCCTGAGGAACGGCCAGCTGTTCATTTGATCGAGAAGTTGGTATCCCCTGGAAGTTCTCACAAAGAGGCTGTCCTTGTCAATCTCCGGGCGTGGAAACAGCTTGCGACATTTGTCGTGTCTTCGGGAGCCGCCGTCGATATCTATCGTCCGTTCATGTCGTGGCAAAACCACGTGTTCCAGCAAGTCCTTGACCAATACCTTTCCGCTGCGGCCGACATCCAACGCCAATTTATGTCTATGCCAACAGAAACCAGGAAGGATATTGGGCAGCAGATGCTCGACAGCTTCGTGTCTGCAAATCAGACTGCAGCAAAAGATGTCCTGTATTTCAGTGTAACGGCGTCCTTAGAAGTCATGGCACACTGTCCATCGCTTGTTTCTGCCATGTTTTCTTTCAACACAAGCCAATTGAACAAAGCGCTCACCAGTGCCTGCACTGATGGCAAAGACCTGGACTTTGGTATCTTGCGGGCTTCTTTCGAAACAGTCGAGCTCTTTTTAGAGCGTTTGGAGAAGCTCGGTGATGTGCTCAAGGAGGAGTCCAACGACTCTCTCTCTTCAAGTGACAACCACGAGTACAACGATGCCGTCGAATTTCTCGATGAAAAGGTTGTTCAGGCGCTGTTCATCGCAGTTCGTCAGGTACTGGCCTCGTCTGCGCCTGATAAAAAATCTCATCACGCCTCAGTATCCGCCCTCCGAGAGAAGGCACTTACCCTCTCGGGTAGAATTGCGAGCTTGTTCGTCAACGGCGGGAAGAGATCGCTGAAGCACTTCTTCTCCATTGGGAAGTATGGCTTGTTTGAGACTACGCCCCAGAACCTCAGCTTGAAAGAAAGGACCTTCCTGCCTCTTTTCGTGGCCACTTTGCTGAAGAACCATGTCTTCGATTTCTCCAGCGTCGGCTGCAGCCATTTCGATATCTGGCTGCTGTCCTTGGTCAAACCTTCCCATGCTCTCAAGTACGAGGTCCACCTCGCCGAGACGCTCAGGACGTTGAATCTAGGTTACATGGAGTGTTCCGCTGTCTTCAGCGGAGCGCGCCCCGACTACTGTACGAATCGCGACTACTTTGCCTGTGCCATTTCTTACATGAGGAAAGAACTTCGACTAGGGGACTCTGGGCGTCGGAAATCTCTGCGTGCCAAGTATGAGAAGCTCCTCAAACTGGTAATGCAGCAGATGAAGTCAGACATCACATCTCTGAACTTGGACTCGGAGGAGCACCAAGGTTACATGATCTTCATCCGCCAGATCGTGGCGCTCATTAAGTCCCATGGCGCCGAAATTTGTCCAGTCGACCCATTTTACTTTCAGGCCAGTGCAGAATATAGCCCTGCCGCAGAGGACCCTCAGCTACACTCGGCCGGGATTATTTCCTACGGGCTCAGGTTGGGAGAAGGCGAGACGACAGCCGGAGCCCAACTGTTCTACTACTTGTACAACCACTTCAAGCTGTCTATGGCCAGCGGCCGACTTGATGACGAGAGCAAAATCATCGAGAAGGGCATGAACAACGATAACATTCTGGGGTTTTCTCTCAGCCGCATGCTGCCTGTCGTCATTTGGGCGTCCTTAACAAGCCCTGATATCTGGCCACTGTTAGGCGTTTATACTAGGGCCCTCCGAGATCTCCTTGGCAGGCCTTACTTGTCCAGAGAAATTCCTCGCAAATGTCTCGAACACTCTGTCGCCCTACTGGAAACGATCTTGGGCTACCTAGAGAGCCTCAAGGAGAAAAGCACACTTGAGACAGAGATGAGTCCGCCACAGGTGCAGTTGTTTGTCCAACTGATGGAAATCTGCCACGCCATGCGCCCGACCTTATCCTGTTGGCTGTTACAGCCGTCAACCGAACCGACCAAGAGGCTGCAGGGTTGCGTCAACAGAATTACTCGGGTCAGCAGGCAAGCGACTGCCTATCTGGATGAGGTGTGTAGCTTGCAAGGCCGTGAGATGCCGCTGCAACGGATCGTCGTTGGACAGCTCCTCGCTGGCCTTAACAACACTTCCATGAGCTCTTCAGTATTCTCTGGCGCGGACGGTCAAATGGCCACCTTTAGCCAACATCTACAGCACGAAGTGCAAAATAGTTGGATCGTCACGGAGGCAACCATCACAGCGAAAGTGGCCCTCACTTCATCGGCGCAACCGGGCACTCAGCCAGCGCAGGGAGTCAGAAATGACCTAGGTACAAGGGCTGGTGGGCTCTTGCTGGACTTGAATGATCAACTGAGGAAGTGGATCGAAGAGATGGGCGCAGGAGAAGGGAACGGGCGTGGTCTTCGGGGCAGGCGGCCCAGGAGACGTGGGCGGGCTGGGTCGCGGCAGACGGAGCAGTGCTGATGCAGCAGGGCGTGTGTGTTGCGGGCGCCGTGGCCGCTGGTCAAACTTGCAACTACTAGACTACATAGCTGTATCGAACAAAAGCCGTCAATCAAAGAAACCTGCGGGCCATAATTGTACCAGGAAATCATATCGTGTCATGTCATGAAACGCAGCGCTAAGGACATCACACAATTTTGTTCCGTCGAGAACTTCAGTTCGCATATAGATCTCAAACGAACTCTGCTAAGCGATCCCAGCTATCGTCGCCCACGGCTCGGAACTCGACGCCCTCGAAGTAGCCAGCGTCTTGCCAGGCCTTCATCGTCGGGCCGTCGTAGGGCCCTTGCACCGACTCGCCATCCCGGCCATCGGTCCATCGGTACTCCCACATCTTGTTGCCCGTGGCAGCAGTGTTGCCGCCGCCGCCGCCGCCGGTGTCCGCCTCAGCAGCGGGCGTGGGCTCCCTCCAGCGCTCGCCGGCCTCGTCCTGCCACTCCCTCACGAGCAGCTCCCTCTCCGTCTCGTAGACTTCTGCGTACTCCCTGGCGAGCAGCTTGTCGGCCGCCTCGGTGATGGCGTTGATGGCCTCCTTGACCCTGGCCTGCGCCGGGTCCTCGGCCTCCTTGCCGTGGTCGACGTCCATGGCGTCCGCGTCGCCGTCCTTCTTCTCCTTGCCCTTGAGCTTCTTCAGCTTCCACTTGGGCACCTTCTTGTGGTCGGTTTTCCGCGCCCGGCCCAGCCTCGCCAGCGCCTCGATCGGCGTCTCGCCCCGCTCGAGGTGCAGGATCAGGGAGCGCAGCAGGTCCTGGGTGAGGAGAGTGTCGTCCTCCTTCCTCGCGGCCCGCAGCTCGGCCTCGCGCCTCTCGTGGGCCTCGCGTGCCTTCTTCATCTCCTTCTTGGACACCCCGTCCAGCCAGCGGTCGTGCACGGCGTCCGGGTCGACGGCCTTGCGGATGAAGTTGCCGGCCTCGTCGAAGGCGCCGTCCTCCTGCTCGTTCTTCATGTTGAACGCGTCGATCTTGGGCGCATTGCGCTTCAGGCCCCCCATGCCGACCTCCTCGTCGATGCCCTCCTCCTGGATGGCCAGCTCAATGTCCTCCTCATCGTCGCTGCTGGCATCCTGCTCGTCCAGGTGGATGTGCCCGCCGCTCTTGCTCGTGCTCTCCTGCCCCTCTATCTTGTGCGCGTCCAGGAAGCGGACCTCCTTGCCCTTCTTGCCCCGCGACGTGGTGCTCGGCGCGGCTGGGTCGTTGGTATCTTGCTCGTCGGGGTCATCATCATCAGCGGCGAACATGTCCTCGTCCTCGTCGCCGCCGGCCCCACCGCCGTCGGCGCCTGCGCCCCCGTTGCGCAGGTTCCTGTCGTAGTTGTCCAGCTTGTCTGCAATGTCCACATCACCACCGCCATTGGCGCCCCTGGCTTCCCTCCGCTCGGCGCGGTCGTTGAAAGTCTCGTTCTCGGAGTCGCTGTCGTAGCCATCAATGTTCACAGCGCCGCGCTTGGTGGCGCCAGGGCCCTTGCCGATGACGTCGGCGTCGAGGACGGCGGCATCTTCGGCGTCTTCTTCGTCGTCGCGCGAGTCGGGGGCGAGCGCGGAGGGGTTGCGCACGTCGAACTTGACCCTTTTGGAGGACGAGGGCCCGTCGTGGTCGTCATCGTGGTGGCCGCCGGCGTGGTGCGCGCGCGCAAAGGACTCGCCGGCGCGTTTTGGGCGGGCGGCTGCGTATCTGGATGACATGTTTGGTAGAAGGAGCGTTTACAAGTCCAACACACGCACACTCTCTCTTGCTGCGTCGTCGTGCTTGACAGTTGAGTTACCTGAGCCGGTACGAAGGGTGTCGCGTCGCCCCTCGAAATTGGGGTGTGGATGCGAGCTTGTGGCCCTGCCCTGGCAGCCCTGCAAACGGTACGGGAGCTCGCAAAGCTTGTTAGTCGATGTAGGAGGCGACATGCCTAGCCAGGAACATGAACATCCCTGAGCTCCCCGCGTGGGCTGGAGCTCTCAGCACGCTGACAAGCACCCTTGACCCCTGGCCGTGGATCTACGTCAGCGGGGAGCCTGCGAGAGGTCATCTCCCAGGCACTTAGGCACTGGTGACTGACAACTGGGCACTGACACTTGACGGACATGGACAGAAGGACATTCAACGGTCGGCAGCACGCTGCAGCTAGACTTTTAGTAGGCAGGTAGGCACCTACTTAGGTAGAAAATAAGTATAACAGATTTTGATTCTCATTGGAATACCTATGTCGATCACAAGGACGCGCCGTTCCTCAGCGCCGTCGGGATATCATAAAATGGGCAGCCATTTCCAGCTCCAGCGACGCCGTTCTCCACAAGCCCGCTCTCCTTTTTCTACATCTTCTCCTCGGACTCTGTCTCCGTCCTTCTTGTCATGCCAGGCGCAGGTGTTCCAACCCCTGCCCTTTTGTCAGCAAGTCAGCACAGCATAATAACACACACGACACACCCCATCCCTTGGGTAGTGTCTGCAGGTCCAGCAAGTCTCACAACCACTTCCCCTAGTTCTGGGCCTCCTGCTGCTGCCATCTCCCATGTTGGCCGCTTATACTATTCGTATCCCTCGTGGATAGCTCTTCCCGTCTTGACCATCTTTTGTTAGACACTATCCCCCCGGCACCCCAGACCAAGCTCAGAAGTTGTCGCATTCTGGTAGCCCCTCCCGGTCTTCGATGCTTCATTGAGAGAGCATCCTCCCTTCCTGTTATGCTCCTTCGGTTGGCACCACCATCTCGGCACGCCAATTGACATGCTCGCGCTCTGCAAACCGCGCAAGCACCAATAGCGCGTCGGACGCTGCCTTGTGGGGCGTTGTCCAGTTTCCCATGGTCGGTGTTCTCATACTCTTGTCCGCCACCTTGCCACGCAGATCATTGGCCTCGGTCCATATCCTCGGGTTGTTTCGCATGGCCTGGAAGACCGCCATGTGCTGATCTTTTCCGAGTTTTAACAGGTCGCCGCCATGCACGCCCATAGAAGCATACGCCCTGATCAGCTCGTTGATCACGATGCCGTGGAGCTGGTATGCGAGTGCCTGAAGTGAGGTCGAGTGCCGTGCCATCTGCTTCAGCTCTCGAAGGTGAGGCTCCAGCGTGAGCCATGAAGCCATGTCCATCGCCGCCCCGGACACCTCCGATCTCTGGTTGAGAGAGCGGAAGGCGATCATGTACGCCAAGATCATCTCGACCGTGAGCATCGCTCGGCGATAGTCCCTCAGCTGCGCGCCCCCGTTAGGCCCGGCCCCATTCGTCGGATATTCTTTGTCGCGCTTGTGCTTCAGTTTCTTCCCGATCCCGCAGAACTCTTCCCACCGCCTCCTGAACGTTTCTTTGGCGGCCTGGGAGCCGCCATCCCGGCCCGTCTGCACCGCATCCCCCGCGCTTGGGGTCTGAGCAACCCTGCCCCCAGGCGTCTGCGTCTGCGAGCTTCCGGGTGCAGAGTGGCTGTTGGCCGTGGGGGGCTTCGGTGGTGTATATGGGGCCTTGCTCGTTGTGACCTCAGGTGCCTTTGGCCGTTTCGTAGCTATCGAGCTCGCCCCCGGCTCTGCAATGGGCTCGGTGGCACGTGGCCGTTTCTTTGCAGGGGGTGGTGTGTCCTCGGCGCTGAGCGACCGCTCTTTTGGCCATGGCCTCGAAGGCAGCGCGAGGAGACTTTGTATCCTCTTGCGGATGGCTTTCTTGTATTTGATTGTCACAATCTTCGTTGGCCGAGCATCTGCGTCAAGGTTGTCCGCCGGAGGTCGTGTCTTGCGTGCGCCCGTTATCCCATCCGAGGACTGGCTCGGCGCGTGACTCGCTTCTCCTTTTAGTGACGCCTTCTGTATTCGAGCCAGTGCTTCCTCAACCTGGGGAGGCAATGTAGGCGATAGCATCGGCGGTATCTCTGGCGTTGCAGCCTTCTTCTTTACCGACACCTCTGGCCTCGGCGGTTTGCTTGATGTTTTTCCTGTCGCGTAGTTGTCCGCCGCCTTCTTCTTTGGGCTCCGCGTCTCCAGGTCTTCGTCGAACGGCAGCTGTCGTAGGGGGGAAAGCATTGGAGGGACAAAGGGCTTCTTAGAGGTATCTGGTTTTGGGGGTATGGGGTTGCGAGACGCAGAGCTCTGGGATTTCGTGCCGTTGACCGTGACCTTTGGCGAAACTGCGCCCGGGTGATCCTTTGAGCGGCTGCTTGCATTCGACTGGAGCCCTCCTGATCTGCTATCCTTACTGGCAGACCTGGCGTGTTCTCTGCTGCCCGGGGTCTCTGGCCGTGGGGGTTTGCGCGGAATCTCTGATGGTTGTGGCTCGCTCGGTTTCGTCTTCTTGTGTGGCCTCGTGCTGTCGTCCTGTTCTAGTGGCCGCTTTCTGCCCTCAGACGAGGGACTCCGCGCATCTCTCAATGCGATTTTGGAGATTGAGCTCTTAGACCTGCGACAGATCAACTGTGTTAGCGCATAACCAACATGGCAGCATCTACACGATCGCACGTACCTCTCCATGTCCCCATTACCCCGGGCGTCCTGGCCCTTGCTATCCCGCTGTGCGCCCGCCTGCTTTACCCTGTCCTGTTCTTTGCGCGAGACGTCCTTCTCAGATCTCTGCGCAGACGCCTGTTGCTTCTTATCGTCCATTTTGCCGCCCAAGACACCGTTCTCGGCTGGCGAGGTGGCCACCTTCTTGCTCTTCCAAAATTCAAGGGAGACCTTGTTCCCGGTCTTCTTGGCTCCAGCCAGGGGAGTGGACTGGCGGGTGGGCACAGGCGGCTCGGGCTCGTCGCATATATCGAAGTATGGTCGGGTCAGGAGGAGGCCGCGATCGGCATCTGATAGGAAGGTGGAGTATTGCAGAGGGGACTGGTGGTCCCAGAAGTTTGGAGGGACTGGGTATTTACGGTCGAGTGAAAGAGCCAGATGGTGTGGCCGCTCAGGCAGTAGATTCTTGACGGCGGATCTGATTCTCTCCGCCGCAACCTCCATTTTCCACGTTGCTTCATGAAAGAAGCCTTGTCCCAATGGCCGGTCGCGAGAGCAGGCGCGGTGTTCCAAGCTCGTAGTAGTCGGGTTGCAGAATGGACAGTGAGAAGGGTTTCTGTCGGTGTCGGTACCGGAATTGAATGCGCGGTCGTGGTGCGCAATGCGGTGTCGTGATTTCCAGGACGGGGCCTCGTCGGAGGCAGTGACCTCTAACAAGGCGGCACAAGGGGTCGGGGTCGTGGAGCTGTGCGGGCGGCGGCAGACGAAAGAGCAATTGAGGCGGCTGCGTAGCTGCGTAACCGCGAGACTGCGCGGCCGCAAGCAACCGGGTCAACCGTGGGGTTGTTGAGTGATCGTGGTGGTGGTCACCTGTAAGGGGAAGCTGGATGTTGCAATCACGTCAACAAAGGCAAATGCGATGAGGAGCGGATCGCGGCAGAGAGTCTCGGCGCAGGTGGGCGGACCGGGAGCAGGACAAAGCAAGCGTTCGACTTACTCCTGGCAAGAGGTGCCACCCCGACGCAGCACAATGCGTTGCAGCAGTGAAGAAAGAGTTGGATTGTGGGTTAATGGGTTGCGGGTTTGCAGGTTTGCAGGTCGCGGGTTGTGGGTTATCGGCGTGTCGTGCCTCTGGTGTTGTATCGTGCCGTGCCGTGTCGGGTCGTGTCGTGTCGTGTCGATTCTTGTCTCTGGGCGATTGCAGACCGACAGCGACGGGATGGTCTAGCATAGAACCATGCTCCTACCTAGGTGGCAGCAGTAGACATGCAGCGGACATGCATCCACATCCACATCCACATCCACACAGCACCCATCGATCAATCAACCAGTCGCGGCGGATCGAGTCGTATCGTGTCGGGGCCGCCTGTCTCCACCACGCAGCGCGCCGCAGCCTCAAGTCTCCACCCGATGGCCCACTATCGCTGCTGTTTTGCTGTTCTGCTGTGCTTCTGTGCTTCTGTGCTGCCGTGCTGCTTGGCTGCGCTGTCGCTTAGATCTTGGGGGGATGGGCCGCAGCTGGACGGACACGCGCCGTGTGAATGATCCCTGGGCGGGCCAAAAGAAGTATTGCTCACTGATAATGAATTGGTTGTCAGGGGGTGAGATGATGACCCGTAACAGCTGCATGCGACAAGAGGATAAGGTATGTATGATATTGTGGAGGGGGTGGACGGGGGGGGGACAGGATGTGGCTGAAGACGGGGGGTGCGATGCGGTGCAGAACGCCCGCTCAGCAGGTGTGGACGGTCTGCAGTGGACTACATGCAAGGCATGTGCCGAGCAGGAGCGACGGGCAGATAGATGCTGTTGGATGCCATATGCGGGAGGGCTGAATTAGGTAGGCTAGGCTACCTGGCTACCTGGCAATCTATGCCAGCTACCTAGATAACTGACATGTCTAGGTAGGGATGATAGGATCTACTGTTACCACAAATGGCTGCTCTGCTCTGCTTTGCTCTTGTTCATGTGCTGTGCTGTGCAGGGTGGCACCTGGGCAGCACAGGCCCAGGGTGTGCGGTGCAGGCAGGGCGGCAGACGGGCACCAGCTATTTATTACCCACGCCTGTTACATCGCAAACCAACATCGGCCCGTTGACAGTCAGCCACTGCTTGTTCGGATAAGCATACATACAGTCAGAGAAGAAAATGGGACAAGGTTGTCGCTGTTCAGCCTCACACAATTGCCACAGCTCCCGCGACTCGGAGATTCAACCGAACATTTGCATGTATGCTGGGTGCATATTTGCCCGGCAGCCAAGGTCAATTAGAGTTCCCAGCCCGGTGTGTACAGTCAGCCTACCGACTTCTCCTCGCGCCTTCTGATCTCCACATGTGTGTACGGCTTATGGTGCAATCGAGAAGCATGGTCGGCACTGTCACGGTCAAGTTATAGTACTGTGTAAACCATCAATTGCTACATGCACTACTCACCTTCAATGTCCGGCAGGCTGCGAATTTCAAATATCACGGTGTGGTGTAGACTGGTTGTTCTGCTAACCATGTTCGAATACATGCCTGCCTGCTCATCCGCGCATGACCTTGTCTACACTTCGTTATTGTCGCAAGCTGCTTATCATGCCAGGTCTCTCCGTAGACGTACCATATCCTTGCACTTGAGACACTGGCACAACAGTCTGAAGACAGCTTGCAGTTGACAAGGCAACCGCAGAAATGCCTGCAAGACACAGGACAACTTTGACGCCATTTCCACTCGTGCTTGCCGAGCCCTCCCCGGCCAGCTTTCCCTCTCAAAGACCCTTAACATCCCCCTCAGAACCAAGACCATGGCGAAATGCAAAGCAAAGCACTGTAATAATATGCGGTGACTTGACGTCGTGCCGTCTAGGGTATTCGTCTGCCAACGCCGTGTCCTTTTGCGGAGTCCTTTCCGCCCAATTCAATTAAAGAAATCATGCTGTTCCGGATACAGCGGTTTTAGCCCGGCCCCATGCCATGCTGTGCAGCTACCGCCTCCGCTACCACTCACTACCAAGCATATACATCCGAATCATCATCTCTGTCGCGATCCGAGGTCCACTCGTCATCGTCCGACTCGTGCTCTTCTTCGTCGAGGAAGTCCTCCATTCCAAGCTGGAACTCTCTTGGTTTCTGGTTGTCGAAGCGGATGTTGACCACGTCGCACAGGCCATGCACGAACGGCACATCCTCGCCCGGTGACGGCGGTGATTCTGGCGGCGTTGACGGCGGCGACGGCTCCTCAGGTTCCTCTTCCTCACTCTCCTCGGGCTCCAACAGATCAAGGTCTTCGTCCGTGTCAGGATCCCTGTAAGAAATCGCCACACGCTTCGGCCTCCTGAGATCTCGCGCTACACCTGCGGTTCGCTTCCTTTTGCGCCTATCTTCCTGGTTGGTCTCAACAGGGAGTGGAGCCGGGGCTGCGACATGGGTGGCAATGCGAGTACTTCGCCGGGTGGGCGCGTCCACTGTGGAAGCTTCCACGTCCGTAGTTGCCTCTTGGGCAGCCGGTCCTCCATTCAGCGAGGGCCACTGGACCAAGGAATGATATGGTTGAGGCTTGGTCTGCTTCCGCAAGAATACTCTCCGCAGCCTGCCGACCCATCTGTCGCGAAATTCGCAGCGTTGGCGCCATGGAACATCAAGCATGGCCTTTACGGCCAAACATCTCAGTCTGGGCATCTGTGGTGCCTGGTCGACGAAGCTCTGAAAGAACATCTCGGCCGTGGCGGCGTCCCATTTGGCCAGCTGCTCCAGATCGATAACCTCAATCGTTTGAGGCCAGGCCGGGACGTCGGTGACGGTGAGGAGCGTTTCGTAGAAAGGATCCGAATCATTGTAGTATTCGTGGTGAGCATAGTAAGTTAGGTGCATGCTCAACTCGCGCAGCTGTGGGCAGGAGCCAGCCAAGAATGGCAGGAAAGCAAGACTGAGGGACTGGTTGTGATGCAGGGTCAGTCTACGGATATTTCGGCCGTGCGTGAATAAATACTCGGACAGCATCTCTGCCGTCAGTTCCCAGCAGTTGACAATCTCTAGGTGCTCAATCGTCTTGGGTAGCAGAGAAAGGAATTGTCCATCGACAACTGTCGACGACTCCATCTTGAGATGCTTCAGGCATTCCAGAGGCTGCAGAGATTCGGAAATGCAACTGATGAAGTTTTTATCAGCCTCGAACACGTCGGGATCGGTTGGATCCTTGTTCTCCTTCAGGGACGGGACCTGAAAATTGACGAAGGCGACCTCACGCAGCTGCGAGAAGGTCGGCCACTGATGAATGCTCTTCATCTGTTCGGGCGATACCACATCGCGGTCCATCATCCTCTCGCTCCACCTCCACGACTTGAGTCTCATGAAAGCACCCGCATCGCCGGCCGATCTGAGCGCGCTGACTAGCGCCTGGGAGTATGTCCACTTCTTGCTCTTGGAATCCAGTTGCCGATAAGGCGGCAGATCAAACTCATGATAGAGCTCGAGGTGAGAAAGGCTAGGGAGGAGCTGGATGAGCTCCCCGAGGTCGAAGGGCTTGGATGTCGAGAGAGTGGTGACGCTGACGACAAGAGATTCGACCATGGTACGCCTGTGATCGTCTCGCTCCTTGGCCGCAGCGTGATTCTCCGCAAGGTTGTGCATGAGGGCGGCAAATTTGTTGGCCATGTTCATGGACAGGATAGGTATTGGACGCCTGTACAAGGCTTTGAGCGCCGGGCCCAAGAAGAGCTTGCAGGTAAGACCAGCTGAGAGAAGCCAGCGGGTGTCCTCCTTGGTTTCCAGCGGAGATGAAGCGTACTCAAGGATCTGTACGAGAATGGTCCATTCAAGGTGCTGCCATGGCGGGCATACCTTGGAAGAGGGCCAGCCCGGCTCATTGCTGGCGGAACGGGAAGCGTTGAGCTTCTTTCTGGCGCCGCCTACCTTGGACGCAGAGTCCCGATTCTTGGCGGGTCTGGAAGGCGTCCTGGAACGTGGGCTGGGTTGGGCGCGACGGGGGCGGGAGCTCGGTGGAACTGCTGGAACTGCGGCTCGAGTGCGCTGAGAGGCTCGTGAGCCCTGACGGTGGTGGGCGATAGTCTGCAGGCGTGCTGACTGGCGAGTCGTCGTCTGGTTTCCCAAGGTGCGACGTGGTCGAGGTGCAGGTGCCTCGTTGGCTGATGAGTCATCGCTGTCGTCGTCAAGGCCACTGGAGTCGCTTGAGGGAGATGGCAGTCTTGTAGCGCTCCGTGTTACACGGCCGGTCGGGTTCCTCGGGCGGCTGGTTGCTCGTGTGGTCGACCGCCGAGGGTTACGGCGGACCCCTGCAGAAGCGGGTTGACTCATGGTGTCAGCGACAGACTGTGGAAATCATTTGGATCGGGCCAGCAACGTCGATGTGGGGAGGAAAATCTGGGCAGCGCGGGGATTACTGCACGTTGGGGAAAGGGAGAGACTAAGGAAGAATGAGACTATGGCCTGTGATGGCCTGCGGCGCCCCTGGGTTGATGAGGCGACAAGGGGAAAGGTCAAGTGAGGTGAGTTGAAGTGAAGTGAAGTGAGACGGATTGCGGTGAGGTGATGCGGTCGGGCAACGGAGGTCGGCTGCCCCGGAGAGCTGCAGTGGTTCGGAGAGCAGGTGGGGGTCGATGTCTGGAGTGAGGAGCAACTAGTCATGGAGCCGCAGCGCAAGCTGTGGAGCAGGCCCGTGCATCGTGCTTGAGGTGGATAAGCGGGGCCAGCGAGGGCCAGCGGTACAGTAGGGGGCAGCCAGTAACCACATGGAAAACTTTCTTCTCCGCTAACATCTTAGACTTAGAGCCAGGCTTGTGCTAGCATGCGGCGATCATAAATATAAATTGAAGGCAGAAGATCCCATGGAAGCACATGGTATAACGCATGAATGAGGCGCACATCGAGGAACCAAAATTTGGTTGTAACGCGTCTTGTGCTTAAGAGCAAGCCGACCTCCACCCACTACAAATACCCCCCTGAGTGACCGCATTGGCAGCCAGCTGCAGGACTTGCGAGAACCAGACCAAGTCAGACTTGATAGTAGATTGGCGTGTAAATTGCGACCAAGTGGCTTTACAAGAGTACCCCAAGTCATTACCTGATCCCCTGCCTAGGCAAGTGGGAGTTTCGATACTATGCGGTCAGTTCTTAAGGAGCGGCAAGGCTGTTATTGCCAACATCTGAAGACTCCATCTGCGACGGGTCCGCACAAGATTTATCCTACCTGGGCAACTGAAGTTTCATAGGTACAGCCGACGCCGCAAATGCCTACAGGGGGTCTTCAGCAGAAGGGTCTACATGCGAATATTCCAGTGGCTTGAGTTCCTATCAATGACTCTGTAACGAGATATTGTACTATCAACATTGCGCCGGGATGCGTTACGGCAATTTTGGGGAAACCTCATAAGAACGTTCCTTTTCTGAGAGGAGAGTCTCCAACAGCTTTGGCACAGCTCACCTGAGAACCCAAGCCCGAGAAGAAAATCCTTATTTACTGAGTGCCCATAGCGTCAGCTTTGAACTTGTGAGAATACCATTGAATCCAGGGGCATGACAGTTCCTGGCCAGCACGATCTTTACACTGAAGAATAATATGCAATGCCATTGCTTGGGTCAAATTATCTGCTGTGTCTGGGTGTCAGTAAACATGGTAGAGGCCCTCCTTCATCTTGACCTAGAGTATTACACCAAATGAACCTGGATGCTTGATCTGGCCGGAAATAATCCCATGGGTTATAAACCATATGTTTCTTTGCATTTTTATGATATCCGACCTGAACAGTTGCCCGTCCCTTCCATGAGAGGCAACTTGAACAAGAATATATCCACATTTATTGATTAAAAAAAATTTAACGTCCATCTGACTTGTAAGTTCATTATTGCATGGTGGTCCTAGCGCACCAACAGAGATTAAGCTATGGTTGTGACTGAAGGAGACAATTGGTAAATCAAGAGAAATCAAGGACCTGATTTGCTTGTAAAGTAAGTCTCCCATGTGTATGTGACTGTTTTATTGATTCCATTTACCTTCTACTATGAAGACCTTTTGCCATTGCCCACAATGCCAGTAGACCACGTCCACCCTGCAGACGCTCAATAGAAGCGATCAGCTCATCTGCGCATGTAATGTGAATATAGGGCTAGCCATAAAGCGATAAGAGCTTGATCTAGCCATAAATTCGATATGGATCTTGTTCAAAGTTCAAAACTCTTGCATATCCCGTTTTGTAGAATCAGCAACAGAGACCGGAGTAAGTGAAAGTCCTTGTTTCCCGTGCTTAGCGACACTACCTACCACTTGTAAGCCTCAATGAAAATTGATGGATAGGTACAGGCATGCGAGTACCATTTGTATCAGGTCAAAGTGATTGATTTTCATATTCATCTTGACTACGTTGCTATTTGGCCAGATCCGTCATCTTCATCGGACCGGGCAGACCACGGTTGATCGTAAGCACGTGCGCCTTGGCGGCGGACAACATGCCACCAATACTCAAGTGATAGCAGAGCCGACGAAGGTTAAAAGGGTCAAAACATCTAGTAACACAAAAGATCATTTCGGGATAAAGAGCGAAGACGATACTCTCTAGGCTGCAGTTGTGGATCATCGTGTAATTCCGTTGTACAGTTTCCCAGAGCCTGTAAGCGCGAGGCTGACGAAGACCACCCCAGGTTGATTCCACGCGTGTGCAGCTACTTGAGAATATCCATCTCATGGTGATCTCATCTCATTTTTTTCAAGGAGCAATTATACTATTGTCAATAGGATCTTGAAAGTAGTGATGTGGGATATAGAGCGGGTGTCTCAGTCCTCGAGCTTCTAGCAAGGCTGAAGGACTGTAGCCTTCCGCTCATTCGACCTGTCCGTGCCACACTTGATTACACGAGCAGTCAGCGTCGCAGTATCCCTCTCCACATCAATTAGTCACCTATCTCAGGACCTATTGAAAAGTTGTGATGAAACGGTTCTGCCATGCAAGAAACAGGGTTCAACTTGCTCTGCTTTTGTACCTCCACCTAGGCCGGTATCCGCAAGGCAAGTCGGCGTCCAAAGCATGCAAGTGACAGGAATCCGCAACCACACCCTCCTTACGACATCGAAAGTATTTTGTAGATCCTTCAAGAAGTACGATCAGCTACACACATCTAAAATACAGCCGGATGTTCCATTTGACTCGAAGTAGGTTGTCGTATGAGTTTGGTCGCTTTGGCAAGGCTATAGCCCTAATCACTTCTCCTAGAGGTCCACAGAAGCATTGCTAGGCGTTTGTTCTAGGCAGGGCCGTGTTGTAATGCAAGAATAAAGGCAGAAGAGAAGAAGCTTCCCTTGCGACATGGCAGGTTTCTTTCTCTCATCTGCTTGGACAACCCAGCCTCCTCTGTTGGCTCAGGCTTCTCCAGCCAGCTTTCCAACTGCTCCAGGCTTTGAGGGTAGCGAGTTAGCAAGGCACACGCGCGTTGGGTGCAATCTAAGCCAAAGCATAAGTAGTGCATTATTGCGTGACCCACTCCGCGTCGTGGCCTGCAATTGGCCCGAGCACTGGCCACTGGCCATGACAAGGGTCAGGCCATTTCCAGCAGGAGCAATCGCGATGCGTTCTTCCAGGTTATTTTCCCTACCGCGCGCCGCAGTGAGCGAGTGAGTGAGAGACTGTGAGTGAGTGGGTGAAAGATCGGATACGCGTCGCTTCATCGATGAATCGATCCCCATACTCAGAACTTCACACAGGTCGCCTCGCCTCGCCACTGTCCCATCTCCACTGCTGCCCTGGGTCCATTGCCAATCCCGCGCCACACTGATCCCTAGGCACAAACACGAACACGGTTCGCCCTGCACTGATGATGGGATCCCCAGAGGCAGTCGGTCAATAAATCACAGGTTGGCTCGGCCTCTTCTCATCCAAACGTCGGAAGCCGTGAGACACCCGTCTTGCCTCATCTTTTGTTCCCTCAAGCCCCCTGTCAGCCGTCATCTACCTGCCACTCGCAGCAGGCTGTGTGGCCCATCCATCGCTTCCGGCCCCGGCAAAAACATCGTCAGCGTCAAATTTAGAGTCCATCAGGACCTCCATTCCGGGCCTCTCTATTTCACGCTTGCGAGTCCATCAAACCATCGGAGCTGCATATAGTGTCGCCTGCGGGGTTCATTCTCTTCATCTTTGAGAATAGCAATCGCGTCGCGTCGCGATTTGCCTTGCAGACTGTCAATCGTGACAGCAAAGAAGCCTTCAGTCCCAAAATTGACGGGAGCCTAACCGCCTGGTCCCAGATCCTAAGTGGGCTTTCACAGACTCGTTTTGGCTCATATGCCTCACTGCGATCATGACGAAATCTGTCGCGCGCACGAGAAGCCTTCCTTTTCTTCATAGGAACTGGATCATCGCCATCAACTACCTACAGTCCGCAACCGTAGGGTTCAAGTCCGACGACACTCACTCTAAGATCACCAATGGTCATGACGATCATTACGTGCGGCCTGCAAAGCGGCGCCGCTTTGCAGAGAGTTCTCCGGATTCCGGCATCGGCCAGGACATTGACAGCCTCTTGCTTCCCGATGAGCCAGGCGAGATCCAACGCGCCATTCGAATTGAGGTCCTGAAGATTGCCCACAAGGATCTGGCGCACACAAGGCCAACCGCTGTTCTGAATGGGAACATTCCTCCCGCCATCAAGGACGCCGCTAGCATAAGAGCGCGGTGCAAAATCACCATCACCACCCCGGGTCGGACGCCTGGTGAGACCCGCACGCTCTACTGTGATAGCCAGATTTGCACCATCAAAACTTTCCAGAATCAAGCTGGCTTGTCTCAGATGGCCAGAGTCTATTTGCCTCAGCCATTCCACATCCCTGAAGAGAAAATCTACGTGGAGCGCGACGACGACACGGTCTTCGATCTTGCGGATCAGTACTCAATCTCATTGGAGCTTGAATCGGCCGGCGACAGCAACTGGCCTCCTCTAAATCTGGTGAATGCAAGCTCCGATGAAGATGTGTTCCTGGCGCGGTCCATATCGCGTCATTGGACTCTTGGGGCCGACATTCCAAAGATCATTGATGGAGGCAGGAGATCAGGTTTTTTGAGGCTATGCAAGGGAGCTGGCCAAGGTATCCAAACAGATTTTGTTCTTGATATCGATGTTAGAGCGACGACTGCCCTGCCGGAAAGGCCTCTATGGAACAGTCGGGAGAGGGTTTCCCCATATGTTGCCGCTCTTACCGATCAGCAGGATGAGCCCCTACCACTCACAAATGGTCATATCAACGGAACGTACATCAACGGGAACCTGATGAATGGGCACTCCGGCCTCATCGAGGATGATATCGAGGAGGACGCAGAAGGCGAGTTGACGCCCAGCCGCTCATTGAGGATAAGAGGAAACAAGAACTACAATCTCAAAGACCTCAGCAATCGAGCACAGGGGAGGAAAAGCCGCAATCGTTTGACAAAGGCGAGGAGCGCCGACGCGGACCGTATTCTTTATCACCTTCCCAGAGAGGCTGGGCCGGTCAAGGAAGTGCTCGTGTGGGGCTTCGCCTGCTGCTTTTGTCACGCCTCACACCAGTCATTGGCTCAGCTCCGTGCCCATCTTCCAAGTCACTCGCAATATAGATTTGAGGTCAATCTCGCTTCTGGAAAGACGGGGGGGCCAGTGGACGTGTCTTGTATTCCTATCAGCGGAGGCCCTTTACTGCGTCCCACGATATACCAGTTAGGCAAGCCGACCAAAGCTTTCGATTTGGATAAGTACGTGGAAGGCGACGACTCCTGGGTCAAGTCCCGTCTTGGGCCGCACAACGACGATGGGCCTGTCGTGCCAACCCACAAAATCTCGCAGACAAGGGCAGGTCAAGTTAGGCCATCACAGGTAAGCGAGAAATGGGAGGAAACTTGAAAGCGGCCTTGTTTGAGCACTCAACACTAATACAATTTCAGAGGTCTGGAGGCCGTCGCAAGGAGAAAAAGGTTCTTGTTCCGGACACCAAGCAACCGCTTTTTGATTCTTTGAGCAAGGCCAAGTTGATTCCTGGAACAGAGGTTCGACAGTCTGTAGCTGATGACACCTGGCTCATTCAGAAGCATCGGGATATTGTCCAGGACTTCATTGACGTCGATGCGGCCGAGAAAGACTACATCAAACAGTGGGATGCGTTCATCCATAAGAGGCACATAAGCTCAGATGCCTTCATTTCACGTGCTGTGCTCGAGTTTGTGAACGAGAAGATGCAGTGGCTTCTCAGTTCGCAGTCTCGTATACAAGAATTCGGCAAGCATCTAACGGTCCTAATTGCGAGGGGTCTTGATGATGATACCATCAGGCAAGTACAGTCTCGCATACAAGAAGCTCGGAGTCAGAAGCCGCCAGAAGTCGAGCAAGTACCTCCGCAGCAATTCTCTAAGGAGGCCCAGCATCACAGCTCTAAGGGATGCGCAGTCTGTGGACGGAATGTCCGCGGCCCGCAATTGCTAATTTGTTCCAATGAGGTCAGTTCCAACTGCAGGGAGGCCATGCCATTGTTAGCTAATTATGAAATCTACAGGATTGCAAGAAACCTCTGTACCACGAGGACTGCATCAGGGACAAGGCGCAAATGCCGGTTGAGCACCAACAATGGCGTTGCAATGATTGTGCTACTTCACAGGCTGTTCATGGTCCATAAGTGAATTAGGCGATTTGCCCTAAGAAGTCAAACCAACTCATCCACTGCAGCAAGATTTAGCACGAAACCCGCCAAGCTTGCATTGCGCGGTGACGTGAGCTAGCGTAGATGCTTGGTCCAAATCCTAGCCAGCCTGAGTAGAAGCAACTCGCTCTGGGGTGTGAGAGTCCAGTGAGGCCGCAGCTCTGATAGCAGTGCAGTCAGATCGCAGTGCCGTTGCAGAGGTCCTGGCACTGGTGGATATAAGCCTTGAAGCTTCGGGCGGCAACAAATAACACCATTTTCCCATGAAAAGTGGGAATATTGAGAACCGAGGCAAGGAGTAGTCTGCGGCGAGGGGGCTTCAAAAACACATATCCATATACATAGACCTCCGCAGACACAGACGGAGGATGTCGAGAGAACTGGCTCCCACCCAAGTGGCTTTCTCGTCTCTGCGGCGATGAGACCGGCTCATCTCATCTGTAAAATATTTTCACATTACAGCCCCGATAGCATCAGACCTATTGCTCAATAATAATACACCTCATATCAGCAAGATGCGTCTCCTCTGTGGATGCTTCCGGGGCTGAACATAATGAACATCCTATGCATGCTGTTGCCAATTGCTTTGCCGTAATCAACTCCGGAATCGTGCATTGTATCGCGTCTCAGCGCCGCTTGATTCAGAGTTTGTGTTGGACACGGAACAAAGAGTCTCATACGAAAGACGCGCGATCACTGTCAGCTGGTATTTATCATACACTCGGGTTTTATTCTCCGTCAAATCCCTGACGGGGCTGGATCGAGTCATGCCCGCAGCCTGAGTTGGACGGTGTCATCGTTTCTGAGAACAGAGGAGTCGCTTTCTGGCAAATTCGACTCCAGGGAGGTTTGGCCTCGCACTCAAATGCTGCTTTTGCGCATCTCAGACAGCCGTTTGTATGGGGTGGCTTACTATCTGAACCTTCCCTCGTTGGTACGCTTTACAAATTGTGAACTACAGAAAAGTAGCCAATCTAGTTATATCGTTTCGCCCATATGACACGAAAAAACGTGCCCGGTAAATTGAGAGCTCACCCATGAGCTTTCCATAGAGCAGAAGCTCTCTAGTACACCTGATGAATAACCCCAGGAAATGTGATATACTCTTACACAGGACCTGTGTGTCTTCGCCGGCCGGTTGAATTGCTGGAGGTCGAACAATGTCTTCTTTCGGATGTATACTGTATAAGACTATATGTCTGATTAAAACGACATACTACACTGAGCAATTGGTCAGCACTTCCCTGGGTTTCTGTGCCCGAGACGCCATGGAATGCACTTCCCAGTCTATTGGAACAAAATCTGACACGCCGTTGAAAGCCACATCGGACAGTTCAGGCGCGTGTGAAGAAAAAGATGATCACAACGAGGAAACCATGTGAGTCGAGGAGCGATTAGTTCGGCTAGGAAAGATGGCGGTTCCACCAAAGCCAAGTCAAGCAACGACTACTGTGAACACACACAAATGCTACTTGGACCAGCAGGTAATTGTTTTCTCAGCCCAAGATTTCAAACAGTCATACGAACAAGGCCGGCCTGGTTGCCAATATAACTGCTGCAAAATACCGCACTTTCATGCCAGTCTTGCATAAGCCACACGAGCCGACTCAACAAAATACTTTCCCCGGGAGAAACGACAGCAGTGCCCATGGTATCTTGTTGTGCTACCAAAGTTCCATATGCACATTTCCACCCGTTTGACACATTACAGTCAGTTAATTGCATCTGTAGACATCTGATAATGACGGTCATTAGAAACAAAGCTTTCCTTGTGATGAGCACTTCATACGTACGAAGATTGAGTAATTTATTAACAGCCAAAGTCTATAGAAGCATTACATTCATTCTTCTATGGTGTGGCTTCCACCATGATCGAATGTACTTGACTTCTACTGTAGCACTCATTCCCCAACACATCGACCGTCAAAGATGAAGTTCACGGTGAGTCGAACTTGTACCTCTTGAACAAATTGTCAACATGTCTGGATCGAGAGCTTGAAATGAACAGGTTCTTCATCGGTAAGGCTTCCGAAGTCTGAGACTGAAATCCGTAGATCAGGTGTTTTTACGAATAAACTATCAAGAATTCTGCCCCAATCTCCCGTTCAGGTAACCTCGCTATTCGTGTGTGAACGTGAGAAAGCATGCTCATAGAAGCCGACTGTGACCCACAAATGTCAAGTACGACTGCAGTAATGGTGTATTGGAGCAGTTCCAGCTGCTGTGCGCTCGAAATTTACTTGCCAAGAAACCAGCACTGTACGTGAGGTTTTCATCGTGCTGAGGATGGTCATACGGCCAATGCTTGAATTTTGTGACCAAAAGTCAAACTAGGATCTTTGGAAGGTATGGATATTTGATTTCTTTCTCTCGTGTGTGAAAAGATTCGGGAGGGAGGAGGAGCGAATGTACTCACCGTGGCTCAACCCTGTCCATAAGAGACAACATCATCGTGGACTTTCTCTTAGCCGGGGTTACTGCATCATAGATCAGTCATTGATTGAAAAAATCTAATAATATTGCAGAGTTTTACGTGGATCAAAGGGTACGGAATGGTCAAGCGACAATCGGTGTAGGAGAAGCTTAAGACATTGAGTCACTGGCCAGAGGATGAGCAAACCAATGTGATGAGCAAGGCAGAGGCGCTGAGTGTGTTTCTTGACAAGGCACGACAAACGGTTACTGATCATAATGACAGTGCAGTTGTTTCCGTCTGTGCTTCAAACTAAGAGAGCTACAACTGGATCGCTTAAAGGAGCTAGGTGACTTTCCTCAGGCACGCACTTCATCCCGGAAGCAAGACCCACGAAACGGCATGGTTGAACGCAAATGTACTCAGCCATGACAGCAAACGCTGCATCACATTGCTTCGGACTGGATATGCTGTGGAACAACTCACTGCAACCGATGAAATCAAATCCTTATTTGCCTGGTGCAAGTCCGAAGCGCTCATTACACGACCGGGCGCTCAGTATACGACAGGACGTGGAGAGTATCACGACAGGGTTTTGGGGCTCCACGCTGTCGGCAAGCTGAATAACATAAATCTTGGAGATGGAGAGTACTCCGGAGGCTTTTCCACTCGACTTTCTCCTTGGATTATAGATGCATCATGGCCCTTGGCCTCTTCTCTTCTTTTCTTTTCAGCCTCTTGGCGTCCAAGTGACGTTCGTCAGACACCCTACGCAGAGCTCTCAAGCTGCTGACCTGTCTCCTGACCGATCTCACTTCCGAAAAGAATAATATCTGATTGAATCCACTAATACACCGCATCAAGATAGTATGAGCCGGGAAATATGTAACTTAGGGTCCTCTTTGAAACTTGACCTGCTCTTGCAGCCTCGGCTCTCTAGAAGAGACGCCCTGGTAAACAAAATCCTCGATATCTGCGAAATATATCCAGAACAGATAGTCAGGACTATATTCGAGTCTGAAAATTGTCCGGTGCCTGCTGATGATTGTTGAATTAAGTTACATCACATTTGTGGCCGTTTCACGGCCTCACGGTAAAGAAACCTCCCAAATTTGACGTGGACCGATATTTTTGTGTTCGCTACCTGTATCAGTCATCTACGGCACAAAAAATTCATGAGACTCGCCCAGAGAAGCTAAAATCCGAACAGAGTCTCTGCTAACTTTGGCACCAACCTACAACCCCATCAACCCACCACTAAGACTTGCTTAGTCGTTGCCCCAAGCTGATGCCATGCTCACCCAGAAATCATGAAGACGGATGCCAGCTGTCAGACCAAGGCTTTCTGTGAAGACTGTGGCGATGTATCTTTCCATGAGCCTAGTGTAATTTAGTGGCACCATGGCTCCTAATCTGATGAACTCTCCTTTTGTACTTCGTATGGTCGTCTTGATAGGTCATAATCTATCCATGTTGGCTGCCGATGAGGATCCTGTGGCCTTCATGGTATGTGCTACTTCCAGCCTTGTGGATCTGGGGTGTGCACATGCAGTGGTCAACATGTCTCAACGAACTTGTGGCAGGAGTGCTTAACGGGAGACTGCCAAGATACCACAGATTCAACCCCAACATCGACAGCATGAGGTTTCAACATCCTCAGCGTGATTATAACCTGAAAGAAGTGGATATCCGACCAGCTATCTAAAAGCGGTATTTTGTCTCCTTCTTCTTATCGCCACCCCCGCGCTTCTCTTCATCCCGCTTGACCCTCTTACGACTCTCCTGAGCAATCATTTCACTGAGATCGTCATCATACTGCCATTGCTTGCCGATTGCATCCTCCTTCCGGCCCTCCTCAAATCTCTTGCGCAACTCATCCTTGCTAATGCCATCATGGCTTGCCAGGGCTTCTGGGTCAAGAGCAACGTCCACGTCGCCAGGCTTCTTCCGTTTGCGAGTGTCATCCTCCTGACCCAGAACAGGCACGCCGGCCTTGTTCTTTGACAAATCGTACACCCTGTCGCTTCCAAAGAAGCCCTCGGCGCGTGCTTGCCTCTCGGGAACGACCTGGTATGCCGAACGTGGCCCAGCATTTTCTTCCGTCTCATAACCACGGCGCTGCTTTCTTAGGTCAAACTCGCCCGCCATGCTGCTCTCCACGCCACCTGGTGCACCATATTCCGTCGGTACGGAACTGTTGAGCCCGCCCGGTGTCTCCAATCCACCTGGCGTTTGAAGGCCGCCTGGAACATCGGCATCCTCCTCGTCCTCGTCCTCCTCTTCCTCCTCGTCAGACTCCTCTTCTTCTTCAGACTCCTCTGGCGGCTTGAGTTCACCCCAGAGCGTCCGGTCGACAGGTTCTGCTTGTGGCTGTGCGGCTTGCATCTGTGCCTGAGCTCCGGGGTTGCCGGCCGTGACGCCAAAAATATCGCCACCGTAAATCGGCCGGTTGTACTCGTCCACAGGCGGCTTTCCCCACTGACCAGGCCCGAAACCCCAAGATGCTCCAGCAGGCAGAGGGGCGTTGAGGCCGGGTATCTTGAGGAGGGGGTATGATGGAGGAGGGCCCACACGCTGTTGCTGCAAGAGCCATGGCGGTGGGAATCCTGGCTGCATCCCCAGAGCATCTCTTAGGGAGTCGCTGACCTCGCCCGGCTTGAAGTACCTGTAATCAGCCTCCCACTCCTTGCCCTCGTGGTACAGATCCCCAAAGCGCGTCAGGTCTGGCTTTGTCTGGAATCGAAAGAAGGCGTCGTAGAGTTTCTGATAATCTATGTCCAACTTTCCCATTTTGCCCTGCACCCGTTCCCGCTGCTTCTGCTTCATTGTCTGCTCGGCTTGTTTCTCAAGGACCGCGTCTCGCATCTCCGTAATGCCAGTGTCGGAAATGAACTTGGGAAGCTTGAAAGGAGGCTTCTCGATTCCCCTCTTGCTCGAAAGATACTCCCGCTTCAAGGACCAGTGACCAGGAACGGGGACGACATTTCGTTGCGCCTTAATCTGGACCAATAGCCGCGGATCGGAAGATGACGGGTCCTGCCATTCGACGACCTCGGGGTTCCTGACAAGCGCTTTCAACTCGGCGATAGAAAGCTTGTGCAGTTTCTTCCTCTTCTTCTTGGACATTTTCTGTTGGCCGCTCTGCTCCTCCTCGCTGGGGATGTCGTCGTCCTGGTCGAAGAAGACGTCTCCTTTATTTCCGGCATTCGCCTCCCGCTGAACCTCGGTCTCGTCCAGCGCCGGGCCGAATTTTTGAAAGATGTCCCTGTACTCGGCAAAGGCTGGGTCTTCGTCGTCGAAGGCGACATCGATGGGTCCATCGGCCGTCGTGGCGTCTTGCGCGTCAGGATCCGGCTTCACCTCCAAGCTTTCTGTCTTGACGGGGGTGTCCTCGCTGCTGGGTCTCTCTTGTCCGTTCTCGTTTGCATCGCTATTCTCGACGGGCGCCGCGGTTGTCTGTGTTACGTGGTTAGCTTCTGTAGAGACGAGGGTCTGGTGTATCTTCAGGTTACTGACCACAGCTTGTGTCTTCTTCTGCTCCTTCTTCTTGGCGCGGCGCATCTGATTCTTGCTCATCTTTGGAGCCGCCATCTTGACGGTATTGGTGGCTGTCTGTGGCGGCGAGCCTGAACTTCGAGCGAGATAGGATTGCAACAGAGACGGTCGAGCCTGGTCAGGCGCGAGGGTGAGTGTTGAGCGCAGGTGCAGGACTTCGATGAGCTCAGGTGCTGGAAAGTTCGCGCCAAGGACGCGAGTGGATTTGCTGGTAGCCTCGATGCAAGCCGTGGAGCGGTGCCAAAGCTAGACTACCTGCATGCTGGACCTGGGTACCCACGAATCTCCCACACTAGGCTCTGTAGTCTTGTACCAGTTGGGGCCAGGCGTTTAGCGGCAAGGGGTGGGATCGAAGCCCCCCAGCCCGCGAGAACACATGTATCTTCCCAGCAAAGAGACCCGCACAGGTACATGCAATGAGATGCCAAGCATGCAAGCTGCGGAACCATCCTGGGTGCGAGTTGCGCGGCCCCTGTCGGTTTTTTTCTGGGGACTTACTGATGCTGCTGCATCTTACCTAAGTATCGAGTAGACTAGATAGATGGCAATTACACTCTGTCTAACATCAGCTCCCCTCTGCCGTAAATCCCAACACACTACACGATCGCACCATCGTTGCTTGCTTGCTTGCTTGCCTGCGAAGCCGAAGCCTGTGGCTAAGTTGTGCCTACCTATTTACAGTCAGGCACAGACGCGTACTGCAACACCGGCCCAGACCAACGCAACGACCCATGGCATCACCTGCCAATGCGATGATCCAGTAGAGACAACGACACTTCGTTTTGCCTCTTTAGTCACTCGTTTACCATCACCGGTCGTCCTTCTTCCTCACTTTGCCCTCGCTCCCGCAGCCCCGTCGCACGCCAATGCCGCACTCGACGACTTCCGGGTCGGAGCGGCGCGACCACTCCCAGAGCCGCTCCAAGGGCCATCGAGATGCAAGCGTTGACTCTCGCGAAGCCACCACCGAGAAGTTCCCCGACTTCGACTCGTCCTCCAGCTTCTACAACTCTGGCTCCGGGCCCGCCCAGGGGCGCCCCAGCAGCAGACAGAACGGTTACGCGAACGGGAGCTTGGCCCTGTCCAGTGGGGAGCGATGGACCCCTCGGAGAGAGAGTTCTGCGCGGGGTGTCAAATGGGGGGCCACGAGCACACCGTCACGCGGTCACGGCCGACAAAAGAGTATCACCGAAGCTGTTAGGAACATTCGGAATCGTGGCGGCAGTGTCAGCCAGAATGCCCATGAGATCGCCGGCGCCCTCAAGGCCCCGGTGTCCCCGAGACTCATTGTATGCCTTTGTCTCTGCCTCTGCCCCCGCCTCCGAGAGACGTCTGCAGCATGTGCCTGTGTGCTGATTTGCAACTGTAGATACTTTGCCTCATGTGGTACGCGTCATCTGCGCTCACCAACACTTCGGCCAAATCCATTCTGAACGCCTTCGCCAAACCTGCCACCTTGACCATGATCCAATTCCTGTTCGTATCGGCTTATTGCCTGCTGTTCTCATGGCTCGCGGCTGCATCCCCGACTGTCAGGTCTGCTGTGCCGGCATTGAAGTATGGAATCCGCCCGCCGAGCATGGAAGTCATCCGGACAACGATGCCCTTGGCCCTCTTCCAGATAGGGGGCCATCTATTAAGCTCCAACGCGACCACGCTGATACCTGTGTCCCTTGTTCACACAATTAAGGGGCTTTCTCCTCTGTTTACTGTTCTTGCTTACCGTTTCATCTACGACATCAAATACCCATCCGCCACCTACCTATCATTGATACCCCTGACCGCCGGCGTCATGCTTGCCTGCTCCGGGAAACACGCCAACTTCGGCGGACAGCTTCTCGGAATCATCTACGCACTCCTGGCCACGCTCATATTCGTGACCCAAAACATCTTCTCTAAACGCCTCTTCAACGAGGCCGCCCGAGCCGAAGCCGAGGGTTTGACAGCAAAGACCCGAAAGCTCGACAAGCTTAATCTCTTGTGCTACTCCTCCGGTCTTGCCTTTGTCTTGACAGCGCCAATATGGTTTTGGAGCGAAGGCATCGGCATCCTCGGCGACTTCCTCCATGACGGTGCCGTTGATCTCGAGGAGGGCCCCAACACCTTTGACCACGGCCGTTTGTTCGTCGAATTCGTGTTCAATGGCACTTTTCATTTTGGCCAGAACATTCTGGCTTTTGTCCTCCTCTCCATGGTGTCACCTGTAACCTACTCTGTCGCAAGTCTACTCAAACGAGTGTTCGTCATTGTGATTGCGATCCTCTGGTTTCGTAGCCCAACAACCAGGCTTCAGGCGGTCGGCATCGCACTCACCTTTTTCGGCCTCTACCTCTACGACAGGAGTAGCGAGAAGAACAAGGCGGACCGCAGGGCACGGAATATGACAGAGAGTAACGTTGCTCCCCTATTACCACTCAACACGGCAGAAGGGCTACGGGTGAACCAGCCTGCCACGGTCTTTGAGAGCCCTATATCTATTACACCAAATCCTACCGCGCACCCCTACACCAACGGCTACTCCTACAGCAATGGGAACGGTGACGACAGTAAGAAGTCGGACGACCCTGGCACTGCACGGACAAGAGCCCAAAGCAATGCGCAATGGCTGCCGCCAGGAACGAGGCAAGAGGAAACCTGGCGGCTAGGGGATCAGAGTGCTCGTCGCCCGGCGTGATTGTCGAAGTTTGCCCCCCTTTCATGTGCGCAGGGGCCTTCTCAAACTGCAGGTCAGATACTCTCGCTGCTCGGCCAGCACAATGTGGACACGAGGCAATATGACGGATGTATATATGGACGGTTGAGGGACATAGACATGGGACACGGTGACGAACTAAAACAGGTCTGGCGTTCATTGGGTAGGTGTCTTCACAAAATGTAAAACTTTGTACACAATCGTCTCGTTGAGCCATCCATTTTGCCATGTGCCTGCTGCCGTATGTCATACTTTCGCATCATATTCTCAGAGCGTTGTATGTTTGTAGTCACCATGGTCCAGAGGCTAAGTGTTCGGATATGTCAGGACTGACTGGTGTACATTTCCGTGCCCTCGATCGGACATTGTTGCACTCCAGACATGATCGCTGTGTCCCTCTGCGCTTGGCCAGTTTGTTCACGTGGTTTCTAATGCATCCCGTCCTGAATTCGTGATTGAAAAGTCCACTCAGGATCACTTTACCTGGAAATAACCCCAGGAAGTGTACATAGCATGTGGATCTGACTTTTGTGCGGCGGTACTGTGCATTGATTGTCCAAAATGGCTAAAAAAGGCACTTGCCACCCCTCGATGACAAATTCTGCTTGTGGTCTACTCAATGAGCCACTCCTCAACTTCCACATGCATGCTCCGCCCTAGGCTCCTGATGACCTCCCACCCAACGTTGACCCTCCACTTGCCGCCCCGATCCAGGGGGTCCCCACCGGCGCCGACACGCATCAGCAGGCGCAAGGACGACAGCGTCGCTAGCGCCATGCCGACGTCAGCGTCGGCGTCCGCATCCGGGCTCTCGCTGCCGCCGACTCCCCACTCGTGGCGCACGGTGGTGAAGATGGCCATCATGCGCTCCAGCACGAAGGCGTGGGCGCCTAGCAGCTTGCGGGCGATCTTGCGGTGCTTGCTCCTCTGGCCCGCGACGACGGACGAGGCGCCGCCGCGGCGCCTGCGCTTCCCGTGGTGGTAGGTCGAGAACAGTGTCAGGTCGTGCCGCGTGGTGTTGTGCGAGGCGAGGTATGCTGCGATGAGGAGGACGCGGGCCGTGGTGGGGAGGAGTGCGGCGAGGCTTGTCGTCGCCGCCGGCGCGGGCCTGTGGACGAGCGCCTTTGCATCTGTCTCGCCTGATGGTAGGCGAGTGGCACCGCCTTGTTGATATCCTGGGCGCAATATGATGCCCGGATCCAGCAAGCTCTCATCCTGGAAGTGCACGCGCGCGGCGATGAGCAGTTTGGTGAAGTCCTTTGGCCCAAGATTGCCCTCGCGGAGAGGCACTGTGAAGCGCGGCCAGAGTGAGTTGCAGGCGCCTTGGAAAGCTGGTAAGGTGCGGACTGCGGACTTTGTCAGGGCATCATGGACAGCGCCGCAGAAGCGCGTCCAGAGTTCGGCTGTCTCGGCTGCAGTGGTGTTGGGTAGGGGTTTAGGCGGCGTGGCGGAAAGAATCTTGACGAAGTCTGACTTGGTGTAGTTTGGAAAGTGGACATGGGCTACGTGAGAAATACGGAGACAGCCTGATGGCGGGTTGGTCATGATGAAGACCGTGGTCAGGCTTGGAATCTAGTGGTGATGTAGTTCAGCACATGGGCAGGCATGGACGTGCAACAGGACGAGACTCACAATTTCAGAGAGCCTTGCCAAAGCAGGGAGAAGAGTCGGTGGAGCTTCCCTCTGGCGATCGATGGCGTCGAAGACGAGCACAAAGTGACGGCTCTCAGGCTGGGGGGTGTGCTTGAGCATCTTTGATAGCTCAAAGGTCAGCTGGGCGAGGCTCTCGCATCGTGTGGCGAGGTCCGAGAAGCCGAGAGCGCCTGCGACTTTCCTGACTGTGGTCTCAAAGAGGTGTCTCCCAGTCACACACTCGACCGAGTTGACGATAGCGTATTGACATGCGGGCAGGTCTGGACGGCTGGTGGACTCAACCTCAGCTAGCTGTTGAAGCAGAGCCGCGACAATTGCACTTTTGCCATTGGCTTCGGTGCCATAGACAATACAGTTCCGACATGGTGCTACCTCCGGCTGTAGCAAGATTAATCAGGGGACAGACAGCCGGAAGTGAGAATGAGGGTAAGACTCACGGATATCAAGGTCGCAAGTGTACGTATTTGCTGCTGTCGGCAGGGGAACCTCTGGTCGAGGATTGACAGGATGAGTTCGTCTGGTAGCTGAGCCATGGTGGAGAGTAAGCACTGTGCATAGCTCTTCGTTTTTTATGTCATATCGCAGCAACTGCGCTTTCTGGTCCCAGCGAATGATGCCATTTGGAGGTGAGGCTGGGGCCTGACGCGTGCAAATGAGCGAGACGCGTTTGATGCCCTTGGGGAGGGGGTCGTTGATTGAGAGCGGCTATCAGGGTTAGGGTGCAAGCTGGAGCGCGACAGGCGACGGAAAATGCAGATACTACATAGACTTAGTAGATAGTAGTTCTATAACTAGACTACTATCAGATCCTACTGCTACCACTCTTTGTTCCGCACTGCGTAACCACTACTGTGCAAGGAGCTGGCTTGCCTGGTATTGGGACTATTCGACACCTCTCCGAGGTGGTTGCCGTCGCGCACCCCGTCTGTGGGGTCCAGGCCTGTCGGCGCCCAGGAACTCTGATGGTCGCAGTCCCGCCCAACAAGGAACACTGGCCCACAGCTGCTGCCACTGCATCGTCTTGGCCTTCCCAGAGAGGGAGATAGTGACAGAGGACCTGCGTCGGGTGGTGCGCGTCTGTACATGCCGACATGCAGCGCAGTGCGGTAGGGGAATGGTAGGGTACGGTCCCGTACGGAACAGCCGCTCTGTATACTACACTAAAGCAACTCGAGCCCATCAATCACAGCCAGCCAATGGGCTGGTTACTCGAGCTCAGGAGACGTCATGCTGGGCTGGTAGCAGGGCCGTTTATCAGGGACGCGATGGAAGACAGACAGCCAGCACGGTGTTGCAAATCGGAATAGGCTTGTCCGGAACTGGCTGGCTGGCTCGGGATTTTGCCCGATCCATGATCCCCATACCTTACCAAGGAGGCTGCAGTGAGCAGGGATGCCTACAGCAGGGAGGGCCGCTCCATCTGGACTCTTGTCTGGGTCAATCAGCATGGACAGAGCTATTCAACGTCTCTTCTCCCGTCGTCTCGTCTTGTCCACGCCCATGTCTCCATGTGTAATGACCTCGTCAGTGAGGCTCTCACCAAGATCAGTCGCATGATCCTCTAAGTTCCCTCTCTCCCTCCATATTTCTGTCCCTATTCCATACGTGTTCTAGCAACGCGTCATCCTCTAGCACCTCTTACAGCAACGGCCTCAACCTCGGTTTACTCTCTCAGCGCTCAGCTACCACCAGGAAGCGTCATCCGCAACGCTTCGCTCCACTGTCGATCCTCTCTCCTGGTCTCACGAGCACCCCTTTCGCCTGTTAGATTTCCTATTGATGGCCCGGTCGATGGCCCTGTTCCTGTTACTGCCACGCCTCGGGCCCCTTGAACGACCTTGAATGACCCTCTCACCTACGAGGCTCCAGTTTTCCTGTCCTGGCGTCCCGCCGGTTTGCATTCTCTCGTTACTCTCCGTCACCTTCGGCCAACAGCGCCAACTTGACCGGGCTGCACATCACACACCGGCTCCTGCTCGCATGCATCAAAGCCCCCACAATGGGCACCCTGGACCGGGATCGTGACGGGTCACAGCCATTTCTTCCTCCCCCTCCCCCTCCTCCCCTGGGCCCTTCCGAGGAGCGTCCGTATCACGCCAAAAGACCCCATCGCAAGTCTCGCCTGGGCTGTCGTAATTGCAAGGCTCGCAAGGTAAAATGCGATGAGGCCAAACCAAGCTGTCGGAATTGCACCTTGAGGAAGGACACATGCAACTACCCGGCCTCACAGAACTCGGCCCCGGCCGGGCCGGCACAGCGCTCCTCGTCTGGAACCGGCGCCGCGCCCCCGGTCCCTGCCCCCATCCCGCCTTCTACTTCCGCCTCTGCTACCTCAAACTCGGTGCCGTTCTCGTACGGTTCACCACTCTCGGTACGCACGGCCGCTTCCCCGGCTGTCTCGTCCATATCGGCCCTGCCCGCCCATAACTATTCCCCGGGCCCCCCTACGGACTCTCGCCGCGGATCCCAAGATGACGCCTCCAACAGCAGTGGGAGCACCGAGCTCATCATTGTCGACGAGCCTCCAGTCAAGCTTGCAGGTGCCGACGAGTACGACATGAAATTGTTGTGGTTTTACTCCACGGAGACCTACGCATCGTTTGCCATTGAGGCCGGTCGGATCCCTTTCATCGATAGAATCCTCAAGTCCCACATCATCCAGTTCGCCTTTCAGAGCCCTTTCCTAATGGACTGCATACTGGGGTTGTCTGCATTACATATGCAGTCACTGCACATGACGGTGCCTGTATCTAAGGCAATCATGTACAGGGCCCGCGCTTTTTCTGGGTATCGCAAGGCCATTGAGAGGGCCGACCCAAAAGACTTCCCGGCTCTCCTCTCCTGCTCCCTTCTCTTGTGCATGCTCTCGTCCGAAGCCTTCCGAGAGCCCGACATGAAACCGTTATATATCATAGACTGGATGGTGCTGTGGCGTGGGATCGGCCTCATCATGGAACTCATCCCAATCGACACAATTGTCTCGTCAGGCTTGGAGAAGCTCTTCTCACGGCCAGCCTTCAATCTCAACCAGACGGCTCTGCATATCCCTAACAATCTGTTCTTCATGATCACCTCAATCAAAGAGGACGATGAAGACTATCCCTACGTCGAGGCCTATTACAATACCCTCAAGTTCCTCGGCGGGCTGTATCTCGAGTTGGAGACTGGATTTAGCCCCATTCTAAGCATGCGCATCATTACCTGGTTCACGTTTCTGCCAAAACCCTTCATAGAGCTGGGAAGAAAACGTCGTCCACGAGCCCTGGTGATTCTGGCTCACTACGTTGCCTTCCTGAAGATGGTTGAAGGTGTCTGGTGGATGCTTGGAATTGGGGACCGGAGCATTCAGGAGATAATCGATTACCTGGGTCCGGAGTGGCAATCGCTTCTCAGTGTCCCACGGGCTGCGATGTCCATCCACGACAAGGTTGAGCTCGCCAAGCTGATCAGAGGCAACCATGCCTGGGAGCCAGCCGAAGTCGATCAAATCGTGCAACACCCAAACCCATACCTGCGCACACTCACCATGGTCAACAACCAAGGTGAGGCGGTTGCATACGACAAAGAAAAGGGCTGGGTGCCGGCGGCCAGCAATCCGGAACCCCAGGACCCGGGCTCGCCCGAGTATCTTACACCACCGTATATTTGAAATGCCAGCAATACATGTGCGACACACGCACCGCAATGTATACATTAGGCCTGGGCTTGGGGTCATACAGGAGTTCAGAGCAGCAGGGCAATTTGTTATTGGCTACGGTAAGTTGATAACCAACGGCCACCCCGACTCGCATAACACCTCGATTCACCAGATACCTCATGTTACACCAAGGCATTTCGGAATAGTCTCTCGCTGAGTTAGACATTTATCTTCGAATATCAGTACTGACTTTGGCGCATAGCTGCGAATGCGGCAAGACCTCAGAGACCAAACCATTCCTCACTTGCAGTCAAGTTTGATGGCACGCTATGGCCCACTCCAGTCGCATAGATGCCTTGGACACTTGGGCCATAGTCATCAGTCTGATAATTTGACTGCGGATAGTTCTTAATCGAGGAGGTCGGCGTTTGGTTGACACCGAAGACATTCGTCCATTGCTGCAGCACCTCCGGGTCAGATTTCATGCAACACTCTCCACACGCAGTAGGGGAAGTTCCCCAGGGGACTTCCTGCTCTCCCGAAAGCCGGCCTTGACTTCTACAGCCGGGCAAGCAGGAAATTGTTCGCGTGCCGCCTTTGCGAGATAGGAAGGGCGGATTTTGGTCCCTGGCTTTGCTCACCTTGATCTCTTCCTGGTAATTGTGCGGGTTCAGGGTTGTGTCCGCAGAACCATGCCAGATCTGCATTCTCGGGCGTGTCCCATTATATCCGGAGTCCATGTTGCGAGCAACATTGCCCCAAGCTTCTGCTGTAGCCGTCACTTGACCCGATGCGCACGAGGAGTTCCACTGGTCGACGCCCCCAGAGGAGGACAAAAAGCAACCAGCTGCTACCCCGGAGTACAACGAAACGGCCTGGATCTGTTCGGGGTATGTCGCCGCCAAGACGTTGGACATCATGGCTGGACATCGCGGTCTCTTTGTCAGCTGAAGGCCAGCGCTATATTTTCAACATAGCTTTCCTTCCCACTCCTAAAATAACTGCGGTACATACCTCCGGAACTGCCTCCCGTTACGAACACCTTGCTTGCGTCCACCTTGTACTGCGAGATCGCATACTTTATCATGTTAGAGATGGCCTGGGTGTCGCCTCCACCCCCGTGTGTCAGGGTCGCCTTGCTGGAGACATCCCAACACGTCCCGCTGTGAGGGCTGCTCGGCCACACGGTGATGTATCCCTTGTTGTCGGATCCGCGGTGCCAGGGGATAAGGCTGTTCTGGAAGTAGGCCTGGGCTGAGGACTGGCAGGAATGGATTACGACGACGAGAGGTGGGTTGGTGACGACCTTGTCGGGAACGTAAATGTACCTGTCGCGGGTCAGCCATGAAAATATGACAGCCGCCGGGGGTTGGGGGCTAGCCACCAGGGCTGCCGCCCCCAATCAATGGGCGAGGAGGCCTTGGGATGGCGCTTACATATCTACCTTGGAGGAGGCATCGTTGGGGTAGTTGACTTTTGTGAGCTGAGCAGCCAGAGCGGTTGACGAGGCCAGCAAACCGGCGCAAATGGCCTTCAAGGAAATCATGATAGGTGGTAATGGGTGTCAGAAAGCGCTGAGTATGTACGTGCCTCTTCAAGCGTCGAGCTATTAGGCACGGCCGATTCTTGGCATTTAAATACAGATACAAGCGTACTCAACACTGACACGTAGAGTGTGATGGTTCAATATTATTAAGATAATCTACTATGCCTTCGGCAGATGGCTGAGATGGCTGTTATGGACTCCCACATATCCTCCGGCTAAATGAAAGTCGGCATGTGTATTTGTGCGGTAACAGCCCCCTTTCAAGCGGGATGTCTCCTCCGCCATGCTGATCAGATCGCATTTCCGTCATGTTTTAGCATCTTTTCCATATTGGACTCTGCCCTCGTCACAGGGCGAACCAACGCAAGACGCAATGTACTTAGGAACGGAATTGAAACGAGTTTGATGAAGCTCTTCGAGCCAGCAGGGATGTTTTTGGATATCCATATGACGCCGTCCGAATCCTTACACAAAGCCTCTACCGCAATTTCCCGTTCGTGTCATCGTGACATTTTTCTACTACGACCAGAACGCCTTCGCCCAGTTCCATTACCGCCCCTCAGCTCGTATCCATGCTGTCCCCGCCGGCCTGAACTCCATTGCCATTAGCGATAGCGAAATCAACCGCGCCGTCGTTTCCGATGAGTCGCTTCTCAGAAGCCGCCACGAAGCTGACGCTTCGCGAAGAATCATAGAAGAGCTTGAAACTCCGCTGCACGTCATCCACGCTGACCTGCTTTTGTCGTCGTTTCGCAGCGACAAGTTGTGACGTTGTGATGAGGTTGCTGGCATAACGCAGACCAGCTTCCTGGCCAATCTTAGCCAGCAGAGCCAGAGCGTCGGGGGACAGGTCGACTTCCTCCTCCGTGGCACGGATGGAAATGATTTGCTTGATCTCGTCTGGATTGTATGGCTGAGTCTGGATGATTGAAACCCGGTCGAGGAAGTCTAGCGGCAGACCGTGGGGGCTCTTGTAGTCGGTGCCGCGGATTCGCGACTGGCCGCGATTACTCGCCATGATGACTATAGGCGCCAGGTCGTCTTCAAGCGCGCGGTTGACGTATGAGAAGCACTCAATGTCGAGCATGTGAACCTCGTCGATGAAGAGCACGCCGGGTACTATCTCGGCCTTACCCTCCTCTTTCCACTCACCGACCTTGGTGTTGATCTGGTCTCGAATCTCACTGCGGATCTCACCCGTGTCTCCCGAAAACAGGGCCAGGAAGCCTTGTGTTCTCGAGTTGATGACATCGATCTCGTGCAGCGTGACAGTGTGAACCACTTCCTTGCGTTTCTGCAGTTCTCCGTCGGGGCACTGCAAGAATTTTGTATCGACACCCATGGCGTCGTAGTCGCGTGAACGCGCGTAGGAACGGCCCAGCTTGGTGATCTTTCCGGATGACTTGTCTATCGAGATGATGTCGCCAGCCATCACGCGCTCCTTGGTCATTGCGTCAATCATCTTGGCACCCATGTCGTAGATGGCCTCCATATCCGTGGTCTTGATGGTCAGCTTGCCCTGCTTGGCACCGCCGGTGACACTCCTATCGATCTGGATCTCGACCACCTCACCCTCCATTATCTCGCTCTCCTCCTTGATCCGCACGCCGATAGATTTCCGGAAGGCCTGGGTGAGAGCCTCGGTCTTGGACATCTCGAGGGAGAAGATCTCGGAAGATGAGAGGGATGTGAAGGGGACGTCGGGTCCGAGGGACTGGGCCATTGCCATGGCGATGGCTGTCTTGCCTGTGCTATTTGGTAGGCCGTGTGTGTCAGCAGAGCTCCGGAGAAGTGTCCCATGAGCGCTCCGGGCCGGCATACCTTGGTGGACCTGCAATCAGACAAGCGCGACCGGCAATCTTGCCTTGCTTGATCATCTCCAGTATGACGGCGGCAGCCTTGCGTGCCTTCTCCTGGCCGACGAGGCCTTGGGAGGCCGCGCGGGGCTCCAAGGTGTCTGCATCGACGCCGAGGCCGCGGATGTGCGAGTGGGCAGCTATGAGGTTGATGCCCCGGAGCTCCTTGCTCTCGGAGACTGTGACGACGGGCTGCGTGCGAGTGAGCGCGTTAGAGAGCCAAACAGGCGACGGAAGGATGGGAGCAGGCAGGCAGGATACATACCGCGGCCATGGTCTTGACTTGCTGAAAGCAATGGAATGAGGTGGGTCGCGACGGAGATACAAAACGAGCGGCTATGATTGTTTGCGCGACGTGCTGAGTGGTGAGCTCTTCCTGGGTGGTAGCTTTTCTTAGTGAGGTCAGATACGGCGCAGAGGAACGGTCGCAAACTGCTGCTGCCGTTTTGCTACCAGTAGGAACCCTGGAAGAGAGACGGTCAGGAATGCAGGGCAGGGATCTCAGTTGTTGGCGTGCAACTTGACAACCACTGACTGCCCTTATGAGCCCGTTTTTGAGATCGACTCCTACACACCTGGCGGCATAAGAGATAAATTGACCGTTACCTCTGATAATGTAACTAACTTTATACAGAATCGTCCCCAATCAGCCTCCTCTATCATATGTAGTTCTTGTTCATCTGTCTAGCCTTATGCCTGACAACACCTTTGAAGTCCTATAGTGAATGGCAGTACCTAAAGACATGTGCACGGACCGATGAAAAAGCATCACAGTGGGTACCTACCAAGAGAAAAAAAGTACTTTACGCGCCTGCTTCAGCGCGAGACCCCTGCCGTTGCCCCCGTCGACATCCCGCTGGAGTCGCACTAACACGAGAACGAAGCGAATTGGTTTCGCGGGGGGGAACATTGCTTCAAACAGCCCTTGACATTCGACTTCTTTGCTTCGCATACCTGTATCGCATTATCACAGTGCACATGCACATACACAGGTGTCCCGGTAGTACGCAGCACCCACACATACATGTACTGTATGAGATGGGAATCTGCTGAGAGACTTACAAAAGGCACATGCAACAACTCGTCACCTTCCTGGTCGACCTAGCTTGCTCTAGCACCTGGGCTTGATGAGACGGTTCTGCTCTTTCCCGACCTAACCTTGTTGACGCCATATGTCTCTGAACCGTCTAGTCAGTCACTTGAGCAGGTGCTGAGTCGCACCGCACGCTTGCCTCAGCCATGTCTTCACGAGACTTCAACCCCAACTTTAACAGCTTCCGGCGAAATCGTTCCCGCTCCCGCGACCGGTTCCCAAGACCAGCCCCTTCCCGGACTGGCCCTGGTGACTACTCGAGAGACCGTGATCGAGACCGATATCACGAACGCGACGACCGATACCACGACCGTGACCCCCGCGACCGTGACCGTGATCGCAGAAATGACCGTGACCGCGATTTGGACCTGAGCCGCACCTACCCACCACCACAAGACCAGCCAGCCAAGATGGACCCGGACAGAGCCTCAGCCGAGCTGGTAAAGGCCTTTCGTCAAATCAGCGACTTCATGGCCCAGAAGACCCAGCTTGTCCTAAAGAAGGATGCCGAGCTCAAGACACTGCACAAGAGAAAGCAAGACTACGAGCGCCAGATCTCAGGACCAGTGCAGTTCCCGGCTGTACAAGACGCTTTCCAGCAGATCCAGAACCACCACAAGAGCAAATTGGCAGACATCGACAAGGAGCTCGCCACTCTAACCCCCAAGGAAGACGCCGCCTTCAACAAGTATGCGCACACGCTCGTGAGGGCTTTGCCAATCGACGAGATCAAAATCCGCCAGTTTTTGGAAACAGCGAGAGGAGAGCCGGGCCCCGTCACCACATCGTCTCAGTCAGCGCAAGATGAACGACTCAAGAAGCTAGAGCAGCGACAGGCTGGCTTTGAGGAAACATGGAAGAAGCAGATAGCTTCTCTCAAGGAAATGAAAGAGAAGCAAGCTATGGAGTTGGCTGGGTACAGGGAGAAGGATCGACTGCGCGCAGACGCGGCGAAAGAGAATGAACAGCTGCGGGCAGAGGTGGCTTCTTTGAGATCCGAAATCACTGCCCTGACCAAACGCGTCGAGCTTGTCGAGCCAGTCGAATCGTTCCGGCAATACGTCGACAAACAAGTTGACTCGCTAAAGGCCGAGCTGAGCAAGGAGCTAGTGCAGGTGAAATCCGAGTCAATCGCCAACAAAACGCAGGGCAGTCCGGACTCAGTCCCGGATGCTGCTTCGCATCAGGAGATGGTAGCTCTGGGACAGGAGTGTGGCAAGCTGAGCCGCGAAATCGAGGATCTGAGGAAGACCTCAGGTAGCCACACTGAACAGATTGCGGTCCTGGATACGGGTGTGAAAAACCACGAAGTCCTGTTAGCAAACATCGACGTCGAGGGCCTCGAGGATGTAATGAATGACTACACCGCCCTGAGCAGCCGAGTCACCGGCCAGGATATGGCCATTGATGATGTCAAGAGATCCGTGGCCCAATGCCTTGGCAGAATCCCTGAGAAGATGCCCGCAGATCTCCCGGCGAGTTTCAAAGCATGGTCGGATAGATTTCTCGAGTTCTGCGGGACAAAATTGGACGAACACACGAAGCAAATCAAATCTCTCGAGGAGTGCAGATCGACCATGGGTAACATGTTGAGCGCCGAGGCTGCTTTGGCGCAGGCAAGTCGCCCGGCGATCGAATCAACTTCCAACATTGGGACAAGTCTGACGTTGGAGTCCGAAGCCGTCGGACCTCGTGTGACATCCGCTGAGTCTCGCTTGACAGAACTCGAGTCCAAGACTGTCACCATCGACTCGAAAGTTACCGCCTTGCAGGAGCCTGTCTCTGCGCTTCAAAATAGCTCGACTGCTTTGCGAGACAGCATTACCACTCTTGGGAGCCAGGCGGACCAGCGATATGGAGCTCTGGAAACGATGGTTGAGAGTCTGAGTAGTCAATGGAGCAACATGAATACTACGCAGATGGCTCATCTCATCCTGGAGCAGCTTAGCAGACTTCAGCCCGCTCAGCTTGTGCCTGAGATACGGCACTTCCAGGAGAGGCTGGCGGATGTGGAGAAAATTGTTCAAGAGGACGGGGAGCAACGCAAGAACCTGACCAAGGGGATGCGGTCCATCTGTGACGATATCGGCAAGACACCTAAGCGAAGCCTGGCCTCCGAGGAGAAGTACCCAGGACGCCAGGAGAAGCGGGCCAGAATAGATGGCCAAAATGGCGTGAATGGCTATGGCAACGGCTTTGCTCACCCATAATGGCCTGCACGACGGCTTTCCTTCGTTGCGTCTATTGGATGGAAAACTGGCGATGAACAATGAACAAGTTGGGGCTCTGGCTACCTCGGCGTCTTGCGTACACTGGGATGAAGAAAGAAATGATCCATGGGAATCATATCGGGCCTGCGTTTTGGCCACGATTCATCTTGGCTTGCTTTAGAGGCCGTTTTATTTTAAAGATTGACGTTGGTTGCTGGAGCACTATTAGAGATACCCTGGAACTGGTTTGTCTGTTTGCTTATCTGTGCATGATGGGCATGGCGTACCAATAATGACTTCTGATGACATCAATGGAAATTCTACAAGTAGGCAATCCTACACAAAACTTCGACTCCTCGAACAACGTGTGAAAAAAATGATCTCCTAATTGTGCCTGCCTCTTTGTGCAGTGGGCACCATCTTGTAGGTGCCTAGGTAGCCTACATTTGTTTCTGGGTGGGTACCTACAGTACTGTACCCAGGTGGCCCTGCAGGAGCTTATCTAATCTTGTGTTTTAGGAGATCCTGGGGAAGCTTTAGTCTACTGTAGCACATCCACTGTCGTCATTTAGGCTGCCTGCCGCTGCCGGATACTTAACAGCTTCAACGTCCGCACGCCTCAAGCTGGAACCTTCCCCACGTTCAACAAAAACCATACTTTTAGACCCTCTCACGCAGTTTCTTACCAGCAGCTGCTATTCAGCCCCTGGATCTGCCATCTCTTCCTCCTTTGGCAAGCAACGGTCACAATATCTCTCATTTTCCAGGCACAAGCCGAATATGGTATGTCACCACCCGCACGGTTCGAGGCCGAGCTTACTCTCCTCACTGTCTCTTTCCGCCCTCACATGCAATCCACTCGAAGAGAAGGGGGCCTTGAGCACTAATAATTCACCTTTACCACCTGCAGTTTGCCCCTGGATACGGCGGGATGGATCCGGCCAACCCGCAAGATTTCCTCAACATGGCGCGGTCGATGCGCCGGCCCGTCACGCAACGATTCGACGAGTATTACCGCTGCTACCCCATGGTTATGCATCCCGGCCCTGAGCGCAGCGAGCTGAACTATGGATCGAAGATCCTGCTGCCGCCTTCAGCACTTGACAAGGTGTCCAAGCTTCACGTGCAGTGGCCTCTGCTTATGGAACTCATCAACGGCGAGAAGGAGAGGCACTCTCATGCTGGTGTGCTGGAGTTCGTGGCTGAGGAAGGCAGGGCGTACCTCCCGCAGTGGATGATGCAAACCCTCCTCCTCGACGTTGGCGACATGATCCAGATCAAGACTACTTCCCTCGAGCTGGCTAGGCTGGTTAAGCTCCAGCCCCAATCCGTCAACTTCCTCGAGATCAGCGACCCCAAAGCCGTCCTGGAGCGCGCCTTCCGCAACTTCGCAGCCGTCACCAAAGGCGATGTCTTCAATTTTGAGTACAACGACACAGTCTACGATGTGGCAGTGCTGGACGTGAAACCCGAGACGGAGAAGATGGGAGTCTGCATGATCGAAACGGATGTGTCGGTGGAGTTCGCCCCTCCAGTGGGATATGTGGAACCAACAAAGTCATCAGGAAGTGGCACGAGTACGCCGAGAAGCACTCGCGGCCTGCCAGCTGGAGGGTTGCTGCACAACCAGGGCACCATGGCCCAGGCCATCAACTACGACTCTATCGCCCCCTCTTCTGCCGCGGCTCAGGCGACAAACTTCCATGGCGAGGGCAACCGTATCGGCGCTAAGAAAGGCGGCAAGGCTCCTACTCCAAAGCCAGCTACGCCTGTTCCGGGAGCTTCGGCCGACAGGGACTCTGGCGCACCTCGCAGACGGACGAATGGGCCACTGCCATTACGGCTGCCCCCGAACAAGCTTTTTCTCGGGTACGAGATCACCCCATACAAGTCGAAGGAGCAGAAGGAGAAGGAGAACGAGGGTGCACAGAAGCCTCATTTTGCTGGCCAGGGCCAGACGCTGAGAGGGGGTGTCAAGAAGAAGGGCGAGAGCGAGGAGAAGCCAGAGACCGTGGAGAAGAAGCCTGACGTCGGACGTCGCCTGGACGGTAAGAGTGTCACGTAGACGGGTTGCTTTCTTTGATCATCAGGGCCTGTGGACAGCTAGGCGTTTCGGTTCATGGCAAGGGCGTTTCGGGCCGCAACATCACGGCAGACAGGACAAGACAGGTTCATGAAAATTGTATTCACGTTGTGCATGTCACGTGGGTGCAGATTTGGCCGCGGATATTCATCATGACTTTTCTCCCAAGTGATCGATTCTCTCTGCTAGAGAAGTTATCCTACGTCCTGAAACCACCAAGGCAAGCTGCTGGTCACCAAGACACGCAGCGAAAAATTGTGTCGACTCAAATCCATGCACGGCGGTCCTGCTTGCAAGAATGAGCAAGCCCGAAGTCGAAGAAAGCTTGAGAGCCAGAAGACAGACTGGGTCAACGTCCTGCCCCCGACGCAATTCTCTCCTCACTACCAATCATTTCCCCTCATCCCTCTCTTCCACAAATGAGAATATTGACGACAAGGTCGACAAGCGGGTGAGCGAAGTTGCACTCGATGCGCCTAGACAGCATGGCTGTAGTCCTCGTCGTCCTTGGTCTCGCCCTTGACAACGACATCCTCCTCCTCGTCATCCTCACCCTCTTCAGGCTCGGAATACTTCATCTTCTTGACGCCAGCACGAGGGGTCTTCTCCTTGGCGATGGGGGTGGGATTGAAGGCACCTCCCTCGGGAGACGTGTCCTCGTCGTCATCGGCGGCGAGGCGCTTCCTGCCCTTGATCTTTCCCTTGGTAGACGCGGGAGTCTTGGGAGGGCGAGAAGAGCCAGTGGCCTTGGAAGGGGCGGCGGGGTTGCTGTTGCTGTTGCTGCCGCCTCCGCCGTTTGCGGTGTCGGGGTGGCGCGCCTTGAACTCCTTCTGGATCTTCTTGGACCACTGCTGGGCTGTGAATATTTGCGTCAGCGCCGGCCACTGGACATGTGGGATAACCATGCTAGGGTGCTGTTGGAACATAATCCAACGTCAAAATCGTGGTAGGGGGTCAAAATCGTCCTTACCACTGGGCGGCAGCGGTGACACGTGGAAGGCCTCAATGGAGGCGTACGCGACAGAGGACTGAAAGATAAAAGCACCAGTGGGCATGTGGAGATGCCAAAACTTACACATTGCACCGGCGGTGAAGCCATAACCCCAGCTGGTCATGATTCTCTCGACCTCGGGCCAGTTGGCCTTGATATTGCCGGATCCATCACCTGTAGACATCAGGATGGCGAAGATGAGATCCTTCTGGGAGGCATCGTCCCCTAAAGAATGCGTCAGAACCACGGCCCAAATGGGATGAGTCAAGGTGAGCTACGGAGAGTGGATGGTGTGCATAGTTGAAGACTGTCGTTGTGGATGTAGCGGGATCGTGCAGGCTGATCGTTGTCGCGTGAGAAAGGGCAGAGGAAGAGAACATACACTTCTTGTTAGTGCTCATGATGGGCGAGGTAGTAGGCAAGACAAGAGCTGCTGATACTTCTGGATAATTGAGCGGAAGCAGTTTCCTCGGGTCGAGGTGGGCTGGTGTGGGTGTTGTCGTTGTCGATGGTGCTGAGGAAGCCCAAAGTCGGTGGTGGCAGGAACGTCAAGTTCTGAAAGCTCTGAGATGGAAAGGATGAACTGTTCAACTAGTGGTCTAGCTGATAGACAGGTGTGCGTGTTGGGATTGTTGGGTGCTCGCGATGTGTTAAATTTGTCAGGATGTGGTGTACCGGCAGACACAAGATATCGAAGAGCCACAGCTCACCCACTTCATTGCACGGCTAGGCCAGTCTTCGACACCGCGTTTGAAGCTTTGGGAGCTCAGAAATCATCCCTCTACCTTACTCTAAACCTGCTTTCCCCAGCTTTGCCCTGGCCATCAATCCACGCCGACCTTCACTCCACGTCGACCATCGCTCCAGGCTATCGACTTGGGCAACAAAGCCCTCTTCGTACAAATCACTGCATGTCCACTGACTATCTCCAGGTAAGATACTCCATGGTGAGATGAATGGCTCACAGAAGCACTGCTTGCCACCTTGCGACCTTCTGGCACTATCACTTTGTTCCCTTTTCACCTCGTTCATACAATCCACATCGTGCACCTGTTAGTCCCACCAACCCTCTTCACCCAAGATCAGACCTTCCGAGCCTGCCCTCTACCTACTGCCCTCGAGTCTTCTTGATTCCTCATCCACATCGATCCATCTTGTGGTCTATCTCATGTTGGTATCGGGTAAGCTTCACATACACACCAGCACCAGTGCTGTGGCTTTGCTCCGCGTAGCGCACAGTACTCGCTCTTGAATTGCCCCATCCTTCACCAATTGCCTGCTATTCCTTTGACTGTGCATCCATCTGGGGACAGAGACGACTCTCCAGTCGCAATTTTCCTGCTTCCTTCCTTCTCCTTCACGCGTCTCACACCTGGCAACGCGACCTGGCAACGCGACCTGACAACGCGACCTGACAACGCGCACCCTCTCCAAGCTTCCGTCCGATCCTAACGATCTTACCAGTCCACACACATTGACCAATATTTTCTTCAAAGACCTTAATTCGTCTGAGTACCATGTAAGCCCCAACAGTACACCTTTCACGCTCTTGCTTACCTGACTCCTACTCCTCAGCCTTGACTATGGCCGACCAGGATGGACACACCACGCCACGCGCGTCCCCCGAGAATGGTGACCCCCAGAATGTTGAGCCCAACAATGGCGGCAACATGGACGGCACCCATGATGGCGGCCCCAAGGATGGCGGCCCCAAGACTCCCTCGAGCGGCGAGAAGGGCAAGAAGAACATGACCCAGATTGAGCTGACTCCAATCGAGTCCCTCCTCTTCTTCAACATGGTTCGCTTCAATGGCAATCATGACAAGATTGATTGGAACATGGTTGCTGCTCATTCCAACCTGAAGAATGCCGCCTCTGCCAGGGTATGTGCCCGGTATATCTCATTCCGTACTTGCCCAACCTGAAGCTGATTCTTTGGTTTATGAGCAGGTCCGCTTTCGCCAGATCTTGAAGAAGCACGATTTGATGGATCATGCACCCGAAACTCCGCGAACCCAGGCCCAGAAGCGTAGGGCTGCCAAGAAGCCCGAGGAGGGTGATGGTGAGGATGATGACGGAGATTCTTCCTATACCCCTAGCCTGGCCATCAAGAAGGCAAGTGCACGCAAGCGGCCCGCTCGTAGTGGCGGCGGCGGACGTGCTAAGAAGCAGAAGGCGATCGTCAAAGCCGAAGACAACGAGGAGGAGAAGAGTGAGGAGGTGGTTGCCGAGAGTGTTGTCGTGTCGACTGCTCCTGTGCGCCTGGCCGAGCCCGGCAACAAGGTCGATAAGAAACCAGAGATCGAGGCCAAGTCTAAGGCCGAGTCCAAGCCCAAGACCGAGTCTGAGCCCGACGCTGGCACTGGCATCGCACTGCTCAACGACCACACTGTTGCAGGTGGTGTCGATGGTGCCGACAGCGCCAGCCCCAACGAGATGGCGCAAGGCCAGGCTTCTCAAGCCTTCAATGCTGCCATGCCTCATCTCAATGCCCCTGGCCACCGTCAGAGCCCTTTGCCAGCCAACATGGCCAACAACCAGATGATGCAGATTCAGGCCCCGTACCGCGGCCACGATATGTTCCCGGTGGTCAATGATGCCAACGATCTCTTCGGCTATGGCGAGCAATTGGACCCACGTCAGCTTGCAGCCTGGCAAGCACGCCAGACTCGACAACCCCGGTCGCAGCAGTTGACCTACGAGCAGCGGTCCCGGCAGATGGAGGAGGCCCAGTGGCGACAGTATGGACGCTTCCATGCTATGCAGCAGATGTGGCCCTTCGCCAGTGACATGGGTGGCATGGATGTGGCCGGTGCCCATCTCCCCCTTGAAACCATGGCTCAGATGCAGATGAACGAGCAGTATCCCGCTAATGTCTACAATGGCGGCGTTCTGTTCAATCACCCACAGCTGGGAGATGATGGAAATTATGTCGATGTTAATCATGCCAATCCACGGGCCAAGCTCGATGGCCAGGACGAGAGAGAGGCGGAGGTCGATTTCGAGAGGGACATCAAGGAAGAGGTTGAGGACGACGGTGAGGCCGAGGAGGAGTACAAGAAAGAGGAGGTCTAAGGATGTTGTTTAGCATCGGCGGACACCATCTGACTTGGTCAAGATAACATTCCTTCGTCATGTCCCCACTGGAAGAGTCCCTACCCTTTGAAGACGAGAGATTGATGGGAAGATCTCTTTGTTCATTCTGAAACAGGCCGGTCGACTGAGGGTGGTTCACGGCATTGGTCGAATTGGTTTGATGGAGGCCGGAAAGAAGTTGATGATGGTGATTCGGTGGTACTTTGATGATGGAATGAAGAGTGGTCGATGGCGGCCTCACGACCTGACTTGACTGAACTGGAATTTCGTAAGCACCCGATGCTTCACCATGGTCCCGTTGCAGTGTGCAATTGGATGGCCAAATATTTTGCGGGACAGCAGGAAATATGCTCATTCCCATTTGGATCTGGACAGGGCTTCTAGTGCCTTTAGTAATGCGGGAGAGGGGGGGTTATGAGCCAGATCCAATTTTATGAAGAATTGAAGACAACTTTTGTAATCTGGTACACAAACAGGCTCTGAATGCTCACTTGGCTCGGACGCTTCTGCTCTAAACAGAACACGATGCGACCAAACGGCAGTCCTCATGGCCAAACGGTCTAACGTATAATGTGTTCTTACGAAATTTAGCTTTTATGTGCAAACATATATATGTTTAAGTGACCTGTGATCATGTCAATGCTGCTTGAGCGGGCTGAGACGTCTTACTGTAGCCTGGCGTTCAAAGACTGGCAGGCTTGAAGAGGAAGTATTCCCACTTGGATCTGCACCAAAGCGCCTGGCGACAAGAAATGCCATTGAACAGTACCGCCAGTATGAAAACGGGACATGCAAGTATAATACGTCACCGTGGCAAGTAGATAAGGCATCGATCTTGATGATGCATAGCAACCGGGGGCTCATTCCTGCATTTTAAAGAAGATTTCTAGGCCCCATTTCCAGCAAGTTAGTCTGGCTGCATGTATAGGTCTAAAGGTGTGTTCGGAGAAAGCTAAGAACGAGAGGGAAGATGCTCACAACAACCTATCATTGCTCATTGCGGGAACGTGACAAACAGCGGGGAATAGTACATTCTATCAAAACCAGAGACCTCAAAAATAATACGTTCAACGCGGGATTTTCCGAAGCACAAACTGTCCCACACCCAAAAGATGACCCAATGGTGACTATTGTTAGAAACATGAACTGAGATTAGGGAAAGCGACGCTAGAATTGAGCAAAGAATCCTCCGAGGATTGATCGTTTGTATCTGCGATAGCGGACTAGGAGACAATACCCATTCAATCCAGCTGTTTTCTCAGTGGAAACGGCTGTCCCATTCTTCATGCTTGACAAGAGCATGAGACTGGTCAGCTACCATCATGGCACTCGGAGCAATGCCGAAACCTTCTGGGTGAGCAGTGTGCTGGTGATCACAGAATACAGAAGCAGAAGCACTGTAGCTGTCTATTTCGTAGGACGGCATCGCAAAGGGCGAGTAGGACGGGCTTGGCTGCCAGGACGCCGGCTCATGACCGCAGTGAGGAGCAGTCCCAGCGTAGTCATAGTGACCAGGCTCATGGTGGAGGACCTCACTCACGGGGCTGGCGGCGTACGCATGTGACACTGCGAAGAGATCGGTGTCGCTGCAAGGCGTCAGGAGGCGATTGTGGAATTGCATTTGGCCGTCGGGCAGGGTGATTGATGGCATCTCAGCAGTAGCAACGCAGGCCTCTGATGGGGTCTGTTGGAATTCCTTCTTGACCAGATCCTCGTCCTTGATCTTCGGCGATGGTGCCTTCAATTCCTCGTGTTGAGCGTCTGGGGATGCATTTGGATCAGGCTTGATTGTCTGTTCTTCTTCCTTCTTAGGCTTGGTATCGGTCTCCTTCTTGGATTTGGTTGCCTTCGACTTGTTGACTCCGGCTCGATTTCGTCGTTGAGGCTCGATATTAAGCAGGGAATTGCGGAACCGAGAGTACCTCATGCGGGCGGCGTGGCCGTTTGTGATCTCCTGGGCCAGGATTGGGTTGTGGGCAACAGCGTTCCAGTCAATCTGCTCATGGGTCAGCGGCCTGGGCCCTCGAGGTATATCCCAATGCCCCGGAGCAGCCTTACATCTTTGAGGTTCTTCTGCTGCAAGATCGCGAAGAGGAACCGAGCCATGATATTGTCATTGTTGGAAGACATGATGACAATGTCAACGGCGAGGGTTTGAAGGGCCAGCCAAAGGGGAACGATGGAATTTGCCCGCAGTGGAGGTGAGGGGGGCTCCAGCTCAATTTGAGCTTCACAGCGTGCTGATAGTTCCGCTAGTATGGCCACCTGCCCAGGATCTCACACAGTTTGAATAGTGGGAGAGATTCGGTGTGGGGGTGAGTCACTTAGTGGGTGTGTGAAGATCAGTGAGGCAAAGATCTAGAGGGTAATTTTATAAGTCTGGGTTACAAGACGAGACCACCATGTACCATGAGGATAGTTTGATAGTGTGGCCTAGCGAGAGGAGTTGGGATCGAGCGGCTGCTCAGGGCCACCAATACTCTCAGAGCAGGAATTCCTGGGCGGGGAGGCAATCGGCAACAAGCCGGCTGAGCACATAGGATCTCAGCAACAATAGGCTGATGATCGGCCAGGGAAATGCTTGAAAAAAACTGCAGACCATGGCTGAAGGGAAGACTCCTGCATGAGAATCTGTTTGCTCTTGTTTGAGCAGAGGGGCCGATAAAGCCAGGAAGCAAAGGAATGTAAAGGGGACCTGAGCTCATCCTGCCCAGAACTTCTTGCTTTTTGACCAGGTCTTATCTGTATTGGTAAAGTCATCCGTGACAATGATGCCTGTGGTTGCCTGGCCAGCTAGGGAACCCAACAAATCAAAGGTGCAACACGAGGGTGGTGTGGGTTCAACGTGATCTCGCGCAGGACTCGCGTAAAGTGGCATCCGGAACAGGTTGCATCGTGCATCTTCCATTCCGGCCTGACCCCTGCCATTGGCTTGTAGGTCAAGGCAGGGCCGCTTATTTGGATTGACGAGTGGACGCTAGCAATGTTGGGGGAAACTTCGTGGGGCCCTCGGGCGTTTCGAAGAGTGACATAAGTCTGGACCAGACCAGATGTCGAGGCACCGAGGAGGGCGCGGGAAGCCGGCAGCAGCTGATGACATGGTCCTCGACGTTAAGCAGGACAAGGCCGTAGGGTGTGACCGGTCAGAATCGATGCAACCGTGAGTCATAGTCATTGCAAAAAGGCCGAGACAGGGTCGTCTGTAGCGGTCCAGGGATCTTAATTGGAACACGATGCAATGCGCGTCTGAGGGCGCCTCTTCCCCGGTGAGCACTACCACACCAGGCCAAACCAGGCCAGGAACGGTCGGGTCGAGTCTAAATTCCGGGTGATTTACTTTTTTGTTTGTTGCGTTGCCATTAGGCTTTAGATCGGCCAAGACGGGCGACTTTTTGATTCTTGTTCAATTGGCGAATCGCGACGGGGCAAGGCCAGTCCAGGCTGCAGGGAGCCTGAAGATGCGAACCGTTGGCGACCCGCCTCTCGACTTATGGTGCGGTGGCAAAGGCGGTGATCAGGTCGATCAATGCCGCCGCTTCGTATCACCCATTTCGAGCCTAAGATCACCTCGGCCTCCGTCAAGGCAAGCCAAAGGCGGTGGTTGATGGCGATAGCAATGGCGACGGCGACGACGAATGCGGCATGGGGGTTGCAGAGCGATGCAGTGGGAAATGAGCAAGGCAGGGCTGTTGCATGTCATAGGACCAGGCGACTCATGGATGACTCTGGTCCAGAGGGAGACGCAAGACACCGGGAACCTGTTCTGGGGGCTTTGTCTGGGGCTTGCGTCGGGCTGATGTCTCGATTGGCCATACGTGCCGGACTACGCGTCCGAGCTGCAAAGTTGGGCGCAGAATCTTGGAAAGCGGGGGCTTGGCCAGAGGACAGTGCGACTAGGAAACGCGAGATGGCTCACGAATGCACGTGACGCTGGCTACCGTTCAGCTGTTAGACGGACGGCTGTGGTGACGTTAGGCTCAGAGCGGCACAGCAAGCCACCCAGGGCACTACCACACCAGCCAGCCCACCCCGACCCAGCCCGGCCCCCACATTTTCCAGCTCACTTTCCGTCTCTCCCAACGGTGACTGGCTGGGCAGCGGCCCCTCGCGCATTTCTGACCAAGCTCCTCCCCTCTGGTCCTAAAGTCCCCAGATAGCCAGCTATCAACAAGTCGTTTCTTTCCTCCCTCTGCCAGAGCCTCCCAGGTACCGGTCTAACAATTATTACCCATCTCGAATCCGGTCAATCAGATCAACCAGATCCATCCGTCCATCCATCGGTTCATCGCTTCATCCGTCCACGCTTATTGAAGCTATTCACAACCAGGCCAGCGCCTGCTTCCCGGAGCCCGTGAGGATGAACAGCAAAAACTGGGGCGACAGTCAGTACCTTTCGTGCCTGCTCAATCCTGTCTTTTTCTCGGTTCCTCTGTTTTCTCTCCTCTACTTCATTTTCTCCCTCTTGTAACCAGCCGGCTGTCCAAGTGCTCCATGGCCCCCTGCTGTTGCTGCTGTTGGTGCTGCTGTTGGTCCCTCATCATCGTCATACCAACATGAGCTCTGCCGCTGCTACCGCCGCTGTCGCCGCCAGCCTGTCAGGCGTCCCACTGATATCGTGACCTTGCAGAAGCCGACAAGGACCTCTTCTTCACAATACTTTCTGTCAAGAATATCGGTGTTATAAGTGGCTCAGAATGGACCACCATCGGTAACCACATGCGCTCTCTCGGCTATGGTTTCACCAACGAAGGATGCCGGTAAGCTTGATTCGACTCATTCCAATGTGCCCCTTTGTCCCAGACGAACATTCAGCTTGGCCTTGCTGTCGTTCGTGCCACATGTTCTTGCCCCCTTATCCGAGCACCACACCACACTCTGTCGTCTCAGCGTCTCACTTTTGGAAGCCATGCTTTCTTCAGGGTCCAGGGTTTTTACACAGGGAGGGCTCTTGATCTATTCTCAAGCTGTGACTGACATCTGTGCCAGTCAACACTTTCAAGGTCTCCGCCGCGCCCAGCAGAAGGCTGAGGCAAATGGTGCCTTGGGCGACAATCCCCGCAAGGTTGATCCAACCCTGAATCCCATCACTCGACGGCCGGGTCCGGGACGAGGCCGGCCCAGGAAGTCTGTCGGAGGTGCATCTGGGGATGCTCAGCAATCTGAGAGCGCCAGCGCCTCGCCATCTCAAACTCAGATGCAGCAGCCGCCACCACCTCAGACCGAACCACTGGAGCTCCAACAGTCTATGCAATCCCAGCCACCCATGGACCCCAATGTTGGCCCTGCACCGACCCCCATGATGGACACAACACCGCCACAGGTCCAGGCTCAGGTCCCGCCGCCGCAGCCCATGGTCCTGCAGTCAGAGGGTGTGTCTTTCGAGGGTGCGAGTGAGGAGCCTGATGAGCATGCTGCTAAACGTCCCAAACTCGAAGAGAATCACGATCCCGCCCTCAACGACGAAGCCATCTTGAGTGCCTTGGCGGCTCACACCAGCCCAGGCGTGGACCACTACAACCCAGAGTAAGCATCCTCCAAGCCAAGCCCGACCATCGAGGTATCTTCTAATACCTTCAAAGCTTTTACGGAGAAGCCTGACGGCGCTCACGAGGGTGCAAACACAGTGGCTCGGTCCTGGCCCAAGTCTGGATCGCCCGGCGCAGAGCTCATTGGCGTTGTTTTGGTGTTATGGTGGTGTCTCAGCCTTAGTTATTCGGTGTTTCGGTATTACTTCTTGTTGTTTGGGTTGCTCTCTTCTTCGGGTGTGGCCAGTGCCACCAGCATTTGTATGCCCGATTCGGCTTGGGGATCCGGGTCATGGCACAGGAGAATGGAGCTCAGCTTCTTCGGATTCCAGATGCATGCTCATTGGAATCGACGCTTACCTACTTCTCAATCACACATTTTGATTCACTCTGTTTTGTTCTTGTGCTCTTCTTGCCCTTGAATACTCTTCAGGCTGGCTTGGCAAATGTTCACTGTCCATCCATCGTACGAGCTTCCAGGATTCGATTTTGGACTGGGAACCCAAACCATGCCTATCTATCTACGTACCCGAATCTGAAGCTGGCTCAGTCACACCTATGTATCAATGGATTGCCTTTGCAAGATGTGTACATTGCTAGTCATCCAGCTGTATGAGTTCTAGCTGGGCTGGATCGGTTCTGTGTGGCTCATGTCACCAAGCCTGGGAAACCAATTTTTAAGGCGGCATGGCATTTCGTTTTCACTTCTTCGATGGCCTGGACCGTTTTATCTCGATACCAACCATCAAATCCACCAAATCCATCACATCTTGTCGACGTGCCCACTCAACAGACACCCAGAGATCTATTGCCCTTTCCGAGTTAATTCTCAAGACAACAGTCCCTTTCTGATCATGGCCAAAGCTACCTCTAAGGCCGCCGCCGCCGCCGCCGCCACTACCGACAGCAACCCCGACAGCCCAAAGACGTCCAACAACACAAAGTGGAACGAGGAAGCCCACCAGGCCTTGATCGGTACACTGTTGGATGTTATGGATTCCGCTGATATAAAGTGGCGAGCTCATCTGGATTTTATGGTTCAGAATTTGGCTGAGCGTGGCCAGCAATTCTCTAGGGAGGGCATTCGGTATGTCGAAATATTCACTCGTCTGCATTCAGCCCACTGCACCATCTCCCCTCCCACGAACACATCCAAGACTACGATTGCTCCCTTCCACCCAGCGCCGTTCACATCTGCGCATCTACACCCCGAAAAGCATCAACCAAGAAGCAACGTTCCAGATTGCAAACTACGAACAGTTCAGTATGCCTTCCGTGTGGGATGACGCTCGTCAGCGAGACCTCCTCGAGGAGATCTACTTCGTCATGTCTTCCCACCAGTCGCTAAGCCAAGACGACAAGGATGCCGTTGTCGCGGGAATGCAGCAGCGAGGCTACACCACCCTCAAATGGAACGCGATCCGGTAAGAGATACCTCTGTGAGCCTTGAGGCTCTACCCAGTGGCACCGTATCTGCCTTGCCTGTTACTACACTTCCACAACTCAACCTCGTTTCGCTGTTCCCTCTCCTTCTTTTGTCTACCTTCAAAACATCAACCTCATCACAACAAATCGAGTGGATATGGGTGTGGCTTGGAACGCCGATGCCGATGCCGATCTTTTTCAGGCGGTGCTCGCCTTCTCCCCGCCGCTGACCCAGATACCGGCTGAAGACCGTGATGGCATTGTCGCGTTCATGCGTAATCGCGGTCACAAGGGCGCGACCTGGGAAGGTATCCGGTAAGCTGCCCCGCCAGATTTGCCAAGTGGCTATCTTGTTGTTATGATTTTCCATTCATCCACACGCAAATCCACCGTCGCCCAACAACACTTTTTTATCTCCTGCTACCCAACTACCCGACATGATGTCTCAATCAAAGACTTGGGACGATGCCACTATGGGTGACCTCCTAGTTGCACTGATCACTACTACAACTTTCCTTTCGGACCTAAGTGCTGAGCAGAAGGAGGAGGTAGTATGCTTCATGCAAAAGCGTGGTCATACCGCCATGTCTTGGGACAAGATCCGGTATGTCAATTACCTTATGAGATCAACCTGGGTTGTCAGCCTCTATCGTTCCTCATCCTCGATCGATTGAGGGGTGTCTTCTCATTCCTACCCTTTCCTCACCCCCCAAAGCATCACTATCCCGAGCAATCAAAAATGCCCCCAAAAAGCAATCAATCCTCCCAGAATTGGGATGAGCCAGGTCTTGTCAAGGACCTCCTCGCCGCAACGGTCGCACATCTCAACCCATCCAGGCAGGACATTTTGCAAATCGCCAACAAAGCAAAGGCCATGGGAGGCTGGCAGTTCACCGAGGGCGCATGCTAGTACGTCGTGATCTACCTTACGTTGTCTACAGCTCCAGCCAATCTTCCAGCGGGTACCTGGCTTTTCTGCTTCCTTCCCAGTGACCCTCATACATTTGGTTCCTGTCGTTTGATTCTTGTCCTTCATGCGTCAACTTGCCCCAACTTCTTCACAACATCGAACTTGCCTTGTGCTAGTCCGGCGCAACAAGCACACTGACGAACACACACACTTTTTTTAAGCTCATCAGAGTTCAATCTGTCCCTCAACATGTCTGATCGTACCGCGTGGGGCGAAAAGGCGCACCTGGACCTGCTACTTGCGGTTCTCAACAACATCACTATCACCAGTTCAGACTGGGATAGCAAAATCCTGCCGGAGTTGCGAGCCAAGGGCTACACTTACTCCGTATCAGCTGCTCTGTACGCATTTTGCACTCACTTTTACATCACTTCCCCCCGCCCAAAGAAAAAGAAACCCCGCGCAGCCTTCCCTCAAGAAGCCCCCCGAGATACCGCTACGTACCACTTTCTACCTTCAACCACACCTTTCAACACTACACCTTAACTTTCATTCTACCACACCTCACATTTCCCAGACAACCGACACACCTGAAACCCAACCGCTTCAACACAACGCACCTTATTACTTTCATCATGGACACTCCCACCAAAGGTTCGACGTTCAAGTGGGATCCTGCTGCGGAGCGCGATCTCTTCGCTGCTTGTCTTGTTGCGGCCGACGAGCCTAAGGGCGATACCTTGGCCAAGGCCATGGAGATCCTCAAGGATAACTTTGGAGAGCGCTTCACCAAGAAGGCCGCTTCTCACAGAGTGTAATCACTGCCCCATTGGACTTAAACAAACAACTCCTTCGGTTTTCCAAGTGGGAAGCCGAGACTGAAAAATAAATGATCATGCGATTTCCAGTCCACACCTATCTCACTTTTACTGACTCCTTCTCTCTCTCTGTAGCCAGCACCTTCAGAAGCTGAAGCGCAAGGAGGGCAGCCCCACCAAGAAGGCAGCAACGCCTTCGAAGAAGCGAGGAAAGGCTCTTGCGGAGGCCGACGACGACGACAATGAGTCGCCCAAGAAGAAGCGAAAGGGCAAGGCCGCTCCTGCTCCCTCTGGTGAAGATGAAGACAATAAGGAGGCCAATGGTTTGGTCAAGGACGAGGAGGAGTAAGTATCTTCCTTCACTTAATTCCACTTCAACAGCTTACAATTAGCGACAGCAGCCAGGACGAGGCCTAAAGCTGGCTCTCTCGGGATTCATCTAGCTCAACACTGACGATATTTCGACTACCTCAACATGTCTGCGTCTCGCGGCCAAGTTATGGATGGTGGGATATTTGGTTGGGGGCTTTGGAAAGTGTGGCCAAGGGATCAGCTTGCCTGTTCTGCTTAGAGCTTGGAGGGGAATGCGAGAAGGGGATGTCCACAAACAGGGAGGCATGAAGAAAGATGCTTCGATCGTCCCTCTCATCAACACTGGTTGCTATCCGCTGGATAGTCATTCTAGCTAGATTGGGGGCTTTGTAAAACATTACTCGTGGACACCCCAGATACATGAATCCAAAGAGAATCGTCATGGACTGAAGCAAATCTTACTGCTTGCTGATTTTACTGATTTTGATGGCGAAAGTGAAGAAACGGAAACACGGGATGCCAAAAGAAGACTGTTTCAGTGCGAAGATGGAGAAGTGAAAGTGTTCCTGAACCATCGGAAGTTTTTTTTTTTTTAACTGTCCTCGATCTATGTCATGAAAGGCCATGTCAGCCTTGGAGATGCCATACTCCAGCCCTTGCTCTCGTCAAATTCCCGGCTCCCCAAGATAGCCGTCCATGCTGAGTTGCCCGCATTGCTTCATGAGCCCTCAAATGACCATATGAGAAAATTCAGAGCGCACCGCTCATCATGGCGTCAACCTCATCACCAGCCTCGGCCTTCTCATCCTTCACATTGACCTGCTCACCCTTCTCAGTATCCTCCTCGCCAGCATCGACCACCGGCGCGTTCTTCTTGCCACGAGGCTTCTTGGCAGAGGCGCTGCCGACCTTTCCGGTGCGCTTGGTGACCTTGGTGGGGGTGTTGGGTCCGCCGGCGACGGGGGCGCCGCCCTTGTCGGCAGGGCTCTTGCTGCTGCCACCGCCGTTCATCTGGGTGCAGAGACGGGAGAAGGTGGTCTTGGCGCTGGCCACGTTCTTGTAGCCACTCTCGGCTGCGATTTTCTCCCACTGCGTAGTTGTCCGAAATTAGCTTGAGGAGATGAAAGATGTTAATGGATCTGTGGCAGTGGAGGGACTTACGTTGTACTCGACCTTTCCGATGGTGTTCTGGGTCATGGTGGCGAGGAGCTTGACCTGCTTGTCGCTCAACTGGGCGCCTTTCTTCGGGGTCTCAGGGGACTGATTTGGGTCAGACATGTTTGATGATGGTGAGTGGACTTGTCTACCAAGTGTCAGTCGGTGTGATTGATTTGAGCGGCGAGTGTATTGAACAGATCGTGGACACAACTGGCTGCCGAGAGCAAGGCATTGCTCGAAAAATCAACTTACTTGAAACCGCTTGATGTGGAATGGGGTTCTCGAAGACGAATTTGCTCTTCGAAGATGGGGGCTCTGGCCGTGACGATCACGATTCAAAGAGTCTTGTGGCAAATCGGTAACGGTCCAAGAAGAGAGAGGACGACGAAAGAAGAAGGCCTGGCAGATTCAAGGATGGATGGAGGTATGAAACACTGAAGGAGCTATGTGGTGCCTGTTTGCGCCCGCTTTTATGAACATTTGTTGGCTTCCGTCTGAAAATCGATTGTACGAGCAGATGTGCAACGTGCCATGCTAAATTTGAAAGCACTGAGCCGCAATTTTGTTACGGAAATACTTTTGGGAAAGAATTGTACCAATTTCCCCAAAAGAATTATCTTTTTATTAGATGACTTGTAGCTAGAATTCTAATCAATTCATGGGTACCTAGGTATGGATGCGTCGATTTGTTTGTTACTATAAGGTGGCATGAAAATCGCAAGTCTTGCCTGGGGGTTTGAATTACTTTCTGATCCGAACCAAGAGAGCCATAGCCAGCCCAGTAACCGAGATTCGGCATTGAACGCTTGGCTCGAGCGAAAATTTATGGTCACTGAAGAGAAAGAAAATCCAGAGGGAGGGACAGTCAATAACCAAATGCCAGGCAGCCATGGGATTGAAGGATCTGGGAAATCTTCGCGTTGACTCAATGTGTCAGGGTGTGGATGAAGCTCCCAGACGCCCTTTAGGTTCCAATAAGTCAATGAGCTTCCTAACTACTTGGCTTTGCCTGATCAGATGCTTGATTTCAAAGAAAATGTAGATCCAAGCCCGCCGCGTGCTGCCCCTTGTGAGGGACGCTCTTGGTCTAATCAGCATTCAGAGATATCAAACAGAAGAGAGATGAGAATTATTCAGCATCTAGGATGATCAGGCAAAGACCTGGTGTGTAAGCAAGGAGCTATGCCTTTGACCTTTTCGAGACATCCTCTAGGGCGAAATGTGTATATCTTGCTGTCCCATCTGATCTTCTGGTCGGAATCTTCCGGACAGGCTCAGACTCACTGATACTGCAATAGGGATAGGCTTTGGGTTTCTGTTCGAGGCTGGCTGCTTGACGCTCTTTTACCTGAGCCCACAAATCCGGTCCCGTCAAACCCCAACATCACGGTTGACTGACAGTCCCATCTACCCTCTTTCGTCGATAATCCCAACAGGTCAAGGTGTGCTGTTGAAGCGACGTCCTCAATTACTCACATACTGGATCGCAAGTCCAGGCAACTTTTGACCCAGGTCAGCCCTCAACAGCTTTTATTGCCCCTCCATTTCCCAAGACCCTTTTTACACCCGCTTGTCTCCTCTTTCGGATTCAACAGCCAATCAGATCCAATCTTTATCACTCTCATCTTTCAACATGGCTCCGATCGATACCGAGTCGCAGTTCAAGTTCCTCATCGCTTGCATCAAGCACACTAATGCTGGCAAGGTAAGGTATCACTCAAGTGAGGCCATCTTGTATTGCCGTCACTAAACAGAAATTACGGCAGGTTGATTTTGGCAAAGTGTCTGAGGAGCTGAGCATCGTCAGCAAGGGCGCCGCGTAAGCTTTGGAGTTTACCTTGTTTTCAAAAGTCCCGTTTCTGACAGATAGCAAAACAGTGCCAAGCGATACGAGCGTCTCATGAAAGCCCACGGCATCGACAAGACCAACGGAAGCGGCGCCAGCTCTCCTGGCCCTTCCGGCCCCAGCACCCCGAAGACGCCTGCCAGTGGCCGCAAGAACGCCAACAGCCGCGCCACTCCGGCCAGCAAGAAGCGCAAGCTGGCGGCTCGCGTCGATGATGTTGACGACGACGACGACGTCAAGCCTGAGGTCAAGCCTGAGATCAAGCCTGAGATCAAGGAGGAGGTCAAGCAGGAGCTTGACAACGCTCCCGACGGTTCGTACATGATTGACCCGAATAAACCCTCATTTGAGGCCCCTGTGGCCGGCACGCTTCTTCATACGCCTGACGGGGCTGAACACACTTGCGAGGGCAACGATGACGTTCTTTTGGTCTCAGAGTCTCGGAGAGAGGACAACGCGGCGCCTGTGGCATTTGCTCATCAGGTGCTGCCGCCGCCCCCACCCGAGAACTTCTATGGCTTCGTCGACCCGGCGACTCATCTCCATCCTCCATCGCAGCCCCCAGCTGCCACGACTGGTGTTCCGATCTGCTACGAGTACGGCAATGCTGACTATACAACACAGGCGATGACGACTATTCCACCTGATGGGCACCACTGGCTTCACCATCATGACCCAGCCTTCTTCTGGAGTGATGCCCGCCTGGAACCACAGGTTGACATGAAACACGACTGAGGCATGGCATTGGGTGGAGGAAAAGGGAGTCGGGGAACGGTAGCATGCTGCCAATATCTCGACGGACTTTGCACGGTCTTGGGTGGTTTGGCAACTGATGCGTTAGTTTCCCTTTGGAACGCTCTCGCCATGTAATTGAAGAGAAGATCAATTCCTAGATGACCTATTGATTTAACAGTTATTGATTATGGTTTGGATGCCCCTTGTTGTGAGCATGAGCTCTGAGGTACCGGTGGGATCAGAGTGAGTCTGCTGTCGTTAGATCTCAGGGCAAACTTCAATTCCCCCAGTCCATACAGTCCTTGGCAATGGCCAGATTTGGCTCCATCGTAGAGAATCGCAGGGTGAGATTATCTCTTTGTTCTCGTGCCTAAAGCCCATCACATCGTCCTCGATGCGTACGGTACCAGACAGTGAAATTCCTTAGGAGATTGACATGATTTAATACCCGGACTTATTCCTATGCCTTTTGAGTGTTGTCCTTGCTCTCAAGACACATGACACGCGGGCTGGACTTCATGCCCCAAATCTGAAAAGACCAGCCAGAAGACTCAGCAACAAAGCCTAGTTTCTGAATCGCACACTTCTCTTCTCAGACGTTGCCAAATTATAAGAGATAATGAGTCAAAAGCATTACATGGGTAGGTCTGTTTGCTCTGTCATTGTAACATCGAACACTCAATTGCGCAGAGTAGAAGAGGCTCCGTCAGGTGTATTGTGACATGTACAATATAATAGCATGTGAATGACAAGCATATAGTGAGACTACGGGTCTTAATATGCCGAGAAGGCGACAGTCAACGCCGACTGCGCTCTTTCCGTTTGTGGGCTGTAGCGCCGTCTAGGAGAATAACCATGGAAAAGCCCCATCAAGACCTGGGAAGGGAACTGGGTAAAGTGAGAAAACCCATGAAGCACAACAAGTTGTAGAGATGGACAGGACGAAAATCGTACTATACTCGGGCGAAACCAAACCTTTGTGGTTTCGAGACCGCTAGTTCATAAATCTAAATGGATGTCGTTGCCGTTGTCGGGCAATTCATGAATAAGTCAGCAAGCGGAACGGTTAAGGTTCGTGCAATAGGTAGGCATGACGGCGGCCAAATGGCACCTTGAGCCGAGCTTTGAAATTCCATTGTGGGTCGCAGAAAGGCGTGGAACCAATGACTTATACCAGCAGAGGCTTAGTGCATAAAGCTGCCCCCGTGCCGGCTCTTTTCGACGCTGGGGCGGCAACTCCAATTTTTTTGAGCTCCAGGTCCGCATCACTATTTGACTTCATCCGCGCCTTGACACTCACCTTCTCCTCCTCTCTCCCAGCTTTTCCGACGGTCTAATAGATACCCTTTGACGAGTCTCCTTTGTCCTCGTTTGTTTAGTTCAGTACAGCTCTCCAATTACTCAACATGCAGCGAGCATTGACAAGTCGGACGGCGGCTTCGGTCCTGTCACCCTCGGCCGCCTCTAGATTCCGTTCAAGCGGTGCTCTTACACAACAGCTGCGTTTCGCCCACAAGGTTTGTTCAGCCTTCCTCAAAACCACACTGGCGCAAAGGCCAGTATCGCTCAGGGTACGAAGCTGACACCAGGTGAAACAGGAGCTGAAGTTCGGCGTCGAGGGCCGCGCTGCCCTTCTGGCTGGTGTTGACACTCTCGCCAAAGCAGTCGCCACCACACTCGGCCCCAAGGGACGCAATGTCCTGATCGAGTCCAGCTACGGATCACCCAAGATAACCAAGGGTTCGTCAAATTCATCAAGATACAGACTCGCGGGAAGAATGCTGATTTGTAACCTCTCCAGACGGCGTGACTGTTGCCCGGGCCATTACCCTGCAGGACAAGTTCGAAAACCTCGGTGCTAAGCTGCTGCAAGACGTTGCCTCCAAGACCAACGAGGTCGCTGGTGACGGTACCACGACCGCTACCGTGCTTGCCCGAGCCATCTTCTCCGAGACTGTCAAGAATGTCGCTGCCGGATGCAACCCTATGGATCTGCGCCGGGGTACCCAGGCCGCTGTCGAGGCTGTCGTCGAGTACCTGCAGAAGAACAAGAGGGATATTACTACCAGCGAGGAGATTGCCCAGGTCGCCACAATCAGCGCCAACGGTGACACCCACATTGGCAAGCTGATCGCCAACGCCATGGAGAAGGTTGGCAAGGAGGGCGTCATCACCGTCAAGGAGGGCAAGACCATGAACGACGAGCTCGAGGTGACCGAGGGTATGCGCTTCGACCGCGGGTTCATCTCTCCCTACTTCATCACCGACACCAAGTCCCAGAAGGTCGAGTTTGAGAACCCTCTCATCCTCCTGTCTGAGAAGAAGATCTCTGCCGTGCAGGACATCATCCCTGCCCTCGAGATCTCCACCCAGAGCCGTCGGCCTCTCGTTATAATCGCCGAGGACATCGAGGGTGAGGCTCTGGCTGTCTGCATCTTGAACAAGCTCCGCGGTCAGCTCCAGGTGGCTGCCGTCAAGGCCCCTGGTTTCGGTGACAACCGCAAGTCCATCCTCGGCGATATTGCCGTCCTGACCAACGGCACTGTCTTCACGGATGAGCTCGACGTCAAGCTTGAGAAGGCCACAGCCGACATGCTCGGCTCCACAGGCTCCATCACCATCACCAAGGAGGACACCATCATGCTGAACGGCGAAGGCACCAAGGACGCTATCTCGCAGCGATGCGAGCAGATCCGCGGTGTCGTGTCTGACCCCACCACCTCAGACTACGAGAAGGAGAAGCTCCAGGAGCGTCTTGCCAAGCTCTCTGGCGGTGTCGCCGTCATCAAGGTCGGTGGCTCCTCCGAGGTCGAGGTCGGCGAGAAGAAGGACCGCTTCGTGGACGCCCTGAACGCTACCCGGGCCGCCGTTGAGGAGGGTATCCTGCCCGGCGGTGGTACCGCCCTGCTGAAGGCCTCCAGCCAGGCCCTCGGCAACGTCAAGTCAAGCAACTTCGACCAGCAGCTCGGTATCAGCATCGTGAAGAACGCCATCACCCGGCCGGCCCGCACGATTGTCGAGAACGCCGGCCTGGAGGGCTCTGTTGTTGTCGGCAAGCTGACGGACGAGTTCGGCAGCGACTTCCACAAGGGTTTCGACAGCTCCAAGGGCGAGTACGTCGACATGATCAAGGCCGGTATCCTCGATCCCTTCAAGGTCGTCCGGACCGGTCTGATCGATGCCAGCGGTGTGGCCTCTCTGCTTGGCACAACCGAGGTCGCCATCGTTGAGGCACCTGAGGAGAAGTCTGGACCTCCCGCAGGAGGTATGGGAGGTATGGGAGGTATGGGCGGTATGGGCGGTATGATGTGAGACCATCATAAAGGACACAATTAAAAGCTGGTTTGTATTCAAGCGGTTCGGACTTGTTTGGGCATATTGGTTTCCGGTGTTGAAGGCGGAATCATGACGGTCATGTGTATCATCTCCCCTCTATCTCCTCTCTGTCCGTGTTGATACCTCGCATATGGCACGCGATACCCAGGAATCACCTCCTGGGTCTGTACATTACATTACCTCTTGGGCTAAACCGAGATAGAGCGACGGGGAGAAAATCTACCGTTGCACCGACACATTGGCGTCTCTTTTCCTGCTGCCTTGATCTTCATCGAAAGTAACGTCAGTGAACGAAGACAGAGCGGCTCTGGATCAGGCATCAGCTGATTTCCAGGCTTCCAATATCTTGAAATCTAGGGATGTGGTGTATGGTGGCGTCGAAGTAGTCTTACTATATGTCAGGCCAGGCAGGAGCTGAATATTAGGCACCAAATACCAAGCCGGAGCAAACGGTGGCTAAGTCAATGGTATTCAAGGCTATGGTGAATGGCCGCGTGTGCATGAGTAGTCTATCTACATACACTTGTAGGAATTCCAAATACACACTTGACCAGTATAAGATGTCTCATGGGATAACCTGTCATGGGATAACCTGCTGTGGGATAACCTCCTATATGGTAGCCTAACCTCCTCAGACAATCCATTGTCAGACTGAACAGTACCACGGGACAAACGCCTCTGTGTCGGTAAGTATCTCTTGGTCATGCTTTTCAAATTCAGTCAATTCCCATCAGTGACTTCTCTGCATCAAGATAAACAGGCAGTTGATGAACAAGGATTCGTAATTGTTGTGCCCCCCCCCTCCCCCCAAATCTGCGGTCGCTAGCGCAACCAAGGCAGTGTCAATCTGATTGTGCCCCACCAAACAAACCCCCCCTCCCCCTCCCCACCCCCGTTGGATGGATCCGAATGCTGTCAACTTCCAGGTAACCTTGGAAACTTCTGCCCGCCGATTCCTCATCCACACTTGCTCTGTGCACTCTTCTGGACTTCTTCACTTCTCCCAATTTAATACCTCCACCTTAGCGTTTGTTGACCTTTGACCAAGCAACCCCCTTTGCTGGTACGCCTCCTCTCTCATCCCACCTCACAGCTGCTGCTCTCCAAGGGAGCTTCATATCTATCGAGTCACGTCATCTTCTTGACCGTACCGTGCCCCTTTGCTGACGACCCCTCACCGTCCACAGCCTACCTATTCGTCGACCGAGTTGACACCCAACACATCGACCTCAACCCGATAAACACATTACAGCCACAATGGTGAGTCTGAGTCTCGATGGCCTGATTGCAAGAAGTTTTACTAATTCAATGGGCGTTTAGTCGCAATCTGGGTTGGTGACCCCCCATCCCCTTTATCCCACCGTCGACGCCACAGCTGCCCCTATCGGCCCATCCGAACTGCGATGGGCCAAGGCAATGATGAGGCTCAACTGGCAATGAGACCCCAAATACTGACAAGCGGCCTTGGACAGAGCTACCGTCAACGAGGAGTGCGTCTCCACCTGGAACGACCTCAAGCTCAGCAAGAAGTACAAGTACATCATCTTCAAGCTGTCGGACGACCTTAAGGAGATTGTCGTTGAGCACACAAGCGACAACAAGGATTGGGAGGAGTTCCGTGATAGACTCGTCAACGCCAAGACCGTCTCCAAGACCGTACGATTTCTGCTATTCCTTGTGATTGCAAAGCAATGCTCGCGTGACTGACCAACGCCTTCGACAACAGGGCCAAGAGGGCATCGGCCCCCGATACGCTGTCTACGATTTCGAGTACAGCCTGTCGTCTGGTGAGGGTGACCGGTACGTGCTTTGCATACTCGCTACAGGATCCAAGGGACCTACGGAGCTGACAATGATGCAGAAACAAGCTGACCTTCATTGCCTGGTCTCCTGATGATGCCGGTATCAAGGTGAGTTCAGATCAGCAGTCTCGCCCTCCAAACGTGTCATTACTGACTCGCCCCGCAGTCCAAGATGGTGTACGCCTCGTCCAAGGACGCCCTGAAGCGCGCACTCAGCGGCATCGCCGTCGAGATCCAAGCCAACGACGCCGACGACATCGAGCACGACTCCATCCTGAACAAGGTCAGCAAGGGCATGGCCGGCTAAGCGAGGCGTTTGAAGAGCATCAGAAGCTTGCGCTGCGTCCATAGAGTCAAGGTTTCCTTCCATAAGACTGGAACAGGGAGAGAGATATCATGCATGGGAGGGACAGTTTTGCGCGACTTTGTCCATAATGGAGACCATGGGGCGATCCTAGGTAGTCGATGTCGGCGTTGCTTTACCATAGCAAATCAACCGGATGTCCGGGCTTCTTTCAAATCTTCACATTGGCCCACTCCTAATCTTGACATGCACATCCGTGATTCTCTGGTAGAGACTTCTTCCTTGTGACGTGGATGACACGTTTTCACTGATCGATGAAGCTTTTTCACGGAGGAGACGCTATGAATGTAATTTCGCGTATAAGATTACGTGGCTACCTCTATCATTCCACCACCCGCCATTCAGCTGCACAGGCTACCGACCTGACTCCCAACTCGAAAGGAACTTCCCAAATAGCTCCTCCGTGATCTTCTCATCCCGTATCCTCTGGGACAAGAAACCCCTCAGGTCTGTCCAGAAAGCGTCCGTCTGCAACACTGCCTCGCCACTCGTGCCCTGCGCCGTCGTGGTAGCATCGGCCACGGGCTCATCCTCAGCCTTGGGGCCCGGTGATGCCACAGCCGCGGCACCGCCAAGCACCATGACGGAGAACTCGACGCTGGTCTCGTCCTCCCCGAGCAGGTCCTTCAGCACCTTGCTGTCGGCGACGGGCTTCTTCTTGTGCAGGACCTTGATCTTCTCCACAGGGATAGTGGTCTCGGACGACACGGAGGTCTTGACGTCCAGGATGGAGGTGTTGAGCGGCTGGGAGCTGAGCCTGATGTCGAGGGGTGGATTGCGCAGTGACTTGATGCGCACTGTTATACTGCGCTCCTGGCCGGGCGCGAGGGAGACTGCTTTGGACATGGGCTTGGGCATCCGCGGCAGGATGTACTAGACGGTCGATGCCAGCTTCAGCGGTGGTTTCATGGTAGCATGGTAGGGCAACTTGGGGGTAGGAAGAACATACAGGTGGCCGTGCCGGATAGCTCTTTGGGTCCTCGACATGGTCGGCCGACAGCTTCTGTGGACGCGAGTCCAGCGCCGTTAGGAAGGTTCTAGCGAACGTTACTTCAGTCATGTTGATCTGAGGTCCTAGGGTAGCACGAGGATGTAGAAGAGGACGGCTGGTACAAGAGACAAAGACGTAAGTGCACCTAGGTTTGTAGTGCGTAGTGCCGTTTGAGCTGGGCGTATGTGCTGAGCGGCCGTTACGTAGTACCTAGGGACCTACCGCCGTTGTCGTGCCCCACTGCTCGTTTTCGCGGGGCGGTCCTTGCCCCAAATGCTGCTTCTTGCTCCATGCTCCTTGGAAGGCGATAAGATAAGCCCAAATTTTTTGGTTCCTTCCCTCTTACCCAAGCCTTGCACGCGACTGTGGAAATATCTGCGACCCATTCTACAAGACTTATACGCCGTTTCCCTTCACGTGCCGCAACCACCTGATTGTGAATTCAAAATGGGTACCGGTCGTCGCATGAAGAAGCAGGGCCCTCCTGAGCGCCTGTCTGAAGAGCATTTTGCGAAATTGAAGCGGAAGAAGGGTCTCCCAGTCGACACCCCAGAGGAGGCTCCAGCCAAGAAGAGGAGAACGAACAAGGCCGACTCTGCGCCAAAATCAAACGGGACGAAGAAGGCTGCCCCGGCAGCGAAGGCTTCTGCCAGACAACAGAACGGTTCCAAGCCCAACAGCAGGCAATCCTCCAGGTCAAAGAAGGCTTCCGTGCCGGAACCCGAGGGATACTCTGATATCGAGATTGACGACGAGTTTGGCGATTCAGATCTGGAAGGAAAGGACCTCTCAGACTCGGACGATGACGAGCCTGCAAAGCTGGGATCCGACTTCCTGGGATCCGACTCTGGCGACTCGGTATACGATTCCGACAATGATAGGAAAAAGGAGGAGTTTGTCTTCTCCGATGACGAGGGTGACTCAGACGCTGAGGCGCAATTGACAGCTGCGAACATCGAGGGCTTGTCGAGGAAGCTCGACAAACAAATGGAAGAGGAGGCCGCCGATGCACAAGCAGAATTGGAGGAGGCTGCGCTGCAGACAAACATCAGCGGCGACCCGCTGAAGGTGCTCGATGAGGAGGAAGAGGAATCCGACGCAAAGAAGAAGGCTATCCTGGCACCCGACCTGCAGCTCCTCAGGAACAGGATCACGGAAAATATTCGCGTACTCGAGGACTTTTCAAAGCTGGCCGAGGAAGGAAGGTCAAGGGCCGAGTACACCGCACAGCTGATCAAGGACATCTGCGCATACTACGGCTACTCGGAGTATATGGCCGAGAAGCTCTTCCACCTCTTCAGCCCCTCGGAAGCCTTTGATTTCTTCGAGGCCAACGAGAGCTCCAGGCCTATGGTTATCAGGACAAACACTCTGCGGACGAACCGTAGGGATCTGGCTAGCGCTCTCATCAACCGCGGTGTCACCCTCGAGCCCGTTGGAAAGTGGTCAAAGGTCGGCCTCCAAATTTTCGAGAGCAACGTGCCCCTCGGAGCCACACCAGAATACCTCGCAGGCCACTACATCATCCAAGCAGCGTCCTCTTTTCTCCCTGTCATGGCTCTTGCACCCCAAGAGAACGAGCGCGTGCTCGATATGTCCGCGGCGCCAGGTGGTAAAACAACCCACATGGCGGCACTGATGCGTAACACAGGATGCATCTTTGCCAACGATTTTAGCAAGTCCCGTGCTAAGGGTCTCATCGGAAACATTCACCGTCTGGGCTGCAGAAACGTCGTGGTGTGCAACTACGACGCACGGGAGTTCCCCAAGCCCATCGGCGGCTTTGACCGCGTCCTGCTCGATGCTCCCTGCACCGGCACGGGTGTCATCGCTAAGGATCCCAGCGTCAAGACCAATAAGACGGAGAAGGACTTCATGGCCATTCCGCATACTCAGAAGCAGCTGTTGCTGGCTGCCATCGACTCAGTGAATCACCACAGCAAGACGGGTGGTTATATTGTCTATTCTACATGGTAAGTCATGAACACACTCCAGAGTCACTATTCGTTTCCGCGTTTTCCCTAGGCTGACATGAGCACCACCACAGTTCCGTTTCAGTAGAAGAGAACGAGCAAGTGGTCGCCTACGCTCTGGCCAAACGCCCCAACGTCAAGCTCGTCGACACCAACTTGCCGTTCGGGAACGAAGGGTTCGTGTCCTACCGCGGCAAGAAATTCCACCCCTCTTTGAAGCTCACCCGCCGCTACTACCCGCACACGTACAATGTGGACGGCTTCTTCGTCTCAAAATTCAAGAAGATCGGTCCCACGCCGGCCAACGCCGTGCTCGCGGACAGGAGCGGCACCGCCAAGGAGAGGGCCAACGGCGGCAAGCAGCCGCACCAGGACGAGGAGGACGAGGAGGTCATCGACAAGACGCCCATCGGTCACGAGGAGGGCGGAGAGGAAGATGATGATTTTGGCGGGTTCGATGACGATGAGGATGAGAAGATCATGGAGCGCGGAAAGAGGAACGCTATGAGGAGGCGTGGCCTCGACCCAAAGGCGCTGAACAAGAATAAGAACAAGGACAAGAAGGACGAGAGTGCGGGCACTGATGCAGACGCTGCTCCTGCTGCGCCCGCCTCGACCAAGACCAAGGCTAAGTCCAAGCCGAAGAAGACGTCGAAGTAGGGAGGGAATCCCTCTGGGGCTAAGCTGTAGTCGTAATAATAAGTTGCATTAGGATTAGGCTAGGAGCTCATGCATGGCTGGCTGATCAGTCATGGTCGTGTAGTACAGGAAAAATATTGGAAAGAAAAAGTCGAGCAAGCCTCATCTAGTCGTGATTGTCATCATTATCGTGCTCTTGCATGAGAACATCAAGGTCATAAAGAACATCTCGTCTTGGTCGGATCTCCTCATGTCAACAACGTCATATCGTTGTGTTCCCTCGTTGCTTTTTGCCTCTGCTCTCATCTTACATGTGCGGTCCTCACAGACCCCTGCATGAACACCATCAACCGGTCCCAATCCATGTGACTTCCCCATCCCGACGTAGACCCTTCTTGCCTGTCTTCTTCTCCAGCTTCTAGCACTGCTGCCAATGTCACTTGCCACCCGCCCCCCTCTCCTTTTTTTCTTCTTTTTTTCTTCTGATTTTCGATTCCTTCTTGCGGCGAACCTGCTCATTCTCACAAGCCAGGCATGGCCTGCCAAAATGATGCACGAGTAACAAGAAATGAGTAATAAAAACAAACGCCCATCGTTAGCTGTCGTCAATGATATCTCTGGTCATAGTCGTTCCGTCGTTAGTTTCAGTTGTTGAGCCAAACCCGTTCCATCCATCCCATCATGTTATTGAATTCCCTGGAGCCCCTGTGACCATCCTTGCCCGCGGACAACACCCTGATCGTGGTATCCAGATCATCTGCCCGCCAGGCAGAGCCAAATCTGGTCTAACATGCCGTTGACCATCTGTATGCCGTGTCGTGAATGTCCTGTCGTCCATCATGAATGTGTCGGCCTCCCCCCAACCTCCTCCTTTTGATTCATGAGCCGCCTCGGCTCGCGTCGTTTCCGTAAACTTTTGTCTTTGCATCGTTCGTTATACAATTCGTCATGAAAACAATAAAACGGTCTAAACAAGGTAAAAACGAAATACCGGTAGTAGAAGCAGAAAACGAAAATGATAAAAGTGATGAACCCTTCTAACGCCGGCCCCCATGCCAAGTCAAGTGAAATGGCGGTGAGCCATTACCGCTCCGTGGCTTCAGTGATCACACCACGGATGGTCCATCGCCAGGCCTCGCGGTCCCGATTACCTAGGCCCAGCCACCTCTCGCATTTCTTACGCCATCTTTCCTCTTCTTCACGCTGTCTTCTGACGAACTCGGGACCAACATCAAACTCTTCGCCGACAAGCCAGTCATCCTTGACTTCGCTCACGCGTCCAGTCTCAGTCGTATCGGCGGTATTGTCGTCCAGATCAGGGATATCTTTGAAGACATCATCCTCGTCATCAATGGCATTGAACCCATCAAGTGGATCAGTGATCTCCGACTGGGCTGATTGGGGACCGAGTTTGAGCCAGCACATGTTCTGGGGGTCGAACACCATGCCTCCAACGACCTGCACCCCCTTCGTAGTACTAATATTAGTGATCAGTGCAGGTCTGGGCGTGGCATTCTCCTTCTCCCGAACTGTGAATGGTGGCACCGAGACGGTGGATGGCGACGATGCAGGCACGTCAAAAGAGCTCAGAGCGTTGTCATTGCCCTCCCATTGGAAAGTCTCGGGGTTGTAAAACATGCCATTGACCACTGTGCAGCGTTAGCCTACATGCACGGTTTGCGTACAGGGGTCAGACCTACTTTTTGACTCGTTGGAGGAATTGAGATTGGCAATTAGGTGTGGCTTAAGCTGGGGCTGCTTTTTAGCGGCCCTCTTTGGCTTGACGCTGGGTTGTGGCTGATGCAGGTTGCTTCTCGTAGAAAGCTGTGCAACGCGTTGCGTCGTTAGAGGAGCGAGCGGACCTGAAGAGGGAACTCGATGCGCAAGATTTGCCTCTCTGGCGATCCTACTCGACGCCGTGTCACGTGCAAACCGGGGCAGGTACTCGGACCTCGCAGGTGAGTGGGGCGAGGACGGTGCAGGGGAATTCGTCCTCCCCGGCAACAAGTGCTGCATAACCTTGTTCCGGAACTGTGTAGGGTACTGTGGGCTGGGGTATTTTGGCTGCTTAATGAATTCAGATTCCGTCTTTGCAGACGTCGGCAAGTCGTCAAAGGCGTCAAGTTCGTGACCGTCTCCGAAGTGCCTGGGGCGCTTTGGGAGACTCAGAGGCAATCGTGCTCCTGCACGGGCGAGTTTCTCGAGTTTCCGATCGCGCTTAACTGGACTGGGCGATCTCACAGTCGAACGCGACACCGCGCGTGAAGTGGGTCTTGTGTCATTCGAAAGGTCTGAATCATGACGGCGGAACGGCCTCTTGGCATTGACGTTGTAAGACTGCAAGCTTGAGCCGCCTGCAGGCACAAACGGTTTCCTCGCCTGTGCGGCTGAATTCTCTCCGAAAGAATGACGGTTTCGATCGACAGGGGTCTTGGGTCTGATACCTGACGTAGGTCGAGAAGCCACTTCTGTTCTCGATGGCGGGCGTTCGGCGCCTCGCGCTGTCATTGGCCTTGCCGGTGACCCGGGTGGCCTCATGGCCGGCAGCGATCGCTTCAGGCGTAGCAGCTGAGCGTTGGTGGTGGTCGGTTCGTTCCGGAGCGAGACCGTCGAGCTCTTCTGGCCAACCTGTCTCTTCTGCGGCGTCGTAGGACCGGAGAAGGCCGGAGCGGAAGGGGTGATAGGGGTGCTGCCGCTCGCCGTGGAGGATTGTGAAGACTGGGACATGTGACCGAGCCGGGATTGGGACCTCCTCGTCGGGCGAGAAATAATAGGGCCTCCACTCTCCGAAACGGGCTCTAGAGAGGACTGGGTGTGCGTCCTCTCGTGGTGGCTGCTAGTCGGCCGTGGTAGACGTGAGGTGGCCTGGACGGGCTTGTTGGTGAACGTCAGAGACACGGCTGTCTTGGGGCGCACGGGGCTTGTAGGCCGCGTCGACTTCAGCTTCACATTGGTGTGGAGCTTCAGCTTGCCCGAGTCAAAGACGGAACCATCGCCAACGTTCAGATCGAGGAAGAAATCTTTGGTATCAGCTTCGGGCTGTGGCACAGACCTCGGCGGTAGCGCGGGCTCCTCTTCGATGGTGCGTTCCGGTGAGCGGTTCTGACGCTTCCTCCTCAGCCTCTCCTTCAAGTCCAGCGGGCCGTGGGGTAGCTCAATTCCGTCAAGCTGTGCCTCGTCCTCGCTCTCAGCCGTGATGGAGCTCGAGATGCTCGGACTGAATGCTGAGGCAGAAGAGCTCCGGTTGGACCGGCCGTCTCTTCTCGTACCGCCGAAGCGGGTCCCAAGGCTTCCTTCTCCCCAATCGAAATCGTCATGGGCGCTGACCGGGGTTTTCGGTATGTCGCGACGGGAAGAGAGTTTTAATGTTCCGTCCGAGGGCAGCTCCAAATCCTGTTCGTAGTCGTTGTCCCCATGGCCGCGAGATTCGGGCATTTTAGCCTTTACTGCTGGTAGTGCCGGCTTAATGACTTGGCGCGTCTTAGACACCTTGATCGTTTCACTGCCGTCACCAAACAAGTCGTCGTCGTCATCTGTGTCTTTGAATCTGTCCAGGTTGATAGGTGGGCCGAGGGTCTGTGCGGGGGTCTTGATGGGCTGTTCTGGTCCCAGCACAGGTGGTGAATTGAGCGGCTTGGATGGGCTCAGGTATGAAGAGCTGACCTGTCTCAAGGCCTGGGGGAATTTGGTGGGATCCTGCGTCTTGATGCGCAGGCCGTCAGCTCCGTCGGGCAACATGAGGTCGTCACCCCAGTCTTCCTGCAATATCTTCCTAACTTTCCGGCCGCCGAGTCTCTTGATGGTGCCTGCCAAAGCTGTCGAGGGCACACTACTCGGTATTGGGATGCCAGCGTTTGCGGCGATTGCAATAGCATGCGACGTAGAGTTCTCATCTTCGCCGGGGAGGTGAACTACCCTTTCGTCTTCCCCTTGGATCGACTCCATCTCAGACCGCATGGAGACATGTGACGATAGGCTGTCACGTCGATGCGGGGGCGCATTGACCGCGGTGGAAGGATTTCGCAGAGCCAGATCGTCGCCATCAATTAAAAAGTCGTCATCGTCCCAGTTTTCAACAACTTCCTCGACCGGTTTCCGCTGTTTCAGCCGTAACGTCTCCATGGTGCGAGTGTGCCGGGGCAACCTTCATAGATGGTGAATGAGAAGAATACAACGGGATGATCCGTGGAGAATGTCACTGGCGGTAGCCCAGTGAAATTTGACGAGATTGGCTACAAGGCGATGGATCACAGAGCATGATCATAGATAGCGGCCATGCGCATGCCCTCAGAACATGTTCGGGGAACCGGTGGCTAAGATGATGCAATGTCCAGGCGGGATTAGGTTGAGTTGTTTCGACAGGTGTGGGTATGAGTGACGCTGGAAGGTGATGATTGCGTGGAAGGTGATGAAAGAGGCGAAGTCGGGTGTGGTGTCTGCGGTCAATTCCACGAGGAAATGCTGTCGGGGCCCTGGGTATGAATCGGGAGGGTGGAGAGTGGGAATACGAAAGGAAAAGTTGCGTAATGCACGTCAATTCGGTGGAGGGGCGCGGCTGGCTGGGAAACAAGGTGGATAGACGAGATGGACTGAGATATCGACGGAGGCCACCAGCCAAGTGGAGCAGTCTGTTTCTGTTATGGGACTGGAGCCCAGGGGTTTTATTTCCAGCTGTTGGGTTGTTCGAGGTGGGTGCTGTCTAGTCCAGTCCGATTGATTGATTTGATTGACAGGGTAAACAAATGGAAGTCCTCTGGAAAGATGCAGATCCTAGGTTCAGAAGCACTGTAGGAGAGAAGAAAGTGAGTGTCTTTGGGGGATGGGGGTGCAAATGGAGCGACGATGAGTGAGGAGGTTGAAAAATCGAAAGCGAGAGGAGAGACGAGGGGGTGGTGGGTAGTGGTGATGGTGAGAGAAACCTGAACCTGCAGCACGGCAGGTGCGTGGGTGTGGGTGGTCAGGGTGGTCAGGCTGAGAGGTGAGAGGAGCACTGAGAGGCTGGGAAGGGAAGCGCGCGAGGAAGCACAGAGACCAAGGTGGCCCGAGCTGGCCTCTGGGTGGGCTTGCAGGCTCGTGGGCTCGTGGCCTGCAGGCTTTTTGGGGGCAAGGAACGGGGGTACCTGACCAGGAACCGCGTACTTGCCCCAGCCCACAGGGAGGAAGCTCCGGCTGCCCCACCACCCTCTCTTTGGACCCTGTGGTTCTGTGGTTCTGTGGTTTGTGCATGTGGCCCGAGCGTGGCCAAGGCCGCCCAGCAGATCCCGGGGTAGAAGCTCGGCCTTGACCAATCACATCCGGCCTTGGGAGGAGCTAGGATGTCATGTCAGCCAGTGCGACGCGTCCTGCACGCGTGCCTGGTGGTCAGTGAGCCAAAGGGACTTCTCGGACTGTTGTTTCATCGTGTTTACTACGCCTTCAGTCCCGTCAGCTCAGGAACCTCCGCGCAGCCGAAACACCATGCTATGTGAATTATGAATTAATTGTACCATGTATGGGCCAGCTGGGGCCCATGTCACCTCTCCCCCAGTCCTTCTTGAATATAGGATACTGATTTGCTGGTGATCATCATCAAAAATGAGCAAGGAACTCAATCGCTAGCCTAGGCTTCCAAGCTTTCTTTGATGATCATGATCCGTGAAGAGGACAGAGATGACCGAACCATCTGTCGATTCTCGCCACAGTCATTTCCGGCACTCTCGGGAGCAAACGCTCCCAGCACCAACAGGCTCACCGGCAACAAGGAGTACAACTCGCATCCGGACCACAACCAGGACCTCGGCTGCCACCACTACCATGACTGATTGCATGATCATTGTCCTTTGAATCTGACCGTAACAGACCAGAGTTTTCCTGTCCATGCGCGCCGCGGACTTTGCCCCGTCCCCCGGTCGCCATCAGATCAAACCAGCTCGTTGCTGCGGCAAACGGAGAGTATGAATACGAACGACGGGTACAGCAGGTAACCTCATCATTTATCAGGTTTCTAAAACTGTAAAACTGTAACGGGAGCAGTCACTCATCATGTTCACAAGGGAAGAATTTGACGACTTTATTTTGGGTAATAGTAACAGTAACAGGAACAGTAACGGTAAGCCATGTATTTGGGGGCAGGTGTCGCATCCGGCCTGCCTTTTGCTGCCTAGAGGGGATGGGATGGATCCCCCCGGGAGCCTGATGGAAAAAGATGGCAGCAGTCACTTCTCCTTCATGGTGAGCGTGCCTATTTGCAAGGTCGCATAAAGTCCAAAATTCTGCCGGAGCAACCAAGCAACCGAGCTTCTTGTCATCTGTCATCTCTCATCTCGCAGACAGTAGATCGTCACGCAACATAGCATCGCACCCCCATTGCAGCACCACACGGAAGAGCATCACCGCAGACGGAACCCATCCGCAAACTGATCCATCATCAGCCACCATTTCCATCGCGCTACTGTCTCTGTCTCATTTCGTCTCATAAACTTGCACCACACGGGGCTCTTTCCCGCGCCCAGGGTCGTGCACCCTGAATCGATGCTGTTACTGTGACAGCAGGCCAGGAAACTAGCTTTTTTCGCCGTTGTGCCAGGTAAGCCTGCTTGCTGTTGGCCCTGCACGCCGTCTGGCCGTCTGGCCGAACGCTGTCCCTACGTAATTCACCCTGACCCAACCCCCTTCCATCTTGAACCCTGCGCCCATTGATGTCACCTTGCGACTCGTACGGAGCACTGCCAATCTAACATACCACCGTCTCGCAGCGGCCCTGCCTCTCGCCTCCACGCCTTTCGCCCTTGAGACTCAGGGCTTCCGGGCCGACAAAAACTTGGAAACATGCCTTCCATCTTCAAGCTGCCCCACGAAGACGGCCCCATCCTTGTGCGCGGAGTGCCCAGACCTTCCACCCACAATCGCCCTCTCGACCTCGATCTGACGGCAACAGATGATGCACAGATGTTCAGCCTGAGACGTAAGTCCAGAATCCCCGCGCTCAAACCTGTCATCACCTATTATTTGCAGTTGGCCCCGCCCATCTGGCCTGGTGGGCCGCATCCGGGCCTGCATCTCGGCCTTCCACGCGGGCCGTCATCATCCTGCAGCCTCACCCCATGTACCACCCCATTCAGCCTCCGCGGCCCACGCCTAGACCTGCAATTGCAACTGCAAGCCCGTCCGCCGTCGTCCCGCCACTCTGGAGCGGCCTAGATTTGGACATGTCTTGGTTCTAATCAATTCCTTTGTAGTGCAACACAGCAAGATCTCGCGTTACAGAAATGAGGGCGGTCCTTTGTCACACGAGGAATGGGAGTCTTGCCTGACTTCCCTCCTTCTGGGGACTCAACCAATCTCCCATTTTCATGTTGAAGCGCGATTCGATAACGGGAATCTGGAGATCGACATTGGGAACAGGGTGTCCGGAGCCACGGTACGTTGTTCTCCCTCCCGCTTGGACCCCCGGCACACACACGTCCCTGGAGCCTGCCCAAGCCTCTAGAACGGGCCCAAACTCACGCCCAACTCTCCCAGAATACAGCCGGCACCCTCATCTTGACACCCAGCGAGTCGTCCAGGAGGGCTTTTGATTGGTTCCAATGGACCTGCGAAGCTGCTTCGCGCCAGAATCAGCTGGCTGAGGAGCTGGCCGAGCTGAAACGCAAACATGCAGACTTGGAGAGGCTCGTTACCGAGGAGACGGTGCATATCAAAGCGCTCGAGCGCAGCAAGCATGAGTTCGAGTCAGAGCACGATTCGTTTTTCAGGGATCTGCTTAACGAGAAGAAACTCAAAATCCGCACCCAGGAGCAGATCTTGTCCACCGCACACGTGGATGAGGCGAAGCTCGCAGCTCTTAATTCCAAGGCCAAGGCAGGCAAATCGGAAGCCACCGCGAGGCATCCGGATGCAGTCGGGTCTTCGAGGAAGGGCAAGCGCAAAGCAGAGTCTCTTGGTGACGACACTGACGACGACGCTGACAAGATGGACATTGACGAGGAGTCAATGAGCCCAGACCAGGAACTGTCCGATGCCGAGCAGACGACAGAGGAAGAACAGACGGCCAGTGAGCCCGAGCCCGAGCCCGAGCCTGAGCCCGACCAAAGGTCCAAGAAACACACTGGATCCTCTGGTGCCAAGAAGGCTGGGAGAGGCTCTCTCGTCTCAGCGTCCAAGTCTGTCGCAAAGTCTAACAAGCCGCCTAGCTCAAATCTGCGAGGCAAGTCCCCTGCAGTTGCGGCTGATGATGAAGATAAAGACATGCCCGCGCCCAGGGCACTGCCCTTCGGCCGAAAGGCGAAGCCTGTTCCGGACCCAGCTGATGATGAATCAACGGCCTCAGAGAGCTGATGATTCGAATGGCAATGGGGCACTGTGGGATAGTCACGCATGGGCTTTGAATTTGTCATATCATGATACGGCCTAGGGCGGCCAGCGGCCTAGTTTCGAGAGGGACTGTTTTGCATTTGAGCCCTGGGAGTTGGATGATTGGGGGTTGGATGATTGGGGGAAATGACCCTACATCATGGTCAGTCAGTAAAATTTCACGATGACTCTGAGTATTGATTAACGATTCTGCATCTTTCATTCCCTCGTTTTTTTCGATATACAAACATTGATGAATTTTCTGTCTTGCCCATGCGCATCAGCTTCAACGCCATTCGATGTCTACATACAACTCAATCCACAAGTTGGCACATTTCCTTAGCCGAGTCGCTGGAGTGAGAAGGTCAGAAGATAATCTGTAACCCAATATCCAGGGGAAGGAGGACAGCCCGCTCTCAACATGGAGATATCGTCGAGAATTCTAGCAATTGGGGATGTTGCCACATCTTGATTGCTTTCACACAAAACTATTCAGCGTTGAATTACCGTCGTTCTCTTTCTTACGTGTAGCGTCATGATTTCCATACTACAGTGTTAGGTAATATGCAATCAGGGCTGCTTTGGTCAAAGTGTTGCCCCAGTCGTGACCCCGGACAAGAGCATCGTGTACACAACTTACCCTAACAGTTCCAAAAGAAGAGTCTTCAGCTGGCTGGTGACAAACCGAGCAATGGTTCGTTTGGAGGATTCCGCCACTTCGGTCAAACACTCAGAGGGCCGGGCAACTTTTCGTAGTGCCTTCTTTTGGTCTGCAAAATCAGTCATGCTTGTCGCCAATCACCAGTTTTACTCTTTGCAGCCGATCCACCCAATCGTCTAATCATAGCACAATCTTTCAATTCAAAGGGTTCTGTCATAGAAACTTGCCGTGCCGGACCACTGTGTTGTGCATTCTGACACGCGGGCGGCACGAGGAGGGTGGAAGCCCACGCACACACAAAGTCATGGCGGCGGGCCACGGGAGCCAGGACAATAGCGCTCACAGAAGTGATTCTGTTGAACTATTTTCATATGAGCCTTCCGTCACGTGGATCAAGACCTCATTGTTGGACTTGCCGGTGGGCATTGACAGAAAAATCCCATTCTTCGCCGCGTAAAGTTGCTGACAATGATCGTTTAAAGAGCCTGTCACCCCTTACGCGTTTTTTGAGCACATTGAACGTCGAGATTTCACAACACGTATTTGCCAACTTCTGGGAAGTAAGCATATGAGACTGTGGAGCAGCTCAACCAAAGACATCAAATTCAGAGCCAAGCAGCAAATCTTCCGAACATTCTTTCCAGAAACGCCAGGTGCAATTCTGTCTTGTTCAAAGCCTTTTCAATACCAATACCCCCTTAGAAAACCAGAAGAGAACGGAGATGGAAAACCCACGCCAATATCAGCCATTTGGCGGTTTCAACCGCTTCGTCAATGTTAGACTGAACCGTGATCCACCAGCACATCCTCAACCCGGACAGCACCCAGGCTTCGGACCGAACCCATTCAACCAAGAAAACAGACCAAATAGATTGAACCAAAGAGTGTACATCAACCCCCCTCTCATCTTTGACGCAGAACCCCGCCACCAAAGAGTGAACATCAACCCCCCTCTCATCTTTGACGCAGAACCCCGCCACCAAAGAGTGAACATCAACCCCCCTCCCATCTTCGACGCAGAACCCCGCCAACACAGAGGGAACATCAACCCCCTTCCCATCTTCGACGTAGAACCCCGCCACCGGCGCTATCACGAGTTCCAACTCCAAGCGCTTCGACAGCCACCCGTCGCGCCACCACCCCAGAGGCAGGAGCAACAGCAACAGGATCAACAGCAACAGGATCAACAGCAACAGGATCAACAGCAACAGGATCAACAGCAACAGGATCAACAGCAACAGGAGCAACAGCAACAGCAACAACAACAGCATGACCAACAACAGCAGGGGCAACAGCAGCAGGGACAGGACCAACAGGAGCAAGAGCAACAGGAGCAAGAGCAACAGGACGAGGGACAAGAACCAGAGGCTCCCGTGATCCGCCTCGGCCGGCACGGAAACGCAGGCGCGGCACGCACGCTGAGGGAACCGCCAATGATCGTACTCCTCGACCTGACAAAAGCGCTGATCAGCCTGCTGCGCGCCGCGGCAGCAGGGCTCGGGGGCGCCATCGACAAAGTCGCGCGGGCTGTACTCGCGGCGGCCTTGCCTTTGGTAGACTTCGTCACGCGGTGGGTCCTCTTCCTCTTTGTTGTCCTCCTTGCGCTGCGGGTCGGCATCCCCGTCCTCGTGCGTGGCTTGACGGCCCTGCAGAAAGGGATCGCGGCGGTGCTCGAGGCGCTGGTGGAGGTGGCGAGCTGGGTGTTCAACTTGGACATAAGCTGGCCGTGGCGAAGCCCTGTGTTCGGCTACACACTGCGGGAAGAATACATGAGTAGAGCGGTGACTGGGATGCCCTACCGCGAGGGGGCGTTTGCGGCCGGAGACTCTATCCCGGGCCCGCCGTACGGCGCCACGGCCTGGAGCTCCGTAGGCGCCGCCTGGCTCGACCTGCCTTACTCGGTGGTCTCAATCCCTTTTCGCATACTCTGGTCATTGCTTTGGAATTTGCTTATATTGCCGGTCTTCGCAGTGTTCTGGGCTTTGATTGTTGGGTTAGCATTGGATCTGGGGCTGAATGTGGAGCAGCAAACGTAGTATAACAAGACTTAGGACGGAGCGCGGGATCTGTAATCACAAGAAGACTAAATCATAGTGAAGTCACAGGCGAATACATGCCGTTACTAGTGGCGTTCGACGAGGAATTTAAGGACGCATGGTGTTATGCACAAAATGACGATGCTATACTGTCAACTCTATCCATTCCGCGGTTACTCGCGGTCTGCGTAGGAAAACGACCGCCCATGATGTGAGATAATACAGAGGAAGAAGCACCACTAAAAAATGCCTTAGATACCCAGAGTGAACTCAACACCGACATCAATGTCACGAGCTAGTCGCTGTTAGCTGAGATTGCCACGTGATCCGCGGAAAGGGGAGATCCTCAAACTCACCCATCTTCACGACCTTGGAGAGCTGTACAGCCCTCTCGGCAGCGCTCTGCAGGTCGTCGATAGAGAAAATCTTCATTCCAGAGTCGTTGATCAGAGCGTGAGCCTGCTCCATGTTGGTGCCCTGCAGACGGGCAATAATGGGGATCTTGAGATCCAGGGCCTTCACGGTGTTAATAAGACCGTGGGCAATGGCATCACATCGCACAATACCACCAAAGATGTTGACGAAGATAGCAGAGACCTTGGGGTCGCTGGTGATGAGCTCGAAGGCCTCCTTGATGGCTGCTGGGGTGGCACCACCGCCGACGTCCAGGAAGTTGGCAGGCTGGCCGCCGTTCAGCTTGATGATGTCCATGGTGGCCATGGCAAGACCGGCACCGTTGACGAGGCAGCCGATGTCACCATCCAGCTTGATGAAGTTGAGGCCGGACTCGGCGGCACGGACCTCGTCGGGGTCCTCCTGGGTGGTGTCGCGCCATGAGAAGACCTCCTTCTGCCTGTAGTCGGCGTTGTCGTCGAAGCCGAACTTGGCGTCCATGCACATAACCTTGTGATCGGAGGTCTCTGACAGGGGGTTGATCTCGATTTGGGTGGAGTCCTTCTCGAGGAAGATCTGGTACAGCTTCTTGATAGTGTCCTTGGCCTCGTCGATGCACTGCTCGCTGAATCCAAGCTTGGTGGCGATCTCGGTAGCGACTTCGTCGGTGACGCCAACGTTGATGTCAATGTAGTTGGTGTTGATGGCATCAGGGTTTTCCTTAGCAACACCCTCGATGTCCATACCACCCTGGGAGGATGAGACGATGACGGGGCCTTGGGTGGCACGATCCATGAGGACAGCCAGGTAGAACTCACGGCGAGCGAACTTGCGCTCGCAGATGTAGACGGAGTTGCACAGCCGACCCGCGGCACCGGTTTGCTTGGTGATGAGATTGTGACCGATCATCTGCTCAGCGAACATCTTGGCCTCGGTAGGCGAGTAGATGACACGGACACCACCCTTCAGACCGTTGTCGAAAGTTCCCTTTCCACGGCCACCCGCAAGGACCTGGGCCTTGATGACCATATCCTCACCACCGATCGACTTTGCGACAGCCTCGGCCTCAGCGGCTGTCTTCGCGACGGAACCCTTGGGGACGCCGATGCCATACTGGGAGGAGGGTTATTATTAGCTCGGATTGCGGCGCAGACGCTGATGGACGGGTTCTTTTATTTAGGTGCGGCATACCTGGCGCAGGAGGTCGGCAGACAGGTACTCGTGGATGGAGAGGTTCCGTTTTTGCTGGGCCAGTCCGGGGAATCTGACGGAGGGAGACGCCTGGAGGTGGATAATATCAGTATATCTGTCCCGAGCAGCGCGGTTTCAGAGCTCGAGAACTCTTTTGGGGGCAGGTGATAAGCACGACGCAGACGTACCTTGGGCGCAGCAAAGGCCGAAGCCAGAGCTCGACTGCGGGCGAGCCTGAACATTTTGAGGGGAGTGTGTGTGCGTGGATGGGGTCCCGGATGAGACAAAGCCAGGGACGGGAAGGGAAAGGCAAGGCTGAGGTGTGAAGAGAAGTATCGAAAATCGCGAGATTGCCAAGTGCAGGCCAGGTGAGGTTGAGGTGTGAGGTTTAGCCTGCCCCCCTGGCAGGCCTGCCGCAGCGAGTGACGGTTCAGCAAAGCTGCCAGCTTCCGCAGCAAACCGTTTTGCAGCAGCGGGAATTTCCGGCCCAATGACAAAGGGAAACCTTTGGAGCTAAGCTGCCAGCACTGCAAACACCTCGGCTGGCTTTGACATGCCCGACCTTGTTTCGCTCTGTGTCTTGGCTGTATGTCTGTAGACAGTGCTGCAGTCTAGACTGACTATGCACCCACCCACCCTGCATATAGAGAGAGAGAGAGAGAGTGAAAGGGCCAATCCAATTCACAAGTCTTCAGTCTTGAATGTCAGAATCTCACATGCTCTTCCCCGTCTTCCTTACCTCGCTCCATCTCCATCTGGACCTGGATAAGCACTCATCCTCGCCGATGGGATTTACTCCTTTCCGATCCGTCAAAGTCATGCCCTTTTCGACGCATCATGCAGCGTCTCAGCTTGCCAACGTCCTCGACATTCGACTCGACCTCATCCAAACCTCGAAAATCAGAGGGCGTTGGGAACAAAATAGGCTGACAGGTTCATAAGGTTCACCTTATATCATCCCGACTTTAAACTCACTTCAGTACACTACCTGCTCCTACACCCGCAGCCGGATCAGCAACGGCAGTCCTGAGGGCAACCTTGGACTCCCACATGGCCGTTTCACGTCCATCTTACCGCCGCGTGGTGTCCCTGTCCCTGATAGCATTGGCTCTAGGGCACTGTCAGGTGAGGACCATGCACACCTTCGTCGCCGTCACGGCGTCACATCGACGATCTGCCCTTTGAGTTTGCGGGGTCGCCCTCCAATTCGGGGCGAAGCTCGACCTCGAGGCCCCGTCCAAGCTACACCTGCACCGGCCTTCCTTGCATCGCCTGCCCGCCCTTCTCTTCGATTTCCACTTTGGGCATATCCTTGCGGCTGTTTCGTCCCGCCATCCATCTATCGGATGGGCTGGCCTGCACCGCGCGCTGCGGCAATGGTCAATGGACCACCAGTTGCATCGCCGCTATTGGGCCAAGTGGCTTGGTGGTCGTCACTCCATTTCACCAACGGTGACTAGTGCTTCCAATCCCTTCAAGGGTGTTTCGAAGCCGTCAGTCCACACCTGTGCGTCGAGCTGTCCTGCAGCAGCCAGCCTTGACTGATCTTGCATGACCGATGAAGCCAGCCGAGGTTTCAATGATATGCTTGTCAACATCTGAGCTTGTACGAGGCCGTGATAAATCAGACGGCACATGCTATAAGACTTACATCCCCTCTTTCGCCCTTGCCCTCAGTGTAGTGGTTCTTCGGAAAACCTGCCGGACGGAGTTCGCGAACCTGTCTGACTACCCTCCAAACTGAATTTTGCACCGTGCAACCTCACTGTCACAAGCCATCCGGATCGTAACCATGTTTCGGGAGATCCTTTCTCTCGGGCCCGCTTACTTGAGCCTCCTTGTTCTTCTCCTCATCGTCTCTTACTATGTTTTGAGGACAGCCTATGTCGACTACCAAATTAGGAAACTCGGCGCTGTTAGATCAATTGTATTAGCCACGAACCCGCTCATAGGATTTCCCTTCTTCATCGATGCTGCCATTAAACAGGGCCAGAACAAGCTGTTGGAATTTTACGATGGGCTGTACAAGTCATCCCCCGCGACGTGCCCCAACTGCGTCGAAATATCCATTTCGGCACAGCACAGGTTCATCATGACGAGAGACCCCGACCACGTCAAAACCATCTTGACATCCAAGTTCTCAGACTTTGGAAAGGGCGAGCGATTCCACGATACGTGGAGCCCGTTTCTAGGCGACAGCATCTTCACTACTGATGGCCAATTGTGGTCAGACAGCCGCGGCCTCATCCGCCCAATGTTCATCAAGGAAAAGGTCCGGGACATAGAAATATTTGAGCGGTGGACCCAGACATTAATGACCAAGATACCCTCGTCGGGGGAGACGGTTGACATTTGTGATTTGTTCTATCGAATGACACTCGATGTCACAACCGACTTTCTGCTCGGAACAAGCGTGAACAGTCTTAACAAGTAGGTTGAGGTACTGGCCATCACGAGATGCGAGCTGACCGCCTCAGTCCCAAGCACGAGTTTGTCGACGCCTTCACCGAAGTCCAGCGTGTACAAATGATGCTCACGATACTCGCGTAAGCTAGACTTTCTTCCTCGCAAAATCAGGATGGTTGACGGAATCTGACCTTGACAGCCCATTCCGATGGTTGGTTCCCAAGCGTCGGTATAACAAGGGCATCCGGGTCCTTGAGAGGTTCATGAAGCCCTACATCGAGCAGGCACTGGCCCTCCCGCCATCCGAGCTCGACAAGCTCTCCAAGTCGGACAAGAGCGCCACATTCTTGCACAGCATCGCCCGCTATTCGAGGAACCCCAAGGTCCTTCGCGACCAAATCATGGCCATTCTTCTAGCCGGCCGTGACACGACAGCCGCGACTCTGTCATGGACCATCTATGAGCTTGCGCACTATCCAGCTATATACACCAAGCTGCGTAACGAGATACTCTCGACTGTTGGAGAGCATAGAGCACCGACATATGAGGATCTTAAGAATATGACTTATCTAACGCACACACTAAACGAGACTCTGCGGCTCTACCCCGCCGTGCCGTATAACCTGCGCGCGGCGCTTGAGGACACAACTTTACCGGGGCAGCCGGGCCAGCCCGACATTGCGGTGTTGAAGAAAGACATTGTGATTTATAGCACCCTGTCGATGCAGCGCCGTGCGGACCTCTACCCGCCACAGAGTGAGAAATTTGCCGACCCGGCCGTGTTCAGCCCAGACAGGTGGGACCACTGGACGCCAAAGGCATGGCAATACGTTCCATTCAATGGAGGCCCCAGGATCTGCGTGGGCCAAAACTTTGCAATGACCGAGATGGCTTTCGCTAGTAAGTTGACCCGCCTACATGTGCTTGCTGTTGGTGTTGGGGTTTGTCGAGGTCATGAGCTGATACAATCATCTCCCAGTGGTACGCATTCTCCAAAAGTACGACCGAATCGAATATCGCGGCGATTGGTATGCACAGTATCACAAGGCTGAGATTGTGGGCTGCCCGGGTGAAGGGGTTCACGTTGCGTTCCATGAGGCACAGAAGGGCGATATGGCTTGAGGCTTCTTAAATGTGTGCGAAAGCGAATTAATACGATACTTCTCGGCGTCTAACCGTCCCGGATGATGGACGACAGGGTCACTACGTGCTGCAAGCATCAGTCCCAGCGGGCAGACGGAAATTGAATACCAAATTCGACCACTGCTGTCTCGGTTCTTGGTGTGAAAATGGTAAAAGTGCCTCCTATAAGCTCCACACAATTTAGCGCTAGCGAGAATAACGGGGGTTGGCTACGCATCCCACTTCTTTTCATAAACTCAATTTCAAGGCTAGCAGCCGTTTCTCCGTCAAAAAAGACACATTGACCTATGTTCTATGTGAGGTTATGCAACGACGGCATTTTACAGACGGTGTTAGTGGTAAGAAGAACCTAAATCAACGTTGAGCCAACCCGTGGGAGAACCGGGGGTTTGGAAGGTGGGTGGCCCAAGCTCTCTGTACGATAAGCCTGTGGAACCCGTTATCGCCTTGGTGCTCTCATTTGATGACTTTAAGCCGTGCCTTCAGCTTTTTTTCTTTAGTCTTTCCCAACACCTTACCTAGGAATATCGCAGGTGACACTAGAAATGGCTCCGCCAAAGTCCGACGACCTGCCAAAGGCCGTTGACTTTGACCAAATCATGAACAAAGTTAATCTGAGCACTTCCAAACACACAGCAATCCTCGGCCGCTTAGGGCGCAACTCAAAATCCCGTGCTTCATCAGCCGCCAGCTCAAAACCGGAGGACAATGGATCGGAGAAGCCCAAATTTTCATTCTCTTCCCTAGCAAACAAGCCATCGCCTCATCCAAGCCTGAAAAAGTCCCAACAGCAGCGCAAGACATACTCCCAGCCTCGGGGCAGGGACAACGACGACGACGGCTTTGAGGTTCCTGAGAACTCGGGGATAGGGCACGTGCCTGCTGGGAAGGAGGCGGCCGATGACGCGAGGGCGGCTGAGACGAGGGATCTGAAAGGAAAGCTGCTGGGAAAGAGGGCGCTGGAGCAAAGGGAGGAGGCGCGGAAGAAGAGGGCCAGGGCTAAGGAGGACAGCAGCGACGAGGAGGAGGGACGGAGCGCGGCGGTTGGGAAGGGGAGAAAGAAGAAAGGAAGACGAGGGGGTGGTGATTGAGAGTGATCCCTTCTGGTGTGCTCTGCGGCGCTTTAAAGCTACAGCGGTCACACCAGATGGTATCTCATGGTTGTGACGCAGTCGTTGGTCATCCTGATGACCATTATGACGGGCTGAAATGCTGGAGATCGTCAACCGATGTGGTTTGCGGCTGTCAGAGTTGGGACCTGCCGGCTGTATGAGGGGCGAACACAGCAAAGCATTCTTACCGCGGGTTCATGCAGCACCGTATCTCTTGCCGCCTCTTTCAACAGCCCTCTATCCAACAAACGAGGGATTGTTTGTCTTTGGCATCAGAAGTCCGGGCCAGACGAAGGCGAAGTCCCAATGGCACAATCAAAACACCAACGCGATTGTCCCCGAAAATCGACAGGGCGCTTTGACTCAAGGGAAGAAGGACACGTGGGTCTTTTGGCATGCTGCACACTCCTACGCCGCATCGAAAGAAAGGCTGTTTTGAGGGACATGTTAGGTGCCCGACGGCAAAGGAGATGGGCAGAGGATGGGATAAAATGTGTGGCATGAGGTTGCCCGAAGTCGGTCCCGGTGGACTGACGCGCTGCTGTTTTCAGGAACTCCATTTGAATGTTTTCAATATCCGAAGAAACGGTGGCAAATCAGGGACATATGAGACTGGTTACAGTTGAGTCCTGTCTAGATGCGTTCATCAGAGCCGGATATGGCGGAAAGCCCGGGGAGGGTTGTTGCGGATGGTTCTGCTTGGATCCTACGTCCGAGAAAAGGGTATCCCGAGCCTTGGACATGGCGATATAGGTTCAACCTCCAAAACATTACACAATCACTTGCGGGACTGGGAACGGCCGTGGCGCATAATGAGCCCTTTATTGCTTTCATGATGTTCCTCCTCTCGATGGACGTTTGCGGCAGTCTCAGGCGTTCAAAAGTATATGTAGCATCTCCCAGGTCTCGAAGGGTCAGTTCTTGGTCTTGTTTCGGGCACTCGAGCCGCCGCAGCAACGTAATGAATTCGCCCAAGTACGATAGTACCGAGGGTGCCTGGATTACATCTTATATAGCCTGCAATCAATTTTATATCCGATCGCACTAAGAGGAAAATGTATTATATTCATGATACTCAACATTTATGTAATCGTCGATGAGCTTAGGGAAGATCATTTTGATCGGTTGGTGAGAGTCTAAGTCAGGTAATTCGGTGCTGATCGAGATTGGCGAGGTATCAAAGCCATCACATGCCTTACTTCTGCACCCCAATGATATCAAAACATTCTCTTTCCAGCCTTGACCTCGGAAGGCCGTCCGCTTTTCTGGAGGACCGTCCTCATGCATTCCAGAACCCAGTAATCCATTCCAGGGGTTCCTACCACATTGATAGCAACTGGGAGTAGCTCCTGAACCCGCGTGATCCTAGACTGGTAAGGGATCTCTCCTATGGGTACAACAATGTCTGGCGAGCGGAGAATAGGCGAAAGAAATAGCTCATCGGTTGCACTTTGCTGTGACGGTGACTCTATTCTTTCATCGCGGTAATGCGGCTCGACGGGTGATATTGGCAGCACCATCAGAGCTTTCTTGGTTTTGAAGATATTTCTCAGTAACCAATCTCTGTAGACCTCAAGCTTCCGCAACCCTTCAATGTACTGCTCAGTCGATACCGCAGCACCGGAAGCCCATCGTTGTTTCACAAAGGGGATCACATAAGGCTCGTGGCCAAACTTCTCTAAGTACTCGGTTCTGAATCCATCAGAAGAGTGGTAAAAGCTGTAGTGATATGTATGAGTTATCACATCCTTGAGGTATACTTCGATGTCGTCAGAAGCATTGGGCGGGGACGCTGCTTCCCAAGACTTGCGTATCGAGATTCTCGTGATCGCCGCATTAAGATGCGTCGCAATGTCGTCTACAAAGGAGTCGAGGATGGCCAGTTGGCCAGGGACGGCTTTCGGCAGATAGTCCAAGGGGTAGATGATCTCGAGGTCAGAATTCGACTTTTCCAGAGACAAGTCTACCCTTGGCACCCACGCGGACAGAACGTCTTCCAGAACCTCGAGGTTTCTCGCAAAGACACATGGGGTATCGAACTGTGAGAATGTTGGGACCATCCCATCCAAGGGTACTGCATCATGTGAAGGTCGAAACTGAAATATTCCATTGACTAATGCGGGTCTTCGGCCGCTCCCAGACGTGTCGGTGCCAATTGCAGAATCAAGCCATTCATATGACGCGACAGCGGCTGCACTTCCACTGCTGCTCCCGGCTGGAGATTGATATCCATCTCCTCGTGGGTTGAAAGCGGTCTGGAAATCCACTGCGTCGGATGGCTCCTCCCTAGCAATCATGGAACTGAGCTTCGTCAGACCCAGGATATGATGACCACGGCTGACCAGCTTCTGCACTACGCCCGCTGATTGTAGGGCCGGGGAAGATAATTGGTAATACGAGGAGTTGCAAAGTGAAGTCTTCAGCCCGTGTACACGAAAAATGTCTTTGAAGGCTATTCTGAGATGCCGGGACTGCAAGCGTGAAGGTACCGCAACACTCAATGTTGCATACGCCTTTCCAGCAACCTGAAGCTGTTCAAATGGTTCGAACTCCCTGACAGGTGTCAGTACGTGATCCAGTTGCTGGGGAAAAAGTAGATTGGCTTTTGCTCCCCAAAATGTGCCGCGGCTCAGCCGAGAAGGGTAGGGTGGGCGAGGAGAGGCGCTCACCCTCGCAGGCTTTTTGGTTTCAAAGTTGTCATGAAGACCTTCTGTTCGTCGTCATATAAACGATGTACACGCCGAAGAAGAGTGTTCTCGATCATATATGTGCCTGGTAGCAAAGTTGGCTCCGGCTGTGGCCGAATATCAACCCAAACATTGCCACGATTGGACAGAAGCCTGCGTGCATTTTTGGCAAGCTCTTTCTTGCACTCCCCAGGTGCAAGAAGAATAATGCCCTGAAGAAATTGTGCACAAAAAACATCGTCCTTCTCATATGCGTTGCGCAATACAGATTCGAGCTCTTCCGCGTTGGTGCAATCTAGCGCGTTCGGAAGCCCCAGGACGGACACCAAAAGAGGCTGGTTATGAAGCACTGGCGGCTCATACTGCACGTGAGTGCGTGTCAGTCAGCATCGGGCTCAGTGATGCTTTCAACGTCTTGAGAAGAGACTAACTGGTATGCCGTCGAATGCCATGTAGCGGGAATCACCAAGCTCGAAGACACCAAAATTGTCCTGTGCGCATCGTAAGGCATTAGTATGATCTTCTCTGGAAGAGATAGCAAGCCGGAGCCAATCCATGAGCTGGGCGACAAAGGTCTGGCGAGCAGTAGTGCTGTTGTGGGGCACTTCGTTGAATCTGCGAAGTGAATGGCCGTGAAGTCTGGCTCACTCGCTGCGTCGAAGCCAGCTCAAAAACGTCGCCTGAGACAGAGATGCTCAAAATGATGTCGATGATGTCAAAATGTTCGTGGTGGACTCGAAATGGCGGGGCTGAAGAGGCGGCGGTCAGTATGTTGGCGACCAACAAGCACTGCAGGGGGGTCCGCGGGTATACCGCGCCTCAAGGTTTAGGCATGCACCTGCGTTGTCGCATGCAGGTTGGGCTACTCATAACTTGGAACTGAAGCGGTCTCCTCAGTGAAGGGAGATATACATCAACACAAGTATCTTGAACCTTTCTCGAATACCTGCATATACGCGATTTCGAAAAACAATGTGTAACATGGAACATGTCTAGACGATGTCCGTTCTAAGTACAGGAATCTTTGTATAGTAGTGCACAGAGTTGGATTGAAGCACAAATATTTAGCTGAATATTTAATACATATCAGCTCATACGAAACCGTTTGCATCTGTCATCGTCAGAGCGTCTCGCTTCCCTACGAGCCTTTAGAACGTTATATGAACCTTGTAATCAAAGCAATGCAATATCTACGGGTAGAAATTGGCAGGCTGAGGGAGAACAGGTAAATTAATATAAGATATGAACTTCAGAGTAGTTGTTGCCCACCGTATCTTGCCACGTTTGATGCGTACCCTGATATGCTCACCGGGAGGTGATTTTGTGCTGGTCTGGGTGAGGCGTTGCGGCGACGAACAGTTGCTGCCAGATAACAAGAACATCTGAACAATATAAGCCGCAGGCCATCTATCTGTATTTTTTTGCAATTCATACATAGTTGGTACAATTCAAGACTCTCGGAGCCTTTCAGCAAGATATATCTGAACAGCTGAGAAAAGCTTTGTTTAATGTCTGACTCGGTTCGGATACTAGGCTTTATTTCTGGTAATAAATTCAATAATCGTGATTAGGCGTTGTAGATTTCGGACTCACTTTACCTCTATATCTAAGCGGCCCCTTGTCAATTTGACACGTTGTTTGTCCAAAGACCAAAACCAAGCATCGCCTAAATTAACTCAGAATCCTTTTTAATTGGAAAGGTTCGAAAAGTACGTGTGTATGAACCATTTTACAGCCCACATTGTACATGCCTCGAAGTCTCAAAAACAGATTAATCCATATCCAAACCAACTAAAGATCAAAAACCTGGGCCATCAATAGCCCCATACTCATCATCACCATTCGACCCATTATCAAAGGATACCGCCTGGCTATCAGTTAGATTCTTCTGCCCCGTGAAGAAGAGCTGAGCCGTACCGTCACATCTCTCGAAAACTCTCGGAGCGTCCGGATGGAGGCTTCATATATAAGAGGCTTGGTGTCAGTTATTTCTCCTGATGAAATTGGTACGAAGGAACGGATAAGTGTTTCGTCCAGGTTATCCGCAGGCTAAGTGCAACGCCGGAAGCCATTAGATATTGACCTATCTTAGAGACAGTCTGATCGCCAAATCGTTTTCAGAATGTCCTGCGCTTCATCAATTCTCGACTCGATCACAAAATAAGAGAGGCATGATACCGGAGTCTTTCTGGCAATAATGTTGTCATAGATTACAAGCGCTTACATTAATCTGAGGGCATGCTCAGGGGCTTGCCGGGGTCTTCACAATTTAGCTTCAATAGCAGGGCAAATGGCAAATCCTACCAGGTACCTAGATATGCGGGGAAGCTGACTACATTGAGGGCGCCGTGATATTTGACTTTATCTCATCTTTTTGGTTGGGCAGCGTGACTGTTCTCTGCATCTTTCGGGTTTTCGGAATAAGCTGTCCATCATGCTGAAGTACGTCTGTGGTACGTTGCTTGTGTTTCACACACTTCTGGTAACTGGGCAGCGTTTTCTTGAACCACAGACAAACACATTCAACTCGAGCTTCAAGCTGAGCGCTGAGCAAATCACGAAAGCCAACTTATCGTCCGAATTGGCGAATAATATCGAGGTGGCACTCAATTATGAGCGCTCAAACTGGGCTTTTGGCTCCATCGCAGAAGACTCTTTCTACACTGTACCAGAGAACTTCACGGCCAGCACGCCACCCGGCACGCTGCTCAAGGTCGAGCCTTTGACGAACACCACATTCTACACACTCGCGCCTAACCTGGCATTATCTCGCATACTCTTCACAACGGAGACGTACAAGAAGACAGTGGTTCCAGCATCGGCGTATATATTATGGCCCTTCTCACCAAACCTCCAATCTGGATCGAGCAAGGCGAAGACAGTTGTATTCGCCCATGGTGCATCAGGGGAGTTCGGCGACTGCACGCCGTCTCACATGCGCGGCCTTCTATACCAGTTCCAAGCGACGTATGCGCTCGCATTGGCAGGCTTCGCTGTAGTAGCACCCGATTACCAAGGACTTGGGATAAATTATACCTTTGGTTTCGACAACACGACCGGACAGTCGGGAGGAACAAGGACGCCCGTCTACCACCCCCTCATTGGCAACCCATCGCTTGCCAATGACTTGTTCTATTCACGAGAAGCCGCCCTGCAGGCGTTCCCGTCGCGTCTATCAGACGAGTTTGTCATTATGGGCCACAGCGAAGGAGGCGGCGCAGCGTGGGCAGCAGCAGAGCGACAAGTAACAAACCCCGTCCCGGGGTACCTCGGCACTATAGCCGGGAGCCCAGCCGCAAACTTTTCTGCAGTCGTGGACCTTGCCCTGTCGCTCGGCGCCACAGAAATCCCTGGAGTCAACCTCCTGGCTTGGGCGGCGCAGGGAATATTCCCGGACTTCCGCCTCTCCGATGTCCTCACCCCGCTGGGAGTAGCCCGCCTGGAGCTGCAGGCGGAAATCGCTGGGTGCCAGGGCGTGACGACTGTATTATCAGGCGACAGCACGACACAGTCTCCCCTGCTACGAGACGGCTGGCATGACAATTTCTACCTGCAGAGTTATTTAAGGCTATCTTCGGTGGGCGGGCGAAGTGTCGCTGGGCCCGTCTTTGTAATTCAGGGCACACTGGATCAATCCGTTCCCGAAATAGTGACAACTGCGACGGTAAACGCGACTTGCTCGGCCCACCCGGAAAGTGTGCTAGAGTACCTGGTTGTTAACGGGACCACCCATGTGCCCACCCTGTACGCGACGCAGAGGGAATGGCTGGGATGGATCAACGCCAGGTTCGACGGCCTTCCCGTTGATAGCAGTGGTGGGTGCCAGACGACTGTGAGGCAGCCTTTCTGGCCGATTGATCACTACCAAGCAGAGACAAATTGGTTCCTCGAGCTGGCCCTGGATGCGTACCAGACCGCCTAGTGTTTCTCTCGTATGCCAGTGGCCTTAGGAAGCTACCACGGGCTTCTATTGGTCCTACATATGGGATTTATATCACTTTCTCAAGTAGGGCGATTCAGGCAGACCAACATCGTTGTGGTATATCATAGCTTAATAGAGATATGGGCCTATTGCTCTTGTTGAAACTAGGACGTGGCTTGTGATGGGTTTGATATAGCTTCCTCACGAACATAGCGCTCTGGAAAACACAGAATATGGTAGGATGCTGTCATACTTCGAACACTGTGAAGAAGATATGTATTTGCTCCCAAAACCCCCCCCTCTCCCGCCGAAGAACAAGAGAGAAAAGGAACTATTTGGCAAAACACCCTGTCTATTCGTGGTAGGGTCACTCAAATGCTTCTTAGTGTAGAACTCAAAAGCAATCCTGTGGTTGGGATTTGATAGCCTCACGGCCACGGTATCAATGTGATGAATAAATAAAAGAGAAAGGGGGAATCACAGGACAACCAGCTATGGAATAATCAACCATAGGATAATCTCTTGCGAAGTAGCTCCCTCGGGGTAGCCTATTGTATAGTACTGTTTCATTGGGTAATCTTCTATACGGGGAGTTAAGTAAGCCACAGGGGGCTCTGCAATGACCTTTTGCAATTCCGTTGAGTGTGGCAGTGTTGTTCCAATTCTATATGTGATTGGGTAGCTGAGCGAACTATGCTTAATCAGGGCAAAATGGATCTTTCCATTCTATATTAGTTTTCTTTCCGCCGCGAACAGTTGGTTGGTGATCAGTGGCAGTCTTATTATTCTTCCAGCTTTGATGCGGACAAAAGTGATATATAGATACAAGTGCTGAAGTCAATGTCACATGAGTTGTGCATCGTCTCTTTGAAGTGTCTGTTGTGATATTACTAAATGCAGGACAGAATCTGTAATTACTTCGAAGTAAGGCGGTCAGGTCAGGACTACTGATTTAATTTTAATTTGACAACTTTGGCTGCCTCTTGCATCGTTCCGTCTAGACCTCTTTAGCGGCGGTTCCTGTTGGAAACGTACTTCAGTCGAGGAGTCCGAACAAATCTAACAGATGAACATGGAACATTGATTCTTCAAAGTCTCAGGTGCTTGTTACCAGATGCTTCTGTATTTTACTCGCTATTTACGCCGGCACTTGGCCGGTCTCCAATATAAATACAGCACACCAACGAATTACAAGGCTCCCTGCCTCTGATAAAAATACATGAATCAATGAATTGCTGTGCAGCAATCATTCATTTAGCCATCTCCTCCCTGCGCACCTTGCTGAAAGCAACGAAGATGAAACTCAAAAGAAAAGCGCAAAATGCTCGTAAAATGCAAGGGGATATCAGTAAGCTAACTCATGCTAAACCCAGCCATTTCAAAGCCTTTCGACTATTTCCCTTCCTCAACTCGCTCTGCCGCATGTACATCGGCATCAGCCGCTTCTCCTCCTCGTCATAGAATTCACCATCCTCCACAACACTAACAGCATACATGCTAGCTCCATCGTCACCACCGCCCTCATTGGCCGGCTTTCCCAGCCTCCGCCGGGTCAGCGACCGCTGACGCTGACCTTGCCCAGAGATGTGCCCGCCCATCCCGCGGGACCTCGAGCTGGCACCAGAGGGCGCCGGCGAGGGAGACCGCGGAGGTGGAGGCGGAGGGAATGGGAAGTTGTGCACTCCTACTGGGGCCGTGGCGGCCCGCGGGGTGCTCCGCCCTGACTCGGCGTCCCCGTCGTTGGTGTACGGTGGCGACACGGGCAGGTTCCCGGCCGGGCCGAAGACCGCGGTGTGCGTGTACGCGGGCGAGCCGTTGGCTCCCTGGAGGGTGAATTTGCTCATCAGGGTCGGCAGGCCCGCGCCTGCGAGGGTGCTCTTCGTGGACCGTGCCGTGCCGGGCCGGCCCTGAGGGGGGTTGATTTCGGGCATGTAGAACACGTCGATGTTGATTAGTTGTTTCAATATGGTCGAGATGAAGACAGAGATCTCGGACTCGGTGGCTGAGCACGTGAGTAGGTAGTTGGCTTCGGAAAATGAGTACCTCTTTGGGTAGGCCGAAGTTGTCTTTGCCCTGTCATCTAAGAAGGGTGAGCCGGGCAGATTGACGGAGTCCAGGCCGATGGTGTCTGCATCGTTGAACGAGGCGATGGATTGAGAGTTGTTCCTGCTCGAGATCGGAGACGAAATTCCCGAGGGGCAAGGGGAGGTAGCCTCGGAGTCGATTACCCCAGCGACTTTGAGTACATCCATGCCGACCATTTTCTGAAGAGCTAGAATCGTTGACAAATGCTCTTCCGGGTACTCGAGTAAGAGAAAACGGGTGCCGTAATTTGTTGCCAGGTACGTTTCCAGCTGAGGAATGATAAGACCTGCCAGCAGGTAGGGGTTGTCGAAACGGTTGCTGAATGTTTGTTGAGCGAGTGGCTGGGTGGTGAAAGATTGCATCGCGTTGGCTATCAGATATCTGCAGACGCATCAGTAAACACGTTTCACGTCAACTTGTGTTGAAAAAATACTCTACCTCAAATCCAAGCGACCGCTTCGAGACATGCCACTCGATCTTGCCCCGAGCTTTTCGATCTGGCCGGTCAATGCGGATAGGAATTCCCTCTTCACACCATTCTGTCGACCCAGCGCCAGGATCATATCCGGCCTGTTCTCGTCACGTTCACCGCCACAAGATTCGTTATCCCCAAATATCGGCCGCCACAGGCTACCAATTTCACGGAACATGGAAAACTGGAATTGGCGAAAACAATCATCTTGTTGCGGAGGAAAGTATACCTCCAACACAGATCTGAGTGCATTCTGAATGGCGACTGCATTCGGTTTTCCTGCTGTCGAAAACTCATGGAACCTGGACTCCCTCTCTCTTGGTATTGGCGGGGATGCCTGAGCTGGCATTGGTGGCTGACGCGAATCCGGTTGCACGCCTGCTGGAGGAGGAGGACTTGGTGGTTGGAGGGCGAGACTAGATGACCGTACGTCACGTCCTCGTGCGGCGAAGGGGTCATACTCCCCTATGTCTTCAGCCCCTGGATGTTCAACCACTGGAGATAAGCCGACATCTGCATCGTCTTCTAGATCGAATAAGTCTGCCGTCCTAGGGGTCGAAGGGCACGAGTCTGTTGGCTCAGTTTGCAACGAAGCAGGAAATGGTGCCACTGGAAATGCCCCGGCCTTGAAGTAGTGAATCACCATGCCCAAGACTGGATCGGGTTCTTGGCCTGTTACGTGGATCACAAGGTCCTCGACCATAGGTAGCACTGGTTGGAATAGCTCATTCAGCTCATGTCTCTCTTCATCGAACTCTGCTGCATCGGTTCCGCGATGAACGTATGAGTCTTTCGCAGGCTTTGGTAGGCGCTTGACAAAAGTGGGCGATTTCCGTATCGTCGTTGTGTGGGCTTTGACAAATCTGGCCTCAGGCAAATGAAGGAGGCCGTTGCCCGGATATGGTTTGTCATTGATGGACAAGTGCCGGCTTTTGGCTTCTGGATTATCGACAGGTGATGTTACCTGTTTCGCAACTGAAGCCGTGTTGAATTCAGTACGACGGCATCGTGTTTGCTCCAGTTCCAGGTCGTCTAGTGATCGAGTCTCTCTCAACTTAAGTTGCGCTTTCGATGCCCGCATCTGCACTACTCGTGCTTCACCATAGATGAATTCCTCCGGAGTCGCAGGGGGTGACAGCAAAACATCTGATCTATGTTCTGTAGATCTTGTCTCCGCAGTGCGGCGTTTGTACGCTTCGCCTGCACGGCTTGCGGAATTATCGAGAACAGGCAGGTTTTCTCCAGAGGAGCCAGGTTGGATTTTGATTGCGCAGAGCTTCGCGAAATCCTCGTCCGCCAGTCCCCGGTGGTCTGCTGGCTCGTCATTGTCGGATCCAGGGTACGACTCAGCTTCTTCGCAAGGCGCTGATCCAAAGACAAAGAAGGGCGACGGCTCACCCATACCATCCGCATACCCATACATTGGCAGGCTCAGACTGCGCGGCCGAGTTCTGATGTAGCAATCGATCGGCTGCAGGGAATCAGTCTCCTTGTAAAGAAGGTCAGCCGCCCTCATTGCCTTGATGACTGGATCCTCAAGCTCCTCGTTGTCCAAGCACAATCCGCCCAAGCTCTGTTCCCTGCCCAACATCCACAATGTCGCCTGATCCGAATTTTTGTCTTCACAATCCAAACCTCTGAGGCCCTCCAGGGCAATGTTTCTGAACATAAACTCTGCCTGGTGAATGTCTCCCGATGTCTGTTGTTCGCTGATGGCTGAGATGCATTGTGATACGGCGCCTGCTGTTCCGCCGTTCAGGAAAACAAGTCTTTTGTTGATGGGACTTGAATCTCGCAGGAATTGAACGGCGGCTTCATGCCTTGTCTGAGCAGCATGGTGTACTTCTTTGATTAAGGAACGAGAATGGAATGGCCCATCTCTAGCCTTTCCCATATAGCTCTGTAAACTGGGTAGGACTAATATCTGAGAAGACGTTGGCAACAGTCGCAGCTGTGTCGAAACGGTCTCGGCTGGCCCTTCAAGAGCTATCAAGCTCCCACGACCATGATTTGGATTGTCCATATCGGCTTGCCCCCAAGCCTGAGCGGTCGTACGACCCAGCCTCTGATAGCTCGGTAAAATGAAAGACTGCGTGCTTGGCGGTGGTGGCCGGAGCTTTTAGAAAAGGGTAGGCTTGGTTTTATGCTTTATGACGGCGGTGAGGGCAGCACTCGTGAACGACCAGATCAGGATATCAAGAGTGGCGAGTGACGACGAGCTTGAATCAGTACGTGCCCAATTGGTTCATCTGAAGCGGGCGCAATTATGCAGGTGTAGGAAGTAACAAGGTGAGATTGGTGAATGTAACGTGAAAGACGGTTGCTTAGGTAGAGCCGAGTTGATGGTTCAGGGAATCGTTAAACTCAATACCTTGCCTGACATTCGAGAGCAGCACAGATGACTGAGTAGGGTGGGAAGGAGGACGAGAAGACGACACGAGGAAAGGTGAAAAGTTTACCTGTCCTACCTACTACTCCTCCCCTTTCCTTTTTCTGGGCTGGCTCTTGAATCTAGACAGTGACGGGTAGCCACAGTGAGTCCCTCCCGAAGACAAAGCTGGGCAGTGGCTTCACTCGTTCAACGTGACTGAGGTACGCAAATGACGATACCATTGATGCAGAAGCGCTCTCTGCCCACCATGTTGGTCTAATATGGCTTGAGCTTTAACGGCAAAGGGTCCAAGCCAGACCAGCTGCGGCTTCTTGGGCAGCCTAGAGACAACCTCGCGCTCGCCGGCAGCCAATGGGCAAAAGACATGCTGCGCCTGAGCGTTCGTGATGCACAGGAAGCGCAGCACGCAGGTCACAGCTCACATCCGAGCGTCGAATTGGTAGTGGTTGTCAGGCGTCGTCCAGATCGACCTAAAAGACGCAAGATGCACTGGCGCTGAGTGGTCCGAGATTCGACCTTTCCAGAAGGCGTCTAGCAAGGTACCAGCGCCAGGCCTGTAGGCTTTCCGACGAACGCCTGCTGGGAATTGGTTCGCGGGTCCCTGGGATGGTTGCGCTTCGGAACGCGGTGCGAACCAAATTGCAAAGGCCCATACGTCGTGTGGCCAACGGCAGCCGCAGCCTTCATGACGCACGACATTAGCTCCCCAGTTTCGCTGCAGTTTTCCCTGCCGCGATATGCTAGCTCTTCTCACGCAAGCGTCGGATGTGCGGTCATCAAAAGGACATCTCTCATGGTGGACTAGCACAGATGGCTCGAGGCTGGCTGTCTTTCGAAGACACGAGGGGCCCGTGACGGAGAAATTCCAGGGAGATGCTTGTAACTCGACAAACGACCATTTCAGAACATCGGGACGGGGGGTCGGGACGGGGGAACACCGGGTGGGTGTGATGACGACCATCTGTGTTGTAGAAAAGAGAGGGACAGCGAGAGAGGAGAAAGGCAGCTCAGGTAGCACAGGGAAAGATAAATAGTAGATAATGTCTGATGTGTGCCGACCCGTAATTACCGTCGACCAATGGCATGGTGTGTTGACCCGAAGGCTGAGGGTGAGGGGGGGGGGGCATTCGTTTCTTGCATTCGACGCGATCAGGTACCGCCCGTCATTTCTTCTTCCCAAAGCCCGCAGGGCGAGAGTCTCATGCTGCATTGGCGCGTATTGCATCTCCTGCAGCCACTGTCTCAAAGGGCATGAGTTGGCGGTCGTGTGTGAGCGGGAAGACACCAGCGTGGTTGGAATTGGAGTGAATGAACCAGAGCCACGAGGATCTACGTCGGAGTCTCCCCATCTTCAACTAATCGCCGATCCAGCTCACTGAACCGGAGATAGGATTGGAAGCCACCTGATTGATGCGAAGGAATCGCGCCGCTCAGGCCAACAGAGCTCCATGCCTTGGGCCTTCGGTAACATAATATTGCTCTTTTACAGCCAGAATGTATGAGGCCTCTTTCCACGGGGATCTCTCAAAACCTCTGAGCGAACACCTCGCCTCGGACCTGAATCTCGCGCTTCATTTTCCAACCTCTTCGTATTTGTGTGATGGAAGGGAAGGACGCGTTTCTGCGAGGATCCGAACCCCTGCGCTCTCCTGCATTGCTTGCAGGTGGCAATTCTGTACTTGTGAGACATTCAACTACGAATCTGATTTGCTTCGCGCTGGCCATAGTCCTTCAACGCCAGGTCTAGTCACTAATGAAAATACATTAGGGTACCCATTTATGCGTGACCCCCCTTTGCGCCTATTCTGCACCCCAGCAACAGGTCAACAATGAAACCATGATAGGAGGACCATGTCTTTCATGACGTTTCTGGTTCACCCACGACGATGAGACCAGTCTGATATGAGAAATCCCGTCTGCAAGCCGCAACCAAGTAACGGGAAGGCTATAACTTAAGATGTACTCGTTGCATGCGACCAACCGATATACGATCGCTCTACTTGACAAAGTGGCACCTCAGGGCCTCGGATAATTGTGCGGCAAAGACACAGTGAGATTCATGACCAGCACGTCGAAGCTGACGCCACTTCGGGATATGCAGTGCCACGGGGAGAACTGACTGTGCAGTGCTACCTCGAAGTGGCCGTTATTCGTTGCGCACTTCGCCTGCAGAAATAGGTCCGCTTGCTACATGTAAGAGGTCGTTCTCACATAGATTGGGGCGTGGAAAGGTGACTGTAATCTCACTGGCGTGAATACAGAGGCTCGAGAGATCTAATCCTCATCCAAAAGCTCTGCAAGCTCGGCCTCTTCTTCCGCAGTGAGCAGTTTCTCCGGCTCTTCTTTTCCCTGGTCGTCTCCAGCACCGTTGATGGCAGTCTTTTGCTGCTCTTGCACTGCAGTATCGATGCCAACCTTGTCGAGAGGCCAACTGCGTACTGTCCCATCGATGCTCACACTAGCCAGTCTTGTTTCTTGTCCATGGCCGCCGTCAAGGAGCACGAGATCTGTGACCTCGTCATAGTGGCCCTGAAGAGAGCAATACAACTTCCCAGACGCCCTGTCCCAAATCTTGACATCTTCATCTCTGCCGGCCGTGATCACCCACTGATCTGTGACAGCCACAGCGCGGACATGGTCGCCATGCTCAAAGCTGTCTTCAGCAGTAAAGGCCTTGCCGCGCGATAAGCACTTCGCTGAACCATCTGCACTCGCCGTCCACAAGTCCGCTTCTTCACCTGAATGGTCGAACAAGACCTTGTAGACACCCGTTTCGTGCACTTTGATCGACCTGCGTTCGACGTTCGGAGTTCCAGGCTCTGCATCCACAAGCTGCTCCCATCCGTCCAACCTGACCTTCCACCTCCGTACAACCGGATCACTCCCTGCGCTGATGATTACAGCCTCGTCCCCAGAGCTCAAGATGGGATCCACAGCAAGTGACTGCACGGCGAGCATGGCCGTCACCGAGTCCTGCAGGACATGCAAGCGGCTGCCTGTGTCTATGTCCCATACCATAATCTTCTTGTCGGCGCCACCGCTGACGAGCACATCCTTTCCGCCAATCTTGGTGCACGTAACGGCTTTGACGAAGTCGGAGTGGCCGACAAATTTGCGGCCGGGCTGACGGGTCTCTATGTCCCATGACCACACATTCCTGTCCCAGGAGCCAGCAAACACGATTCTGTCCTGAGAGCCACCCACCGCCACGCAGGTGATTGGTGCGGATGGGCCACGGTAGATGACAGGCTTGGAATCATGATCGTCGATGTCGACCCTCCTCACAGAGCCTGCCGACTCAGCAATGAAGATGCTAGTCGAGGGTGAAAGCGGGTTCACACATGCTGCCGCGATCTTCGATTTGAGAACAATAGGCTTGCCAAATCTGTTGCTTGACTTGGCCTCTCGCCTCTCTCGCTGGCTCTGCTGGGCGCTGATATTTCTTCAGCATTTGTTCCACTTTGAACACATCGATAGGCGTGTTGGGTTTGCGATGCTTCACTCACTCTGACTCAAAGAAGTGTCGTGGATCTGAGGAATTCATCTCGTGAAGCTGTCTGCGCTGCCGATGTCGAATATCCAGGAGACAGCTCTGAGAACCGTACTTGCGGCGTTTTCTGGCTTCTCTGGATCCCGGAAAAGGAGGTGATCAATGAGGTGAATGTTAGAAAGGACTGTTGTGTCACCGTTGAAATTTGGGCGGATGAGCTCGCTGATGACAAATAGCACTCTTCATACAAGGAGAGGGAGTCAGCTTTGGGCCGCGGTGCCTTTCTAGAGGAGACTACTTAAACAGTGAGGAAGATACGAGACAGTATAGACACTTGACAGAGTTGTCAGAAATCCTCCAGTCGTCGCACGTTGAATCTCAAATCTGCCACTCTACCCCTGCAGGAGGTGGTCCAAATGCTTGTGAAAGTGTACGCCACCAAAGGACCTAGCAGTCACTAGACCCCTGCCATGGGGCATGGCCCCCCTGTCAACACGACCTTAATTGGGGCCCCACGTCGCGTCTCCCTTGAGGCGCGTCCTGATGGATGAACTTCAACAATCCCGAATATCTATTCTTTACTTATCGCCGCCGCCCAAGTCTTGCGCAAGCCTCAATTGATTCAAGAGCTTGACCATGGCTTCAACTGCGCAACGTGTTCGCCCTCGGCCGGCTCATACACAGGGCACAACTCGATGTGCCTACACGCCAGACGGGTCAAAGCTGGTCACCGTTGGATCCAACAACACAATCCGTATTTACAAGACTGGCTTTGATGGAGAGCCAACCAATATCGATGAGTGCCAAGAGCAGAATGTCAGCGTCGCCGCCAATGACGACTTCTTCATAGTCGGATCCGAGGACGGCACTGTGAGCTTGTATTCCTTGGACACCAACACCTTCGAGAGGTTCCTGACGCGCTGTACTCTCCCTGTGCGCGATGTCGCCCTCTCTCCGGATGGGAAGCTGTGCGCTGTCGCCAGCGATGAGCTCACGGTCAAGGTCGTTGGAACCGACGACAACTCCAAGATATTCCACCTGAAGGAGCACGGGAAGCCGACCAAGCATGTTGCTTTTGACCCAAAGGGCAGCATGCTCACCCTTTCTTGTACCGATGGCGTTGTCTATGTGTACTCAATGACGGCCGAAGAGCCCGAGATGATAAGGAAGGTCGACGGCGCGATAGGATCATTGGAGACAAACGAGGACGCGTCTTCTGCGGTAGCTTGGCACCCAGACGGGAGGGCATTTGCAGTCCCGACGCCAATCCGAGACATTCAGGTCGTCTCCAAGAATGACTGGGAAAATCAGCGATCCTTCAGGAACGGGCACGAAGGCGACATCACCGCCATCGCCTGGTCACCGAACGGAGCCATGCTCGCAACAGCAGCCAAGGACAAGAAAGTCCTTATCTGGCAGACAAAAGACCAGACAGTTATTGCAAGATACGACTATCCGAATGTCATTGATATCGCATGGCATCCGACAAATAACCTGCTGTCACTTACAACGACGGACGGCGAGGTCTACATATGTCCAGATTTCATCTCAAACCAGTTCTCCATTCTCCTTAAGCTGTCAAAACAACCAGCACCATTTATTCACGACCCTCTAGACGAAAGCAATGGCCGAAGACCACAGGCCAACGGCCACAAGAACCGTCCGGAACCAGCTCGGACAGAGCTGACGGACGACTTGGACTCGTTGCTTGATGACGGCTTCGGGGAAGATGACGATGGTTTCGTTATTGACGATGACGGGGCTGGATACACTCTCGGTCGCAAGAGACCGGCTGACGACGATGACATCTTTGGCGATTATCCAAACAAACGAGCCAATCTTCTCCAGCCTCGATTCCACGAGGCATTCCAGCCAGGCGCCACGCCCTGGCGTGGGAACCGCAAGTATTTGTGCCTCAACCTGATCGGGTTCGTCTGGACTGTCGACCAGGATACCCACCACACAGTGACTGTGGAGTTTTATGATCATGAGTTCCATCGAGATTACCATTTCACAGATACCTTCCTTTACGACAAGGCCTGCCTCAGCGAGCATGGGACGCTCTTTGCGTGCCCGCCAAAAGACGATGCACCAGCGTCGATCTTCTACCGGCCGCATGAAACTTGGACACAGCGTAACGACTGGAGAACAGAGCTCCCCAAGGGAGAGGCAGTGCTGGCCATGTCATTAGGTGACTCTTTCATAACGGTGACAACGTCAGCAAATTACGTGCGAGTCTATACCTTGTTCGGCATTCCCTACCGAGTTTACCGGCCGAAGAGCACTCCGATGGTGACGTGCGCCAGTTGGCGGGACTACGTTATGACCATAGGCAACGGACCCTGCGGTGCTGATGGCAGAACAAGGCTGCTCTACTCGATTGAGAACGTCAAACGCGATGAGATTTGCCAGAACGAAGACACGGTGGCTCTGCCGGAGGGTGTCACCCTCAAGAGCGTCTTCTTCTCTGACAGCGGCGTAAGTTTTCCAATGACAGTGAGTCTCGCGGTGCACAGAAACGCTTACAACTCTGGCAGGACCCATGCATATACGACTCTACCGGCACACTGCTGACGCTCCTGCACTGGCGCCAGCCATCGAGAGCATCGTGGATCCCGTTGCTGGACACCAAGTTGTTGCCCCGTCTGGCTTCAGGCCGCAAGAACGAGAGCTACTTCCCAATCGCAGTGGCGGACAACAAATTCCACTGCATCATCCTCAAGGGCGGCGACCAATACCCCTACTTCCCGCGGCCCCTCCTCTCCGAGTTCGACTTCTCCGTGCCACTCACCTCGGCCCCGCCCAAGGCCAAGACCAGGGCCAACGGCGGCGACGAGGACATGGACGACGACCACGACGAGGAAGACCCGTTCAAGGGGGCGGACGGGGAGGACGAGGAGGCGTCTGAGTCCCGCAAGCTGGAGCAACAATTCATGCTCCGCGGGATCCAGGCGGCGCAGGTGCAGGACCTGGTGGAGTCGACGTCTGGCAGCCACGCGCAGCGCACGGCGCTGGCGCGTATCGAGATCGAGATCGATAAGGCGCTGCTGCAGCTCCTGGCGATCGAGTGCCGCGAGGGCGAGGAGCGCGGCATGCGTGCTCTGGAGATGGTGGAGCTCATGCGCGACCGCACGGGCAGGATGGTAGAGGCGGCGGGCAAGGTGGCTGAGAGATACGGGAGGACGATCCTGGGCGAGAAGATTCGGGAGGTCGGCGACAAGAGGGCTAATGGAATGGACTACGAGGACCTGTAAGCCTGACCGGATTTGATATGACACCTTTGAACTATGGCATTGCGGGTAATGGGAAGGGGTGGGTCTGCACACTGTTTACTCTACGCGATGACATACATACTACGCCGTCGCGTACGTACTATTTTCTGCGGCGTCTCCCTACGCGGCTGCTAGTCGTCATGTCCACGACTGTGTCCCCACGTATGCAGCATTAAACCACGCGATTTCATATCATTGAACGGGCGGGGAAAAGAACTAGGCGCGCCATGCTTCTGTAAGCCCTCTTCTTAGTGCGCGTCTGGTGAAGCCAAAACAGGTCCGAACGGGGCAATGACCCCGATGAAACTCGCAATGACGGACAGCTTCCCCGCGATGAACATTGTCGAGCCTCTTACCGTCGCGGGCCCAAGGTGCAGTAGCTGGGAGGCCAGACCTCACCATCAAACCTAATTCGCGTCCGTCACCGACGGCTCTCGCCAAAGAGATCGTGTTGTTCTTGTTGTCCGCCAGGATTTGGAATGATCCTCAGCCGGGTAGGGGTCCCGGCCTGACAAACGAGCATGCAGGAGGCACCACGCATTTTAACCGTGAAACCAGATGGCCCGTCTGCGGGCGATCTTGCGCGCTATGACAGCTGCCAGAAACCCAGGAATGGTCGCCGGGGGCATGATTAAAGGGAGCGGGGGAAGGGGTCCGGCGTCTTTGGCGTCGTTCTAGCCCCTGACGATCGCAGAGGGAAGCCGGGGGAGCAAGGTGAGTTAGTTGAAAGGGCTTGGGCGTTATGCAGTAGCAATGGAAGGATAAGAAGTAAAAAGGAAGGGGATCGTCGTGCATATTATCAGCCACCATACCAAGACGAGCGATCGCCCGCCCACAAGGAACAGAACAGAAACAAGTTCGTCACGGAACGTTGTAGTTGGAAACCTTCTGGACGGCCGATTGAGGCGCACCCGGCCGGCGGAAGATACCGAACGCGTTATAGGGTGGGAGAATCTACCGTGGTATTGGGTCATACTGCCCATGGTTATTTTCGCGCGTTTGAGGCTCCGCCCAATGGAAGACTAAAGACATGGAAACGCATAGTCTGTGAACCTTCAGGACCGCCCCGTTGAGTGTGATGCTACGTATGAGTGCATGACGTGGGAATACCCGGCTGGGAAACATCCGCAGACCCTCCCATATCGATCACGCACGCCGGTGCCGAGTCTGGGCCCTGCGGGTTTGTCTCTCTGAAGAACATTGCAGTTGAAAGAGCGGTCACGCTCAACCAAAGCAAGTAGATTGGAAGTTTCGGGAATCTTAAGAACTGCAGCCAGGATGTGGACTATTGCGTGCAGGTTCAGGTGACACAGAGTGAAGTATCGCGACCAGGATTGCCCCGGAGGCCGGTCGAACCCGTGGGAGGAGAGATGCCAGGTTTCGACAATGACATATGAAACTTTTAGTGGAATATCACCGAGAGTTGCTTCGCTTCTGCCTTTTCAACGGTGTGTCAGGGAGACGATCATCCCGAAACCTCGGCGTCGCACATGCAGAAGGGTGAAATGAACCCCAGCCACAGCGCCAATGTCGCCGGACTCGACGAAAGAAGCTCAAGGTGCGCAACGCCGTATTGCTGCTGCTGCTGCTGCTGCTGCCGCCGCCGCCGCTGAGAGAAATTCTGTCCTCGGGGCTAGGGAAGCTTGATTCATCATCCCATACCTGGCCAGAGTCAGCTGGGCCCCGACCCCGACCGATGCCGTCGAGGGTCGCAGCAAGGGCCTTGGGCCGGGGCCACCAAGGCTGCACGACATCGTACGGGCGTCAAAGTTTAAATAGGCAAGATCTGCTAGAATTTCGCTGTTGCAATATAATATAGTCTACCCTCGGCCGAGTGAAAGGTTAGGGTGGCTTGCCAGTGCCATTTGTTGGCTGGCTCGGCGCGGCTGGACGTTGAGACTTGAGAGATGAGAGACCACCAAGGGGGGGTCATGGTTTCATGGCTGGTCTGCATATAGAGGATACAGCAGGCAGGGCTGGCAGGCTAGTTCTCCTTCAGGCCAGCAGAAACACCAAGCTTCCTGATTTGGACTGGGAGCTCTGGCTTGTTAGGCTTGTCCGGGAACGTCAGATCTTGGGCGTGTTGGATTCGTTCGGGCGGGTTAGTTCCCGGGCGGAGGAGCCTGTCCAATTGCCACCTGGCCATGGTCGAGCTCCCCGTGCGGCGGCTTGGTGCGTTCGTCAGGGCTGTCAGGGAAGTTTGGTAGCGCACTGCAGTTGGCCCGGGCTTCCAGACCCGCAGGTGGATGTGGATGTACGCTTAGCCGTGCTGGCCGAGCCTTACTCGCGAGATGAGATGGAGCAGATGAGGCATTACAACGGCAACGGTAGCACATGGGGAGGCCGGCCGGCTCGTGACACCTGCCGCATCCTTCGGTGCTTGCAGTTTGAGGTCCATTTGGGCGGGCCGATGGCGACGTTGATGCTTCCAGCCGTGTTTCCTGCAAGTCATTTTTGACGCAGAGTGGCAGCTGAAGTGAGGCGCAGTTGAGGGCGAATCGTATCTTTGGGAGCATCCGGTGGTGGGCGATCTGAACTTGCTCGGTCCAAGGTGCGTCAGAGACCCGTGGGCGACGTTTATGTAGACTATGTCGCACGTAGCACGCACGGCATTGTAGCAGCAGGTGGGTAACGGTGCGCGGGAGGCTGGCAGACCGATTCCTCAATCCTCAATCCTCAACAGACGAGATCACAACAGCACACGCCAGGCCCCCGGCAGAGAGCCCCCTCGAGATCATCCCGTCGCGGCGAGGTTGGAGGTGGTGGTTTGACACGGTTGCGAGGCAGCAAGTGCATGAAGAGCAGCGAGATCGCTCAAATCGCATCTCCCGCCGTGGTTGTATTGTGGGTGGTTCATCTGGTCCTTCTGGTCCGTCTGGTCCATGTGGCCCACTTCTGGTTGCGTTGGGAGGGATGTTGAGAGCGTCGTGCACCCGGCAGAGACAGAAGCAGAAACAGAGACCGAGAGGTGAGCGCAGTACCTGTGGGTGAGTAGATTGGCACTCTGCTTCTTTGTCCCTGCGCAGCTTCTGGAAGGGCTGACCCCGAGTTTCCAGATGTTCGATGGGGGGAGGGGGGACGGGTGGATGGGGGGGAGGAGGAGGGTGCAGGTGGGTTTGACGATCAGCTGCAACCCCTGCCCTACCGCCCGTCCCCACGGGTTGGATGGCTGGCTGTTTGGTTGGCCGGCTGGATGGATGGGATCGATGGCTCAACGTCGGGTCACTCTTCGAGAAATGGAGCCCTGCCTGGGCACCGCTGTTTCTCACCTCATCAGGCAAAACGCGGGTTGGGATTGGAAACATGTGGGCGAAGGACGGAGACAACAGGCCAGCGCACGGCACATAGTCTATTATTGTTGTCTACTGTTACTGTTCGCCGTGGTCACAGAGAGCATACTCTGTCTGTATCGTATCTAGGTTGGTAGACATCTGAGATACAATGTGCTCGTACCGTTGCAGCCAGTACTTTCGAGCGTCGTGTCATGAAGCGGTGAGCCCAGGTACCGGCCCCATAAGCTGTGGGCACCCAGAGTGCTAGATATAGCACTAGCAGCCTCTTCAGAGTTCTGCTCGGGGCTTTTGACCACCATTGAATCCAGCCAGGGTGGAGTCGCCTTGGCCCAGTGCTGCTCTGCCCTGCCTGGCCTGCCTATCCTGCCCATCCCATCCACCCTGCCCTGCCCTGCCCATGTGGTACGTGCCTACCCCCCCTCCCCTCCACCATCCTTGGGCTGCTTCCTTGGGGCCCCCCCCTAATAACCTCGAGCGGGCCTGCTCTAAATTGTCCAGCTCCTTTTCAACGACCTAATCTCAAGCTCGCCATCCAATTGCCTGCCATGCACTTGACAACACGACGGCACTAAGTCGACCAGAGTCAGAGCCAGAGCCGTAGCCAGAGCCCTTCTCCGACTTGTTGCCCTCGCCCCTCGACCTGCGACTCCCAGTCCACATCCATCTGCCTGGACCATCACGACGCTTGGTCGGGCTGATATCCCGCCCTCCAAATCCCGTCGCCTTCCTCTGTGTGCGCTGCGTTGCCATACACACGCGCACCTGTCGAGGCAGACTGGAGCTTACTCTGCTTATTCCAACAAGAGCCACGCGCCTCTCCCGACACAGCTACGGCGACACCCGCCCAAAAGCGATCGGCGACGGCTGCAACGACGAAGCTCGAAAGGCATGATACCCACCAGCCCTCCGGTGCCCACTTCCAGCCTGTGACCGGGGTGCATTGACCGATCGCATCTGTGTGTGCTCGACAATCGACCACCGAACAAAACCTGCCCACCCACGCCAGCCACAAAGCACAGATATCTTAGACGCAATATCTCCCGGCGCATATCCTGTGAAGCCTAGCACTCCCCCATTGGGCAATCGCTGCTTCAAACGGGCTCTGGGATCAAGCTCCTAAAGTTTCGGGAGGCGGCAGGAAGGCCATCTTTCTGACAGACAAAGAGGGGCCCGCTTCAACGGACCTTGACCTCGACCAGCACCCACACCTGAAGCCCACATGAGAAGCTATGCGGTGTGTTATGTCTTGACCCTTTTACAGTCCCTCCCAATCTCTCAATCTCCTAGCTCCTAGCTGCTAGCCACCAGCTGCCCCAGATACCGTGGTTGAGGAGAGCCTGCGACAGACTCGTTGACTCGTTCGGTCCTGCGGATCCCCGCCATCCTCCCGCTTCCGCCTGCCGTTCTGGACCAAATGCTGACTGTCTTGCCTTCCCACGCACAGATGGCACAGGTGATGGATAGCCCACATAGATCGCTACTGGGGGAGGGGCATGGCAAAGACGATCCAATGGCCCCGCGAACCGTTCCTATCCTTACGCCAACCATCCAGATGTCGGGTCCCGACAGCGAGCCCATGGATATCACTACTCCTACCAACTCATCCGCGCCTGCCTCTGCCACAAAGAGTCCCGATAGGGAGAGGGACCGAGACGTCAATGGCACCCCTGCCCGGTCAGAAGGTCAAGGGGCAAGCAGCTCCATGACGATGCCTGCGCCAACGGCGGCGGCGGCGGCGGTCCACGGCCCCAAGATCGTTCAGACAGCTTTCATACACAAGCTATATAAGTGCGCCACTCTCTACCCGCCATCCGATCCTGAACAATGTTCGTGACTGACTCGTTTGTAGTATGCTCGAGGACACAAACATAGCCCATCTCATATCATGGTCAGGCACAGAAGAGAGTTTTGTCATGTCGCCGACCTCGGAATTCTCCAAGGTGCTTGCGTATGTGTACCTCTGCTGGTCTCATTTGGGCCAGTGCCCGCTGACGTGAAGCCTGCCAGTCAATACTTTAAACACACCAACATCTCTTCATTCGTCCGCCAGCTTAACATGTATGGCTTTCACAAGGGTAGGTTGGCCCTCGAGACGGAAAGCGCGCTTCCACAGCTAATTGGACGGCAGTGAGCGACGTGTTCCACAACGGCAGCCCCGAGCATCCCTTGTGGGAGTTCAAGCACGGGAACAACAGTTTCAAGAGGGGCGACTTGGTCGGACTGCGAGAGATCAAACGGCGCGCTTCTCGCCACGCTCTAGTCACGCAAAAGGCACCGCCGTCACAGCCTGGGACGCCTGCCGAGCCGATGCAGCCCATACCAGACGGTGGTGACCCTAGGCTTTTCAACATCGAGCGAAGCGTACAAGACCTTTACGCAAGACTTGATCGTTCCGAATCGAATGCACATTACATGCAGATCAAACATCAGGCACTGCTCGACTCTGTCAACCGGCTTTTGTCTTTTAATCAAGAACAGTCGCGGATTCTGATGAACTTGGTGTCACCTGAAAACCCTATTCACAGAGATGGTAAGCCTTCACAAATGCGATAGAGTCTCTATGCAGCGCAGCTGACGTAATTGAAGCCCTCGCATTACGGGGAGACATACAGCGTCAGGTTGAAATCATTCGTGGTCTGGAAGATCCTCACGAAGCACCGTACTCAACCGGCCGTGCATATCTCGGTAATGTGGAGAATGCCCCGGTATCGCCCCGGCAGTTGCCTCAGGACGATCAGCGAAGGTCAAGCCTTGCTCCACCAGGCCAGACCCGTGCGCCGTACGATTACCGGCCCTCAGTCCCGTCCAACCTTTCCATTTCCACTCGCCGGCCGTATGGCTCGATTGGCGGAAGCACAATGAACCAGACATCTACTCCGACGGCGCAATCTCCATCTACTCTACGTCCACAAGCCCCTCCTCCACCCCCGGCGGCGCCTCACCCACTCGCCAATGTAGAACACCCCGGGAGCCTCGCACGACGACATACCTCAGCAGATATACGCGCTCATGGATGGCAGCCTCAGCCGCCACCCTTTTCCTCGGGCCCACCTTCTAGTCACCTTCCGTCTTCACCCAGTCACCTTGGCCCACCCGACGAGCGTCGTGAATCGTTCTCACAATACCCCTTCCCGACAACTCTACAGTCTCACTCTCGGCCATCTAGCCCACCACCTCCACAGCCCAACTTTTCGAACGGTGATGGTTTTGAGAAGCTCAGGAACTGGGAGTGGGGCTCAGCAACACAGAGTCGAAGGAGTATCTTCCACGACAGCTCAGCTCCACCAACTCGACGCGGAAGCATGGCTCACATTCTAAACGACGATGCGGATGACCTCCGAGGAGACGATGACCGCAAACGAAAGCGCCTGGCATAATGTAATGAGTGACAAACCAGGGACGCCACGAATCTAGAACCAGGAAGCTGTTCACGCTGTTTGAGGAGGTTGTATTCTTGGAAAGCGTCCATGAGGCAGTAGAAGACTGCCTGTGTCCGGCCGGTGGCAAGATATGTCCCTTCTTGGCTTTTTGAGATATCCTAATCCTGGCGGAATACTGAATTTTGGACAAAGGTGCTGACGGTACTGTTGATACCTTTTTTTGACATTCGAAATGGATGGAAAGCATACACTCAGGAGTATTGGCCTATGCGTGATTCGCCAGCTCGGGAAACAACTGGTTTGAATGACGGGAAACGGTGTCTTTTTCCTTTTACCCTTTTTGTTTTTTTTGGCTACTCGCAACTCAACTGCGCGAGTACTGACTGTACTTAATGACTGTGGAGCTGGGGCTTGGTTTGGTACATTATGATGCAGGCATAACAAGCAGAGAAGGCATCGTCGCCCCTGGCCTGGGGCGTCTCACTGCTTCGAGTTGCGCCTGTGATAGGGGAAAAGCAATCTTAACTAGTAATCGTATTGTGTGATAGTAGTAGTGGTAGGGCAGTGGGGTCAGTCTTTGTGTCGAGGAACGAAGACGGTTCAATGAGGATTGGACTGGAGTGGATCGGGATTTGGTCCTGTGCCAATGAGGCGTGAGCTGAGCGAGGCTCCGTCGTCGAGGCGACAATGAAAAACCACCCACACCCAGCTTGGTGCTCTACTCGATGAACTCGCCTTCCTGTTGTGCCAGTCGAGTCCTCGCGTGCGCTTTTCGTTCGTGACGGAGTCTTCGTCCACCCCGAAGCCTAATACATAGCAGCGCCGTCTATTCCGGCACATTACCACTCACTCTATACCTAAAGTTGGGGCAATCACTATCAGCTATTCAGCACTGTCTGCAATCTATTTCTCCCTGGAGGCGGCGCTATACACACAAGGGCCGCGTAGCTCTGGTCGTTCTGATTTTTACACCCGGGAGGGCGAATCTGCAAAGGAACTGTGACTATGTAATGGTCTCCCAGACAGTGGTCACAACCACTGCGCCAGATACGCAGTCACTTGGGCTCAAAACCCAGCCAGGTGGCCAGGTGCTTCCTTGGCTGGTCACAAAGTGGACAGCAACTCAGACGGACCCCTTGGCTTGAGCGGAGCCCGACCCCTACGAATGCTCCTGCCCCCTTTTCCCGCGGAACCCCATTGGAAAAGAGACGTCCGGACGCTCTCCCAGACTTGAGCATGGGTATACCATACCACACAGGCCGTCTTGAATACATCTTTGGAATGCCCAATCGCATTGAACGTTGCTATGATCCTATCCTCGAAGACCAAGTTGTAAAAAGCACTCCTAGAAACAGGCAGAACGACGCAATAGAGAAGAAGTAAAAAAGGTCACAACAGACAAAACGACAAAAAAACTCCAGCTGTGGTGTATGTATTATGTGTGATGATTCGCCACTTGGACCGGACCTCCTCTTCCATGCACCAGTCCTTCCGAGGATGACATGACATGGCAGTACGTCTTAGGAGCTACCTGGTTCCCCGTCCATCATGACGCCTTGTGCTGTGAGCACACGCCCCTCCGGACGGCTGAGGGGAACCCAAGTTGCCAGCCATCACTTCAATCTATGCGCAGCAAAAGCAGCGGGAAACCACGAAACAGGGCAAGTCACAATCCGAATCCCAAAATGACCGCCAAACCAGCACTCCTGACTACCCTGCACGTCTCGCGTATATCCCACATCTCGTGACGGTCGTGAGTGTTCGGACTCCCAAAAACTTTGGCGATGGCCGCGGTACTTATACAAAGTTGTCGAGACGGGAGGCGAGGGCGCTTAGCAGCAGCTGTTGCTGGAGCCGGGCGACACGCCGTGGCCGGGGCCGACCTGGACGTTTGGCTTGGTGTTGTTGGTGGCTGTAGTTCCCATGCGCTCCTTGATTTGCCGGGCCATGGTCAGGAAAGCCTGCTCGACGTTGCTGGCGTTCTTGGCCGAAGTCTCGAGGAATGGGATGCCCAGGCTGTCAGCGAACTCCTATTTCGTAGTTAGTAAAGTGGGTCTTGGGGGGGTTCGGTCTCGATTAGATAGCAAGCGCCAGCATGTGATGATGTGTGCTCATCGCAGCAGCGGTCGCAGGTTGACGGTGGTATCGCACCTTGGCAACTGTGTAGTCCACGACCTTCTTGTCCGCCATATCGCTCTTGTTTCCGACGAGGAGCTTGTTGACGCCCTCTGTGGCATATCTGTCGATCTCCTGCAACCATTGCTTCACGTTGTTGAACGAATCCATGTCGGTGACATCGTAGACGACGCAGATACCGTGGGCACCTCGGTAGTAGGAAGAAGTGATGGTTCGGAAACGCTCTTGCCCTGCGGTGTCCCACTACGCGGTGACGAGTCCTTGTTAGCTGCCGCCTCTCGGGCTCTCGGCCGTGGCCGTTGTTGGGGATGGACTTGGGGCTGGCTCACAATCTGCAGCTTGACCGTCTTGCCATCGAGCTCGATCGTGCGGATTTTCTACCGAAGCGTCAGCGAGATGGATCTTGGTTGCGGTGATCGGGGGGAGCGCACAAAGTCGACACCGATTGTGGAGATGTAGGACTCGGTGTAAGTGTCGTCGGCGAATCGCAGGAGCAAGCAGGACTTTCCAACACCAGAGTCTCCGATGAGGAGCAACTTGAAGAGGTAGTCGTATCTAATCTGTGTCAATAAAGACGTGCACAATGGTCAAATCGGCCCAGGAGGATCCTTGGGGTTGCAGGGCGATGGCGGGGTGGTAAAGGAGGCTCTGCGAGTCGGTCAGCACAGGAGGTTAGAAAACGGAGGCAGTGAGCAAGGCGGCATACTACTCGGGATTCATGGTGACTATGTTGCGGAGCGCTGGTCAAATGTGGGTTCTGAAGTGTGCACTGGGGCGGAAGTGAAGGGGTGAGGACTGCAACGATAAGGGGATGGAGAAAGGTTGATGGATTGATGAAGGTGGACGACGGGCAGACGGGCAGACAGGACAGGCTGCATCAGGAACCGCAGGTCGGGTTGACTGACTTGGACTGTTTGGAGGCTGCTCTGGACCGGAACACGCCTGGGCACGGGCCACACTTCCCGCTTTTCCACGTGATGATGCGAGGCTACGTACCGATGCAGTCAGTCAAGTGCGAACATGGACTTTGACTGAAGGCCTTCACCCTTCACCCTTCACTGACGACTGACGCATAGCCGCCGCGCTTCACATACAGTATGGTCGTACACGGGTATTTCATGCCGGACCAACTCACGTGTCCTACGGCCTGCTGCCACTCTTTTGCCCACCTTACACAACACAGCAAAACGTCCGGATAATGTCGTGGCTTTTGCAGACTGCAGACTGCAGACTGCAGCCCGACGTTTCCGTCCGTCAGTCACAGCATGTCTGCCCTTGATACGCACGCAGGAACAGGAGATGGGGCACAGGAGCAGGCACAGGATGAGTACGCTTGCCTCATCACACCCCAGGGCTGAGTCAAGGGGTGCAGCTGATGTTCCCGCGTGTCTCACCCACACCCGCACAGGGGTGAGCCCTTTGACAACTGGACATTTGACAGCGATTGCCACTCCACGTGGGGGCCAACTGCCATCCTGCCTCGGGCTCTGTGAAGTGTTCAAGTAGCCAGGATGCAATTCTAGCAATCCAGGGCTAATTAACATCCAACATCCAACATTCAGCATTCAGTTTCACATTCTGGGTGATGAATCGCTACTATCAGTACCTTCTCTCTTCCCACCAGTCAGTAGGGGATGGTCATTATTACCCATCCGAACGGGACTAGAATAAGTAACCTTAACGACCGGGGTAGCCAGCGATCCAGCTTCAAACCTCACCTACCCTTAGTAATGGGTATTCAGCCCCTAGGTATATCTACTATTGCAGCGCGCAGTTTGGAGAAACCCCAAAGTCCTTCGTTCGCCGCGCGATACAATCTTGAGGACGCTGCAGTAGCCGTAAGGAGTCAAATTCCGCTGCGTAAAAGCACCTTTTTTGAAAGCGTTCAACAGACCGCAGCCTGCTTGGAGACCACATACCGGTAGACCCATCCAGTCGGCTTCGTTCTCACTGTTCAGCCAGATCTTGAATCGACTATGCCGGTCCATAGCCAGTCCACTTGTGGTAATCGCACAAGATCCTCCTTGACATACATTTGGTAATCAATTGGCATGCGTACCTAGTAGAAAATAAGTCTCACGGAGCCATCCCCACAAGTTCGTGTATTCTTCATGGAAGGATGTATGAAGACAAGAGGCCCTCCAAGTCCTTTAGGGCATGCAACAGTGAATGCGGCGGCCGTCGCCTTTATGGAAATGGTCACCCCTTTACTTTACTTATACTCAGCTCGGTGGCGGATCAGCAAGAATTAGTGCTTCAGCTCCGCTTTCGCGCGTCCGATCATCTTTTCCCCCCGGTCCGGGATACGACTTCCACACCTTTTCAGCTCCAATCGAAGGATGCGTACGATCGCACAATGTCTTAGTGAGATTCTACAGGTCTCCCAGTGAGATTCTACAGGTCTTCCAGTGAGATTGATGTCGACCATCCGCATTATAAGCTAACACATCAGGTCGGGGTTTCAGACGCTGGCGGGCGAGTTCCTGTCGTAATATATACGCGTCTTCTGCAGGCTGACGGAAATGAGGCCCTGCCACCACTCACCCCTCTTCCACATGCTCTCGCAAACTTTCAGAAGAAGTCCTCAACAACAGGCTTTGACACATCATCAGACTCTGCCATTACCCCTCCTCGACATGTTTTTGTAACTTCAGGGATAAGTCGTCGCCAAACACTGTAAAGAAGGCTTCAGATTCTCGATGTGGCTCCTGGTATAAGAATATACATCTACCTGCTCCCAGCCGAGTCCGGTCCATAAAAACCGATTGCCGATCATGTCCACCAGCATAGCAGCCTTCACTAACACGCTGGGGCCGCTGACAACAGCATGGGCCCAGCCAGCCTCTTGCACCACTGGAGTCGCAGCCAACAACCACGAGGCGTGGCTGGATCAATCCTGCGTTGGTGACAGTTTTGGAGGCAACCCTTCCTGCTGGCCCCCACGGACTGAAGGAGCCGCCTCGCTGTCGGGCGCGCTTTCGACGTGGGGCATATACTCTCCCGGAACTGCCTGTCCCAGCGGGAAGGTGGCTGCATGCTCCTACGACGGATCCAAGAACACTGGGGCCTTCCAGTTCTACTTTCCACCGGGGCCCTCTGAGACTGCCATCGGCTGCTGTCCCTCGTCAGTACTAGTACCGTCGGATTCTCCTTGTCTCCCCTTTTTCTCCCTGGCAAACGTTCTTGGCCGGCAATCAGCTGATCAGAAAGGAGGGGCTGCGCAGAGGGTACTTCTGCTACGGTGAACAGAAATGCGCGCTGTCCATCTCCTCGTCGACAGTATCTACATTGCAATGTTCCGACGGCAGGGCCGTCGACTTGGCCACCCTCTCGATCCCATATACCACAACCCAGAGCTCATCCGTGGCGACGATATCGACGTTCTCCGCCTACGCGCCGTTGCTGCAACTCATGTACCAAAGCTCTGACGTCTCGTCGACAACATCACCCCCTTCCACGACGTCGACTTCGAGTGGCCAAGAGACGAACTCGTCGGGAGGTCAGGGGCTGTCGACGGGTGCCTCGGCAGGTATCGGTGTCGGCGTGGGATTGGGCGTCATCATCCTGGCAGCCGCCGCCTTTTGGTTCTGGCGGGTGAGGCGGAAGAATATGAAGACGGCGGCGCCAAACCATGCGTCAAATTCTGAGAACTTCCGGGAAAGCAGACCCGGCGGTTCGGAGGCGAAGAGCCCCCAGGAGCTTCAAGGGTACCTCACGGTACCGGAGATTGACTCGCGTACGACACTGCAGGAAGTTCCAGGCGGAGGATTGGATGGGCCACGGGTGGATGCAGCACGCGTGCAGCAAATCTCACCAGTAGAGTTGGCATAGTGGGTGAGTGACATAATTCTGCCGAGGTGAAGGATCTTGAGCCAGGTTTGATAGCACTGCTGGAAACTTGGATCCTCATAGACTTGGCCAATGTTTGAAAACTGCGGATTATCCAATGCAGGGATAATATAGACTTGTAGACCAGAATAATAGCTGTACTTGATAGGGCTAAGACTGCCAAGACGAGATATGAAATCAGTGCGTTGGTTTTCAGTGACCGCTGAGTGTACTTCAGACACATTTGTAGGTATTGGCAGTGGGTTCCACAGGCAAAGACTGTACCAGCCAGTGCTGATGAGCTTTCCAATCCGCATATTTCATCAAGGGTATCTGAGAAACCGGCCAACATGGTGCTGAGGACGCCTTAAGTCGAAATAGCTAATGTGCGATGCATCGTAGGTTTCTTACAAGTACCTGTTGATGGCTACTAGTAATTAGGTCTTGAAGGGCTTCAGGATATGGTCAAGCGCATGTTAACGGAAATTCGTTAACATAACGTTTGCTCTGTCTTCGCACGGGCCAGTCAATTAGACACTGTCAGATATCTGGGCGTGGAGATGCGGGGCCCTCCAGGGTGCCCATGTCTGCCGTCTGGGGCCTGTAAAAGGAGCCGGATTTGCAGAGTGAGGTTGCAGTCTAACCAGGTAGTATCCGCCCCGTTGGAGCGTTAAAGTTCGCTAGACAATCATGGTGCTTGTCTTCCCCAAGCTGGTGCAGCTGGGTTGCAACCAACCAGAAAATCTACCTGCATCATCATCCGAAATATCTCCAAGCCCGACCAAGCTTCCATCGCCCTCCACATTCATTCGCAGCGTCACCAGTGCAGCACCACCTTCAGCAGCAGAAGCCCCTTGACTTCTCCCACAACCGCGATTACGAGGCTGCTGTCCCTATTCATGTAGTAGCAATATTACCAATGTCCGCTCCCCGACTCTCGAGGACCTCCTCAGCTCATTCCCAAAATGTCGTGACAAGGGCCGTCGGTCGCCGGTCAAGGTCATTCCTCGCGGGCTTCCTCCCCGTCACGGCGCAAACAGCACCAGCACCAGCATCAACACCCTCCTCGAGCACCTCGAAACCTCTCACCACCCTCCAAGAAGCCAATACTCGGAACTTGCCAGAAGTGTGGTTCAACCCGACCTTTCCCTATGCAAATACAAATACCACGCCACCTCTGGGCCAGGGCCCCAACAAGCCTCCAGATGATCGCAAAGCAAAACTAGGCAAAAGTGAGTCCAGGCCCGCTCCATTTGACGATGCGACGCAAAGCTGTAGGCCAGAAGCGCTGACCCAGGCCTCCCAGCCCTGCGCATCCTCCAAGAACGACTCCCAACCCTCCTCCAGTCTCCCCTTCCGACAGAGATCCTCGCGCCCAACATCTCGCTGCACCTCTTCCCCTCGACCCACCCACACCTCCCCACTGTGTCCGGCCGTGTTGCTTACATTGCCGCATTATGGACGGCACCCATGACATGGAACCGCCTGCCCATCATCGGCGACGTCGAGCTCGAGATCATGTCGGAGCGCATGGTGAAGCAGCCCGGAACCAGGCAGGGCGCCGTCAGCGAGAAGCTGGTGGTGAGGTGGAGGACGACGGGCAAAGGAATCGGGTCAAAGCTTCCCTTCCGTGACAAGCTGACGGCCAAGGAGTTCTGGGGCCTGTTCATCTTCGAGTTCGACGGCGAGGGCAGGGTACTAAGTCATACTATCGAGCACGTTCAGTCCGAGGGAGACTGGGACAAAGGCATCGGGGCGAAATTTGTCGGTTTGACTGACTGGCTCCTCGGGGGCATGAGAGGGCCAGAAGGATGCCCTGCCTTTGAGATACACCAGGAGCAGCGTCCGCAACGACGAAGATGACACCAGGGATACTTAGGTATCCAGCGTTCAGGATCAAGTCCCTGAGAATTATCTTCTTGTATGATACTCCTTTCTCACGCCACTCATACCCATTACATTGTACCACCTTTTGTGAAGCTAGACTAAAGTTGATATCCCCAACCCATCCATCGCTCAGTGTTCCTCAAGCAGGCGCTGTAGCACATATATGAAAAATTAAGTGTATGTCATGAGATGCTCCCCTCTATGCCCCAAATGTCAAAGGTGAAAACACGAAACAATGCACAATGCAACGCCGACACACCCTAAATATGCCCAGCAACGAAATCCGCTAGCCCGTCCTCTCTCACCATTAGAATTTGTCTATCTCTCATCCTGCTGGTGACAATACTCGTGCCGTTGATCCACGCCCACCAGATCTTCTGCACGACATTGTCCGTAGAGCTCGGCAGGCACCCGATCATGGTGTGCCTCTCGAGGTCCTCCTCGGTGCTGGTGATCAGAAGCCGCTCCGCCCCTGTGAAAGAATCAATCACGTGGAACAGGCACCCGAAGATCTGCTCGCTCTCGATCTCGCCGAAGCGCAGCTCCTCGAACGCGCAGGCGACGTGCCTGACGCGGCGCGTGTCGGCGCGGTCGAGGAAGTACACCATGGGGGCGTTGATGTTGCTGCTGTCGTAGGGCTCCAGCTCGCCCAGCAGCAGCAGCGTGTCCTGGGCAAAGTCGAACCAGACGCGGGGCGCGGCCGAGCGCGGGCGCGCCAGCATCGCCGGCACGCGCCAGCCAAAGGCCCGCTCGTAGTGGCGCAGGGCCAGGGCGCGCGCCTCGTGGCACACGCCCAGCAGCACCGGCGCGGCGGGGAGGTTCCGGCGCCGGGCGAGCTGCGCGCGCTTCTCGGCGGCGTTGTCCTCGTCCAGGCACGCCGCGATGACCACGCGCGGCTGCAGGAGGTGCTCCCAGATCTTGAGCCGCAGCTCGACGGGCAGGTCGCCGAAGCATGTGAATGTGGCTGTGGAGGCGGCTGCAGACTGAGCGGCCTGATCGTAATGACCGTCGCTGCAGACCTGGAACTCCAGCCAGAATGTCTTTTCTGGTTGTTCTTGTTCTCTGGCTCTGTAGCCGCACAGTGACACTGACATAATAATAATAATAAGAACAAGGAAGACCAATTTGGTGGGCGAGGAAACCGCGCGAGCGAGGGAAGACGGTGTTCGGATGAGATGAGCGATGAACAGGGAACTGTGGCTGGTATTTAGGATCTGGGATCTGGGATCCAGAGGTGGCGTTGCAGGACCACGGAAGCTTGTGAGCCGGGCACCATGCAGCCGTGCAGATCTCATCCCCACTTGGACTGCCTATCTTGGCTGTCTACAATATCGCAGATGCTATTAAGACAACGACACCATAGTTGCATCAAAATTCGTATCATACTAATAGAGAACCAACCCTACACAGTGGATTTACTCCCCCACTGGCCCAGAAATTCCAATCATAAATGTCACTTTCAATTTTTGTCTTATTCGTAATTCGATAAACAAGTTTTGACACCATGTCTCCACAATCCGCAACGTGCAGCAAGACAAACTTGATCGTGCCGAGCCTGGCTTTCCAAAATATGAAAAGCACTTATGAAGATTCGGCGGCCGAGTAGTTGGCGTTATCGGAAGACAGAGGCACCGCCTTGCCCTTCCACGCGTCCGTTGCTCCGTGGATCATCTGACCACCGAACTTCCGCTGCATTTTATAGAACTCCTGGGCCTCGGGATCTGACACCGCCGCGTCACTGAATTGATGGGGCATAGGAATCTGCAGTGCCCTCCGGAAGGCAGGCCGTTCGAACAGCTTGTCATGCCACGCCTTGATGTGAGGATATTCGTTTATGTCGATGCCACACCACTTGGCGGAATGCGCGAAGATGAAGATTGCGATATCAGCAATTGTTAGGCGGTTCCCACCGATGAAAGGGGAAGTGGACTAAGGCATGTTTGTGAGTCGCATGCAGGCAATGTGAGTTTGGCGAGGGCACAGTGCCCAAGATATGACTCACAAGCTGCTTGTCCAAAACACCATTAAGCCGTCTGGCCTCCGAAGTATATCTCCAAGATCCATACGGCACTGCTTCAGTCACATAGCGGTTGAAGTGGTTCGCTTGGCCCATCATGGGCCCATAGCCGGCGACTTGCCACGAAAGCTATATATGTGTGTGAGACGAAGAAATTTAGACAGATAATTTGTTGAGAAGGAATTAAGTTTTCACAAATACTCACCCAGGACAGTTGGGTCCAGTACTCCTGAGTTCCGACGGGATAAGAGAGTTTGTGTTCTCCGTCAAATTCGCTGGCGATGTATAGAAGGCAGGGGGCACTTTCAAATATTTCAGGCTTGTGCCATCCTCCTTCACATGCACGATAGCAGGCACGCGTCCATTAGGGTTAATGGATTTGAACCACTCGGCTTTAAGCTCGCCGGCTGCCATGTCCAGGTTGATGAAGTTGTACGGGATGCTGGTTTGAGGATCAACTAGACGCACAAGATATTGTTAAAGATGTGAAAACAACATACTCCAGCTCCTCGGCAGCAATTGTCAGCTTCACCGGGTTTACGGATGCACAACCGTAGATGTTCAGACCCGGCTGAGGGGCTTTCTCCTGTGGAATAGAAGCCATCATGTGACCCTCGTAGTATTGATATGGTGGAGGTATCGTCGGCGTGGCAACAACAGCTACCTGGCTCTTGGAGTAGTCAGCTCCTGCGTCAAAAGCGTATTGATCACATTAGACAAAGGTTCAAGAGAAATGAGGTCCGCATCGAAAGGAAATACCAGGTTTGAGAAAGCGAAGAAATGCATGGAATTCAAGAAAGCTCGTCGAACTTTGATCGAGGATACCCAGTATCTGTATCAAACTTTCTGATAAATGAGGTGCTGACCGCTGCCTCACAGGAGTGGATGTTAAGCAAGGCTGGTGATCATCAGAACCTCCGGAGCTGAAACTCACAAGCCAACATTTAGATCTGACAGATAGAGTCAAAGTGACTGGAGCTAATCCTTCCAGGGCTGTTGAGTCGCCGCCCTTTTTTCGAGTCTGCCGAGGCCAATCAGGCACGACGAACAATTGGAATCAGTATGCACAAGCGAGGGAGGATACAGTAACATAAGGTCCCCAGGCGGCACATTGGTTGAGCCCTACGGCACCCAGTACCAACGTTGCTCTTGATGCTCTATCACTGCAGCGTTGCATGCAGGCCGTCGGATCCTCCAAGCTTTCCAACTTTTGCTGACTTCCCCGCCGGAACCTCGGACCGATTGTGTTCGAAGAGAGCATTTTGATTTATCGTTATGCACGCCTTTAGTCGTGGCACTCCAAACATGAGGACCATCGACTGCTCAGGTAAAACCCTTTCTACGCGCTACAGCAGGGCATTGTCCTGATCGCTACCATACATTCTGTCTGCCGTCAAGCTAAACTTCAAATATGTATGTTCTAGACACCAAGATGCTCCGGCAGTGGGACTGACTCTGTCGAAAAAGCATTACTTATTGCATAACGTCTTTCTGATCATCAAGACCCTGCTTAAACACATGTATTGATCCTGCAGAAGTCATATCATTGGATTTAGTACCGCCTTACATGAGCCTTGGACATTCGTAGCAACAAGGCCTGCAATCGCACAAGGTCGAAATTTCTGTCCATGGCTGGACAGTCCCGGCTGTCCAAGGCTACCAACCGGTTCTATGCCACTGTTCCATCGCTTGCTGCCGGGCATTGTTGTCGGCCGGCCGATACTGAGTGTCCGGAGTCATGATCACCAATTCTATCTCAGAGTCCCTGTTTATATAGGGCTCCGAAGACAAACTTCTAGGCATGAGCGGGTCCTTCGATCTGTCCTTTCCACTTGTTGCACGCTTTTGGACAGGTTCCCTGCCGACTTGGTGCACTGTGAAGCCTGATGGTAGATTCTTCTCCAGGCCGTCCTGAATGCCCCCTGTATGATAGTTACTAATAAGTATGGAGCTCAGTTTGCGGATGAGGACCTGCATCAAGGACCTACATATGAAGCTATAGATGAACTGGAAGACAACCGGTGCCCAAGTCGCGAGAGCAAGAATTTGTCCGAATTTCCAGCTTTCAAACGAGTTGAAGGTTAGAATTCATCCAGTTAGGTTTCGTTCTGGGCTGTAAGACTCTTACTTATTTGCCTCGTTTAGATGACCAACTGTGTTATCGATCTTGTGCCTTACCCATGTGAAGAACCCAAGTATACCCCACATAGCGAGCAGGTTGAACCAGGCGATCCCAAGACGCCAAAAAGACCGCCAACGGACCATCCAAGGCTTGTCAAGAATCCCCGGTATTCGGAAGCCAGTGAGCACGAATATTGTCAGGAGGAGCCATAGCACTGGCCCGACGATGATGAGACACTGTGCAGCTATCACTAAAGGGTTTTTGGTTAGCAGACTTCGCGAATGTGAATTTGGTCGCCGCCCGAGGGTGTCAGCAGCCCACGAATCTTATGTGCACAGAAGGACCTACTCCCGTTCCAATAGTGAACAGACCCTCTCCAGTCACAGTTCTCCCTGTGGAATTCATTCTCGAGCTCTCTGTAGTCGTAGTCGAAGTTTCCATAGAGGGATGTGTAGACTTCTATCGCTGCGAGGATCCATATCAATGCTAGCACTGCCCTGCGGACCCAGACCTGGTTCTCTCTTTTGTTTAGCGAGAAGTCGCTCTCGCGCCTCTGCATAGCATACAAAATCATCACGGGGAAGATGGAGAAGGTCGCTGCCAGCATCGAGAGCATCATGTCATACAGTGCGCTGTCAGTGGGGATGTCCTGGCCAGAGCGGAGGGGTGACTTCCGTTGCACCGTTCCCTTCAATGACATGTAGAGGGCGGCGGCTAGCATGGCGATGCTGAAGAGCATCGAGGCGCCTAGAAAAGCATTCAGTGAGCTGCGGAAGGCACCGACTGTGCGAATGCCCAGGAGCGAGGTTCGTGTCTGGGGTCTGAGGTGGTCCTCGCCGCCCGAGAGGTGGCCAAATTCCGAATCTCTCCGTGATGTGGTGCGTTGACGCATATGCCATACGGTGAAGGCAAATAGGAAAATAGTCGTGGAGACTGCTTCCACATAATAAGACGTGAATACCTGCTTCTGCATCAGCAAAGACCGAAAGCGTAGAAACCATGTATGATGGCACGAGATGAAGAGCTTTTACCCCGATTCCAACCAAGTCCATGTCGCCTGTCCAGCCTAGAGCCTTACAGTATTCTCCATAGCAGCTCGAAGTCATAGGATTTGCAATCACGTTTTGGGTGAACACGTCATCGAAAGGACCTTCTCTAAAGTACATCATGTGTTAGTAACTACTCTGGTTATGGAACATGGAGCTGGTAGGATACTCAAAGACACTTACTTATAATTTGTCCACAAATTCCACCCATACCACTCCAAGACTTTGCTCGCATAGTCTCCATTGGTCCAATTCCCTGGTCTTGTCCAGTTCTGCGGAAGGCTTGAGGTGAAGTAGTCGACTATCAGCGTGGCATCGCCGTCCAAGTATTGGCTTTTATTCCAAGGGTTTGGTTCTATAAAAGTTGATAACCAATTTCCGTACGCTTTGCAGTCTTTCGAAAAGTCCATGTTTGCCCACAGAGGGAACTCTGCAAAGTGTTCGCCGTCAGACATTTTACGGCTTTTTGCTACACAATTTGGCTGGAATAAAATGTGATGGCGAATGACGTCGACATTTCGAGCGATGGAAATGAAAGAGAGAGAATGGCCCATAGGGCTATGCGGAATAATTGGATTGTTATACGACTGGCGATCCTAAAAGCTGAAAAACGCACGTTCCGGCACAACCGCACACATTTCTAATCGCAGAGCCTTGCGTACACAGTGTTGTCAGACGTTTTGCTGGTAAATTTGCAAAGGCCGTCACACCAATTGGCAGCTGCCTGCATACATAAAAGGACCCCAAAAAGCCACACTTCTGCAAGTGGAACGATGATCCTCGAGACATTGTCAGCACGAATGATCCTGTCACACTTCAAGCAGACGAATGATTGAGAAGTTAACATCGCTGGTGCGTAAGAGGGAGCTAGATCCCTCAAAAACGAATACATGGGTGGCACCGATCGATCATCATAACTTGGCTTTCTCTAAGGACACTGAGTTGATTCTCATATTCCAGACGACTCTGCTTAGAACCGACAGTGGATGAACATTCCGATGGCAGGATGATCAGTTCTTGCTCGAAACCATGTAGGAGCCGAGCATTCTTGGACTTAGAAGCGTGTATTCTGTATTATGCTTGGACGCGAGTGCTGTGTTCTCCCACATGTTTCAGACAACTGTTTGCTCTGCATGTAGGCGTGTCTGACAGAGATGGCGGGTTTTGGAGGTCCGACAGAGGAGTCAGGCTCCGACAGTATCACAATGATCGCCAGCTGACATTGTAATTTTACCGACCGCAATTGTCACATGAATTGAATCAAGTCGTTACAACAAGAGGATCTAGTTCATTTGAATGAGTGACGAGGTCTACAAAGACTGCACAGGCGAGCTGTCGTTTGATGCAGCCCCAACGAAGCCTGCCAATGTTCACGCCAACCATATCTCTGGTTGCGGGTCTCCCTTGCAGTACTAAATATGCCGGTACGCACTTAGTAGTCTGTTTCCAGTCGCTGGTCGCAAAACTGGTGTTGTGATAGTGTCAGTATAATGAGCAGTTTAGGCCGAACTTTAGCCCGATAAATCCCTTGTCAACACCGGATGCATAGATTCCATCAATGAACTCAAGAGTTCAGACGTCTGTCTTTATCAACTGGAACCAGCCAATCGCACTGACACAGCGAGGGGATATGCATGACGCTGCAAAGGCAATACCAGGACTCGGACACGAATGGAGAAGTCGACTGCAACAGGAGCTTGTGATCAATTGCTGGAAGAATTATGTTACCTGGAAATCCATGATCGCCATGTTCAAGAGCTTGAGAGTTAGGGTGCAGCGTGGAGGATTTGTGGGCCGGGCTTGTCTCCGGACGCCCAGGGCCGGAGATGTGGGGCCGAGTGCACGGAGAGGGCGGGGAATTTCCGGGACGTCAACCGCGAGGATGCACCGAGGGAGCATCGATCGGAATCGAGGCTGGCGGTGCCACAAATATGCTTTCAAGTCAAGGCTCCAAGATCACTGGTACCTACTTAGGTGTGCTTGGCTGGTGTCATCTTGCGTTCTCCTGACAAGGTCTTTTCCGCGTGGCCGGAGTGGTAGGCCTATAACAAAGCGTGTTCTAGAGGGAATATTTCTGTTTCTGGCGATGCCGACGACTTGTTAGTCGGTTCCTTGGTACTCCTCACAACATTTGGATTCATGATTTGAGACCAAGGGGAGTTTCGAATGCATGTAGTTCGGGAACGGGCGACAGGCACGCATGCGCGTCAGCACGTGGGGGGCTTGAGACAGAGTTTCCGTTCGGCCGGTAGGCCGTGGTCGCTTGAGTATAGTAGATAATTAATTATTCGCCGACCTTCTAAGACGCGATGGTTTGGGAGGGATCTGTCACTGTCACATGCTCAGCAACAGAAGGCAGTCCTGACCCTGTCAGAGCAGCAGGCACACCTGATCATATGCGAGCCGCGAGAGGATTGTCACAGCCCCACTCCACTTGCACTCTTTGTTTCCCCGGGACCTCTGCCCATGTCACCAAATTAACCCGCCGCAACAGACCACATTCTTCGCCTGCGTCAACAGCAGTAAGATAACACCCTATCTTGGACTTGGAGAAGAGGACAGAGCACCGTTACCAGCAATCTGGGCTCTGCAAAGCACGGATCCCAGACCAGCCGGTGGTGGACGCACGGCACGTCCAGTGTGGGGAAGAGGAGGCAAGACAAGCATTCAGACGACCGACTGCGTCTTGTACTTCACACTACCGTGAGCCGAAGCGAACTGGGATCTGCTGGACCGGCACAGGCATCTCGTGCCTTTGCGCCGGGTCACCAACCACAGCGCTTCCCCTGGTCCGAAGATTCCCACCGCACCAACTGCACCACTGCACCAGTGCGTCAGGCCCCAAGCCGCCAAACCGCAGTGCCCCGTGGGGTAGACTCGGTACGTTCCCTTTGTCTCTTGGTCCCTCGTCCTGCAGTGCTGCAGTGCTGCTGTCCTACCGTCCTCCCCTTGTCGTCCTTCCACTTCTGGACCGTGGCAGCTGCCCTGGTCGGTTGCGTGGGTTGTCGCCCATCAGCGTCATCCGAACCGACTAGACCAGGCCCACACCCACACTCAGATAAGCGCGTGTCTCTGCCTCTTTCGTCCTGTCTGTCTCGTGGTCGTGGAACATACGAGACCTGGTAACCGCGGATTTCGGGTATCAACGACTCGGGGCTGCGCTCAAGCAACAGGCCTGGCAAAAGGCTCACAACGTTGGCTGGCTGGTGGTGTAGCGTGGCGAACAAGCAAGCGTCCTGAAAAAGGCTCGTCTCAGCCCCGGACGAGTTAGATGCTCTACTTAGTTTGACATGACCTCTATGGCTGGTGTCGCCTTGGCTGAGGTTAACCCATGTGTCCTGCTGCTTAGCTGCTGCCCCTCTCTCTACCAGCCCGTTCTATAGCCCCCCAGCTGCTGCTGACACTCCTACCATCCTCTCTCAAGGTCCTATTAGATATATCCCAGCTCACCCTGCCTTGCTATAACATCTCGACGAGATTAAAGTTCCATCCTCACCTACAGACGCGTTGCTAGATCTCGACCTCTTGGCAGTCTGTCCTAATAACGACCTCCCAAGCCGCTTACTGAATAAGACCCGACGCCGCCCAGGTATGTATGACATTTCTTACACCCTCTATCCCGGGCTCTCGGCAAATTCCCGTGCATATTGAATTCATTCGGCCCTGCGGAACCGTTTCATACCTCATCTGCCCCCGCGGGCCTCGATATACTACCCTACCCACCCACATGGTTCCATGCTACTTCCATGCCCGCCTGCTTTCCAGCCAAGTCCATGTACTGCGTGCTGCTCGATCCCACATGTCAACGCCATGGGACACACGGCTCACGTACATGCGAGGGGCCCAGTGGCACCTCCCTCTTCTCCCACCAATATCCCACCTTCCCTCCCTTCCGTCGGGCCTTGCTGCGGTTACTGTGTGAGCTAGCAAGTTATATGGACCAAGGCCCTCCACGAGGCCTCGTCTTGTCAGAATCCGACACCCCTATCTCCTATGCCCATAGTGCTGTCACATCTCAAGTGGGAATGCCAGCCTACTACCTTCACGACTGTCATTATTTCTTCCGTACGGCCCTGAGAGGCCTGAACATCAGCACCTCCGTCTCTCCTCTCTACTGTTGAGGGCCGCCCAGACTGATCAAGATGCCTACCCAAGTCCGTATTTTTACGTTGCCCAAGTCTATTGGAGAGACACTCTCCCCGTCTATTTCGCACGCTCCGGCTCCTCGCTCGGTTCCCATCAACGGGCACGTACCCAACGGGATCCCTCAGCCGAAGGAGACTCCGAATAAGATGGGTGTAAATGAGAACAAGTCCTATCCGGGAATCACTTTTGCCCAGCAGGACAAACTGCCAAAGTTGCCAATCCCTGAGCTGGCCAGCTCTTGCAACAAATACTTGGCAGCTCTCAAGCCCCTCCAGTCAGCTCGCGAACACTCGGACACAAAGCAAGCAGTTCTGGAATTCTTGAAAAATGAAGGGCCCGAGTTGCAAGAGAAGCTGAAGAAGTACGCGGAGGGACGGACAAGCTATATCGAGCAGTTCTGTAAGACTTGCCTCTAGTCCCTGAGAGTGTCATGCCACTAACAATCACAGGGTACGACTCCTACCTAAACTACGACAATCCAGTCGTACTAAACCTGAACCCCTTCTTTCTGCTGGAAGATGACCCCACTCCTGCACGAAACAACCAGGTCACCCGCGCGGCTTCGCTGGTGGTCTCGGCCCTGGAGTTCGTGCGGGCTGTTCGCAAGGAGGAGCTGCCGCCAGACAGTATCAAGGGGACCGCTATGGACATGTACCAATACTCGAGACTCTTTGGCACAGCAAGAGTACCAACCGAGGCTGGCTGCCAGATAGAACAGGATCCCGACTCGAAGCACCTGGTTGTCATGTGCCACGGGCAGTTCTACTGGTTCGATGTTCTGGATGATAACTCGGACCTTATCATGACGGAGAAGGACGTGTCCATCAACTTGCAGACGATCATTGATGACGCTGCTCAGATGCCCATCCAGGACGCCGCAAAAGGAGCGCTGGGTGTGCTCAGTACGGAGAACAGAAAGGTGTGGTCCGGGCTCCGGGACGTCTTGACTAGAGAAGAAGGTTCAAACAACGCCGATTGCCTTGGGATAGTCGACTCTGCATTGTTCATAGTCTGCCTCGACTACACAGAGCCCATCACAGCGTCGGCTCTTTGCCAGAACATGCTCTGCGGAACGAGTGAGATCGAGAAAGGCGTACAGATCGGCACTTGCACCAACCGATGGTATGACAAGCTTCAGATAATCGTCTGCAAGAACGGCAGCGCTGGCATCAACTTCGAGCACACTGGCGTTGATGGTCACACAGTCCTCAGGTTTGCCAGTGATGTGTACACAGACACAATCCTTAGGTTTGCGAGAACAATCAATGGCCAAGCGCCGACCCTGTGGGCATCGACAAGTCCCGACCCTTCCAAGAGAGACCCTGACAGCTTTGGCGACGTCAACACGACGCCACACAAGCTGGAATGGGATATGACCCCGGAGCTTAAGATTGCTGTGCGCTTTGCAGAAACCCGGCTCGCAGACCTTATCGAACAGAACGAGTTCCAATGTCTTGACTTCCAGGCATATGGCAAGAATTTCATCACCTCTATGGGATTTTCGCCCGACGCCTTCATTCAGATGGCCTTCCAGGCTGCGTATTATGGCCTCTACGGCCGGATCGAATGCACCTACGAGCCAGCCATGACCAAAATGTTCTTACATGGGCGAACAGAAGCTGTCCGGACCGTCTCGGATGAATCTGTCAACTTCGTGCAGACCTTCTGGGCCGACAACCCGGCGGAGCAGAAGGTTGAGGCACTTAAAAGAGCGTGCGCGACCCACGTGAACACCACCAAAGAATGTGCCAAGGGGCAGGGCTGTGACAGGCATATGTATGCGCTTTTCTGCCTCTGGCAGCGCCTCATGGACGAGACGGCAGCGAGCAGCGGCAGCAGCGGATACACCTCGCCCGTCGACGGTGCAAGCAGCCCCGAGCCTGGCTTGGCCAGTCCTACCAGGGAGTCAGTGGTGTCCGTTGACAGCGAGCACACGACGCAGAACATGGTGACGCGGGCGAGGGGCGACAGCACCAACTCGCGAGGGGGCTCGCAGGGGCAGCTTCCGCTGATCTTCGCGGATTCGGGGTGGGACAAGCTCAACAACACCATCATGTCGACGTCCAACTGCGGCAACCCGTCGCTGCGGCAGTTCGGGTTCGGCCCCGTCAGCGGCGACGGCTTCGGCATCGGGTACATCATCAAGGACGACGGCATCGCCATCTGCATCAGCAGCAAGCACCGGCAGACCAAGCGCTTTGTCGACACGCTCGAGAGCTACCTGCTCGAGATCCGGCGCATCCTGCGCATCACCAGCCGCAACCACTCGGCCCCCAAGCAGACGCGCGCTCGCGAGATCGACCGCTCCACCCACCGCAAGCCCGCCGCCAACAGACTCAAGAGCAGGGGCCGCCTCATCACTGGCCCCACCGCCGAGACCATCCGCAGCCAGAAGCTGGGCAGCGTCGCCGGCACACAGAGCCCGACCGACGAGAGCGTCACGCTCAGCGAAGACGACGAGCTGGGAGGATGTGAGTGCCCATTCCCACTACAATTTGCTATCCCTAGTGCATATTTACGAGAGAGCTAACGCTGTGCGTGTCCCTAGACGGTTTCTTCGATGCTGGCATGCTCCTGCAGGCTCTCAAGGCGCGGGGTGAGGTCGACAGCGGCGAGACCAAGGCTTCCGAGCGGGCTGCTGTCCAGGCCAGGAGACGGGATGTTGGCAAGAAGTTGCGGTTGATTGATTATTAATCCATATTTACGCACATACAGAGTTTCATTGTTCGGCGTCGAGCGTGTTGTGTTTCTGAAAGAGGTCAATCGCGCAGATGGAGGTGAACTTGACGGGAGAAGTGTTGGTTGAATGTTCAGGCATATTGTATATCCCATATCGCATATAAACAATTCTTGCCATATTCTCTGAGACTCCTCCTTTCTCCTAGCTGTCCAGTATGCTACTCTTCTCGCGGAGCACCCGGAATACCATCCGAGACGCGAAGCGGCTTCATGCCTCTCAACATGCACATAGCCGCTCCTCCCCAGCCAAGCTGCTGCTTTTTCCATGCACGGCGGTGTCCATGTACTGCATCTGTGCTTGGTTGAAGCACTTCCTCGGCCGTGTCCTCATCGCTGGAGGATCCTTCTTCATCCTGGTCATCGTCTGTTCGCTGGTCCTCCCCGTATGGCTCCGGGGGCTCGACTGATATCTGCTGGATCTCAGCAGTCGGACTGCCGAGGTCAATGACGACGTCGCCCCCGGCACTATAGGTGACCGTCTCCGGTTGCTGATGCCTATTGTACTTGAGAGTACTCGAGACAGATGTCGGCCTCTTCTTCCCCTTTTCAATCTCTTCCATTTTCTCTCCTGTGGACTCTGTGTCCCCCGAGACACTCCCGCTCGTATCCGACACCTCAGCCCAGACCTCCACCTGCCTCAGCTTGTCCGCGTAGATGACCAGTACTGTGAACAGTGCCAGTGGGATTGTGGCCACCCAAAAAACCCAGAACAGAGGCTGGCCCGGCTCGAAGTCCTCGTTCATGGACAGCACGCCCGAGACGACGGAGAACGGGAGGAGGATCCCGCCTAGGTATGTCACGCGGTCGAGGGAGCGCTGATTCTCGTCGGAGCCCGAGGATGACGGTGTGTCTGCTGTTGTCGTCCTGTGTCTTGGGACGTAAGCGATATTCTCCTCATGGATCGCGGCCTCCTTGACTGTTGTCCCTGACTTTCCGCGTGTGGCGCTGGGGGGTATGGTTGCGAGCATCTCTATGCGCGTTCGTAATCTTTGTATGAGACCTTCCCAGTCGTCCGGTCGGATACCAATACTTTCTGCAACTTCACGGCCGTTCTGGCGGCGCGTGACACTTTTCGCCATGTCGAAATTCCGCTCCAGTGCTTGCATGATCCGCCACTCCAGTGATGTCTCCTCGAGTATGACGACCTTTTGCCTCGGCGTGAGGACCTCAAACAGCTCGAGCCAATGCTCATGCGCTGTCTCTTCCAAGAATTGAAACACTCCGCCGTCCTTGTTCACATTTGCAAGGCTGTCTTGCACAGTGCTCTCCAAGCTGGGAATCTCCTGCCCCATTGCCAAGGACATTGCCAGACTGCCACTTTTCGTCTCACGGTCTGTAAGACGTTCCTGGTTTGACGGCGCATAAATCCCCTTGACTTTGCCCGCCCTGCGGGCCTTTCTCAGCGGACCTTTTTCTCCCCAGCATGGTTTGTCTAGGAACAAGACATCCACGTCCTTGCTCATCCAGAGACTTGCCCGGCAAAACACAGCAGCCAACTTCTTGTCTGTGTCAGAGACAGGCCGCACCACTGACTCGCGCGCAAGGTCAACACTATCCTCCGGATGTTTCGTAGATGCAAGACTGTCGTTGGAGCCTTGAAAGCCTTTCCTACAGGCCAAAGCCTTCCAGTGCCCAGTCACCAACTCCGGATAGTCCCAGTGCGCATACCTGGCTGCGCCATCCCCTCGTCTCCGACGAGCTCCCAAGGGCCGGTAGCTTCTTCCCACCGCGTGAGCTTCGACAAAGGCCGGGTCGATATCCAAAGGGCTATCCAGGAGAACAGATAGAAACGGGGCTGGCAGACCGTGGAGGGTGATAAGTGGCCGCGCTGTACTCTCTACTCTTCTAGCCTGCTGGCTACTAGCAGTGACGAACGCACCTGCGGTCGTGGTAGTCGCTGGCACGCCATGGTTGGCCAGGCCAGCAATCTCAGCCTGGAGTTCGTCAGCCGTTGAGAGAAACCTGCGCTCACGGATATCGCCGCCTCTGGTTGTGAGGACACAGCATGGCGGCGTTGGCGACCCAGGTTTTAGTTTTGTGGACTTGACTGCTTCCGGTTCTGTTGGACGTTCAGGTTTTCGGGTCCGGAATGGAGGGCCAGGAGGCCTTGTGCCTCGTGTGTCGGAGCGGACGCTCGACGGTGGTGATGGGGTTGACGACATGGCTGCTACCCATGCTGGCCCGCAAAGGCCATGTAACGTTGGGGGGATTTGACACACAAAGTTCACTGCTTGAGCGAACTTACTGTGGAAGGCATATAACCAAATGCCGGGTCAGGTGTGAGAGTACGAATGAGCAGAAGATCAAGACGACGCCTAAAGAGGCCAGAGAACAGAACAGAGACGTTGAACCTACGTACGTATTACTTACCACTCGCCTCTCCCATGATCAACATCAGCTCGTTGACAGCCACCAGGATCTCTAGCTAAATAGGCAAGCTAGACATGCAGGATATGATTTAACCCGATGACTAAATTGAAGGTAGGATGCAGTAGGGGTAGCGGCTGTTTTTAGCTCCTCGTGATGGCTGGTAAAGGTGGGGACCAAGACACGGCTGACGGATCAGCTGCGCACGAGATCACCCAGACTTATCGATTCATCGCAAAAGAATTGAAGCTTTTAGTATTGATTAAAAATGCACCCTTACGGGAACAGCAGACACTGCCCAGTCGAAGCAGCAATGGAGCTGCGGCAGCTGTTCATAAGTACAATTTTACCGAGCCCGATGTTGTAGCCCGATACTCGGCACCGATCTGTACCTAGAAATCCCAGTCCTGCATCCGCGTTGCACGCTCAAATGGGTCGGCGTAAGCGGCATCCAAGTGCGCAATCAAGCCATATCAATGAACCATCGTTGTTTTTTTGTTTTTGTTTTGGATATGTTTCATCCTTCTCGAGGTGTTGTTGATGGTGCTTTCAACTTACACCAGCACAAAATATCTAACACTAGCTGTCATTGACTCACTATTTCCCCGTCATGCGCGAAAGTAGACATCGTCAGTATCGATTGTATATCACAGGAGCTTCAGAATCAGAGTCACTTGCGTCAGAGAGGTGTGAAGTATCCGATGCCATATTAAGAATACCTATCACACGGCCGTTTGATGTGAATCCCCTGAACCATTTTGCGAGACATGGTGGAACAGTGGGATTCGTGACTTCTCCCGATGGAAATTTCGCTGGACACGAATTTGGATCGCTTCTCAAACACGAAACAGTGATTCTTCCTCATGTGAGCAGAATGGGCGGAATGAAAGCTGCCACCGACTCGGTGATGAAGAGGGAGGGAGGCGCCGCGGATATTGTATAATTTGAACAAAGTACATTCAGCATGATTATTTGTTTCAGCCATGTAATTTGCGCTCTACCAAAGATTCCGAAGATCCAGTGACACACTGCGTGATTATGTTGTAACACTGGTTACAATATTGCGTGCAGTGGTGCATGACTTGGAGTACATTGAAATTGGCTGGCCACGAACGTGATGTCTTTTAATCAGGACTTTTCATTTGTCTATCAATTGACAGTATAAGTGGAGATTATGGCAGAGCTCACGGTACATAGAGACCTCCAATGAGAAGCGTTGCTAGATAGGATTCTATAAACAGTATCCATAGTCTAAAGTACTGCTCCACTAAGACTGCCCTTGCCTGATGTTGTAGTTGAGAGATTGATTCAGACATGGCCACCACAACAAGGGTAGCGCGAAGGCGAATGGTAAATAAATATGTGACTTGAGCTGCGGCGATGTACACGTTGGTGGCCACGAAGAACTCGTGGACTTCACGTTTCACCAAGTTTGTCACGGGCTTGACACCATCAGACCTCGTGAAAAGATCTCATGCACGGGATCGTGCTCCTTGCACATATTCCAATTCTCAACATCCACAACTCGGGCCATGCTACTCCGGCTGTAGAACAGTAGAGCGCTTCATTCTCCAGAGTGACATTACCTAGTCCTCGGGAGACGTGGAGAATAGGAGAAAGAATAAAGAAATGAGTTGAGTTTTCTTCCGGCTCAGCGGCTCAAATTGAGTGAGACGATAGGACGAAAGGTCTCACGAGAAAAGGCACAACACATGTTTGTCTGCACATCGCTGTATAACAACACTTCCACTGGGCCACTCAAGTTCTCGGTCACAAAGTCGACCAGCAGCACGATGCCACGCCCAGCAGGCAATACAGGCAATATTCTGAATTAGGCACCACATAGAGTATGCGGATGTAGGAGAGCAAAGACCAGCCCTTATCATTATATAACATGGTGGTTGGTGCTGCAAATAGTAAATGATACTCATGCACCGGTTGTCACTCAAGAGTCACCCAAGAAGCAGCAAAAAATCAAGATGAGCTGAAATTGTCTTCCGGTCTGTCTCTCTTTCCCCCCAGGCTCACGAGAAACAACTCCAAAGACACCCAAAGTTAACCACTCCGCGCCGACTGCTCAAGCGAGCTTCATATAGCTGCCATCTCAGTGCATCCATCTTATAGCCTCCACTCACGCGTCCGCCGCACCTTGCTGTTCGTATTCACCTTAGCAGCGCAGGGCCGTGTAGGTCTCAAGCCCACGTGGCCAGAATATGGTTTGCCCGTCAATTCACCGCATGGGCATACGCGTGTCAATGAGTGGTCGAAAGCAAAAACAAGAAATTGCTAGATACCATTTTGCCCTGTCTTTGGTCCAAAACGCCTTAACCCGCAAGACTCCATAATGCTATTTCCCTCTTGCATTCACATCATCCTCCGTTTTGAATGAGTGTTGGTAAGGGAAGTTTAAGAAAGACCAGGGCAACCCATGACATTCCACAGGGCCTGCCCTCTCCTGTATCATTTGTACAGCAAAGTCATATACACTTCTCTCCTCTTTTCGGAATCGGCATCGCGGACTGCTTGAAGCGGTGAGGGTGGAAAGTCGACGCTGGATTCGGTAGGCGATTGAGCCACAGCGCGACCTGTGCCACGACCTGGCGGTATAGAAATTTGGGGTCGGTGAGCGCTGCCTCGCAGCAAGGCTCTTACACTCGGTACAGAGAGCACATAGTTGCGAAGCCTCTAATATCTCAATTTTTCATACCACAGTTCAATGGCCTGGGCTTAATGAGGTGACGAGTCGTATCCAGTGTCAGAATTGTGATCGTCGCCGTCGTGGTGGAGCGTCACGCTGTTGAATTCCTCAAAAGGATCAGCGCCTTCAACACCGGGCGTCGCCAGGCCGCTGTCGAGAGGCACACCCTGCATGGGTCTAGAGCCGCTAATGTCCACACTCTCACTCTCCTTGACGTTGCGGAAGTTGATGGTATCGAGGGCACGGCCCTGATTGGGAACAATTGGTGGCTTCATGTGTCGGATCAAAGCCCATTGAGTCGTCCTGAAGAAGGGATGCACCTTGATATCTGAGGCTCCTGCGCGGGCACCCAGTCGGCGGTTCTCATCTTTGATGAGCAGCTTGCGTATGAGAGACTTGCAGAGACTGTGACCAGGTTAGCAGGACTCGCGTGCTTGTGTAGCCTCGATTACTCACTTTGATATTTGGGGCGCTCCAGCGTGGTCTGGGAATGGGATGTCTTCCCTGAGAATGTTTGCGAACGTCGCATTTCGGTTCTTACCCTTGAAGGGGGTTGTGCCGTATAACATCTCGTAAATCAGGATGCCCAAGGTCCACCAGTCAACGGCGCTGGTGTGACCGCTCCCCTTGATCACCTCGGGCGCGATGTATTCCTCTGTCCCCACGAAAGAGTTGGTCCTGAAGTTGGCGATGCAGGACCTCGTGTCGATCGTAGGTAATGATGTCGTGCTCGCTCCGTTCTTGCCCACGATCATGGTCGGCTTTCCACCAGGGTCAGACTGCTTCGACAGATCGAAGTCAGACAGCATGATGTGGCCAGATTGGTGGAGAAGAATATCTGGCGGCTCAGGTTAGCGGGTGCATATTCTGCGGGAGTCGAGCATACGACTTACTCTCTGGCTTCAAATCTCGGTAAATAAAACCCATCAAGTGAAGGTACTCCAGAGCAGCAGTGACCTCTGCAGCATAGAATCGTGCATCGTCCTCGGGGATGCATTTTCCAGGCCGGGTCTGTAGAGCGCGGAAGAACTCGCCACCACTGCAGTATTCCATGCACAGGTACAGGTAGTCCTCGGACTGGAAGGAGTGATAAAGGGTGACAATGAAGGGGTGATTGCTGGTCGCGAGGATCTCCTGCTCTGCAAGCGCTCTCTTAATCTTGTTGCGCTTGATCATCTCCTTCTTGCTCAACACTGCAGGGAATTTGTCAGCGGGCACGAGACAACAGTAAGGGGCACGCGATGCATACCTTTCATGGCATACAGTCTGCTGCTCTTCTTCTCCTTGACGAGGTAGACCTTCCCGACGTCACCCTTGCCAATCAACTTGATCTTGTCGAAACTCGAGGGGCCGACCTCGACATTGCGGATCTTGATAGAGTTGGAACTGTATGTTCTCCTGAAGGCGAGGGGTGTCCGGCCGGGGGGAGGAAGAGATCCAAGACCATCAGTGTCGGGTACGGCCAGGGAAAGCTCATCACTGCCGTTTTTTGTTTCCACCAAGCCCAGTGTGCTTGCACTTTTGTTCACGATCAGCGGCTCCTTGCCGAGCTCTGCGGTGGCAGGGCGCTCGTTGCTGCCCTTGCCGTTGGAGAACAGGCCCTGGGCATTAGGAGCGCTTGCAACCCTCCTCAATTTCCTCGCGAGCTCCTCCTTTGTGGCAGCAGTGGGCTGTTCGGCAGGGCTGCCATTGGGGCCATCGATCTTGAGTTCTGGGGTGTCAGGAGGGCTTGGCGGTACGGAGCCCTCGTTGTGATGGCGGAGGGCAGGCGGGCCCTGGTGAGCAAAGTAGGGATTGGCGTTGGCGGTGGGACTGAGGGCCTCGTCGAGAGGATGGCCTTCGCTAGTGGTCGTGGTGCTCCTCAGGCGACCGACGGTGGTGAAGAACTTGGACTGGCGGAAGGAGGACTTGCTGTCGGACTTGAAGGGGCTGTTTGAATGGTCGCCGGGGCTCAGGGCCTTGTCGCTGCTGTTGATCCTAAAGAAGTTCTTGAGCTTCTGAGGGAAATGGCTATTGCCATTGGTGGATTTTGTGGAGGGCATGTTGAGGTCTTCAGGATCATGAGGTTGCGGGCGATGCCATCGTGCGGAAAGGGAGCGGCTGTTTGTGGTGATGGTGAACTGGCGAGGCATTGCTGAGGTGACCGAGAACCAAGGACCAAGAACCAAAGAGCAGGACCCCAAAAGCGCAGGCGGCGGCGAGCGAGCGAGTTGATTAGGCTAGCAGAAGGGAGACAGCCGGGTCGACAGGGACAGGGACGCGAATGGGGACGGGCGCGGGCGAGCCTAGGCCAAGTCGAGCAGATCCCAGTGCAGTGCAATCAGGCGGAGAATTGGGGGAGCGCTGGGAGGGGAGGGGGGCCGCCAACTGAAAGTGGGGCCAGGGCTGGCTCGTCAAGTCAGGTCAGTCAGGCCAGTCAGGTCTCGGGCTGGTCTCGTCTCGTCCAACAGAAGCGCCCGGCGGGAGAGAAGACGGGCAGGCGGGCAGGCGGGTGGATGCCACTGCTAATGCAACCACAACTGCTGTGGGTGGGCTGAGGCGGAGGGGAGCAAGTGACACTGACTTGACAGGCGAGACAAGTACGAGGGCGCGGCAGGGCTCTCAAGATCCTTGAGGGTCCAGTAAAATCTCCCTGCTGAGACCCTGGAGAAAGGAAACGCCACGTCGTTAGCCCGCAATGTGCTTCAGCCGATTTGAGCCCCCTCTTCGAGATGGGGAGATACAGCGGGACGAGGAGGAGGAGGAGCAGAGATGGGATAGCACGCAGGTGATGTGATGAGGTGAATGAAGTATGGAGGGAGGGGACGAATGGATGTTGGGATGATGGGATGGGATATGTAATGTATGTAAATGTGCTCTGCCTGTGTCCGTGTCTACATATGTGCGTGTGTGCTGTACTTACTCCGTAGGTACGTATCCTGCTTGCCCAGATGTACAGTGGTGCACTGGGCAATTAGCAATCAGCACACAGCACAGCACAGCAATCAGCAGTCAGGGATTCTTTCGGGGGATAAACTGGTTCCCCCAGCATCTGTGACGCAGAGGCGGATCCAATTGGCCAAGCCTGTGCCAAAACAGACAATTTCAGACTGCCGGGGAGTCCAGGATGTCGTATTCCCTGATGTGAGGAGTTCCAAGCCCGCCTGCAGTCGACGCTTTTGACAGTTGAACCGAACGCCTGGATAAATAAGCATTGGGCCGTGAACGTCCAGACCTCTGCACTCAGTCTGACTTGCAGGCGATCAAGGTAGCCGTTCGTTCTATGTGTTCGCTGCTGGAACATCTGAGGGTGAGCGAGGCCGCAATGCCCCCGAGGCAACGTAATATCTTAAGCATTCGTCTCCCCGCTTTCCAAGGTTGTCGCGAGCTCCTGCGTAACCTCGCTTCCCGCACCAAACAGGCCCCTTCCCTCCCTCCGTTCCTTGTAACAGTACTGTTCATTGTGAACGTCCGAATGAACAAGACGTCCATTCCCTCGTCCTAAAGTCCAAGTTCGGGTTTGAGTCTTTCGTGCCTGGCGGACTGACAATTGCAAGTATGTTTGTATGTAAATATGTACCATTTATTACACACCTACCTGGGTACTGTTACACTGTTACTAGCGCACCGATCATAAATTTGAAGGTTATGCCTTCCGCATTCATCATTGCTGCCCCTGCTCGAGTACCTCATCGTCTTCTGCTGTCAATATCAGACCAGGGTTCATGAATGTCGCTGCCTCGGCAGGCCGTGGTCTGTTGCCTGCTCATCAATCCCGTCTCTTTCACACCACGCACCCGCGATAACCCTCGACGCGTCTCGAGATCGGCAATGGAACCCTGAGCTACCACACCATTTCAAAACGTCTCTTACCAATGAATTCCAACCATACCCGGACAGCAACACTTTCTTTTTTCGGTCTATCTGGCATTTAGTGCAGATCACAGTGGCGGCAGAAGTTGGGTTCCAAGTGATATGTTGTCCAACGTCGTCCAAGGGAAGCCCCCGTCAAGGGACGGCTGGCGAAACAACGGTTCAGCCTCGCCCGTCCCGCAACGGCCAACTACGCATTCGCCAGAGCTACCACGTATCACCTCCGACATTGCAGACTTTCAACGGCCACCCCAGCTTGGCAGCTCGCAGCAGAGCCCCAGGCATATCGGCCATGACGCCCATACTGCGCTGCGCACTCCCGCTCAGCCAGGTTCACACCCACCTCAGTCTCACCCACCGCCTCAGGCAAGACCACAGTCGGGAACTGGCTCGGCATCGACACCAGGCCGGCCCCGGATAGAGGTGGTGCTTGATGCCTCACCACACAAGTCACCCCCGCACAGCGGGCTCTACTTTGGCGAGGCCGACCTCGAGGATGAGCTAGTCACGTCAGACCTCACGAGACAGGCTGCCCTCCCAGCTGCCCAGGTATCCACAGCAGCCACCGCACCCGCCTCGGTGACGCCCGCCCCACCCACAACAGGCAAGCGCCCACGAGGCAGGCCCAAGGGCTGGCGCCCCGGCATGCCCTCCTACAAGACGGGCCTGACCACGGCGCAACGCCCTCCGCCCGGCCCAAAGAGCACGGGGCAGAAGCGCAGGGGTCGGCCGCCCCGCCAGCCGTCGCCGACGCCGCGGGAGGTCTGGGAGAGGCAGCCGGCGCCTAGGTATGTACCGTTCCTGTGCGAGTGGCCCGGTTGCAGGGCGGAGCTACAGAACGTTGTGAGGCTGCGGAAGCACATACACGTGGTCCATGGGCGGATGAACCCGTTACTATGCCGGTGGGCGAAATGCAAGGACAAGACACCGGTGTTCACGCAGGAGTACGATTTCCAAGACCATGTGGACGAGGAGCATCTCACTCCATTTGTTTGGCACGTTGGGGACGGGCAGCGCAATGAGCGGCCCATGGACAATACTGAGGACGCCTCGGAAGAGCTTCCGGCTTACCTGTTGGGCCCAGACGGCGAGCAAGTAACACCGTCGGTGAAGGGCCAGGAGATTCAAGACTTCTTGACGTGGCGGGAAAATCGACGACGACTTAAGAAGATCCTCATGCAGCGAGACGCCAACGCGCCAAGCGAGGATGATGATGAGGACGGGTCGAATGAAGAGCCTCTGCTCGCTTAAGGTGGAGCGAGACCGAGCTATCGCGCCTCTTCGCGTGGCGGTCATACTCAGCATTGGGGAGACGTTCACACGAGGTGCGGCTAGGCGATGGGGCTCGTAATCGGGAAATTTGCGGAGTGTACTCTACCTGTTCTATCTTTGTTGCACAATTAGATACCCCAGACTGGCGATTGGCAAGAATCGCATGCTCAGCCACAGCAGATCGGTAATTGTGATTAATGAGCCCGAGTCACACAGTCAGGTGCTTCCTCAGGAGGACCTGGTGAGATACTCAGCTCGGCGGAGCGGATTTAAGCTCAATGCAATGAGATGGGCAAGCACGAGCAAAGCACGCAGACATCGATGGGCCCGTTCCCCGTTCGGTCCCCGGTGGCCTCTTCCCCTCTCCCCCTGGGCTCGGCATCAACGGCAGGTTGTGCATTTGATGATTCGCGCGTACGAAGTGGTATGTCTCCTGAGATCGGGGCTCAGCCCTGCGAGACTTGCAGGGCGGACGGGCCAATGCAATGCAGGGCGGCGCAGGGACAAGGGAGAACAGGCGCGCTACAAACATGACATGAGCACCAGCGAGTCCTGGGGGGAAGAGGGTGATTTCCCAAAAATAAGTGCAAGGGGGTTACGTCACTGCGTGGAGTTCGGTGGATTTATCAGCATGGAACGGGAAGAAAAAAAAAGAGACGAGGGCGAGGGCGAGCAAGAAGGGTTTGACGATGAGAGATGCTGAGCTGGCAATATGCGAACGGGCAGCGAAATCGCTGGGCTTCTCCTAGTGATCCAGGGATGCCGTACCGTGGGTTTGGATCACTCAGTAGAGAAGCATTGACTAAGGATTGGGAGATGCTGTGAGGTGCAGGAAGGCTGTCAATGGGCATTGCACAGTAGCAAAAGTAGTAGGCTTGCGAAGATGGGGAAGGTGCACTCGTGGCCGGGCCGAGTCAGGCTCATTCCTTGTTGGGAAGGCGCTGTGGGTCCAGACGGACTGCGAGGTATGTACCTAGGTACCTCTGAGCTCCAACGGCCACTACGACTGCACGTCGACCTTAAACCTGCAAATGCACATGTGCTCCGCGATCCTTCAGTCCAGTCTAAGCTTACAAATAGGTTAGCTTTATACTATGCAGTAGACGGATCATATTGGTCAGTCTTTTCTGAACCCTGTTGCCCGGCGGCTTCATCCTCGAGCCCTCACTCTCCAGGATCCCCACGAGAAGCCCAGGCGGTCTCGCGGGCCGAGTATCAACGAGCATAATTGGTGCGCCGCTAAAAGGCATCATGCATCGTCGCAAACATTGATGTGTACTGTGTTGGCATGTTGGCCCGAGCACACATGCAAAGTCATCGTCAGGCGTGTAGTCGGAGGCAGTACCTAGGTAGAAAATGTTTCTACAGTCGCTGAAACTAGATCCTTGTCTCCAGACCGATGGATGAATGATAAGCAGACGCAAGTACTTGCTGCGATCGGAACTGCGTGAACGACACCCTTGTTCGGCACAGGTCCTTTCAAGGTTGCACCACAATGTAGACCGTCATACCGCATGGCAATATTCTAGAACGGTCGGTCAGCCGGTGAGAAGCAATCAACGGCGATTCGAGCTACGACGCGTAAGGAAGGGGGAGGCAAATGCATTAGGTACGGTGAGTGTGGTCACTTTCGATATGGCCCCATTGGACGTGCAACTTGCTGTTTGGCAGATTAGTCTGACTTTTTCAACCAACTTGTGGACAAATTCGACGGTTCACACCGAGACCGATATTCAAACAAAAAGTCTGGAATTTTCAGCCACTTGTCAGCCTCGTAATCAGAATTTTAGAATTTTCGACTGATCACTGATATCTGCATATTTTGGGTGAATGGACTATTTGCACTCCCAGATTTACACGCACGCGTTGTAGGTAGATATGGCCAAAGAGCGAAGAGACGTTCTTGTCAAAAAGGGTGCTCGGCATTCAAGCAATACGTGATTCTCTTGGTCCCTAGAGTGAGACTAAAACGCCGGTAATTACGTTATCCGCCAATGTGTTGACAGACCAGTCTTTTAAACGGCGAGCGGAGGGGATGGTGTTTGAAGGAATGCCATCACCAGACACTCCTGGTGCACTTGAGCTCCGCTGCTAGATTGTTCTCTCAAGATTCTGCATTTCTAAACCACTGGAGGTTGTCATGTCATGATCACGAAATATGACTAAGGGGACCTGATTCCGCATTTAAGACGAATACTCCAAATACATCTCGAAGAGCGAAAATTTTCTGCAAGTCTCCGTTTAACTCTGCTCTGCAACAATTATGCTTGCGACGCATAAGTCCAGCAAAAAAATTCCTGTTTTCGAGTCGCTAGCCAGGGGAGAATACTGCAGAGAACTCTTCCAATCGACTAGTCTCATGTTACTAGTTGTGCTCAACGGAGCAAGCACTCTGCTCTGGATGATCAGCACATGTAGCCATGGAGGCGTGTACAGTTGTTGAAGGAGGTCAACTAGTCGGTACTTTCATCGCTTATCCGAAAATTTGGGCCCATGCATGGTGTATATGTCTAGGTCTAGAGCGGTGAACCCAGTCAAATATCCGTAAATATTTAACCCCGGAACATCACGCTATATCTATTTTTGGTCCTTGGTGGACCGACCGCAATGTAGCTTTAAAATACGTCACTGTTGAACCGTGACGATGGTACAGCGCAGACTAAGGAAGATCGCGCCCATCATCAGACATGGCGCCAACCCTGGAGGCCCGCGAACAGTCCGTTAGAACTTAGATCAACCTTTTCTGAGTTTATCACTGATTTGGCTCCGACCAAAGCAATCGTTAGATTACACATGTCAACTTCGAGATATTCAAAAGGCCTGATGTCTGCCTGATCGAGGGTTCACGGTTCCCTGTCACTTGAGCGTAAAGATTATCTACACATGGTCCAAGACCGCTCTCATCGGCGCGTTATTGTGAATAACGGCACGACTAGTTCAGATAGGTGTTCTATTGCCGGATGTAAACGCGCTTAATTGCTTGGTACAATTGCTGTTCTACATCGACACATCTTCACCAGCTCACCCACCAACGACGTAGATCCGCCTTAAACCAGCATGGACGAGCAATCACTACCGTACTGTGAGATTTCGCTCTTCAATGAGCCATCAACCATCTCAATTGGACGACTGGATCCCTATGGAACAGCCAAAGCCAACTTCAAAGACTTCCTCCGGGACGACAACGGCGAATTAGACAACTGTCACAAGCCACCAGGCGCTGGCAAGCCATGCAGAGTCCTCCGAGTCTGTATCACCATGGGGCTGACCATCATGAGCGTCTTTACCCTCGTGGTGATCATCCTCGCGCTCCTGACTTTGAAGGGATATCTCTCCCCTTCACAGGTGGTCGTCTGAGTTAGTCCAATGGACAGCAATACACAGGACAATATCCAGCCTCCCCTGAGCATTCTACGCACAGCGTCCCCTTGGTATACATCCTCGAGCCTAGGAAAGTTATAGATCCCACGCTTGGGAGTTGACCACTCTGTGTTGATGGATCAGAATCGTCATCAGCAGCTACCTGCTCTGACTTCCTTCCTGACGAAGTAAGTCATGGTCATGAACATACAGAACTCGCTACTTCCTCGCTCAGAACGAATAGCAAGAGAACCTCGACAATGCCGATTTGTGCTCCGGGGTTGTTTACCTTCCAACAACAAACACCATCATCATCATCATCAACTCAACGCTCGTTCACTTAGGTTTACCAGCCAGACAACAAAACCGTTTATGATGCATCCTACCGCTCCTTTTTCGCTCATGCCGGTGGCCATGACCAATCATTCCATCATTATCGAGGCTCCAGATGACGCTTGTGGGTACCTCAATGGCTTGGAAAGGTCTCGATTTGGATGCCATGAGAACTCAGAAAAGTGCGCCATCTACTATCCGAGTTCATCGGTAGCAGCTACAACAGCCATAGATGCAACCGTGCTTCCTATGATTACACCCGCTCCACAGCCCTCCATTATCTGCTGCGTACCCTCTGGAGGGGACTGCACTGTTCAACCGACCGCCTGTGTCGATTCCGTCGAGGATTGCATAGGCATTTCTTCTAGTGACCCCATGACGCTCAAATGCACGACTGGGGCACACCGTCACTGCAATCGTGCGCATTTCGAATCACCACTGCAATTTCGCGACATTGAGGCCCTGGATGCTGGAATGCGACTTACCGACGCACCTGCTGATGGCTGGTTCTGTGGCCCTTCTGCCATACCCATAGGTCATGCAGATACATCGCACAGCAAATCCGCCTCGATGACCCATATGAGTCACCATTCAACCAGTCAATATACCACGCTCAGCGTCACGATTACTTTGTCGAAGCCTGGACTAGAACCTAGACCACCATACATACCTCTTCCAACCGGAGCTGTCGCCCCCACAGATACCGCCCCCGGAGATGTCGACTGCACTGACGAGTCAGCTGGCAGCGATGATTATGATTGCTGCACCGATGAACCCAGCACTCCCGAGCCTTGTTGTAATGACGCTCATCGGGGGCGGCTACGGCGAAGACAAGCCATCGATGGCTCAACGACCACTGCCTTACCAGCGGCAGCACCAGGAGAGCCTATCACCAGAGGATCCGCCATCGTCTCTACAGCGTATATAGGTCAGACAGACCGCGCTCCATTCGTCGAGGCGACCAGACCCTGGAATGTTATTATCCCCACGGCGGTTGCAAACTTTTCGAAAAACACTACCGGTCCCAGACTTCGGCCTTTACCTCCAAAGAAGAAGTCCCAACTCAGCAAAAGAGCCAAAGTCGCCATTGGTGTCTCGGTCTCATTGCTAGCGCTGATAGCCATTGGCTGCAAATTATGGAAGAAATATGGGCGCCCGCCAGCCCCAAGCCAACCGAATTCGGAACATGAACTGAATGAAAGTCAAGTCGACATTTCAGGGAGGACAACGAGATACGAGGACTTTACTCGAATGAAGCGCAGGGTCGCGAATCTGAGCCGGCCACATGATATCCTCGATTTTGGAGACGTGCAAGGGCAGCCAAGCGCAGCTTTCGAAAGGCAGCAACATATCTCTCCTGAATCTGGGGCAGCCGCGGATGACGAATCGGCAGAGATGGAGGCATATGTGAATATGATGGGCATCGGATCCGCTACATACGAGGAAAGGAATACTGTTTAAAACAATCGGCGTTGTTGAAAGAGTGCCCATTGAGCATCCTTACTAGGTAGCACAGCGCGTTCTTTGCGAATTGTATATCGGGCAGAGAGTCAGTCATTAGGCATATAGACTGTAGCGAATGTGATTTGATCGTTACTGTATAGACTAATTATACAGCATACAGGATATCCCTTTGATTTGCAACCAAAGTGTCTCCCCCCATTTGTCATCAACGCGCATCGGGCTCTTTGTCATGGGTTACTTCGCTCTCCGCCATAGTCCGTCCCCACAATCGCGAGGACGAGTCTGGCGATTGATTTGCACACAGGCCTTCGCAGATTTGCAGGTGAATATGGCTAGCGATGTTTAGTGATCCTAAACTCAATCGTGCGAGATGTCGTCTTGCGCCTTGGGGAAATTTGGCCGCCAATTATTAATCGAGCCAGCGACATTTGGCGGGGTTCGCACCTCACAGCATACCGGAAGTGCATTGCGTCAATGTCCTGAGACATTAGGCACTTGAACGTCTTTATAAGTACGGCCTGAGTTTCCTCATCTCAGCATAAGTTGAGACTCTAGTCAATGGTTTCATGCCACAGAGTAAATCTACAAACATAATCTGGTAACACATTACTACTTCTTCTCAATTCACTTTAACGCACCAATCTGGAATCATGGCATCCGTATCAAAGTCCTTCTTCGCCGTCGTGGCTGGTGTAGGCGCTGGAACAGGCGGTGCAGTGAGTCTACCATCACTATGTGAGAATTCCATTACCGACAAGATCTTGCCACTGACAGCAAACAACAGGTCGCAAAGCGCTTCGCAAAAGCGTACCCAGTGGTGCTGCTCGCCCGGCGGGAGGAGAGCTTCAAGGACCTCGTCGCCGAGATCAACGGCAGCGGAGGACAGGCCATCGGCATCCCAGCCGACGCCGCAGACGGCGCGTCCGTGAAGTCGGCATTCGACACCATCAAGAAGGAGCTGCCTGACCTGAAGCTGGCCGCCGCGGTGTACAACGTCGCTGGGGGTTTCGGCATCAAGCCGTTCCTGGAGTTCAAGGTCGAGGAACTGGACGCCAGCCTCAAGGGGAACGCGTGAGTGAATCCTAAGCCCTCGTCAGCCGATGGGGGAAGAGAGACCCCCAACCCCTTTCAGAAGCGCCTGTCTAACGATATGTTACGATTCTACGCGCAGCCACGGGCTCTTCAACTTCGCCCAGAACACCCTCCCCCTGCTCCTCGAGTCGGTCGACTCGTCGCCCAACCCACCGTCCCTAATTGTCACCGGCGCCACAGCCAGCATCAGGGGCAGCGCCAAGTTCACCAACTTCGCCGCGGGCAAGTTCGCCGCGAGGGCCATCACGCAGTCGCTGGCCCGGGAGTTTGGGCCCCAGGGCGTGCACGTTGCGCATGCAATCATCGACGGCGGCATCGACATCCCGCGCTTGGCCGAGTACAAGGATAAGTTCAACAACGGCGCCCCTGACGGGCTGATCTCGCCTGATTCGGTAAGTGAAGGACGCTTGCTTGGGGACATGGCGATGAGGGAGGCTCAGTCTGCTAACGTCTTGTTTTAGATCGCGGAGGAGTACTGGCATTTGCACGCGCAGCATCGGTCGGCTTTCACTCAGGAGTTAGACCTGAGGCCTTATGTGGAGAAGTTTTAGGGGGGGGGGGTTCACCCCAGATGTGGACGGAGAAATACGGCCATTTCACATAAGCAAACAGTGAAGTGAGGTGAAAGTTTCTTTCAATGTAGCCCACGAAAGAATGTCTCACGTCTGGTAAAATGCCTGGGCGTATTTGCAATCCCTGACGCTGTCCCTCGCTCGCAGTAACTGACCTCATGATGTACACGATCCTTCATTCCCGCGCGTGGGCTGCGAATATGAGTAGGCGGAGTATACACTCGGCTAGTGGAGTGCGGCCATACTCACGCACGGCTATCTTGGTGTGCACCTGAAGTTGTCGAGAGGTGCGACGCGATGGCCGGCGGAGTCGGGTCAGCCTGTGGCTTCCAGCGTTATCTTCGTTATCTGAACGTCCAATGCCCGGTTCAAGTGGCAGCAGTGGCTTCTTCTTCCTCCGTGGCCGCTGGAGCCTCCGAGGCCCCTGGGGGTTGAGCAGCCTGAGCAGCCTCTTCTGCAGTGGCATCGCCGGATACCGGCTCTCCGTTGAGGTAAGGGATGCCGTATTCCTTTGCCAACCGCTCGTCCTCCTTTCTCTGTCGCAAGCGCTCGGTCTCCTCACGCATTTTTTGTAGATTCCAGATGTCGTCATCCTCGTCATCCTCGCTCTCGTCATCGTCGGCTCCACGCCAGTTGCCGCTCTCAAACAGTGTCCTGCCCGTAGCTTCCTTGGCCTTCCGCGCTTGCTCCTCCGCGGCCTTCTTGTCCATTCGCTTCTTCTTCCACTCGGCGAATGATTCTGGGGTGACAGGAGTGAGCGTGCCGACTAGCTTGTGCCTCTCCGATTCAAGGAACTCCTCGAGCGTCAAAGTCTTGAGTGGCGACTTGTCCATCAGAGCCTTCTCCGCCGCCCTCTGCTCCTTGGTCTTGAGTATAAAGCTGTTCTTTGTGTTAGTCAGGCTCTTTGGGGGCTGGGATTTCGTCGCAAAACTCACCCTGGTGGAAGAGCATGCTTGTACATGCACTTGTCACCACCGTTGGGACAGATCCAGAACCATCCGTATTTGCCATCCTCGATGGCCTGTACGAAGTACTTGCAGACCTTGTCGGTAGTTGTCCGCTGATTGCCCTTCTTGGACAGGACGACCGACCGCAGCTTTTCTTCGTCCCAGTCGGCCGAAGTCTCGGCCTTCTTCTTCTCATCCTCTTCCGCGCGTGTATCTTGGTAAAGACTCTTCTTCTCCGTCTTCCGGTCCAATTCGAGATCGTGCGAGAACTTGCACTTCCTCCCTTTCTCGCAGTTGCCTTTTTTGTGGAAGATACAGAGGACAGTTTTCGGATCGACTCCGAAGGGGACCTTCTGGATCTGGGCGGGCTTGTTGAGCAGCAGCTCAGCTTCCCTCTTGGCATCCTCCGCGGCCTTCTTCTCCTTCTCGCGCTGCGCCTTCTCAGCTTCTTTCTTCTTTTGCTCGGCATTGCCTCCGGCCTTCATCTGTGACTGAAGTTGCGAGATCTGCTTCTGAGCGGCACCACCCTTCTTGTTCTTCATGCCAAAGGTTCTGTCTTCGACGGCCTTCTTGGCGTCCAGCTTCTTGCTGGGGCCTTTTTCGGTCTTTTTGGGAGGCATCTTGGCTGTGTGGGTGAGAACCGCTTCGATAGTATATTTTGCTCGCAGGTGCTCGAATCTTAAAAGGTTGCTGGGACAGTAGAAGCCTGGAGCCCAGCGGAAAGGCGTCGTGGGGGGTGGAGGGGGGGCAGTCTGAAGTTGTAAGTCGACAAGGCAGTAATAAAAAAGCGGGATGTGGTCCAACTGAGTCTGGTGCTTCGCCGTGACGCTGCGGGTCCACTTTGACGATTAGGTAAGTGTGGCCAGGCCAAGCGTAAGCTGCATGTACCGCAGTTGACTACAGACTACGTACACATCGGCGAGGTACCCTAGCTCGGCAACCTCCAACAGCTGTGAAGTGGCCTTGTCGCAGCGTCGCCTTCCGCATTCCATTCCTTTCCAGCATCCAAGAACCAACCATACCTGAGTGTTTCCGAACACTCTCTAGGTAAGTGAAGAGAAACCCAATTTCTTGAATGAGTAGCAATGTTTGGTATCTAACAAGCCTGTCATCTCCAGAGCTGCACCTTTCCAAGTCTCCGTCGCAAAGCCGTACGCCATACGGAACAGTTGCCATAATGATCTCCGACGACGACCTGTACAGGCTCGCCCTGTTCCTAGGATCTGCTGCTATGGTCCTTATTGTCGGATACCACTACATCGAGGTCAATGCTAAGGACGACGAGAAGGCCACCGCACAACGGGCTGGAAAGCAAAGCGCCGCACTTAAGTGAGGGTGGTGTGTTTTGGGACAGACAGGAATCGGTCACGACAACCGACATTGTATCATCCAGATCACTCGTGGGATGCCAACAGACAGCAACCGGAGGTTCAGACCAGTGGTCGACAGGAGGGACGCGCAGAGCCCTTGAGAGGGCGGACAGATGTGTCGCTTGAACCGCAATCGCGACTTGCAAGGAGAGAGACTGGTTGGGCGACAACGATACTAGACGCACTGCATAATCTCGAATACATTGCAGCTTTTGCTGCGCCGCGTTGTGCGCACCTCCTCACAGACATCATTCGTCTTGTTTTGACATGAATGCGGCCGTTTTCCGACGCGATACCTCGGCCTCAAACCAGAAGCAGGTTCATGTGCGGCCTACAGTGGTACATAACACGAGCATGTTCTCAGAGTGAATGATATACATGATGCGCCCCACGCGCCATGGTGACTGAGAAAGGCACAGCATGACGTGGAAGTGGGAATTAGTCACAACTTGAACTTCCGGTATATTCGCAGAGCTGGAGCAATTCAACCACTGTAGATTGCAGCAGTGCGTTCATAGGCCACCCATCTAATTTGGGTAGTCTACCTCGTGTACTTCAAGCTCCAGCTTGCATGATATTGGAAAGGGGCTCAAGGGGCATCAGGGTTCGGGGTACACCCTTCACTGACTGGTTCCTTAATTCACTGCGCCACTCGGTCAACAATCCCTGCAAGCGGCCTCTGACTAGGTCGCCCAGGTCTGCGAGCTTGTCCCGTCGCCTGGTCGCGCCCTGAACGCAGCAGGCAACAAAAGGCCAGCCGCTTTCCTCGTCCCTGCGCCCACCACCTTCCACCCCAGCTGAACCTTCCTCCCAGCCTTTTCATCCTCGCATCAACATAAAGCCACTCTGCCATTTCCAAGTCTGCTCAACACATTTGACAGACTCCCGATCCACATTCATAACAACTGCCACTTTGGTTCTGCCAGGCCTTTTTGACTTCTCGAAACGCGACAAGCGACAGCCATAGCTCAGTCTTCATTCCTTCTGCCACTCTTCGCATCGCACGCAGCCTGCGCAAACACCCAACGATCTCCACGCGCCAACATCTTTCTGCATCTCGCGCACTTCATCGTCACATCTTACGACCAAATTCGCTTAGCGACTATTACGAATCACGCATACCTTCGCGCGATTCGACACCTGCCACATTCTCTCGAGTAGATCTACTTATTTCTCCGTCACTTCCACCGCTACCAACATCAACATGTCTGGCAAGCTCGACCAGTCTCTCGATGAGATCCTCTCCACCAACAAGCGCGCTCCTGCCGGTGCCCGCCGATCCGCCCGCAAGACCGCTCGTCCCGCTGCCGCTACTCCCGTAGGCGGTGTCAAGAAGAACACCAAGCCTGCACGCGGTGCCGCCGCCAAGCCTTCATCCGCCAAGGCACCCAGACCCTCTGGAGAGAGCAAGATCATAGTGAGCAACTTGGTAAGCTTCCCTTCCGTTCTCTTCATCCAAATTCATATCTAACGCGTTGTCACAGCCCAAGGACGTGTCCGAGAGCCAAATCAAGGTATGTTACCGATGAGGCCATTGTAGCCTTCGGGGACTTCTGTCGACATTCTACCCGTCGCGTAATATACCGACATGATCACGCCGTACATTCGGACGAGAGGTGGCGATCCATCCTTTTCAATACCTCTGTCCTGCTGGCCCGGCCTGCACACTGAGACTCCTTCCTTCCATCCCAGCAAGCTCATTTCATGCTGCTGGGTTTGTGCAAAGAGAAGTCGAGCACCTCGTTTCTCACTAAATGACAGTATGCTTGGAGTGCCTGGCAAGCATCCAATGCAAGCTTTGTCTGTGACGATCAAAAACGAGGGCTGAAGTGTGAGGGCCTTGTGCGCCAATCCTGTTGTCTTCATCTGTGGCAGGTGAACTAGATGGCAACACGGACAACAATTCCCCTCGAGCAAAGCAGTGAGCATCAACGAGCACATTCGTCGCTTTTGGCAAGGGCGACCTTTTCTTCCGACCTTGCATTCGATCTTTCTTCCGATCCCGAGGTGTTGGGCGGGCCGTGTCCTGCGGCAGACAGAATTATCTCATTATTGTGGTTCTGGACGCGAGTGCTTGAGCAGGCCAAGCCAGGAACCAGAGGTGGAAATCTTGTGAGATTGAGGATGAAACCTCGATCTCAAGATCTCATTTTGCCTGAGTGTCGAGATGTCTTGGTGACAGAGACTCTTGCCCTTCTCCAGCGCAACATGGTTCCCCTCCGCCCGCCAGCTGCGGGTGTGGTCGATGGTCTTGACGATTCCCTCCACTAATGCTCACTGCTTTGCTCGTCTAGCCTTATGTTTTGGATATGCGGCACATTGAATACCAGCGGTGCATTTTACGATCATGGACGACGAATTATTGCCTCGGCGCACCTCGAAATTTCATCGCATTGTTTTGCTGACGCTTCTTCTTCCCTTGTTCAGGAGTACTTCCAGAGCGCTGTCGCAGGAGTCAAGAAGGCCGAGCTTGTGTATGGGCCTGGAGGAAGCAGCCGTGGAATCGCCAACGTCGTTTTCCACCACTCTGATGGCGCCAGCAAGGCCTACCAGAAGCTGAACGGCCTGCTCATTGACAACCGGCCTATTAGAGTAAGTGAGACCCAGTGCGATGTTCCTCGTTCCTTACTAATTAAGTGTGCAGGTTGAGGTCGTCGTTACTGGAGAACAGGTTCCTGCGCCTCCCACCCTGAGCCAGCGTGTGAGCCAGCCCAAGGCTACACCCAAGTCCGCCGCTGCGGACAAGGCATCCGGCAAGGGTGCGAAAACCGCTGCTGGTGGCAGAGGCGGTGCCGCCGGCAAGCGCGGTCGTGCTGGTCGCCCAAAGAATGCCCGACCTGCCAAGAAGACAGCTGACGAGCTGGATGCCGAGATGGCGGACTACTTCGATGGTGCCAAGAGCGGCGGTGATGCCACTGCCGCAGCTGCGACCAACGGAGGCGATGCTGCCATGGAGGACGAGGTTTTGTAATTGAAACGGACCGGCGGAGGGAACGTGACTTGGCCGCCCTACACACAGCGAGACGCCATGCCGACAGGAAAAGACTTGAGTTGGTGGGCGTCCCGCATGCGGACATAATCAATCACGGAACCTTGTCTCTTTTGCGACTTTGACGGCACGGATTAGGCCTGGGGTGTTATTCGCTAGGAGATTATCGATACGGATCGGATCGAGTTGGGCATCACAACGGCGACCAGATTGGACTCTTTCACCGTGCCAGGACGTTTCGATATTTGAGCTGCGACGGCTTCTTTGCGATTATCGACGATTATCGACACGTTCGTCGCCTTCATAGAGTGTGTTAATAACGCGGCACTTTGTCATCAATCGTTTCATCGATCTCCTGTTCCTCGTCTACTATATTCATGCTATGTGCCCTCACGATCCTAATGGTTTCGCACCGAGTACCCAAGACCTCTACTCACGCATTTTATCGGCCACGGTGCATGAGGAGAAGAAAGATGTGACGCGCACCTTACGCGTCAGATCAAATGTGTTACACCGTCGATACCATCGTTGCTCCCAAAGACGCCTCAGTCTTGGTTAAAGAAAGAATAATGCAATCGCCGAACAATGCAACTCGCGAATAACTTTCGCTGCTTAAATCAGCACCAAACCACGCCCTTCTTTGCACCCAGTTGCCTGTCTTTTTGCTTTTCATGGCGTAGACGTGGACACTGGCTGCATCTCCCACTTCTCGCCGGCGGGCCAGGCAGTGAGCCAGGCACCAGCTCGGGCGTCCTGGGCTGCTTCGGCGGCGCCATAGCTTCCTCCCTCCCTTACTACTCTTTCATTGGCATGCTTGGCTGTGGTGTTCGCGAGCCTTGATGCCGACGCATCTTTGCTACCGGTTTTGATCGGATCCTGCCACTTCTCACCCCTGGGCCAGGCAGAAAAATACTCCCCGCTGTTGTTCAACATGGCGCTGGTCCGGGTCTTGCCTAGTGCAGGTGGTTAGTAAGGGACTGTTCAAGTCATGCGTGTGAGCAGTGCTGCATCTCCTGCAACTGAGCAGCGAGGAGCAATGCGCAAAGCTCAAGTCGGCCAAGCCGAACCCTCCGTGTTCATCTGGCTTTATTAGGCCACACAGAGCGGACTCAGTTGGACGCTTTGGCACGAAGAAGCCGAGCATCGGAAGAAGCGAGGGCAGGAAACCCAAAGCGGCATCACAGTGACCCCCGAGCATGCCCAAAGTATCTGAAACCGCGTGCACGCTGCAGCCGTAGGAGATATATCACCTGCAGAGACCGTAGCGAAACACGGCCCCTACAGACTGGCTGCAACCACAACAAGGCAATCAGGTTTTTCCCAAGCGAACAAAGGTAAGTTCGATCGTGACAGAAAGAAACGACCGCTGCCAGGCACTCAAAGATACAGTGCTCCCCGACTAAGATGAACTATGAGGCGGCTGGCGAGCTGGCCAACCGCCTGGCGTGACTTTGTCCTGCTTACCTTGCTCGGCGTAGAAATGAGCGTAGCTGTAGCCGGTGTGGTTCTTGTCCACGAGGCGACCGACAGACTGCTTCGTCGTATAACAAATGGCCCACGCTGCGCGCATGAGGTGCCAGGGCTCCTGCGATAGAAAACAAAAGGTCGGAATGTTCTTGGTGTTGGTTTTGCTGCTTGCTCAGACGGCTGGCGTGGACCGGCGAGAGTCGAGGTGCGCAGTGTCTGAAAACGGTGGAGATGGCCATGACGGACCTGTCATCTGCGTGAGATTTCTTTATCAAAGCCCCAAAGGAAAAGAGTTGGTGGTGGTATTGGTCAGGAGGCAATCCTTTCTCTTCGCCGTTGGCCTAAATGGAACCAATGGTTCAACGAGCCAAAGTAGGCATCCAACAGTGACTGTGCCTCTTTTCCTCCAAGGCTATCTGGCTCACTTACTGTCCACACCGAACTTGGGGCTTACACTGTAAGAACCAAGCGATAGTAATACACCATCTCAAGTTACCCCGGCCGATTTTAAAATAGAACAAACGGTGCAGCAAATGATGACAAACAAATACACCTAGATTGCTTGGCCACAGCGCCAGTATTGTGACCATTCAAGACATGTATTGTGTTTCTGGGATCTTATTTCTCCTACTCGCCTGGGAAATTTTCATGCAAGTAAAGCAAGCTCCCGCGACGATTTGAGACAGAATAATGCTTTTCCAAGGTCTGGGGCTGGAGATGAGATAGCTGACCCAGAACAGCCGTAGCGAGCGACAGAGTACGCTTGCGGAAAATGCACGAGGCCAGAGCCCACGAATGAAGGACAAAAGGCACAAAGTGGAGAGCAGTACAGGACCGAACCCAGTCTGACCATTATCATCTGGAATTCGTAAGGCCCCTTTGTATTGTGGTGTATTGGTTATGCAGATTTCAATCCGCCAGATTCCGCGAGAGCTTTTGACAGCCGCCGTCTTTCTCTCCGACCAACTCCGGGAATTCCGAACCGAAACATTTCTGCAGACATCTCGTACTCTCTTCCTGTAAGAGAACCCATTACCTCCTCACGACGCCGTCACGAATGGCGGCCAGGGTCGGCTTGATGGTGTTTGGTGGGTGTGATGAATTAAGCAGCGGGCTTGGACTCCTCAGCGGGCTTTGCCTCGGTCTTCGCCGCGGCCTTGTCGCCCTCCTCACCCTCCAGGGCGGGCATGTCATCGTCGTCCTCGTCCTCGTCATCTTCCTCCTCGTCCTCGCCGCCCAGTCCGGCACCGCCGCCAAGCTTGGAGAAGTCGATGCCGCCAAAGTCGCCGCCTGCGCCTAGAGAGGAATCCGGTCAGCTTTGTGTTCTCCAATACAATCTGGCTCACCTGTAGGTCTCAAGGGGAGCAAGTCTACGGATCGAACTGATCACGCATGTGGATGTGTCTTTGACTTACCCATGCCAGGCATGCCTCCTGTGGATGAGACGTGATGTTAGCTGGCCGTAGCATTAGACAAACGGAGGGAACACCGGTGATTACTTACCCATGCCGCCAAACTGAGACATGTCCTCCTCAGCAGCCTCGTTCTGCTCGTCCTCGTCGACCCACTTGTCGAAGTCGGTCCGCAGGAAGTGGACCTTCTTAGACTCCTTGAGCAGACGGGGCCAGTAGGCCTCGTTGAGCTCCTTCTTCTGCAGCTTGAGCTCGACGTTCTTGCCCGTGTGGTTGACCTTGGTGGCCTTCTCGTCGATCTCGGCGTAAAGCTCGAGCTCCAGGTGGTAGGTCTTCTTGAGGGTGTCGGAGTGGCCGGTGAAGGTCAGGCCGGTGGGCTTGAGGTCGAGCTTGAAGCTCTCCTTGGGCACGTCGGGGACGGTGATGGTCAGGTAGACGAAGTTCTTCTCGGCATCGGTGCTGGAAGAGCGTTGCGCCCAGAGAACTGCGAGGGTGGGCGTGAGCGCATGTCAGCAAGGCACGGTCGTGTCAGGTCTCAGAGCAGCGCGGTGACGCAGGTTGCGCGATGCGGAAAGACTGGGAGGCCACAGGGTGGAGGAAGGGGGCTGGAACTGCAACAGCAGCTGGCAGATTCAGTTGACGAGGGCAGACTTACCCTCGGGAGTTGCAGTGGTGGCCATTGTGTGTTTTGTTGGGGAATTACAGCGAGTGTCGCAAAGGTGAGGATGTGGGATTAGGAATCAGAGGTGATAACTTGGGGGAAGTTTTGCGGGAGCTGCAGGAGTGGTCCGGCGTTTGTCGTCTGGCTTGTTGTTTGGTTTGTCTAGGATTTTGAGAGAGAGTGGGGACTGATGTCGTTAGGCTGCTGGGGGGAGCTCTGACGAGGCAAACGCGGGGTATGGGCCAGATCCAAGCCGATCGATATGAGCAGACAGGCTGTCGATTGAGACGTGCAGAGATGCAAGCACACAGACGTGATATGGCAGATTGACTGATCAAGATACTTCAGCAATATGTTGTTGTTGTTGAAAGAATGTTTGCTTTCAGAACTCCCTTGCGAGGAATAAGGAAGGGAAGCTTGTGTGCGAGGCTGGGGGTTGCACACCAGTGACACAATCAGGTCCAGCTCATGGAATTTCTCAGAACCACGGAGATCTGATGCCCCCCCATGCCCTCCCCCCTGGAGCTACACTCACTCCAGGCAGTCGTTCCTAGGACCCTGGACCCGAGGCGCCTCCAATCCCCACACCGCCTAGGCCTAGGTCTTAAGGCATCCTTCCGGTCTGCAGTCTGCCAGTCCAGACTGACAGAATGAGTGGTCTCCCAGTTTTCCAATAAGGCTGTCCCACAGGGCTGGCGTTCTCTACAGGCAGAGGAAAATCCCAGACTAAGCCTGGACAAGAAGCAGCAAAGTCCCAATTCGGGGCACTGCTCACCAATCCGATTAATGGAAAGGGGGCCCACGCAAATCACCAACACCTGCAACCAGATCCTCGTCGTCATAGGCCCTTGTACGAGGAAGCTTAATGTAATGTGGAAAGGATAGACATTTATCCTCGCTCGCAAACAGTCAATGTATCACTTTTATTCTGTTATGCCTCGGAACACGCCTCAGAAGCTACGTACGTAACCATACATCCAGCGTGTATATCACACCTGAAGTCGTCTGAGGATAGGTCAGTAATACCATTAATCATATTCACTACCAGACCTACCAGGGCTGTTGAGGGTTGATCGCCAGTGTTAGGAGGGAGTACCCTAGCCTGGACAGGAGACGGGCGCTAACAGAGCCGCAACCTAACCCAACCAACGCATTGGGCGATGGACTGTGGGCTCAGTGCTCACGTAATTCGCACCCGTCGCCAGGCCAGACGATCCACAGGCACTACGTCAACTCTCCTGCAGCGACAGTGACCTACAACAGTACGCGGGTAGTCTCGTTATCTCAATCGTGCGACAACCGCCATTCCAAGACCGTGACTGTCGCAAATCCACCGTACTGTACTTCAGGGCCGCTCCAGATCCTAGTTCAGAACCGTCTCCAAACATGGAGACGTTAAGAGGTCTCTTCGTCAAGCCAGACCCCTCGGCCCAGGTCAGTCCAGCCAGCCCCTTCTCTGCCCAACCAAGCCTGCAGCGCAACTTGTCGATGTCTCTCTGCCTCACATGTTTCTCACAATATACATGCTGACTCGACCCGTGCCACGGTTGTAGGTGCGAAAATGTAACATGCTCCTCCGCCAAAATATGCGCAAGCTCGACCGCGACATTACCCAAGCGAAGCAACTCGAGATCAAGGCCAAGAACCTCATCGTTCAGGCCGACAAGCGGGCCCAGAAGGACCCCTCGCGCAGGAAACAGGCCGAGAAGGACGCACGCGACTTTGCGCGCGAGCTCATCCGCGCCCGCAAGTCGTCCGCGCGGCTCGTCACCTCCAAGGCCCAGCTCAACTCGGTGCAGATGCAGGTGAACGAGGCCTTTGCCGTGCGCAAGATCGAGGGCTCCATCCGCACGTCCGTGGGCATCATGAAGGACGTCAACATGCTCATCAAGCTGCCCGAGCTGGCCGGGACGATGCGGGACCTGAGCGTCGAGCTGATGAAGGCCGGCGTGATCGAGGAGATGGTCGAGGAGACCCTGCCCGAGGACGACGCCCTCCTGGGCGAGGACGAGGAGGCAGAGGGCGAGGTCGACAAGGTGTTAGGCGAGATCCTCAAGGGCAAGATGGAGAAGACGGGCCAGATGCCCAGCGCCCCGCCCCAGAAGATCGAGGAGCCCGCGCAGCCTGCGGCCGTCGAGGAGGAGGACGAGGAGGACATGGAGGCTACGATGGACCAGATGAGGAACAGGCTGGAGGCTCTGAGGAGCTAGACGGTGTAAAGCGCTTCTTTGTGTCTGGTACGAGAAGGGAGATTCATGGGTCGACGAGATCATCTGCACGGAGTATGGAGTTGGGTTTCATGGTTTCTGGTCTGTCATATAAACCAAAACGCTTTGGATCGGTTTGACCGCCTGTGGTTTCATGACCGCGGGCGTCGTCGGGAGGAGCACGTGCTTTTCAAGACTTCATCTGTTTATTCCAAATCATTTATAAATGGTATCATGGCCCTCGTCGTCGCAAGATATGGCAGCGTACAAGTCGTATAGACTTATAACTGCTTACCTCCCAGCTCAATAGATCAGGGACCAGTATAACGAAACTAGAGGAATCACACATCTCAGGATATAGCAACTAGCAGTCGCACATTCATGCCGGAAACTGTTAGAACGGCATCAGGACCAATAAACCAGCTTAGGGATTGAAGGAGAAAAGTCCCGCCAGACGGCGAGATCTTATGGTCACCCTCCGGCTTGCTCACCACTATCGCTGGCTGGACCAAAATGGCCTCAATAATAACCTCAGGGACTCGACCATTCCACCCAATGACTTTTTCCTTGAGATTAAATCGGGTAATTTGGCTTATGAGGCGACGGTACAGAGGGCCAGCTTCGCCTGAGTGGTCACGCCACATATCCATTCCGTACCTCACAGCCGTCGAGAGGCATGAGGCAATCCTCGGCCACCCTATACCCTCCTACAGCTTCGCTTCCTTCCAGCAACGGAAGTTCTTAATGACCAATACTTCGGCCAGGATTTGCCTCGAAGGTCCAAAGATTCGATAGCCACCACTCCAGTTTCCTTCCCAAAATGAGCTGTTGTCTTCGTTCGGGCTCGGGTATGACCCCCGTTCGTCCACTCTCGGGCCATCGACTTGCACTTGCATGATGAGACCATGAGTTATAGGACGCAGCCACGGTAGTATGGTCAATTTCGAACTCGTCCTCAACAAATGGAATACGAGACATTTCGACTGAGGGAACTCAGCGGATGCTCCCCAACAGAAGCAGCATGATCGCCTCTGATCTATGCTCGACAGCAGCCCTCTGAAAAAGCGCGAACCTGAGAGTGTACTCTCTGCCAACCTCCGGGGCCACGTTCGACCACTTTTTCCAGTACTCCTCAGAAGATGATGGAAATAGCGATAGGATTGATAATCATTCAATTCTCACTCCTCGAGGCTACTCCCTAGAAAGTCCTGGGGAAATTCCTGGGCAGGGTGTGCCGTACCCAGTCCTCGCTTGCAGGCACGAGGAGCCTTTGTGTGCGAAGTGTCGTCATTCTCGACTTTGCCTGTGACGACTGACATCTCCACCGTGCAGATGTGTTGTTACCCAATACTGAAGGGCTAGTCGGTAGTCGGTGGTGACAACACTTCAACGGGCTACACCAACTGGTCGTCACTATACTTCCGCCGGGCACTTGCCCATGAGAAAGCCAGGCACGTATAGTTTAGGCTCGAACGGAAGACGTAATTTCGAGAATGATTCATTTTGCGCCTGCTGGAAAGACAGCAGTCTGCGGCGCCAGCTATCTTTCCACGAATCACCATCACAAACAGCTCAGCCAAGCAAGTTTGCATTCGTGACAGCGGAGGATGCCTCATATCGAGTTGTTGGGCCACGCAAGCGTGGCTTTGAATCAATTTGGACCACTGCCCAGAATCTCGATCTGTGGTGGACTTTCTTATCCGCCTCTGTACCGACACATATCGATACATCATGGACAAATATTGCCTGCTAGGCACTGAGTAGGGGCATCGGGTCAGCATGTGATGCAGCCTTGTTTCCCAAAAGCCTGATACTACTGAGACACTTGTCTCCCAGGGTCGCAATCCAGGTCGGCGCCTCAGCTATCAAGGCCTAACACCAGAGAGCGCCTGAGTCACCGGACAAGGCCTCAAGGTGGCCTTGAAGGTTGGCCGTGGGGGTCAGTCAGGTGAACCACACAACCACAGCCACGCTGGTCGGTCCACGCCACGGCAGCCAGCCACCTCACTGGGTGGGAGACACGACAGCCTGGTCGGATACTCCAGGCTCCGATCCACGGAGAACGTCCGAAGCCAGTAGGTAAACTACCACGACCACCTACCTGCTTGCTGGGCAGCTACTACGTAGCAGCTGGGCTATTACTCACCGCTCCACAAGCTAGGAAGATTTCCTGGCATGTGAAATATGCGGCTCTCCAGCCTTCACGAAACGAGATAGGGCAACAGCCTCCTATCATAAACGCTGCAGTCACCAGGTCTTTGTCGCTCTGAAACATGAGAGCGAGGTGGATGGGCAAGTGGTTGAAACAGTCTATGATCTCCATCCGCGTGGGGCAGTATGCACCCGAGATCCATTGTCTTGGTGGGATGGGCTGGAGGGGGAAGATATCGGACTCCCCACCGCAAGAGACGGTGCAGCGGGGGACGAGAATTTGACGCGAAGTGGTTTTTCCAGATTTCCGGTGTTGGCGCCGCCTCTTGGGGGCCACTGTATCTATTATCCGCAGGATCTATCTATCCGTCAGGATCTACCTCAGGAAGGGCTCCACCCCCACGCGTATCTTCAGACAGACCCCAGGTTGGGAAGTGGACACTAGGACAAAGCTGTAATCAGGGTAAAAAACATCTCGAAGACTCAAAGAAGGCGAGTCCAGGCCCGGACCATGACCGAGGAGCTGGATGGGACATCAGCGGATGTCTGCCAGCCAACAGATTCATGCTGGCTGGGCAGAAGTGAGATTGAAGGCATCTCGTGTCCCTGCAGGTAGTCAAACAACGTTGCATGCCTCTCGCTCCCGGACGTGCAGCATCACACGAGTCTTGGGGGGTGGCGTTCCAGACGTCCTTCTAGAAGCATGTTCACGATGTCCCTTACCCGATCGGCGGGACAAAGTTCGCGCTGACATCAGTCAGTCAGGAGAACCATATCAAAAAGAGCTCGACCGCGCGAAGGAGAAGCTCAAGCTTTTCTGAGTTCTCGGGTGCAAATTCCAATTCCGTCGAGACAGACAGTAGACGTGCCGTCATAGCTCGTGTGTGGAGAAACGTCGGCGTCTATCAGTCACCCCATTCCTGAGTCGTTTGCCGGCCACGGATGGAGGGCACATCCATGGACCACCTCCGCGGGGAAGATTGAAACGGTGACGGGTTCATGACTGATTCATTCAGCAACACCTTGTATTTGCCATGAGCCATGGCAAACCGTTTGCCCCCCGGATCGAAGCTTTTGAAGCTTTGATGACGTCGCCGGGTGGTGTTCTACTGTTTTGTGATTATTGTTCCGTGCTGGTAGCTACTGCACCCAGGGTCCTCGCTGGGGGGGATCTACGTTGTCAGGAGTCAGTCAACGTTGAAAAGTCTGCTCTTTTGCGACATTGATGCCCTTTTCCGGATGTGGCCAATTTACCGACAACGCAAATTTGATAAACCTTTTTCCCTTCACCAGTCTCGGTGTCTCTGGGGTCTCAGATCGTTGACATGTGTAAGTTGTTCGGGCAATCTACCACCGAGAGGCGCACAAGACCGCCAGCAAAAAGATCGTGATACTGTAGGGTTCCTCTCGGCCCCTGATTCTAGAGCGCATATTGTTCGTGATCCGGAGCTTTTCCAACGACATGTAGATCGCGGGTGTCTCAACCCATCGTACTCGGTGTCTAGGTCCATCTGGACTGATCCGGGACGATTTGCGGGGTTGGCCTCGACCTCGGTCGCAAGTTGGCTTGAGCGTTGGCGATTCCAACGTTGATCCATCCGACCGTGGCCGGCGGCGGGCCGGATCCGTGCACAGCGAAGAGGATACCCATAGTAAAAGAGGCGCAACAGTACATAGCATCACAGCAAGGCCGTGGATCACCATCCCTGATCAGACAAGATTGGCGCCGGCCCGTGGAGATTCACTCCAAGGTTCGCGTTTTCTAGCCTCCCGCGTTTTATTCGTGACGAGTCAAACTAACCCCCCTCCTTCTCGCCCGTCTATGCGCTCGGCCGAGTGAAACTGGAAAGAACCAAGCAAGCGTCGGGAGTATTATTCGTGAGAGATCAACCAAACCTGCCATCCCAACGTCCCCTTTTCTCCGGGGATACTCCGCCGTTACCCGGGATGCCCAGATCGACACGAGACAAGGGCTTGTCGCGGGTGATGTACTGTGCCGTGAGGAAGATGGCCAGGCCTGCCAGCCATGAGGCCAAACTTCCACAAATACTCCATTCAGGCGGCAAGACAACTCACCCATCAGCAGAGTTGAGCAGGCGTACGAGACAGAGCGGCGGGGCAAGAGGGAAAAGTTTGGGTTGCCAGCGCAGCGTGCACACAGCCAGCTAGCTCATCACCGCCCTTTTTTTTTGTCATGTTGCGTTTGCAAGTGTTGCCTGGACAATGCATTCGACGAGATGCCCTCGCTGGCAAGAGTCCAGCCCTATTCAGGCGCATGAATAGATCGGTTGGCTATGCAGGGAAACCAAGTCACCTTTTTTAGCAGAATCGGCCGGCCGAGGCCAACAGCCTCTGGCTCCCTCCTCCCTGGCTCGCTTGCCGTTGGGCCTCGACGGCCCCAGGCCTGCGCGCCTGTTGTTTGACCGCCTAGTGCCCAGTGCCCTACGCCCCAGTGCCTGCCTGTGTGTTTGCCTGCCTGCCTGCCTGAGCCGCAGCGGTCCGGAGTAATGTCAAGGCTTTCCACAAGTACCGTGCTTGGAATTGTGTACCGCTGGGTCTGCGTTAATGTAGCATTTGGGGTCTGCACATATCAAGTACACCGGCTCACTGGCAGTCGAATCTTGAGAGTGCCGCACATATGGGACGGTGGAACACAGACACAGACGTTGCAGAGTTCGCGGGGAAAGTCATTGATATGCAAATGCCCTGATGCGGTATGATGATGCTATGCCACTAAGTACAAGATTCATCTCGACTCCCTCGACTCAGTTTCCCCGCCACGATGATGAGCCAGGAGGTCTTAAGCCTTCGGAGGCCGCGAAACTTCTCAACTCGTCCTCCGCCTGTCAACCTGTCATGTCCCGTCGAGCCCGGTAGCTCTGAGCTTGGCCACGGCTGATGTGAGAGAGTTGCTTCCATCACGGTCGCACGGAGAGGCATGTCGCGAGGAATAAAATGCGAAATTGCGGGAGTGATGGAGGTGATGCGATGCGCTGCGATGCGATGCGATGCGACGTATGGCCAGCCGGTCTGGCGGGACGGGACCAGATTGACGGGCGGGATTTGACATGACGCCCTAAAAACAGGTAGACTACTACCCAGCCTAGATATTGCTGGCATAGCACTTGCCATGGCCGCCTCTTCAGACCTTCTGTCGCACACGCATATTGTCGGTGAGGTTATCTTGGGAGGAATCTGAGTCAGTTGCTACCATAATCCATAATCATGGCTGATCCGAAGGGTCGCACAAAGAAAGGGTGATCACTGATCCGCCTCTCCGCACTTTTCTTCCCCAGGAAACCGGTTTGACTCTGGGGGGCGGCGGGGCGAGAGGGGGGCTCTGAGTGAAAATGATGACGGGGCGGCGGAAATCGTGGAGAAAAGCGGCGGGCTGAAAGAGAGAGGGCTTGCTCAATCAATTAAGCTCTAATGTACCTGGCTGAGCACAACATCTGTACCACGTTGTGGCAAGGGTGCAGCAGCCTCCCGGGCTGGCAAATCTCTTACACGCCTGCGTGCGCGTACGTGTGAACTGGTCATGGCCGTCGAGCAAGGAAAACAGCTCTTCCGAGGCTTGCTGGCTGGCTATGTGTCCCATGTTGTGCTGTAGCCTCCCAGCCCGACGCCCCTTGGACGGACGAGCTGAGAGGGACACGACTAAGTTGGCGACGGGATGATGACATTCTGACTGCCCATTCGTGTGCGTGTCGCCGGGCATGTCCAACCAAGACGAGAAAAGCTAAGGCAGCGCAGCGTATTACGGCCCAGGGCGAGGCAAAGCACGAGCCGGGCATGGTGATTACGCGAGTATTGCGAGTCTCGCGAGTCTCGACAGAGTTTCGTGTCGCTCTAGACTCGAGATGCCGAGATAGTTGCGATTTGCTCGACGCGGCTCGGTCTGCGCCCAACCAGACGGCCTGGAGTTGGCTCGTCGCTCTTGTTGGGCCTTGGGAGTTGGGGTCGGCGTTTGGCCTGCCCATCCAACATCCTGCCGCTCCTATCCTACGCGGAATCCTCCACACGAGCCTATTTCCTAATTTAGGCCCGAGCTGAAGAGGGAGGTCTTTTTGTACGCAACCAACAGACGACGGCAGATGGTACCCTCCCTCATTCTGCCATGTTGGGAGAGAAGCAAACGCCAACACCGCCAACCGCGGACCAAAAAGCACAGGCAATCACAATCACATCCAAGGAAGGGAAATGAGTGGTGATGTGTCGAGGCCGGCAAAGAGAGCGAACGGATGGCCGTGTTTGTTTCAGCACTGTCTGCTCGAGCCCGGCTGTTTGCATCTGATGCCCCGGAACAGGCCTGCTGGCCGCGGAGCTGGATCCCCCAAGGAGAAAAGGAAACGTTTCGAGCGGTGAGATGGCGCTCCCCTGGCACGCCTGGACGCGATGCGATGCAATAAGGGACGACGGTAAGTGAGAGCCGGCAGCCGGGGGCCTCTGTGAGGGCGAGTCTGTGTGTGTGTGAGTGAGAGTGATCGACGTTCGGGGAGCGATTGGCGAGGTTCCAGGCCAATGGTAGGGCTGGCATGGACGAATTGCCGCCGGAAGAGGAAGCCTGTGCTATAGTGGCATGCGGCAACCACAGCAGAGAAGCAAGAGAAGGGGAAAGGGGCCCAGAGGCCAGAGGCCCAGAGGCGGAAGAAGAAGAAGGTTCCCGTAGCGTGCGCGGTGTATTCTTTTGATTCTGCAGACCCCCTGCTAGAGTCCAACCACCCTCCATCTTGTGGAGGCGGTCAGACACTGCAGGTAGAGACATGACAGACTTGACAGGCCGTTGCGCCTCCCCGACCGCCTTTCTGCAGGCATGGGTGCCAATCTCGCAAAAAAGAGACCTGGATAGCTGTTTGCTTCTGCCGTCCGACCCCCCTTCTCGGCCTCTGCCACTACTATACCTACCCTTTTTGGCAGCGTGGGGGGGTTTGTAGCACCCCCAGGGCAACAGTACTCTACACATGTACACATTGTATCGCGTCGTATCGTCTCGCCCCAAGGGACTGGCGATGAGACCAACTGAGACCTCGAGAGACAGGGGAGATACGTTCTGGCCCGGCTGAAGGGTGACATCTGGGCCTTCTGGCAGGCCTTCTGGCCCTCTTGATCTTCCCTTCATCCCCGAAACCCGCCGGACCCGTGGGAATGTTTGTATGTAGCCGATGTACGTACAGTACGTACTTTGTCCCTCCAAGGTTGTCACATCCCTACCCCTGTCTTGTCATCGTCTGCCCTGCCCTGCCCTGCCCTGCCCGAGTGTGTTGCCTTCCCTCGGACACGCGCAACCAGCATGTGGATGATTCATATATCATCCTGGGGCTCCCTCCGCGGTCTGACTCTCGGTCCCCGTAAGGTGGATATAATAATTCAAGAACATCACGAACTTCTATCTCTTCACGGCTTGCCGTTGACAACTGTCTCTCGTCTATCCATAACTCACACACACACCACTCTTCACTGGTTGTGACATCGACATCCTCCCAACATCCAACGCCCACACCAACAGCGTCAGACGCAACCCCGGCTCTATAATAAGACACACGGCTGCAACCACTTACACGCAGCCAACGCCCAGAGCGCGTCAACCAACTCTGGTTTACCAAGGGGATATATCAAGGCCATCACTGCCCTTGAGACCTCGCTGGTCAACAGAAACAAACACTCACCATCAATCTCGCGTCCAAGCACGCTCTTCTCACACAGTCACAATGTCCTACGGGTCATACAGCTCCGCCTCGCCGATGGAGATCCCATCGCGCCGAAGTGCATACCACAACTCATACCTCGATGAGTCCTGCGCATTCCCAAGCTGGCCACGGCGAGTTTCGCTGGGCGAGCACGGCAACGAACAGCCTCGGGCGACATCTTACATCTCAGACGAGGACCTGCTGTTCCTCTCAGAGCCCGTTTTCGCCGACGAGGATACGCACTCAGTTTCCAGCTACGGATCCGGCACGCCATCACCACGCCTCGCGCCAGTCCGGCATCTGGGCGGCGCTGAGCTCGAGGAGATGAGACGCGAACAGGCTCTTCGCCAACAGGAGCTCATGCGCTCCGTCATGGCCGAGAAGGAACAGAGGCGACAGGCCGCGAAGGCGCACAAGCAGCGCAAGTCGAGCTCCAAGAAGGCCTCGAGCCCCAGGAGCAAGCTCTCGGCCATGACACCTATCGCCGAGTGAGCAACACGAACTCAGAGGCGGGCTGGCTGCCTTGCTGACAGCCGCCCTCCCGCGGCGATGGATGCACTCACACAATGTACGTATAAGCTTACCAACATTTCCAAGTTTGTCATCACCATCGCGCGCCCTCGCAATCACTCACCCATCCCACACAGCCGAGGGAGTGTTGCACAATTACCACCTTAATCCCGAGGGTCCTTTTGCCTGCAGATTGCCCTCCCCCAACTTACCCGATCACAAATCCTCCTCGCATCCCTTTTTTACGCCTCTGGATGGTATGGGAGCTTGCTTGCTGACAGTCATCATACAGTCTTACTCATCGGGTTCATCCTTCAGTGACACCCCAAGATTCCATCTATTATTTTTATTCTATTCGACTCGACCCGACACATTGTCGGTACCCCACGGATCTACGAAGCCCCCTTTTCGCGTCGTATCTGCCTAATCTTTTTTGGTTTTCATCCAACCGGCAACCTCACTTTTATTTTCACTTCTTTTCTCAGAGTCACACTTTTTTCACTATGGCGATGCATCTTTGGCGGATGCAACAGCGATGATGACAAAACCGAAAGCACCACAGGAAGACGCACACCTGATGCTTTTGGCTGTGGTGTCGTGGTAAGGTCATCGGTCGCTGGTCATCTGTTCTGGCCTGGAGGACGACGCACTTGACTTAGGGCTCATGAAGCACACGCAGCCGGCCGAGACATACTCACCGGGTGCGACCTAGCGTCGATCTGTACCGTTTTGGGGTTACCCGGATCTGGCGCTCGCCTATTCCACCTTCGCCCTTATCAACCCTTTCGGCAAACCGGGCTGTCACGCGGCGGTGTGCGCCGCGGCGCGACCAAGAGCAGCCATCGGAATGGAACGGGCTGCGCTTGCGGAGGTGCGGAGGAACCCTCCCCTCCCCCAACACGGTCACACAATTCAGCCGGATTTCCATCGGGAATTCTTTCCTGCTTTCAATCTTGCACACCCACACTCAGTTTAAGCTTCCGAGGCTTTGGGGCGGCTGTATCACCCTCGCCAGCCTGGGGCAGGCCTCGGGCGGGCTCGGTCAATGCATCCACATTCTTTTCGCTCTCGCTCATCGGCTGCACGCCGGCCTTGCAATCACCACAACTAAAGCCTACTGCCGACAAGAAGTTGCAAGCACATCCAAGGATGTCACCTTCTTGCACCTGCGAGCCGACCTCGGCTCGAAACAACCGCGCGGTCCGAGGAGAGTCAAGTTACACTTCGACATTTGATTGATTTTGGTTTTATTTTTTTTTCCGGATATTCGATGACGGACAGACGGACATACAGACAGACACGGAGACACAGAACATATCACACACGGAGTTTAGGATCTGTCACCACCAGCACTGGGAGACTTGACGGGATGCTTTTTGCATCATATTTTGGGTTATCAAGCGAGCGATACTCGGGTTTTCCTCTTTACACATAGCTAGGAGTTCATGTCTGGAGGCGCGGCGCACACAGGGGAGACTGACACACTCATGTCTTGTCACCTTCGGCGTTGGTCCTTCTCTGCATCACATCTTCCTGGCATCTTAGGTAGTTTTTTCAGCATTTCGGTAGATACCCCCCGCCCGTCACCACGAGTGCACGCGAGCCTTGATAGCAATTCTTTCAAATCATATTGATCACACACACACACATACTTCGCTTTTAAAAGTCCACCTGTGACATGAATAGCCTAGCGAATTGATTCGGGGGAAATCCACCTAGGTCAACCTCCAAGCCTTTGACCTTTTTCCCGCCGGTGCCTCTCCGCCCGAGCCTAACGGGCGCCCGCGCCGGCACAATATTAGGCACATCCAAGAGCGGGTTTGCGCCAATACACGATTTTTTTCAAGTCACACACACACAGCCAAGGCGTGAACAATTAAACTCACTGTACCAAAACCGGTTGGTCTTGTTCATACATCATTAATATTAAATATCCATGAAGATAAAAATGAACAAAAAAGGTCCAGCCTACATCGTGGGAGAGAGTGTGATCCAGACATGGTCTTAGAAATTGAAGAACACAAATCCACCAAATGTGGCAATACGGTAGATTGTGCCGATAATTGCAAGAAGGCTGGATGCACATTTCAGTGCTCAATTCCAAGGAACTGTTATCATAGCATGTTGGGATTTGTTCTAGAAGCTGTTGTATACTAGCATTACAAAGCTGCTATGTTGTTGAAAAAATAATTGTTGATTTTTTGTATTTGCACAGAAGCTTTCTAGGAGAATTCAAAGGATACTACATTTACAACAAGTTGCAGCACAATCATCATCTTTAGTCTCTATATGATCCCATAGTGAATGACCGTCTTTAGAGACCGTCTTGGCTACGCTAAGGTCATCCTGTCCTGAAGCACAGTCAATGTGGTTTTGGAGTGCATCAATCATGTCCTGCCGCGAGTACATTTGGGCAGTCTTCATCGCGGTCAAGCCGGACCAGCTGGGAGACGAGACGTCAGCTCCGTGGGCGAGAAGACACTGAACAGCCTCGACGCTCCCAAACCTGACTGCGCGATGGAGAGGCGTGCCGGTATACGAAGCACGCGGCCGACCGAGCGCCTTGGGGTCCACTTCCATCTCGTTGGCATCTGCTCCGTGATCGAGTAGTATTTTGAGTATTTCGACCCGTGAAGGAACGGGCTGGAAGTTGCCTTCATCGATCTCAGTAGCACTTGTGGTAGCGGCTGCGTGGAGGGCTTGTGATCCTTTTCTCCTCGCGCCATGTTCGACTAGCAGCCTTACTGTCGAAGGCGAACAACTTGTCGCTGCAAGTGTCAGGAGGTCTACCTTTTTACCAAGTAGTGGTGGAACATTTGGGTCTGCGCCGTGGTCCAACAACCAACGCATACAAGTCTCACGGCCTAGAGCCAGCCTGAGGAATTATTAGCTCAAATGGACATCTATCCTTCGATTCAGTGTATTTCTTACTTCAGCGGCGTGGAATCGTCAAAGAAACCATTTAAGCTTCCTCCCTCGCGCAGCCAGGCCTCGCAGAATTCGGAGCCTTGATTTGTCCAGGACTTGAACATGAGGCTAATTACACGGGCCGTCATCGGAATGCCTTGCCGCAAGAGCGACGAGAACGAGGATAATTGCCCGTTCTCCACGGCTAGGTAGAGAGAGTGCTCGTCGTTGGTGCTTGCTAATATCTTGAGCCTCCATTTGCTATAGGTCTCGTCGCCTCCCACGGTGGTCGATTCCATGTTGTAAGATTGTTTGATAAATGCTTCTGAAAATAGACTCAACTTGAGGGTCTCGAGGAAGTTGGATCGTGACAGTTCGAGGTACGCAGATGCACTGAAGGCACCCGGTGAGACGATCCCTACGGCTTCACGGCATGAAGGCTCGATTTGCAGTACAACATATGTTGATTTCCGTTGACGGTTGCCTGAAGCAAAAAAAGAGAGGGGCCTGCAGTGCAGGGCCCAGCTGACGTGCAACCCCACGCCCTTACACCCAGCTCGCTTACAATATCAGGAATGGTGAAGGAGTTTTAGATGTATCATTCAATAGCTAGGCCACTAAAGAAAAAGGTACCTAAAACCGATTATATAGCTTCACTACGACCAGAGAAGTATGTTATAGAAAATGGTTATAAACTTGCTTGCTCAACATCTATTAGACACTACTAGCTACCTAGGTCTAGACCACGCGGCATGGGATTCATGCAACAGGCGGTAAAACTTGCAATGTGGACAAAATATAGGTTAGCCAGAGAGATGAGAGACGAGTCTTAGACTGGAATAGACCAGACTATGTGGTTGATTGTTGAGCTGTATTATATTAGCGAAGATGATAGTAACAGGAGAGACTGTCCAGCCAGCCAAACCTCGATATATTGCTGCAGGACACCGGAGCCGAGCTTGGCTAATGGAAGAAAACCCGATGAGTAGCGAATAACAGGTTGGTCTTATGACGGCGCTGCGGGCAGGCTCAGTGACTGCAGGTGGGCCATAGCGCACAGATCACCTGCAGCCCCAAGGCCCTCTGCTTTTAAGGCCTGATTGCAATCGGAGGCAACCTTCCCTCCTACTCTTTTTTCTCATCAAGACAAGGTCTTACTCAGAATTCTACATAAATGAGCATCCTCATAGGTTATATCATGCCTGCCTAAGGTCCTATTCTACTAGCATAGGCTGCTAGCTAAGGAAGTAACATTAGATAAGGATATGGAGATTAATGGAGGGTTGAAATACTACTATGTAAGTGGAACTTTATAATAGTTTCATAGCTCAAAATTAGCAAAAGCCTGGAGTAATAATAACAGACCTTCAAGATAACTGATGTACAGACCACAAGACAATTAAATGAAACAGAGTAGTACTCTCTAGGTCATAACTCTTTTATCGAATACCAAGCATCTTTCTCCAGTTACCCTTCTTTGGCACGCGTACAAGCCAGTACAGAAGAAACGCAGCGCAGACATTAAAGATAATGTATGCCCAAATGAGGGCGTAGTCGCGGTATCTGTTGCTGTAGAAGATGTCGGTCGAAGCGAGGAACTGATCCGTGCTGGCCATGGGGCAGTACTGGCAGTTCTCGGTCGCGGACGGGTTGTATACGGCGCCCACGGGGAAGGACTCCAGGTATTCGGCGCACGTCTGGTTGGCGCGTGGCTGGAAAACCAGAAGCTCCAGCTCGGAGCACCGCACCGCGTTCTGGCCCACGCCCGTCGACAGCATAGCGCTGATGATGTACGTGATCGGCGACACGCGGTACATGAAGATCCAGAAGCCCGGGAGGTCCGAGCGAGGGACCATGACGCTGTGAAGCCGGTGTTAGTCAGCATTTGTTCTGCGTGCGATCTCTCTATCTTTCTCTGTTTCTCGGGGCACCCAAGGCCGCGAAGGAGGTTGGTCAACTTACCCGCAAAAGATCAGCGACAGCGCAAACATGAGCAGGGACAGGATGGCGCCCTCCTCAGCTGTGTTAGCGCCGGCTATGCACATGTCGGCGAATGTGGATTGGAATAGCATGAAGGTCCAGACAATCAGAAACATCAGACCGCCGCGCTCGGTGACCGAGTCGGTTGGGATCCCGTTGTTGTTCATACCAACCAGGTAATAGAACGGAAAGAAGATTAGAAGCGAAGCCAAGGTTGTCCACGGAAGCTCCACGACGATGTTGGACAGCATGAACACGTGCCAGGAGTACATGCGCGACGCAGATTCACGGCCCTCGTACTGTTGTCGTTGGATGATAAAGTGTGGCATGGTCTGGTACACCAAGAAGGCGAAGATAACGAGGAGCATGAATATGGAGAACATCTGGTTCTGGAGCCCGGAAATAGACAGCTCGGCCTGGTAGAAAGAGACACCAATGAACAAACTCTGCTCACACGTTAGTCTGATGGCTGTCATGTTGTGACTTATCGGGCGTACGTACCATGCCACCGCAAAGGAACAGCTTGGCGTACAGGTATGATGGGCTCCGCCAGTACTGCTGAAAGACCCTCTTGGTGCAGACAGCGACCTGAAGGTAAAAAGGCGTGGCGTAAGAAGACGACATATCGACCTCGTTCCCTGGGTTGGATGTTGACGACTGCCGTGCCTCGAGCCGCCCGAGTTCCTCCTGCACCTCTGCATATTCGCTGCTGTTGTGCCAGGTCTCGTGCCAGTCCCGATCCGCCCGGGCTCCCGGCGCAGCCCCGATGACCTTCAGCATCCATTCGGCCGGGTTCTCGGCCACGCCGCATGGGATGGCTCCGTGCTTCTCGAAGTAGCCGGTAAGCGTCCTGCTGTTCTCCCCAATGTCGCCGAAGTAGACCGTCTGGCCACCCTTGGCGAGCAGCAGGAGCCGGTCGAATTGCTGGAACAACATAGCTGAAGGTTGATGGATGGTACACAAGATAGCCTGTCCGTGATCCGACAGCTTCTTGATCAAGGCGGTAATTGACCAAGACGTCTGACTGTCGAGGCCCGAGGTCGGCTCATCCAGGAACAGGAGTAGGTCTGGTTTGGCTGCGAGCTCGACGCCGATGGTCAACCGTTTCCGCTGCTCAGTATTCAAGCCTGCGAGATCGCACTCGTTAGTCTGATCGGCCCAGGAGAATCGGGGCCCTTTCCACTCACCTTCGCCGGGAACACCGACCATGGCTTCCGCGTAGGCCTCCATGCCCAGTAACCCAATCACCTCCTCGACGTAAGCGTGCTTCTCTGCCATTGACGTGGTTGCGGGCTGTCGAAGCATCGCGCTGAATCGCAGGGCCTCCCGCACTGTTGCGGTTTCGAGATGGATGTCTTGCTGCTGGACGTACCCAGTCTGTCGTTGAAATGATTTCTGTCGGAGCCGGCCGTTCACAAGCATATCTCCAGTCACCACGCCGACCGTCACCCGATCCGCTAGAACATTTAACAGCGTGGTCTTGCCAGCTCCGGTGGCACCCTGTTGTCGATCAGAATCAATATGTTACCGGCAGCGGTCGCGGGTACTCACCATCAGCGCTGTCAAAGTACCAGGCTTCACCCATCCGTCAACGTGATCTAGAATCCTTCTACGCTCTCCCTTGATGGATATGTCGTAGCAGACGTTGCTCCAGTGGAATATGGAATCGGATTTCTCTTTTTCATCCGAATGCACAGCTGCATCATTGTCTGATCCTTGGCGCTTCTCCGTCGCCCTGCCCTCAATGCGGACGGGACCAACTGGTCCGGACTCCTCATCATCGCTGGCGTATGACTTGGGCGATTTGTGGCCATGCCCCCGGCGGAAGACCAGGATCTCACCTTTGCTGGGATGGAGTGACAGGTATTCGGCCGCAACAATGTAGATTACCATAAAAAACACGACGAAACCAATGAGGATGCCGAAGTTCCTGTTTCGCACGGTTAGCGACCCGAGGATACCGCGCTTTCCTTGTCAGTCCTTACCTCCACAAGTGAGAGTGGTAATAGCCGTAGAGATTGTTGATATAGAAGTCCCCGTCAATGTAGTCCTGGCCGGGGAGGGCCCCCGATGTCGCACAGGCCCTTTGTGCCGGAGAAGCATCCATATAGGGCAGACCCATCGGAACGAATTGAGTACAGGGGAATTGGCGGCCGGAGAACTCGTTGGCAACAAGACTCTCGTACGCGTAGGCGATCGGGTCGATGTAATTGATCCAGCGAAGCCAGCCTTGCATGCTCCTTGTTGGGAGGACAAAGCCCGTGTATATCACAAGTCCCAGAATGAGCACGGCAGCCGGGGTCAGAGCTTGCTGGATGGACCGAGATCCTTGTGCGATGGTGCGGAAGATCATCGACATGGTGAATGTACAGGTGAAGCTGAACAGGAAGAAGATAAAAAAGGGGCCTGCCTCTCGACGTAGGTTTGTCATGAAGTACAGCGGGACGTTAAAGCAGATGGCCGAGAGGATCTTGCTCGGAAGCTCGGTAATCATGGACGAGATTGCTTCGGAAAATGGGTGGTACAGGGCATAGCGATAGTGTTTTTCCACGATTGGGCGCTGCACATAGAGCGAGAATATCTACAGACGCGTTCGTTGATGATTAGCAAGCGACACACAGCACAAGCCCACTTGGTATACGACGAACCTCCAAGGCGCAGCTCAAGGCATTGAACAGAATGGCGAAGTAGAGCAGGATACACTTGCTGTTGAGCGTCTCGGCGGTGGGAGCAAGGTCGTAGTAAATGCTGCCCAGTGCAAGGGCGATGACCAGATTGGCCGCAACAGTGATAGTGAAAAATGTCATGTCGCCCCTGAGTCGTTGAAGCCCACGAGACATGCAAAGCTTGACTTGCATTGGGATCGAGATGGTGTAGGGCGACTTGTTTCTCCTGTTGAACAATCAGTACGATTACTTCCAAGTGATGTGTCCCCGGGTGTGCTGGCACTAACGTCAACGAGGCTTGCCGCGACCTTTGGGCTGCCTTGAGATTCTCATGTTCCGGGCCATTGGTAGGAGACGTGTTCTCAAAAGTTGCGATATCATTGATCAGCTGTTGCCGCTCTTGACTGAACTGCCACGCGCTGGCGAAGTCATCGGGAGACTGTGGTACCGCCCTGACGTCCTTAACGTCAGACCGAATAATGCGTTCCTCTGGGTTCGTCATCGAGGTGAGAAAGTCTGCTGTTGTCTGACGATCGGGGCAGTGATAGCCCAAGTCAATGAAATACTGCTTGGCCCTATCCTTGGGGCCGAAGTAGATTTGTCTGCCCTCGTATAAGACGGTGACTTTGTCGAATGTCTACAAAAACAGGTGAGTAGGGTCGTCGTGGCGATGTAGCGAGGAATCTTCGGAACGCTCACATCATATGCAGGCTGGGAGGCTTGGTACATGGCCACAATAGCAGTAGTCCCCATCAGCTCGCTCGACAATCGGAGGGTCCTCGCAAACTCCAGAGCGGTCGCACTGTCCAGGCCTCGTGTGCTGTTGTCCCAACATTGAATGGAACTCTGGCTTAGCATCACCTCGGCAATACTCACTCGCTTCCGTTCACCACCGCTCACACCACGAACATAATCATTGCCAACCCTTGTGTTGATTGTATGGGATATGCCAAAGACGGCCATGACAGCATCCCTGACATGGCGAGCGTATTCTTGACGACTAACGCCAGGGAGCCGGTTCTTGGGGGTCCTTCCCAAAGCTGCAAACATGAGTGTCTGACCTACAGTCAGCTGGGGGAAGTGTATGTCTGTCTCCGCTTGGTAGATGACCTCGCCGCGGAATCGACTGTGCATCACGGCCCAGGGCACCCCTGTTCGTCTGTTACCATACTGTTCTCTGGTTGTGAACATTGAACGCAGCCCTTACCTTGATAGCTAAGCATTGACTTGGCGTCGAGATGGAGACCCCGGACCTGGCCAGCGATTGTTTTGAGCAACGTCGAGACACCACTGGATTTCCCTAGTCAGCCTGGTCCAGCCGAACCGCCAGAGGGAGAAAGGAGGACAAAAGGCACAAAGGGACAAGCTTGCCTGCCTGGACGGCCGAGCACCAGGAGCATCTCTCCGCTATTGACCAAGCCGTCGAAGTCACTGAGAATCTGAATCTTCTGCTGCCGGTTCGAGATCCATTCCTTGGCAATGAGAGGCGCCCGCCAGAGCACGTTCATCACATCCTTTTGGTAGTCAGTATCACTTCCAAACCCGTGGACGCCCAAATATCGCCACGAGACGCCGAGGGGTTGGCGAGGGTACTGATCAGGGTCCTTCGAGAAGGCATGTAGGAGAGCTGAGATCCATTTCCGGGGGTCAAAGTCGGCCGAGTTTGGGTCCAGAGAAGGGACCGGGGAGTGGAAGGGATTGTCATGTTGAGTGCCGGCCGATCTGGCGCCCGTTTGACTAAAGGACCTAGCGAGTTCCGCAACACGTTCATCTTCTGCCCTCGACGAGACGTTGTAGACCTCGCGTGCGTCCCCGTCGAGCGTATCCGAATCTTCCGCTGCTACCAGATTGGCCGAGGAATGATTCAAGCTGCTTGACTTCCGGCTAGTAGGCAGTTCAACGCCATCTTCTCTCTTGTTCCGATCTGACATTGTGACGAGTTGCAAGACGACGAGTTGCAGCCAAATAAAAAGCGAGAGAAAAGAAGAAGAAAAAAGGAAGACAGAGGAGAGCCTTCACCTGGCGCAGCAAGCCATCCAGGGCCGTTCAAGCAACAGGCCGGCGACATCTCCTTATACCCTCTCTCTGCTTTGAGAGATCGGTCGCTTACCATACATACTCAAGGCTCTGGTCGACCCAAGACTCCATTGCTGCCGAGCGGATCGCCATCTTCCGAGAGCTGTTTCCCGAGCCTCGGGGTGGAACCCTCGGTGCTCTTCGAAACATGTGCGGTGCAGACGTGCAGACGTAATCCGCACAATAGGATGGAAGACGTATGACGCCCACCAAGACCCTATCTATGTAGATCTATGCAGCGAGCCCTCAGCCCTATACTAAATGCTGAGCGGTCAAGGCCGAAGACGTTCATTTTTGTTCTGCCGTATGGTGTCTCGGAACCGACATGCCTAGAGGAGTTTAGTGGTGGTGGACCCGGGTTAGACTCGGTCCAAGCAGTGACCGAAACACCACTGTTGTGGGTATTTTGGCGACGCTCCATCCGCTTCCCTACCAGTCGAGTGCTCCCATCATTTCCGAACCAGAATTATATTGTCGGCCGCTGATGCGGTCTCCCTACCGAAATGTCCGATGCGCCAACCAGCCGTAAATTTGCCAGGACCTGCGACACCTGCAAGTCCCGCAAGGTTCGTTGCTCAGGTAAGCTTCCGTATCGAGGAGCGCATCGACACCATGAGAACAAAAAGAAACGGCTGATTGTTGCTGCTCGCAGGCTATCCTGGCCCTTGTCTGAGTTGCCTCGTAGGTCCCTTGAAGCGTCCTGGTCTCCGTAATATCCTGACACTCCAAACAGCGCCGGAAAGATAATTGTCACTTCAGTCCAGTGAAGCCACCGCGAAGACCCAATGGTAAACTCATTACGCCAGTGCAACATCGAACCCAAAGCTGCTAAAATTCAATGCATAGTCAATGTCGAAGTCACAGTCAACAACTCGCAAAGTCCAGGGGAACATAGCCCACGCATAACTGAATCCGCTGGTGGTCAAGTCAGTGTCAACGTGATGAACCCATGCTGCAAATAGTTGCTGATATAATTCTTCAAAGCCCGCCGACAATTTGCCAAATCTCTATGTTGACAAGCTTCTGGCTCAGGCTCGAACTACGGGTAGCCTGAAGGACAGCAAACCATTTGCCGTTGAGGTATGTTGTGTTGGCGTTTCTGCCGCTAGGTTTTCTGTTGACGGTATTAGGGAAATGGAATATTTGGCACGTTCAAACGGCGCTCCCTACCAAGACTCTTCTAATCTTTTACGGCAGTTGGCAATTATAGAATGACGTTCTTCTCCGATAATAAACTGCTGCATATATCGAAGCAGTTACAAAACAATAAAGTAGACGAGCTGCTCGGGAAGATTACATCAGTAGTCCAGTCTCGCCTACCACGACATGACACGGCGTCTTCTAAACCGTTGCAACTCGCTAGAGAAAACCGAGGTGTAGTCCTCGGTGCCAGCGAGGCCAACTTTTACTTAGAGGGTGAGTGCTGGTACTTCCAAGGTTTTCTGCCCTTCCTCTGTCCACTGATTTCCAGCTCGCCCACTCATTTCATCTCCTCAGCCCTTTTCTAGAGACGTTGACTCTCATTCCTTGTAATTTAGCATATTTCACACGGGCTCATCCCCTCTACCCGTTCCTTGACAGGAAAGCCTTCGAGGACACCATGTTGGCTCCAACGTTCTTGCAGGAGCCCCAGCACAACAAAGCCTGGTTGGCTTTGTATAATGCTGTTCTTGCTCTGGGCTGTCAGCTCTGTGGTAAGGGAAGCTATCAACCTGGACGGGGAAAATCATGGGGGCTGTTTTCCACGTCTATGTCCGTATTTCCCGACCTGCTCAGCCTTCCTGACTCTATCCTTGTGCTTCAGGCATTGACAGCAATGTCTCTCTATTCCCTCTCAATTTCCTGCATGGCCATAGAACATGTTGTAATCCAAGAGGCCGCCAGGAGGGCCCAGAATCTCCGGAGTCACAAACTTCCAGAAAGCAGTACCTTCATCTATCAAAAGGCATTTTGGACCCTTTATTCAGTTGAGAAGATTTCCAGTTTCCACTTCGGCAGGCCTTCTGTAAGTCACGAAAAGTTGTTAAAAGCCTTTCCTGGTTCCGCATATGTCCGGATAACTGGCCAAACGAGGTACTAATGGCCAGCAGGCGTTTGCTGATCACGACATCTCGGTCCCGATTCCAGTAGTCCCTGAAGCTATATTCGGCGACTATGATTGGATGTTGGCAAACGCACGTTATGGGCGACTACTCTCCCGGGCGGCGTCTTCTCTCTTCTGCGCCGGTGTGACGGGGAAGACCGAGGAATACTTCCTAGAGGTCATCGACCAGCTCGAGCGCGAGTTGGAGCAATGGAGAATGACGACCCCAGTGAATGGAAAGCCGAATGACACATTCAGGATCAATCTCATTGAGACCTCTCTCCTCAGGACGGCTTCTGTCTGGACCCACCTTATGTACAACAGTTTCAGGTTGGCCCTCTGCCGCGCGAGGCTGTATCTGGCGGCGAGGACACGCGGGCTCGTGAGTACGGTCAGTCAGGCCGAAAGCACGAGTATCATGTCCGAGGCCGCGCGGAACGTGCTGGAGTTGGCAGCTTTCATCGACGTGGATCCCTCTACTCCGTTTTGGTAAGAGAGCCCCGTCATTGCTTCCACGATTAAGGCTACTTACTGACGGTCGTTCGTGCAAGGTTCGCTGCTGGGATCCCTATGGCGTCACTCCTGGTCGTATTTGACGTGGTAATAAGCTATCCGAAACACGCGGAAACAAACACGAACCTGGCTCTGCTGGATGTCGGGGGCGGCCACTTCAGCAGGATCGAGTACGCGAGTGCTGGTTGGCTTCCGGGCTCTCTCCTAACTCAGCTCTCACAAATCGCTCGAGAGTATGTGAGCAGGGGCAAGACTAATGATGGGAGCAGCGTGCCACCTGGCAAGCCACACATCGAGAGAGTCACATCAACAAGCTCAGAAAAAGTACCTCAACCGGCGCTGAATAGCGAGCTTGGAGCCACGAGCGGTCCTCCTCTGCAGCCCGCGTTTGACACGGTGCCGGTGAGTAACGGTAGCCTCTAGAAGACGATGATTTTTCGGCGCTTCGGATGGCTAATAAATGTTGCGCAGATTACTAGTGGAGACCAGGAGGTTCCATTGTCGGATATGTTATATTTCCCTATGGGCGATGACCCTTCCCAGTTTGGCGATGGGCTACTAACCGGCACGGACTTAATGGAGCTATTTCATTCGTCCATTCCTTGGGACTACCGGATGGACGAATAACGAGTGCTAAATGGCCATTACATTAGCGATACAACCGTTTGTGAAGCTCCCTCGTGAAAGGGCAATCGTCTCACCAAAATCAAATTTGACGACACAGTCCCTTTGCCGAGCGACCTTCATTTTAACAGAAAAGCGCCAGTGCCAATGTGAACAGGACGACTCTGATCTGAATACAGAGAACCAGATTAGTGTGATGGATGAGACGGATAAATTATTTGATCCGACCTTTAACATTTACAGTATGTTACTTGCACAATGTCAAACCCCGGAAGCACCCAGTCCAGCTAGCCGCTGCGTCCAGATCGTAGAGATGGCCAATCCTTGTAATATGCTGACCAGATTATGACTCCATGAACCAGATCTGCAAAGTCCGTTCAGATCCTTATTGACGTCAAAAACCTACAGATGCGAGGTCAAGCCTTCAAGTGTCGAAGAATAGCGAGAATGAAAACTTACTGCAGGGGACAGACGCCCAAGTACGCGTGTCCGAGCTGCAACTCGCACACCTGCTGATTGGTCTACAACAGGTAGCATAAGTCTCGGAAGACAGGGAGAAGGTCAATTGTGTATTGATTGCCGTGTTGTAGAGGAAGTTTGAGGCATGCTAAATGTGCTGGACATCTGTTTATGTCTTGGGGAGATGGATTATTGTCGAGTGTAAAATTTTGCTACGAATGGCATACTCTGATATGATCACATTGTCTTGGGGACATACTTCAGTATGCCATGAGGAAACGGTTCGTGTCGTGCTCCTGGCTCCCGCAATGACGCCTCACGTAGCCGCGCCGGCTTCGAGCCCGAGTTGGAACTGGTTGCGCATTGCCGCGCTGGCCAATAGTACTTATGGTTTCGTGAAGAATGAATGGTGTACAATTCACACAAAAGACGTAACAAGGCCCGAGAGACGGAGCGTTGATGACTATCTATTTACATTTCGGCTTAAACTGGCGTGCCCATCATCAACAGGACACTTGATAATCTCACTTGTCGTCCGAACGGCAGGATTCCCCAATGCATTTCAATGGTTCCTGCCCGGAATCTTCACCATGAACTGCCTGTTGAGTTTCAAGCCAATCGGAAAATTGAAGATAGAAGACTTCAGGCAGTCCACAAGGAGAAGCTTCACCGGGACCTTAAATCGGCGTGTCCTGGACTGTTGCGAGACCCCTAAACGCGGTGACGCAGGCCAACTCTGGTGGTCAACTGCGTATACCGAACAAGATAGATTTCGTCGGCCTTCTTTTTTTTCGAACAGAGAGCCTCAGTCGACAGCACTGAACCGTGAGAACTTGTTTTACTATTGCAGCTTAAATCAAGGAATCGCTGTTACAGCCGCCGAAAATAGCGGCCACGATAGCAAGGGCCGCTGTCACTGCCAGATTGCTGCGCTCGACGTCGGACTATTTTACAAGTACAGGAGGTCCGTCTAATCGTCACGGAATTTAGGGACTCAAAGCAATGAGATTGTCCTCATCTCCCAATTCACCTGTTCATCCACCCAAGGATCGACTCTCCAATACCCAAAACGGTAGAACTCTCCACCCCTTTCAGCCGGGTACACAAACAACCCGTGAACTTCAAAAGCAGGTTCTTCCATGATACGTAGCAAGTAGACAGCGTCGATGAGGATATCTACGGCCTCTGAGTTGTATGTATCCCAACAGATTTGCACCATTTCCCCTCGTGAATCGTTCAAGTAGCCCCCTTGCAAGGCCTGCTCCGCGACGTCTTCATCCCCCTTTACCCAGTCTCGCAGGGATATCATGCCAACGCGAATCTTGAGATAGCCCCCAAGCACCCTGCCAAAGGATGTTTCGTCCCTTCTCACTGCTACCGCTTCTATCAATTCAATTTCTTCAATTCTGTGTGGAGACTTTGGGCCAGTGTGATGGGAAGGGCCAGGGAGACCGGCCCAGGACCATGACGGCCGAGAAATCGACCCTGGCTCCGAGAGTTGGCGGAGTCGCTCGTGGAACGATTGACGAATATCGGCCCTCTCTTTGTAGAAGAGGAGGGCCCGTGCGAGGTCATCCTTGAACAAACCGGCGAGATATTCGCTACCGGTGAGATCGGCGACACGCCTTGCTAGACTTGTGGTAGCTGGTAGCCGATCTGTCTCATGTGTGAATTGCTTCGTGGAAATCTGACGAACGTCAATTGCGAATTTTGAGAAAGGGGATTTGGCAAGTCTTCTATCCGGTATCCTGCCGAGCCGGTAACTTGTCCATATGCTATCGGTGCCGTCTTCGCACACGTAACTTTCCGCAGAGCTAAAGACAATACCGTAGCGAGTGAAAATGATAAGGCGTGGGGACATCGCGAGCTCCTGGTACACCCAACCGCGAGAATGCCATCTAGAGTTCTCCAGCTCCCCAATCCAATTGGAACGATACAAGTCGCTCTCCGAACATGGGGCCATACAGTAGGATGACTGAGACTGGCCACCGATGCAGTGCTTTGACTTAAAGTGAATGTTCAGCGCTGGCAACACCTCGCAGCGCTTGGAGAGGAAGCGGTCTTGGCAGCTTTTCAAGGAGACGGCACAGATTGTGAAGTAGGCGTTCCCGAAGACGTCGCACATTTGCTGACTTTCACGGTCCCAATCCTGAACCTCGGTCTCCTCTCCTCCTTGTAGAATGCACAGAGCATCTACCCATAAGTAACGAATCGACATCTTCGAACAAACCTAGTATGTGACCAATCGTTTTAGCCTACACAGGCAGATGCGTTGTGGCCACTGTTTTTGCTTACCTCGATTGCGTCTTGGATCACTGGGGACAATTTGTCTATTTTGATGCTGTTGAGTCGTTCTCGTAAGTTTGACGACGTGGTTTTGGACAGTCAGCCAAGAGGAAAATGGATGCACCCACACCCTCAAGGCGTGGATTGATGCTTATATGACCGAGCTAGGGTTTCCAACTCTCCCCCCAAGATCGCAGAGCTGGATATAGACAAAGGAACACTGGCTAGGTCTTTTACCTGCTCGGGCTCTTCCCCTTTGCTATAACCATTCTTGTTTGTTTTTCCTTCCTTTTCGCTCTAACTTGGGTTCGAACTTAGGAGTGTCTTATGACAAGACTCCTTTGTTGAATAGCTCTGAGAATGAGAACCGGGCTCATAACCAGTCAGCCAAGAGGAAAATGGATGCACCCACACCCTCAAGGCGTGGATTGATGCTTATATGACCGAGCTAGGGTTCCCAACTTGGACTGCAACCGAGCGGCTTCGGCGTTTCCCCAACAGTAACTCAACGCGGCATACTTCGCATTATGGGCTTGGGTCTTCGGCATCTCGTCGCGAAGGACTAGATGCAGTTTCTTAACGGTAGCGGTATCCTCCCCGAGATCCAGGAGCCTGGTTGGTAAGAAGCCATGCTCCTCACTAGTGTAAAACTTATGCTGATGTGCTGCGATAGCATCTCTCATAAAGCGAATGTTTCGCTTCGAGAGAACCTCGGGTGACAGGGAAGTAAAGAGTGGAAAAACAGCTTCTGCTGATTTGGAAGTCAAGAGATCAGCGACTCTGAAGCGTCGCAATATGCTACGCCCATCGACGCTGGCTGAAAGTTTTACCTTTTGTTCCTTTGTCCAGGCCTGAAATACCACTTTGCGGACCTCAAATCCCTGTAATGTTCCGCCAAAGCTGGGCGTATAACCTAGCAAACTAGCTTCGAGACCGTAAAGTCTCAATGGATTGTAGTCACAGTCGTCATATGTGGCACGGCTTATTTGAATGCGCACTCCTGCGAGGCTTCCATTCGGCCACGATTGCCTCTCGGGCGCCGAGAGTAGAGTCTCACGCAGCAGTCTGCAGAAATCACATCCTGAGTTGGCGGATGCCTCGAGGTGGGGCAGTCCAGGCCACTGGTCATCATACGCCCAGAGATCTCTGTCAGAGGGATCGTCAGGTCGGCATTCTAGAATTGTGTCGAAATCTTCCAGTTGTCGGCAGATCTTGCATAGTTGAGCAAGAGCACTCGGTAAATCCGCAGAAGCGGCCATTGTCGCTCAGCGAAGTGCGTCGGGGCTTTCAACTCGTGCCTCGCAAGTTCTATACAAAAATCATAGAATGATGGCGACCAGGAAGAAATAAGAGGGTGGTGTCTATCATGACACTTGGATCTTACGGTAAAAGGGCTCGAATATACCAAGGTGAGTAGGAGGACTTTTGCTAAAGAAAAGAAGAGGAAAAGGTAAAAAAGAGCTCGATAGAAGAAGGAAGGCAGATGTTCCGGTTCAAGGTTGCACACTGGCCCTGACACCGGTACTTGACCCACTCCGTCACAGCGTATCTTTGATCAACACGTATACATTGTGATAAAGGTAGCTTGTGGCTGCAATAATAACAAAAATGGTAACAGCTTGTGGTTAGCATGAGTGGAGAACTCCGAGATACAGCTGAAGTGTGGGTCGATCACACGGCCGTCCTCTATGCCGCGCTACATTTGAGCTCCCAATTGGTGGGACCGCAACCAACAAGTTGTCCAGGCTGCGGCTTACACCTAAGTCGTTACGGATCTGTCCTAGAATTTTCGATAGTCAGCCGACATGATTCTTCAATCGGTTGTGCAAGGAAGGCAAAACCCCCCAAAACTCAAGATCCATTATGTCGAGCAGGCCGCCAACTTTATCGCCCGAGGAGCCTGTCGACAGCTACGTGGGTTGCCGGTTCCATGAGAACGCCACTGCGTGTGAATGGGGAGAGTCATACCGTCCGGGGGGCTACCACCCCGTCCAACTCGGCGATACCTTTTTGAATGGTCGGTTCCACGTGATCCGCAAGATTGGATACGGCTCCTTTTCTACAGTGTGGCTTGCGCATGACGACCTGTCAGTCAGTCTCCTCCGAGGGGCCTTGAAGACATCAGCTCGCTGGCTAACAGTCTCGCCCCTCAGCTCTAATAAACTGGTGGCAATAAAAGTTGTCGTAGCGCGACTTGATCAGTCCACCCTCGACAAGGAAATATGTCTATATCATGAACTGGCCAAGGTGGCACCGCATTCCAGCCTCTCCCAATATTTTGTCGGACTAAAAGAGCAATTTCAGCTCGAAGGGCCTAATGGTCGACATAACTGTCTAGTCTTTGACTCCATGGGGCCGGATCTTCCAACTACGATACGTCGCTCCCGGGAGTATCAAGTTGGGCAACCCTGGGATGACGACTTCTGTCAACGCTTTCCTTTACAGCTTGCGAAGAAAGTTCTGAGAGAGGTGCTTCTCGGTTTACAGTTTCTCCATGCCAACAGGATAGTGCATGGGGATCTCCATGCGGGCAACATATTAGTCAGTATCCGTCCGCAGGACTGCGAAGCTGGTACCATTGAGAAACTACGTCAGAACCCGGACGACGGGGAACCCTTGCGACGGCTCGATGGCAAAATCGATCTGTGGGCACCTACCTATCTGCTGCCTCCCGCGGGCCTTTTAACATACGTCTCGACTGAGCTTGACCCATTCGTCAAACTGGTCGACCTGGGTGGCTGTGAGCATGAACAATCCCTTAAGAACCCGAAGATGGGCTTATGTTACGCGAGCCATGGATTGACAGATGTACGCAGCATTTCGCTTTGACGAAAACCCGACCAAAATCACAACCCCTCGAGCCCTCAGGGCACCGGAGACGATCCTGAAGCTCCCAGTCGGGCCAAGCATCGATATATGGAGCTTTGGGTGCCTCGCTTTCGAACTGATCACCGGCCATGACCTGATTGGCCTACCGTCCTTACTCATGGGAGATGGGCCAGAGACAATTGATGATGAACATCTAATCAAATTGTCAGAGATAATCGGCCCTCTGCCAGAATTACTTTTCGATGCTTGGAGGCGCGGGCCTGCGTACTTTGGTCCAGATGGAAAGCGTATGATAGTTGCAGAAGAAAAAGACGTTGATGAAGAAAGTATGGGCTATGAGTCTGATACGGAGAATCCAGTCGACCTTTCGGATCTAGAGGACACTGAGCTCGACGAGAATCCTGTAAGTCCTGACATGGATTGCTCCGAAGACCCACTGGCATATACTCGACTTTCTGAACCCCTCGAAAATATGTTCCGAAGATGGAAACCAGAGGGCACCAGTGACACCGAGGAGAAGGATATATTGCATTTGTTGCGGTGGGTTCTACAGTTGGAGGCTAAGGATCGGCCGACGGTGGAAGGTATCCTCGGACACAAGTGGTTCCAGATATGAATGCTGCAGCCATGTGATATACTAAAGTAGCTTGGGGATTGGAGTCTGGTTCAACGATGACATCCGCTTTGTGGGAAGTGCGAGCTTTGTTATAGCGGCATCTGCTAAGGGGAGTCCCGGTCGTTGTTCCCGTTGTAGTATTTATATAATTTCATGCTATTACTTGAGTATCCCATGAGATGACGACAATGACTACAACTGAATTAGGGTTGTGGTACTTATAGCCCAAACTCTATTGAGTGTATTCATAGCTCGTCTAGATCCTCGAGGTTTGCTAATTGTTTCCCGAGGGAATTCTATAATTCAGCGTCTGGAGTATATTACAAACCTGAAGAACATATTATAATATGTTCTCATTACCTTCCAGGTTCCATTTGTTTGCTGCTCTCTTGTCTCTCTCTTTTCTCTTCATTGTTTCCTTTTAGCTTGAAACAGCTATGATACCTTATTTTCGCAGATTATTCATCAATGCGGGGATGGCTCAGTATGTATTGAACAGTCTTAAGCAATCTCAGCATTCAAACTAATCCATCATATGTTGGGAGAGCGTCGGACTGAAGTTGAAAGTCCAGTTCAAAATCTGAGGATCCTGTGTTCCACAGTCACCGCACAGCCTGTCTTTTTTTGCTTTTCCCTCCTGTATATTTTCTTGTTTTACCTTTTGTACTACTAATCAGCAATCACTGTTGTAAGATTGAATGAAAATGCTCTGATTCTAAGGCTGAGGCTTTTGAACTATCCGATGACCAGCCTTGTATTCATCCTCAAGAGCTTGAACACTGGAACCTATTCCGCGTTGTGACTGAGTGGGAATGGGCTGTAGCGGGGCCATGTTTATGTCAGATTACGAAAGTTATCACTGATCGAGAGCAAAAGTGAGGCCACCTAGGTGGTACATCTGAGGGCCCATGACTTGCCGATTCGTGGATGCCTCATGCCATGATAGACCTGCTTGGGTGGATAGGACCACTCCTCGATGTGTATTGCGTATATAGATGCCAGTAACATCTGTCTAATCTTCGGCCTATTTCAGCGCTGCAATACGAGCTACCTAGGTACACCATCCTCCTACATTGAAAAAGTAAGGTGCTCTTCTCTGCAATGTGACTCTCCTTTTTTTGTCCCCTGCGCCCGTATAGTCACCAAGATATCTGATTCAACATCATCTTTATATGTGTTTCCGCTGGTGTTCAAGATCTAGGCATGTTTGGAAGTATTGGCCACGATCCTAGACATCAAAAACGACTGGACTTGCATGGGAAAGGATGAGTTTATCGATGAACAGTTGATTTGATGAGGATTCCCGAGTGGAATACACCCCCACCAGAGTCATCTTACACGGAAACGTGCGAGGCATTGTGTGTGGCTCTAAAATTGGCTTATGCAGTGAGTGTTACATCCTTTGTTGTACGCATCTTGTCCCGAGGTCGTCCTAGTAACAGTTAGAAAACGTGTATGCCCAAATTTATGCGGCCAATGGACTGGCGAGAAAAAGAAAAGAAAAAGATCATCGTTACAATACACTATAATAATTGCTTGCATACACCTATGGACATTCAGGTTTGTGGCTTGCTAGCATTGACATGTACTACAGAACAGTACTAGTATACTCTTAAAGTTGGTCTGACCGCATTAGCTGAGGATCAGGTAAAGTTAAAGATTCACACCCGAGCTCGGCAAGGGTTAGTCAATATCAATTGGCTTGATGATCATCAATTGAATCCTCCCAGGTGACTGCCTCCTCTTCGACCTCAACCTGTCTACCCTTTCGACAGTGGATGGTGTTACGATCTCAACTGCCACGTACTGTCCACCCGAGTGTGACCAGGCCTATTGTTTCTTAAATAAGTCCTCGCCATGACTACCTACCCACTCGCTTGAGATCTCCTGGAGCACGAGCGACCTGCTCATTGCCACTCCTGCGTGCATGTCTCGCACAACTGGAGCATATCGCAAAGCTCACCAGGTCAAATTACTCTCCAAAGTTTATTTGGTAGAGTGTTTTGCGTTCAGTCGCTCCTCCATTGAGGTACGTGTGGTCTTCTTGCTGCAGACGATTCGAGATGCTTACATTTAATTCGAAATTAAGAACATGCCATAGACCTCAGCTCGCGGGGATCGTAAATATCTGCGTGCGAACTAAATTGCGCTCGCTTTTACTAGAATCCCCTCCATAGCGATGACGTCTAATACGATGACTTTCAATGATTATTACTAGAATGATAAGAAACTGGAGGATGACTGATTAACATAGCACATTGATATAATAATTCAATCACTTTATTCGACCCTTAACTTATGACAGAAAAGTAGAACACATTCCTCTCAAGGATGTTGAAAGAGCCTGTGCCACATCAAGTTTCTCAAGACCAATGCCAACGTTTATGTTATGTTCATCACTCAGCCTACTATTAGATACATCGAGTAAACCGATGAGCCTCCTCGCCGATACTAGTGTTGACTGTTCCCAGAAAACCGAGACTCAACACCTTGTAGACACACGACTGAGGTGAACACCCGGAGTCTGCAAGGCCTGGAAGTTCCAGTCTTCTTAATAGCTCGAGTCTCTGAATATAGTGTGGACAGAAATCTAGTTCCAGAGGAGTGAGCCTCGGCCGTGATGACTTTGCATAGCTCGTGAGGAGCATCACCGGACGGGAAGCAAGCTTCACAATCTGCTCGTAAGCAAGACCCTGGCTGACTGCCGTAGTGCTTAACGTTCCTACATAAGCAGCGAGCTCTAGCTGTATGGACCACGACCAGTCCAGCAGTCATAGAGCGGCGTCTCCGCGAGCGAATCGGAAGTGGAAAGAACTTGACTGAGAATGAGACATGTCAGTCCTCATTTGGCCTACAAGTTGGAGTGTTCTGAAATAAACGAATGTGAACGCCAGAACGCTGTGCCACCTCGGTTTGACAATGGGTGTAAGGAAAGGCTAAAGAATTCGCGGCCAGCCACTGGAGAGCCCGTCACGATTTTGTGGCAAGTCACGTCCGAATTCGGATAAAGGTGCATATTCATGGCTAGACGTGATTCACCACCTCGTGAAAGACTTTCACATGGTAGCCCAGTGTGCCACATACCAAGCGGCACCCGAAAATCACGGATGCTTGATATTCGAGACGACGCAACGCTTACTTGAATCTGACATTTTGAGCGTAGCATGAATCGAAGATGGTTTGAAGTGAGCACTGAAACTTGGGGTATTCGGCGCGTACACTACTTAGGTAGCTGTCGTCCAACCACATTTCCCTTGGTAATCACAGGAGAGCTGCAGAGACATTGTCCGTGAACACAAGAAAACAGCCTCTGGATTCTCAGATGAGATAGTGTGACCGATTCCGGACTAACGATGGTGTCTCTCGTGACATGACTCCGAAGAAAGGAATTATGAATCCAATCAAGACACTCGCCTTGAATTCGAGCATCCTATTTGCTCCCTCCTGTGTAAGCCTGTCGCCAGGACATCGAGAATGTGTGGGAGGCAATCTAGACCGGACAGCCATGTGAGATAATGGAGGGTCACATAAATATTTGTACCCATAGCTAAGCTGTGCCTGTTACCCACCACGACCCGTGGATTCGCTACAGATGAGGAGTGAGCGGAGCGTGATGGTGTTGGGGGTGATGGGTAGTGGTGTCCTGCCTGGCTTCGTGGTCCAGGCAATCTCGCAGTCTCTTTCTGTCCTGGTGCAGTCCAGATCGGAGTGTTCTTAATGGAATTGATATAATCGAGTTGGCGCGGAATGCGGAATCCTCCCAACGTCGCAGTCGGGAGCGCTGCGTCTGATGCAACAACGGCAGAGCCATCAATCTTCGTAGCCGATTCTCTAGCTTTGCAATCCCCAAAAGTCGCTGGCCGGCGCATGCAGACACCACCAGCGTGCATGTTCATGCTCATGCAACCAACCCACGGGCAAGACACCCCCCTCTTCCATTCGTGGACTCGAGGGGGGAAATTTTTCAATTGACGAGTTGGGTCCAGACCTTTGAGACCTGGGCGGAACGCCCATCAGCCACTCGTCACTCGACGAGCCGCGAAAGCTGCAAGATGTGCGGGGTGACGGGTTCAGATAGGCCCGAGAGTGTCAGATTGTGGCGTCCAGGACTCGACAGCCGTCACATAGAGATCCAATTGTCGAGAGAGGACTCGATGTCTGTTCGGGACGAAATACCCTACAGTTGTGATACGGGGATCTCCGCAGCCATCAACGACCGGGTGGGTGGTGACTGTCAAACCCATGCTGGGCAACCCAGACGTCAAATGCATCTGACTGCCCACCTGCGAGAGCAACTGTGATGGATAAATCTGAGAAGTGATTAAAACTTCAGTAGTCTCGCCTCTCTCGAGTCCCAGGGCATTCATGTGTCTTGGAGCTGGCACATGCCGTCAGATTCTATATTCTGGTTGGCAGGGGATGTGGTGGGCATTGGCGAGATTTGACGACGAGCTCCCATCCTGGCAACCGGCTCGATAAGACGGCTGCAGAAGAGCTACAATCCTGGAAGTTGAGCTCCTTGGTCCCCTCGACGGGATTCCCCCCGGCCGGTCAAGGCGTCGATGCACTTCGGGAAGCTTTTGCTACCCTGCGAGTGAACGCTGCCGACCACCCAATGCAATGGTAGAAAGTCTTGGGATGATCGGGTATTCTTGGGATTGTCAATTGTGTCACCGGTATGACGGCTCGCACAGCGCTGCTGCCACGTTTTCAAAAGGAAAATTCAAAAGAAGAATTTCTGACACCATTGCGTTGCCAGCGCATTGCGCAGAGTTCTCTACCAAGTCAGAGCAGCAGCGGCCTGCAGACATCATTGCTTTTCCGGGACGGTATGTCCCATCATCAATGGCCGAGCCCCTGTTCAAGTTCCCGTACGACATGGCTCCGTGCCGCTCACCCCGCGCGTCAATGGCAAGAGACAAGGTTATACTCCTCAGAGGATGGAAGGTGAATGCACGTAGCTGCAGGTTCTCGGTCCCGCTAGGTCCTTCCCGAAGACC